CTGTTTCAAGTTTTCACAACTGTTAAGAACCATCTCAAAGCTCTATATTCCTTTTTAACTATATGAAAGTAATAATCCTTATATAGCTGGATATTGCCTCCAAAATTATAGATTTACATACTAATATTTTGAAGGCAAACCAGCAGACAAATATAGTTAATGTGAATTTCCCTTCTAATGACTAGTTTTCCAGTTGCTTTTCCTGTCAGAAAATCAAACTGCTGCCAGATAGTAAATCAAACAACTCAAATAATTTCAAGAACCAAACACAATTTTGTTTTTTTGGCACAGCCACCCCCAACAATTTGATGAAAAAAAACAATTTTCTAAGAAACAGTAATTAAATTTAAAATGTATTGATAGTCCTCTTTTTGATTTTCATGCATGAACAACTAAATGGTACTGCATGACATTGTCTATCATTAGGCTGCAATGGTCCTCTAAGATTCCACATTGAAAAGAAAAATCATCAGCACTTTTTCAGAAAAATATAACTAGAATGCACGAAGATTTTTAACCCTTGTATACTAGTTGATACTTGAATACTAGTGGAGTGCATGGAGCTTTGAAGAGTTTATACAAATGAGTATGGGTTTACAACACAAGTTTTTGTCTTAATATATCTATTTTAAAAATAGAAATCAAACATACATACTTCATGCAAAAATTACAAAACTAATACACTAATAATCAAGATGTATGCAACATATGCATAGCATATTCCTGTGTGTTTAACATACACAGTTATGTAAAGTGTTACTGTCCATATTTGTTGTTATATTGTAAATACATTTAGGTTAAGACATTGCAAGTAACCAGAACACTATTTAAAACTAATAGTACTGATCTCAATACTTTGTCAAACTATTATAGTAACCAGTACACGCTTCAAAATGATCAAGGTTGATACAATATTGTATGAACAGGATTGATCAATGTTGTGCTGCCAACATTGTTCAGAGTTGTTATTAAGATGTATTAGCATTTTCCAGTGTGCTTATATACCGAGTTAGTATGTTAATGACACTGTATATTTTACATTTGTACATTATTTGGTTAAAGCCCACTTATTTAGTGTTGTTATATTGTAAATACATTTGAGACATTGCAACTAATCAGAACAATAATCAAAACTAATAACAGTGCTAAATATTTCTGCTTTATAGTAAAATTCTTCATATACACAATTGTGTATGTTTACATAGTCAAATATATTAATAAAATATATTGGACATTAATAAGAAACAATATCACAATCATGACAGGGTATTTGTTTTATGCATCAATTTGGAGTATGACACATGCCATAAATAGAATGAATCATGATAAACATTACTACCAGTCATTAAAACTTATATCAATTCTGCAATCAATTATCAATTATAAAATCACATGTCAAACAACACTATTTGAGCTATCCTTGCATATTTTGATTTTACAATCACAAGCTATTAAGCATATTAATATATTTGTGAGATATTATGTAGATTTTGGTGTTGACAAAGACATGACCAGATATTCATATGCTAAAAAGTTGCCACAAATCCTTTTTAAAATCCAAATTTGTAAACCCACTAAAGGCCCTTATCTAATCTTTCAGAAATGTTCGATTCTGTTAATTATAAATTAAGTCCTATGTAGCTACAGAGTAACCTTACTGAGAAATATAATCATCTGGGATTTGTTTAGTATGTTGCACTTAGATGTTGCACTAGTAAGATTTTTTAGTTAACCACTAAGCTGAAAAAGAGCTTTCTCAGTAGAACAAGTACAATCATTCTGGCATTAGATAAGCAGGGTATACACTGCATGTGAGTGCATTTACTGCATGAAAGCCTAATGAGTTAAATATTGACAAATATGAAATATACAATAAATATTGACTAATTTTTAGTGAACCATTACACTGCAGGGCTTCCTAACTGACAACTAAAATCATCTGGGTTAAACAGGTAATAAAAAACACATATTAGTAGCATTGAAGCTCAGTGAGTTAAAGATAATAAATTTAGGTTTTTGAGAGTTTATCTCACAATGTGGAGTAATGTCAAGTTTTCAATAAATTTTAGCACACTAGGAAAAATATATGCATATAACAAATTTATCAATTGTATTAACATACAATAGGCTTAAGTTAAAAAGGCAAAATGGCCCAGAAATATAGAAAATCGGTATGGAAATTTAAGTCGATCAGGTTTATAGCCGCAAGTCCATATCATATACACGAAAGATGGCAAGTCAAACACGAAATATACAAGTTAAATATATAAAAACAAACGCATAAACGTTTCTTATCTTATCATCTATACGTTTCAGCTTCTGGGATACGCATTTTGCTTTTTTTTGCTTAGTCTCCACAGCTTGCCATGCAAGTCTTTTGTAATATATTCCCCAACATTGAATCTACGGGAATGAGATGCCTTTCTAAAAGGCATGATTCTGAGTTTCCTAGCTCATTTTTGTCACAAAAAAAAACATACGATTTTAGATTCCTTGGCTTGTAAAATATACCAAAAACGTACAAAAGTAACCTCACACAAAGAATGCTATACAAGCCGAATATGCGGTTGTTGAATAAAGGAATACCAAATGATTTTCCGTGCAGGATTGCGTGATCCATGCACGCGGGATGTTGCGAGACTTTCGGAAAGCGTGAAAATACACGAGCCGTAGGCGAGTGTATTTTCACGCTTTCCGAAAGTCGAGCAACATCCCAAGTGCATGGATCACGCAATCCTGCACGGAAAATCATTTGGTAATTGTTTTATAAAATAACTGTAGTGAAACAACGGTTAACTTTATTAAAATTAAATTTCGCGTGCAGGATTGTCTAAAACGCGTGCAGGATTGTCTGATCCTGCACGGCTATTGACCAATCACATTGCGTGTTTCACTATAGTTATTATATAAACTTAATTTCCGCACGACGCCATTTGCGCCAAATGCCTCTAACAAGAAGCTCGCTTGAAGCAAAACATTTGCCGTTACCATAGCAATATTGATATCAAAATAAACCTCTTGTTACCCTCTATAACACTATTATACCCCCAAACACCTCACGAAGAAAGCGCTCCGGAAAACATAGCCGAATATAAGGAATTCTCCGCTCGACAAATTCATTACCACTCTTCAGAAAATGTCGCGCGCCGCCAATAAAACCCGGCACATTCTAATTGTCCAATTTAGCGTGCAAAAATGCCAAGCGTGGAAACAAGCTTTATAATAAACGAAGTTACCGCCCGGAACTGAAATATATCACGCTTGTGACGAAGTATCGTCGGCTTTACACAGTTTGTTGAATTCTTTGTATAGTTTTAGACACTTTCTGTTGACATCAGTTCTCATTTCTACGGTTAAATGTTTGTTCTTTCATGTTTGCATCTACCAGACACGGCAGGGTGTTGGACCGACATCCGACCAACATGCCTGATTGAAATCCAAATTGACAACTTTTTTATCGACGTCCATACGTATGAATACACATTCCAACAAAAAACCAACGGCTTTTTGTGATGACTTCCTCTGGGTTTGATGCTACATTAGTGAGATTAATCCTCGATGAATCACGAATCTATTTTGCCTCTTAGGTCAGCATGTTTGCTTCTTGCTGATTCAAAACATTCATTTAAAATCAACAAAAATTCTGATCCCTTTCTTGTTCCACGTCTATAGGGAGCTTTAGCAGTGACTACGAGTACAAGATTCGTCATTCTCGCGCGTTGTTTGCTTACGCCATCAGCCAAAACTCGTAGTCGTTGGGCTTTCGAGTACGAAATTTGCCAACAAACCCTTTCGCTACAGCCCGCCGCACACGTGAGCTATTAGCTGAGCTAAAGACCACGCGTGGTTGTTACCTCAAGCAAGTTACTCTCGTCTCTCGTTCGCGGATAGTTTTTCGTGAGGAATTCGCGAGGTCGTTCGCTCAGCTGATAGCTCTCGTGTGCGGCGGGCACAATGGCACATGCAAGCATGTCCTGATAATTTTCAACTCAGTTTGTATAATCCTTGTCTCAAGGGAGGTTATAGCCTGGGTAAGGACTGGGTTAATGAATGTCCTTGTTCTCTCTTGAATTGAAATTCCACCTCAATGTCTTTCGTTTTCTGTTTAGCCAATAATGACCCTGTTTGGCCCTGTTTATACATGCAAGAGCCGGATTACCCGAGATTCAACGAACTAGCGTGAAATGATTTTGAGGTATCAAAATAAGTCTTTATGAAACCCAAATAAAACAAATGCTATTGCCAAAACAAAATAACAAATGCTAACCAAACAAAATAAATACTATACCATTATTATGATCATCTTATATTCTCATTTCTATACCTCATAATATTATAGTCATGCATGCATTTAATCTACGCCTCGTTATGATTATCCTGATGGCTCGGCTGGTAGATTATCCCCGGTCACCTGGTAGGTATATGCCCATCAATCCAATACGAGAACGTACCCGAGGTCACGTTTAACAAATTGACCTCGATCATCGTCTAGCTGTGCGTAAACACGGGCAAACAGACGGATCATCTGTCAACAAGGACATTATCAGAACTTGAAAGGGACGAGCCTTGTGGCCCGGCTGAAGGTATACTAGATTAATAGTGGTTAAATATTTGCCGCGGGAGGAGACCTCTATGCAGAGTTTGTGGCGTTGCCGTATTTATTTGTTGGAACTACGTCCCTATCTCTTAATACGAATTATCCGCATGGTTCGCCTATTTAGACGAATTTGAATGGTAGTTGGTCTGGAGGCATCATCCGTCTGCTAGTATAAATACGGGATGGGGACAAACTACGGAGAATTCATCAAAATTCGATTCCAATATTCATGTGCAATTTGCGCGATTCTGTTTCTTTTAACATATTCGTCTACATAGTTCGTTCATGATCTGTCGGAGGGATCATTCGTCCAGAAAGATATTTCGTCTCTAGTATAAATCGGGCCGTTCATAATATAAACAAAAATAACATTAAAAAAGACTTCTAGAATGAATACGCTGGTTTTATTTTTCACATGAACAAAATACATAATACAAAATCGGCAAATCACATGGTGTTTACTGTAAAGCTATACATTCGTTATTACAGTTCAAAATGAGCATTAACCAGTTTTGCACCGCCGTCAGAAGTGACAATTTTAACCAAAATTTTCTTCACGTTAACTTTGCACTCACAATCCGAGTGAGATCTGATGAAGAAGCACAAGGTATAAAGAGCCATTTCAAACTCCGGAGACGTTCCAATTAGCATATTATCCGTCACAGCCGCCCCTCGATTCCATGAAAACATGAGTGAGACGACTTTCGGCTAAGAAAAGACAAATGCGAATGGAAAATTTTCTTACCGAAGATAAATTGCTAAAATATGAGGAACACAAAACCAGAATTTTTACATAACGAATTATGTTTGCAGCTTCTGTTGTTTTGGGCTCTGTATATTTTTTAGAAATTGAACAGTCATAAATTGAGTAATAATCATCATACTTACCGGAAGTGGATAGTAATGAACAAATCCATAATAATTTAATCTTTTTAATTCTTGCAAGTAAAACTGAATCCAGTTACGCACCGACAATTTACTTGGGTTGTTCACAGTTTCACCCACAAAAATTTTTTGAAACGCAGTCGGTTCTCCTGCTGTGAGATTCCCTTTATTGAACCATAAATCAAGTAAAGTCTCTTTGAATAGTACCTGAATAAACAGTACATAAAAGGTGAAAAACAACACTCTGATTGAAACAACGGTGAGTTCTTACGTACGTAGTTTACTCCATGCGAAAAAAATAACACGATTCGTCTTCTCACGTATGAAAATTACAAAGTGCGGTTGAAAGAGTTGATAACAAAATTAGAAAACGCCGTTTTTCAAGTTCACTTACTCGATTACATATTTCAAAATACAAATACTTCCGTAAAATCTAGCGAGGTGGCAGAATACCCTTACATTTGCGCCAATAAACGATAAGATTTTTATTGATTTGATAAAACCAATTTTTTAGTAGAATTGTCAAAACGTTAAAGAGCAAAGTCTACAAAAAATTAACAATTAAACACGTTGTCAACTGAATGTCTAGTTTGCAGGCGCCATGATTTGGCCAAAATAAAATATTCATTACCCTGTCAGGGACGACTAAGCTATTTCGAACAAGATACCAATACAATTCCTGAAAAACGCGAGTTTTCATCAAAGAAGTCAAAAATATTTCAATGTTTTCTTTGATGGCGGTTAGATTAGTCTCCGGTGAGTTTCTGCTGGAGGGGTGAAAGTCGTTTAGGAGATCTAAAAGAATCAAGATTATACAAGGTATTAATGAAAATATTTAAATGTTCACAATCAGAGCTACATTGTCACTTGCAATCCACTGATGTCTGCTTGTCTTCAAATTAGTATATTTCTATCCATTCTATTACTTCTCCATATCTATTTCTATATTATAAATTAGCCGAAGGCTACGAACTATGAGGTCAGTTGCAAGGAATCAATAGGTTTCTCTATACATTTCAGTTTATAACTAATAAGTCAACTAGATTAGAATAATTAGAAGATTTTGATAGAACGAAATAAAAGACTATATATGCGCTAAATGCATGATGGGCTTTGCAGTGTGCTGGTAATTTCCTTCACGTTTCCTCCATTTAAGTATAGAACCTTAATCCCTGGGCAAACTAGGAAATATTATTGCAGAAGCATTACATTATTCGGGTTCTCACCCGTGTCTGCTCTCACGTGAGGAAAATTGTTGTGGAAACCGACATTGCTTTCTGGGAATTGTTCCCCGGTTTGACAAAGAAGAGAAATAAATAATGTCGCCCGTAGTTTGAAAAGCACTGCAAGGCTAGTATATAAGGTGTGATCGCATTGGGTTGTATTTGTAGCACTAGAGAGCAAGAATCACCGGTGCCAATGATCGTCCGACACAATTCAACCAAACTCCTACCTATAAACGTATCATACGTCGGTTTTGAACGAACTTTGGAAACATTAACATAACGAAACAATCGTCGATACGATTTATCCACACTCGAATTCTTTAAAATTTTTGTTTGAAGTGAAATATCATAATCTACTCTTTGAATGAGTCTATTATAATCCACACCCCAAAGCCTCTGGCATATCGTATCACGATCGCTGATTTTGCCCAAAATGCCATGTTGCCAGTACCAGTAATAACTAGAAATGGACACAACACTTCAAGTAAAACTAAACATAAAAATTTCACGAACACAGTAAAATACAACCATTAAATAAACTGTTATAGTATAGCTTAACTGTGGGGAATGGAGAGGGGGATAACATTCATGCATATACTTTAAAAATAAAATAATTATAAAAAGTTAAAGTAGATATGTTCCAATATAAACAGGGAGCAGCGTGGCAGCGTCTTCAAACAAGTTTGATATACCAACTCTCCTGACGAAGGCCCTCGACGTCGGGAAGTGTTTTGTCTTTTTTAGGCACTTCTCGCACGAACAATTCAAAATAGCTTGAAAACAGAATTGGCGTATTCTATATATTATAATAGCTATCATATTATACTTTTGATATTCGATCTGATGATGTGCTGAATTTGTTAGGTTGGGAGTCTCTAGACGTGAGACGTAATAATATTAAATCGATTTACATGTATAATGATCATACTGCTCCAAATTTAAAACACTTATTTCGACGATGCAATGAGGGCGATTCCCCCTATATGAACTTCGAAATCGTGAAACTGATATAATATTACCAAAACCGAAGAAAGAATATCTGAAAAGAACTTTCAAATACAATGCAGCTTTCCACTGGAATATTCTACCTTTTAAAGCAAAAACTGCCGATTCTATTCAATCATTTAAGCGGATAATGAAATCTTTGTCGCGAGGTGAAGCTGACCTGTCCTCATTCTCATATCGTTCTTTGTCTATTGCCTGTTTGTTTAATCTCTTTGTTATCCCTGTACAGTATGTTCTATGTAATCTCTTGTTTGTATATTTTTAATGTAAATACGCCCCTCATGAAAAACAGCAATGCTGATGAGGCTAGCGTGTTTAAATAAACTATAATGTATATGTGTGTATGTATGTTTCATAGCTACAATATATATTAATGATAGTCTGTCGTTACATATCAAAATATATCATCACTTACTACCAATTAAACCAACCCCAACCCTGATTTAGTAATCCCCAGTCTTCAATTGATTTGCTCTCGATGGTTGAACTGCCAATGATGGCAAAAAGGCACACAACGAATAAAAATGTTGCCATCTCAAAGCGCTTATAACATCCAATGTTTACGGCACGATTGATACAAAAACCCATCGGAGAAGGCCTGATTAAATCAAAAACATGTGTCAGGTGCAGATTGTTTGAATATTTCCTGCAGTTAAAGAGGCTCTACGTGTAGTTTTATTATAGAAATGAAATAGATATCTCTTTGTACTTTCCTTTGTCGATAATATTTAAGGCATACATTTTATTCATATTCTAGTGGTTTAAATTAAGGGTCTTAATTTCGAGTGGTGTTATGCACACTTCAAAAGTGTGTACAACACTTCAAAAGTGTGTACAATACCACTCGAAATTAAGACCCTTAGAGTATTCCTGCATCGTGTGAAGTACCAAAAATCATTATCATTTTATTCATATAATTATGTAATTGCTGCATCCAGAATACCGGGATGTGAGTGAAATTATAGAAATATTTTCACGTGTTAATGGATTCTTTCAAACTAGGCGAAAATACAGTAAAATATATAATTGAATAATTTATTGAATTACTTAATTTGCAACCATTAGAATTTTAGAATTGCCCTAATCATGCAGCTTTGGCAAACAGTGTTGACGAATCTTTTTTCGCGACCTAATGCGACAAAAAGATTCAATGTCTAAAAAATAGCTAACCAATTAAATCAACACGCCTACTTAATTAATACTATTTACCGCGACCGAAGGAAACATGTTTTGTGGACCCGAGACCGATGGATATTTCACGAGGCGTAGCCGAGTTAAATGTTTGACAAACAAATGTGTTCGTCAAATTATAACCAGAGGCTTGTGGTTTCATCGAGACTGTTGCATACTCATTGCATTTTGTATAAGGAATTTTCACTTTATGCAACGTGATATGTTAAGCTGCCTAGCATGTTTTATTTAAGGATTATCCAGACAGATGTTTGCCGTTAAAACAACCAGATGGTATAGGCCAGGGAGGCATTTCACAAAATCAAATGGTTTTGCCCTGTTGGTAATTTAAAATAATTTATTTATGTAACTGAGGTAGCCTATCAGTTGACGTAAAGAATGCTTCAAAGCTCAGATACTAATATTAATTTGAAGCTAGATATTAATTTAAAATAAATTGTCATTGGAAAGAAGAACGAACAAACTAGAATCAGAAACAAAGCCAGGCAATTCTCATTCCATCTCAAAATTTCACTGGTTTTTTTTCTACACGAAATGGTTTGTCCAGGGGGAGGACACCACTGTCTGCGATTTTACATTCTGTTTTTGGTTTGTCCTCAAAGCCAACATCTATGTTTTCCACTTTTTTTACCACGTCCTAAAATTAGCAAGAATATCGAGAGTGATGTTCGAAAACAGGGTAAAAAGGTACAAACAGGGATCGGTCATACGAAGAGTGATAAGCGCTAATATATTAAAACAATAGATAGTGATTTTCACCGGATCAGAAACTCTAAATCAATATAATTTTCAATTTAGGCAAGGTAATTTGAATTCATGGACAAATTTAGTAATTCTATTAGTAAGTAGATATAAGTATCACTTGTATGATTGTTGCGTCATATAGAAACGGCGATTGTTTAATGTTTTACAAATTGGCATAGAAATAGACAATTGGATTTGACGACAAAAAGGAAAGGCTGTCATAGGCGTACGAGACAGGGCAGGGGGGGGGGGGGAGGGGCAGTTGCCCCCCAAAAATTTCGAGAATCAAGAAATTCGGGCAAAGTTCAGCCGAAACTTCGGGCAAACTGAAAGCTAAATCACATAGCTAAATTACACTTTCTTAAAAGCACATCCGCCGCTTTGCCAAATCTATTGTTACAAATTTGGTAAAAGTTATAATTCGGGCACATTGTATAATTCAAAAATTCGGGCGATTTTTTTTTGCCCCCCAAAGGAAGTTGCGCCCGTACGCCTATGAAGGCTGTTAGCTGAGTTGATGAAATTTAGTAGCTAGCAAATTCTCACTGGATTAGTCGAATGAACTACGTTTGTAAGAAAAAAATCTTCAACAGACTGAGAAGGTTTTATTCACAATTAAGTTTAAAAGGGATTACTCGTTCAATTACATACCATTCCTTCAAGAACAATCCCAAAGACAACATGGCGGCCATTCAACCATGGTGTGTTCACTGTAAATATGGCAAACATTGAACCATTTGAATCCTTTCCAAAATTTGCCATGTTGATCCAACCAGCGCCATAATGATGAAGTTTAAAATTTTCGTCATCAAATATTTCGCCATAAGCACTTATACCTGAAAATGAAAGCCAAAAATGAAACTTCTATGACGAATATCGCGTAGTATCAGCATGAATGATAATTATGAAACTCATATTGTTAGCGATCCATAGTATTCATGATTGCCATATTGCCAACTGGCAAAATTAAGGCTTAAAAGCGATGGTTATTTAAATATTTCTGCCCAATTCCTATATCATTTTGACTAAATGGATATGATGTTAATTACCTACTTTTTCACTCTTAACTCTCTCTAGAGAGGTGAGAACAACTAGAGGACTGGTAATCGTGATATTCACAATGGATTATAGAGCATGTTTAAAGGATGAGACTTTTGTTTGCTTCCCATATTCAAGCAGTCCTATAATGCATCCTCGATGCCACGCAGCCACGTTTAACAGTTCTTTGATACAATTTCGGTATTACGAATGGTATTGTAATTGTCGTATTCGTTGCTAGAGCAACAGTTTTAAAAATCAAATATGAAATGAGTATATACGTACGTCCTCTTCCATCTCCTCGCAGAATATCTCCGCCTTAATAAAATATAAAAAGGTTTGAAAATTTGGTCTTTGAAAAAGGCTTAAATAAGTTGCTGCAACTTTATAACACTCATTTTTGTGGAGCAAAGCACAACAATGCTGATTGTCTAGTCATGTTTCTTCAATTTGGTTCAACCTTACCTTAGCCACCTGACTTCATATTTATGTTTATTTAACCCCATATGCGGCAAATCGATTTTTTATGAGTCTAACGCCTGTATTCAAAAAGCTCCCTCACAGTCATTTAGTGTAACATTGAAATTCTGTTATTACTCATCATCAATGGAAAGATTTAAACACAACCTACTGAAGATCAACCTTTTATCCGAGTGAAAATGCCTAGAATGGTATAACGATTTTATTGAGATCTCCGTCTTAATAAGCTTGCGTGTGAGTGAGCTTTTAGAATACAGGCATAAGTCTAAAAATGCAAGGCTTAATTGTTCTTTTCCATTGCAAGAGGTACGTTCAACGACTGAATTATTATCATTCAAACTCTGCGTGAAATTTTCAAGTCCACAACCACATACACCTGTGAATTTGCTCAGCCCCATAACACAGAATGTGATCAACAAGCCAATCAAGTCGTCGCCGGAAAAGCGATATAACGTTATGAGGTATTTACCGGATCCCCAAAGGCGACGCAAGTAAATATCTATTCATTACTATTCACATCCAGGGGCGGCCTGGCCTATACATGATTTACCAGGAAAACTAAAAAAGGGGGCCCATTTTGGGGGCCCATGAGCAACAGTTATTGAAAATGTGTGTGCTGTCAAGTCGCGTTTAAAATTAGACGGCTACAATATTGAGTCTCAAACTGATACATGATTTAAATCAAATTATCTTTCCTGTGTTTTACTTTTCTTCCATAATTTTCCTCAAAATGGGGCGCCAAACGGCATGTAAATCAGGGGCGCACCGGGAAATTTCCCGGTATCTTTGTGGGACAGCCCGCTCCTGTTCACATCTATTTCCAAATGACGTATATTTAACCGTACCTTGAATAAGAAAATTCTTAACCACTCGATGAAAAATACTGTCTTTAAAACCAAAGCCTTTCTAGAAAAAGAAAATATTATAGTATCAAGGTATAGCAAACGATTTCAAATACAGGGTGAAAATTTTGACAGGATGGTCATATTCATATTAACAGACTATAGTTGATTCGATCGTGGAATATCATAGGATTTACTAGTGAATATGGGATGCAATCATGAACATGGATTACATCGAATACCTTTTATGTTCAAAACTGCCGTCAAGGGACTTGTCTAATTAGGTCAAATATAGGATTGCAGCGAGCTTGAATATGAAAAACGACAATTCTTTTACGCCTAGGTTAAACGTCGCATTTTCGTCGTGTCGAATAGATAAGGAGCTGATAAACCTCATTAAGCTTCATTATCATCTCATTATTTATTGTTTGAATTGCATTCGACGCGACCAAATGCGACGTATAACCTAGACCTTACTCACCAGTTATAAATTAAACGGAAATTATGACAGAAGCTGGGTGAGAACCATAGTTTGTAACTAATGTTCTGTTATAATAAATGATTAAATAAACTGGTATGGTAATCTTGATTTATATCCCACTAATGAAATGGTATTATATAATACCTCATGAGTTGCTAGTGCCACGAAATTTCTAACTGTTTTTGGAACTACTTCACCAAATAAACCAATTACAATACGACCAGCTTTTTCACCACCAATCGTTACATCAAGAAAAACCTGAAATATTGAAACATTTGGAAATGAATAAGCTTTAGTTCCCGTTGTATTTTTTTTCACTATAAAGCTGGGTAAAAATTGAAACGATCTGGACCCTTACGTAATTTGTTTCATTTTTGATTACATCACAGAACGTGTATGCATAGAGATTATTTCTGTAGTGGTAAATTTGTTCAACTGGCGCAATGTACAAATGATATAGCCTTGATACTCAAAACAAAAGAATCAGTGAATCACAGTTGTTTTGATGGATATTTACAAGAACATTGAGATACATTTTCGTCAGCACTTTGGTATGACTTTAAAAACCCAAAAGTATATAAATCACCGATTGTATTGCAGAAAAAATTGACTAACTGTCGTAACAGTAGGTGGTTTTAAGAGTATTAGGTTTTACGGAAAAAATACATGCTTGATTTAGCATGCGCATGCACGGATCTCTCCCAGGATCAAAGATTATCTAATAAAGGTGAATGGTGTCGGTGACTGACCAGCCAGCCTAAAAATTTGTTAAACGTTTAGCTATAACAATTTTGTTTAGAAATCAATTTATTATTATTATCAAAGCCTTGGAAGCAACACCCAGATGTAAGCATAGCGAGGGATAAACTCCGCAGGCTGGTAGGCTGGCTACTGTGTACATTTCCATGTATTCGGCATTTCCAGTCCAGTTTTCGCAGACGAGTTGGGGACCGTACTTGAAACTGCCCGGTTGAGGTGTTCACACGGTGAGAATGAATAATTTTACCCATTCATACGAAGAAACCAGACGAACTAGAGGATGGTACCGAATTCGTTGTTCGCACTAATTTTATCCGTACCCAGGCTACCTGATAATAAGGCCGAGCACGGTTCAGTAAATCGATCGTATTGTATATTGTTATATCTAGTTCCTATACGTAGACGAAAGATGTTTCAACATTCGCAATAGAAGCTTGCGCAATGTATTGGGGTGATAGAGAAACAACTGCGTGTACATTCAGTTTAGGGGCTTGGAAAACCGTACGTTTGATTTCTATTTTTTATTTCGCATAACAGCGTACCATTGTCTACAGCTATACCACTAATACTATAATACATGTATGCGCATGAATAAAATAAGGTAACAGATATTTTACAATACCTTGTCTGTGACCATTGGCCCTAGTTCTGATCTCGCCTGTACACATGTAATTACCAGCGAAAAAATCGCAACAATATTGTGTATTGTCCTCATGATATTGCTTTCAAACACTGAGCGAAGTCAGTGAACCAGCTTTGTGTTTATAAATTTATTCATTACCGCACGCACACACGTGCAGGATAACATTTCACTGTCTTTGGTGTCGTATTTCTATTGCTGCAAGCCTGAAACGAAAGAGTGTAGAAGTATGTACGTATCGTAATTTGTGAAGGAGAAGACAGTAAAAGCAAATTTTTATGGTCGAGCGGCATTGCAATCGCCCGCAGTTGTTTGAGCGATAAATACCATTGAGAATTAAATATCAAAATTTCTACAAGACATGGTACGAGATTTCAAACTACTTTCTGTTTGTCATTTGCCAATGTTTTGATGACTTTTTTACTGTAATTTGTCTCACTACCGAGTGTTTTAAATATTTATTATTGGAGATCATTCACAGGCCGCAATGCTTTAACCCTTCGTGACTAGCACATGCAAAAATCACGCATATTTTATACCTACCAGAGAAGCTTCAGGTAATATGAAATTAGAGAGTTGCATTAGTATAACTGCGCCCCAGTCATTTGGTCGCTAATAGGCAGATCTGGCTCGAGGACGCAAACGTCAAAGCGGATGTGAAAATGGCGAATAAATGGCGTAGCATGTCCACATATAGGCATATCACCCCATTTATTCGCCATTTTCACGTCCTCTTGACGTTCACGTTCTCGAGCAAAATATCTGCCTAATATAAGTGACGGCAAAGATGGCGGAATTTGAAGGAGCCATTGGGGGGCACTCCAGTTCTCTTACGTGCGCGGCCAGACTTAATACAATTTTTTTTGTTATTTCCCCATAATTTTGAGAAAAAACGGAGATAAATTCTTTATAATGGCAATTTATAATAATTCCCAATGCATTCATGTATTTTTTATTTTCAGTTAAATTTATTAAAAAGGAGTAATAACTGAAAATGAGGGCATGCAGGTTGTTGGCGCTTTCGCAAATTACAACGGAAAAATTTACAAAACACATATAAAGTGTAATTACCTAATTAAAGACGACTGGGATGTCCTCCAATATCTCATTTAGTTTCCGCCATCTTTGGCTTCACGTTTAGCAACAAAGTTCATATTCCATATCATATATAGACCTCACTCGGCTAAAATTAGTAGCTCTATACCCAACTTTATATTTGCTCGGCACCAAACTTCAGCTGTTCGACCTGTCAAAAAATTGAACTGTAATGTGAACAAAGCTTAAGACCAAATAAAATAAAGTACGTACTTAAACATAATAATGTCTAAAACTGAATGACTACCCTAAACTCCGGTTCCTATGGTTTTCAAGGGTAAGACTTTACCACTGAGACAATGTAATGAGCTGTTGAAAAACACTTGTTTAATGTTCCATCCTGGACGTCATACTGGATATAATCTCGTTATTTTAAATTAATGGTGGACCGTAATGAATGACGCCAGACTACTGTGCGCCAGACGATGTACATTATAAGTAAAGCATTTTTAGAAGAGAGCAAGCTGACAGAAGAATAGCAGAAACCATAAATCCTGTGGTGGACAAGGGAAGCAATCTCTGCCATAACAATTAAACTAATAATATGATAATTATAACAGTGGCGTGATTAGAACGCAAATTCGAGGGTGTTCATTCATGCATTCAGTTTTAAATATATGAATAAACAACCCCCCTCTCAATTACCATTATTATAAACCACCCCCCAATTACCAATTATTCACACGAGGAAACTGGACGAATTCGAGCACACGAGCACGCCACAAAAGTATATATTGAGATCAGTGGGCATTTCACTAGTAGGACCACCCAGGGACCCACAACGCAACGGGTGGGAGCACTTGGGTCGTTAGCAAAGAATAATAAAAAAAACGTCTTTCTGATAATCCTCCTCTGACGAAATTAACTACTACAAATGTTTGATAGCATTATGTCCGTATAGCACAAGAGTATATATTATTAACTAGAAATTATTTTTAGCCTCGTAGTTAAGTAAATAGTTTATTGGTGTTGTCAACTCGACTGATAGATGTTAGTCGACGAAAGAGTCAGTCGAGAGAAATGATATATGTTAGAAATTTCGTTTATAATTTATAAACACACCAGCCATTCTTAAATTTTCTCAACAGAATTGAATCTGCGATCCTTGTGCAGGGGCTCCGCACCTGTGTATATAAAGTCCAGTTCATTAACTCTTAAAGTGAAAGTCAATTGAGTCCCTTCTTCGGACCATTGGCATTCTGCTCATAATCAATGCGAGGACCTCATGATGTAAAAATAGCCCAAATTTCGCATGTTTCGAATTTTTCTAGACATAAGGTCTACTTCATACGTTTCGAAGCGTGGGAACCTAAACATTGTTAGATATTCAGGTATAAAAAGGATTAAAAAGGTATAAAAATTCAAAATATAAGCAAGGAATGTTGGATTGCAGATGTTACCACTTGCAACAACCATTCTAGCGAGGGGCAGCACGATATCTTTCAGTCTTGTTACAATTTAAACCAGGAACCCGAACCTCTTGTGCGTTTAGTCGCACAGCTAAATATAAAATCTAAACACCGTAAAAAATTCTGCATTACGTTCTCTGTACTCCAGAATCCGTCTTTCAACTCCTCGTATATATATAAACGTTAATATATGCTAGCAATTTTCTAATTAACACGTTTCCAAATATGTCAAACAGCCCAGCATGTGGTCAGTTAGAATAAGCTGAAGTAACAAAATTGATCAGTCTAGCTTCAATTACTGCTGTTCTGTAGAGCGTTTGTTTACAAAGCCCCTTATTGAGATGATATCTCAGATATTTAGCGCTTTTTGACACGAATCTTCGCCACTTGTCTTTCTATAAAATGCAAAACGTCTGGAAATATCCTTAACGAATAACCTCTTTGAACCTAAGCTATTGGGACATTCCTTTAGGCAATCTGTTCCCCATTTTGTTTACGTACGTAATTAAAACCCAATCCTAAGTCAACAGAAAAGCGTTACATTTAGTATTGCGTGCATACATATGCTAAATGGCACTAATGTTTTCTCAGTGTGATGCATATTTATTTTCAAAGCGTCTTTGTTTGCCCAATTTGAACACCTTCCATTTTCGGCAGACAATAAATTCGCCTCTTGAGCTCTCGTCTATCACATGCTAAGTTAAAAAATAGGAAAATACTCTTGAAAACGCACACATGTGAGAGGCAATTATCGTTTATTTCTCTCTAGACTGTTTAGTAACTCGATATCACGGTTGTCAAAGACAAAACTCGGTAACCAAGACATAGAAGATATGAGACTTTTATCATTATTGAACACCCAAGCTAATGAACAACAACCGGAAATGATATTTTTATATTATCCTCTTGGATTATAAATTAAAGTTGAAATCCTTTTCTAAATATGGCATTGGGCCGTTCTTAACCCTAACTGCGCTTTCTCCAATGGCGATAAACATGAATATTGGATATTATGCTATTTATATTTAAACTGAAAGTTTTAAAGCTTCTTGCAGATGACTTTATAGCAAGTGTTGCAAAGAATACATCGCTTTCGATAAGGTCTGGTGATCACACAGTTGTTGTCTCTTGGATTTGTCCACCTTGAACATATAACATGGATAAAGTCCTTCAAATCTTGAGAAATTCGTGGCTCATAATCTTTGTTTTGAATTTGGAATTAAGCAGTGTCCATTGCTGTTTACCAGAACCAGAAAACGCAGGTATTAGTTAGGTTAATCTGCAGAGTTGAGTAATTATCCTACGTTTCATTGTACGAAGACTTATCTACGAGTTGGCTAATATGATTCGCAGATAGTATTAATATACTGTAACTGGGTATATATTATTTATATACTTCTGCAGCAATTATATCATGTTACTATATACAACAGTAATTAGGTTTCATATTTATAACGTGATTCTCCACGGCCAATAGACAAGCTTTTGCATTACATAAACCACCCAAGCTCAAAGCCATTATACTGAATCGAAACATGAGCATGATGTTAAGAAACCGTTCCGCGTATAGGGCTCGTATAAGGTATAAGGAAGTCAAATAAATATTATTTGAAAATAATTTGAAACAAAGCCCCAACAATGCAGTTAACAAAATTGTACGTGCAGCAGCGTTATTAGCTGCATCGTGTGCCATGTATATAGTCTTGAGGAATTGAATTATTCAACCTTTCAGTGACATAATTTACTAACTTGGTCAATACAACACTAATTTGAAATGACATGCAATGAGCATAATAAGGAGTCAATATTACGGCCCTGGATAGACTCTTAACCACAGAATATAGCCATGGGCATAGGCAAATATACATACAAAACAACAAGCACGGAAACTCGATTTTAAACCTGAAATGTTTTGTTTAACTTATAGCAGGAATTTGTAATCAAGAGTGTTGTTCTCATTAGAATATTCGAGATTGCTATAATTAATTCCTTGAATTGTTTCAATTTAAAACCGAAAACTGTTCCTTGCTTCTGTCATTATTCGCGTTTTAACTTTATCATGTGAATAATTTGTGCCTTAAAATATTTGCATCTTGCACAGCATAACTATGTAAACTCGTACACAAACATGTGTTAATTGATAGTTATTAACATTCAAAGTTTACCGATACGTGTATGCGATTGACAATTAGAGGAGTCAACATGTTCTAATTAATTTTTTGAAAGTTCTATAATTTATGAAAATAACAGTGCTATAATTGAAGTCAAGATAAAGTGTATTAACTATGGTGAAACTCCATTGCTTTTCGAATCTGTACAGTATGTTGAGATTTATTCGGGATAAGCTGGTATATTTTCAGCCGGGCCCGTGTACATGGGACACGCGGACACGTGTTTTAAAAACTTTCCGTCATTCCGGAAAATGCAATAATATAAGACATATGTTACAATTACTAAAAACGTTTGTGGAATTTGACCGCCGATTGCTCGATAGGCGTTTAGCTTAAACTGTGGATATAAAGCCAATGTTTAAAAATACCCTTATATACACCTTGTATGTTTTAATCTTGTATATTCTCTGAACCACATTTGATGACAATTTACTATCCTGTATTTAAACACAATAGAATCCCTAGCATGCATTGGTATCTACTGAGCAGGCAACGAAGTGAGCTTTACTATCGCTGAGATTTATGCAATGCAGACTATGCAGTGACTAATGCACCTCTTAGTTCATCATGTTAGTTCTCATTGTTGCTCAGCATTCAGAAAAAAGTAGCTGAAATGTTCGATCAAATCTTTATTTATTGGTCTAAACATGAATCTTATTGCATATGTTATTTATTCAGAAATCCCAGCGAAGCATGCATTTCTTGTTATTCATAAAAAAGTAGCCTGACAACACCTTTTTTACCTAACTATTATACGTCTGTCATTTGTCAATTAAAAGGTGGCTTCGGCGAGGTCCAACATAATGCGTTCTTCAGATGTTGATGGATTGCCGTATAATTTGAATTTTCAAAGGTCGTGTGTCAACTGACATGCCTAGCCGCTAGTATTCTTGCTTACGGAAAGCTCATCCTATACTCCGAAAAATAGGAATGAAAAAATATCTCTTTGATGAATTTTCAGTGTGAATTGCAGGTTGGCTGTGTTTCGCAAAGACTCAAAATCAGATCATAATTTCCCACTGCCATGCAGCAACAGTATGTATACATAAAGTCATAAACACAGCCAGTCAGTCGCTTGAATCTTCACACGCAATCAAAATAGGAAATTCTGCTCAAATCGCGGATGAAGTGACGAGCATTTACGTTTTTTAATGTGACATACTAATTTATTATTTTGCCCCAAATCTATATATACAAAACTATGGTTGGGGGAGGGGGAGGCTAGCAATTTTTGTTATACTCCGTGACTGGAATATTAGACGCTGGTTTTAGAGCCATAAGACTTGCCGCCATAACTTCCAGAGATTAAGAAATTACTCGACATTTTGACAGGGATTATGATTAGCGAAAAAAAGTTTGATTTTTTACGGACGTTCTGGGGCTTTTTTAAAATCTGTACATGCTTTAAATACTCAGCGAGTCGCGAGCTTCTCCCTTCTGTTTTAGCATTCTGAAATATAGGATCCTGAATTGAATATTACATCTTTTTCTAGCCCTTTCGTTCCTTGAGTTCACGTGATATACGTATTGTTTGTCTAGCAGCATAGAAAAAGTGTTTTGAACACGTGTTATACCAGAAACCCTTCCTATAGCACTTCTGATTTAAAATTTTGAATGGGGCTGAGTGCCTATAACCATCATGGCGTACTTTCCAGAAGCGTAATGCTTGTTTAGCAGCATAGAAAAAGTGTTTTGAACACGTGTTATACCAGAAACACTTCCTATATAGCACTTTGGATTTCAAATTTTGAATGGGGCTGAGTGCCTATACCCATGGTGGCGTACTTTCCAGAAGGAAGTGTAAGCTCAGAGTTGGCACCAACTCATAAAGTTGATTTATATTAACGGCCTGTTTATAGATTGTTATAAAGTAATCTGCTTAAAAGATTTGCTAGAATTTAAGTGATTTTGATAATTCTGTTTTTTATACAAGGCAAATTAAATGCGATCATGCACAACTTATATAATGGCATTTTGAAAACAAAAGCTGTAACCTTTTATTTATATATAATAAAGAAAATAAATAAATTATCTCTGTTTTGTGTAATACATCTATATATTACACAAAAAATTAACGGTTATAAATTCATAAACGGTGGGCAATACGGGCTGCAAGTTGAAGTTCACCATTAGTTGAGGCGAACGTATCAGTGTTTTGTTCTCAATATCCTTAAATAAAAAGCAATGTTTTATTATAAGGAGAGCTCTTGTAAGGGGACATCTCGCAGCTCTCGGAAGCTTTCGTGCAATTGGATAATGCTTTCCTATGCTTTCTAAAGAACGAAGTTATATGCTATTGGTTAAAACAGAAATGTAAAGTTCAGGCAATGAAAATCAGTCTTGCGAGAATAATGTTTAAAGTACTAAATAACCGTACTGCTCCCAATCTAAGGGCGTCCTTTATTAGAATGAATGATATGCAAAATAACTATGAATTACGAAATAGGGAAACTGATTTGATTATCCCTAAACCTAAGAGCGAATGTCTTAAAAAAACCTTTAATTATAGTGGAGCTGTAACATAGAATTTGCTCTCTGCAGATGCAAACGTATCAACTACTTTAAGTGCTTTTATAATATAAGTATGATATAACGAGCAATTTGATTGGCTACCGCGCGTGCATTGTGAGGCCATAATGCACGCTTCTGGCTTTGAAGTCTTTGTTGCTAAGCAACATCTTAAATAACATGTAAGGAGAATTTCATTATTGATCAAATAAATAAACTTTGTTGTTGCCCTATAATTTCTTCTTATATTATAAAAGAATTAAAAAAGCTCGTCGCGTGCCTTTATGGTGTAATAATGCACTCGGGGAAATGTTGGAAGAATACTCGAGAAGCTTGTAAAACACTCGGCTACGCCTCGTGTTTTACAAGCTTCTCTCGTATTCTCCCAACATTCCCCCATCGTGCATTATTACACCATAAAGGCACCCGACTCGTTTTTTAATTCTTAATTAAAAGGCATCATGAAGCCTAGTTTGATCAATAACTATATTATCAAAGACCTTCTAAGAAACCTACCATTTAAAGTTTTATTTTTTTGTAAATATGTTTTTATCTCTGTGAGGCTTCTCAGGAAGAGCATCAATTTAATGGTGATGAGAAATGCGTCATTAAATAAATTGTTTATGTGTGTATGTGTGTATATGTAAGCTGCGACACTACCCCTTGTTTGACACAGAGTGTAGCTTTACCTCGACCAGCCTGTCCTCGCGAAGTTAGACCATTGTTATTGGTTAATTGGGAGACAAACCATATTAATAACAGATGTGTGTTAAACCAGGAACGTACAATATTTCGTGAAAGTCTATCTTTAGACAATGACATTGATAAGTTGCATGGTATGATGCACGCCATTTTTCATTAAGTATATATTCAAGACAATTTCTTCTGTTTCTGTATTCTAGTGCTGCCACCAAAATTCATATTTGAAGCCTTTCCATCGGTGAACGTCAGTCTTGGGGACCGACTTGAGATAAAGTGCAGCGCTCAGAACACATCAAATATTAACAGCATTCAATTGCTCACGAGAAACGAGGTAAAACAGTTTAAACCAACGTGCAACGTTTCTTCGGACGGAGGAGTTTGTAGTTTCGTGATAAAGAATGTTGAACTTTGGCATTTTGGAAAATACGATTGTATTAAAATATATAAAGACATGCGTTGCTACAGTAAGTCACTGATCATAGGAAAAGCCGTTGTAAACCCGACATCATTGACGACGTCAACTACGAAATCTTTAAAAACAATTGCTATGAACCCAGAAACAGCAACTACGATGAGACTACGGGAAACAACTGTTATTAACACACAAACAACAACTCACATGGAAACAGAAGAAACGTTGCTTGAAGAAGTGACAAAAAAAACAGGTAATTTACCACGTTTTGCCTGATTAATTTTCGACTGTCCTTCAGCCTACTCTTGTTGTTGAGATATGGATTATTAATACCGTGTCCAGTCCTTCGTTTAATAAACGTCGATTGCATAGACACCTCAGTATTGTTAAACCTTTTTCATAATTTGGAACGTACGTCACGTAGTTGCGGTTTTTGTTTCTTATCCTAACCGTTTTTTCATGCCATATTTTGAATGTAACTGTGTTGATAGTCCAAGTTTGGAAAGGAATCTTGTTTAGTTCTCAGCTTCATTTACAAACCTTCAATTATAATAAGGATGATAAAGTGCATCTGATTAGAAGCAGTTAAAGCATCCCATTCCATCAATTCTGGAATCATCCTAATCTCCCTCTGTCATGATTTTTCCCGAAAGAGGGTAACAAATACATTTTATCTTCCAATATTAAGTTCGATGTAATGATTGTTATGCATACATTATTTAGATTTTTTTAGAAAAAAATTCCCTCCGACGTACCTTTCAGATGAAATTCAAAAGATTTAACCGAACTTTTTCTTTTAGCTGTAAATGTTACAATCATCGTCTCCGAGAATCCTACATCAAATGGTTGCAGAAAATCAATTTCATCGCGAACGCTGGGATTTGTCATTTTGGCATTTACCATAGCGGTTGCATGGGTTATTTAATTGACCTATAAATATGAATATCTACGTTCAAACGTAGCCTAAACCTCGCTGCACGAAGAGAGATGACTTCGTCAACGATATGATATAAAAACCTAGTTACGAAATACAACTTACGAAACTACTGCACTAATTACGAAATAAAACCAGCAGCTTTGTTACAACCAATTTTGTGAATAATCTCTAAAGACACTCAATTAATACCTTAAGTATTACATGTTAATTAATTATACGCCTATGATAGCCCCTTAGTATTTTAAAAATCGTGCCCACCAACGCCATTAAATTGACCTAAAGTGACTAAATGAATGAAGAGTACAAATGGAATAATAAACAATTGATTGATCTCCATTTGCCAAACATTTAATACTATAGTTTATAAGATGGCTGTCTAAATAGACAAAGTGTATTCAATTTATAGATTTAAGTAAAAATATGAATTATTAATGCACTAATGTACTGAGCAGTTTTCCAACTACCAGCTACAGTATGTTTCAGCTATGTCATTTAGGAAAAGAAGAGCAAGGTCTTATGAATACGTAGAATGAAATATTCAGGCAGTGATGAAAATTAATTATTGCTGGCGGGATGGTAGCTAATGCTGTAATGATAGCTGATACTGTGCTGATGGTTGCTGCTGTGTTGGTAACTGCTGCTGTAATAATTAAATGATGGCGTGGTGATGGTTACTGTTGTGACAGTAGCCGCTGCTGTAATTGGTAACTGATGCTGTGATGATGGTTGCTGCTGTGATGATATAGTTGCTGCTGTGATGATATAGTTGCTGCTGTGATGATATAGTTGCTGCTGTGATGATATAGTTGCTGCTGTGATAATATAGTTGCTGCTGTGATGATATAGTTGTTGCTGTGATGATATAGTTGCTGCTGTGATGATAACGATGTTGTGCTGATGGTTGTTGCTGTGTTAGTAACTGCTGTTGTGATGATATAGTTGCTGCTGCACGATGATAGTTGATTGTTGTAATGATGGTTGTTGCTGTAATGATGGTTGTTGCTGTAATGATGGTTGTTGCTGTAATGATGGTTGTTGCTGTAATGATGGTTGTTGCTGTAATGATGGTTGCTACTGTTATTATGGTTGTTGCTGTGATGATGGTTGTTGCTGTAATGATGGTTGTTGCTGTAATGATGGTTGTTGTAATGATGGTTGTTGCTGTGATAATAGTTGCTACTGTAATGATGATTGCTGTTGTGATGATTGTTGCTGCTGAAATGATGATTGCTGTTGTGATAATAGCTACTACTGTAATGATGATTGATGATGTGATGGTGGTTGCTGACTTGCTGCTGTAATTGATAGTTACTCATGTGGTGATGGTTGATGCTGTGATAATAGTTGCTGCTGTAATGATGATTGCTCTGTAATGATGATTGTTTCTGTTGCTGTGGTGATTGCTGTGGTAGTTTAATTGATGGTTACTCTTGTGATGATGGTTGCTGCTATAATGGTTGCTGCTTGTGCCCTTTCTTTCGTTCAGAGGCATCAATATTAATTTAAGATAAGTTTTGATTTTTCACAAAGCACAATAAATGACCTGACCGCCCTAAAATATCGTACTCTGTACGAAAACCAAAAAAATTGAAATCAGAGTGTAAAATCACATACCAAGATTAACGGATCATACCAGTTTCTCAATTTCCCTGACATCAAATCAGTGAGATTTAGCGATAATAACCCTTGCAAGGGAATCACGATATTTTGTGTGAACCGAATTCAATGAATTATATAATTTTGTTATTTACCCATTAGTTAGATTTATCCTCTTTGTAGTTGTTTTGCTTCAAATTATTGACACTTGAAATGTTTTTCAAGCGATTTGTGGCAATTGAAGCCGACATATTGTCTGTGAAAGAGACATTAATGCGCATGCTCAGAGTATTATTTTCAGCTGGATATCTTTTCTAACAAATTCTTTTCAAATCGATTGTCCTTACAAAAGCTGTTAACGTGAATATATGAATATGTGACACCGAACCACCCCCCCATACGCCATATACAATTGACGTACTGGTGAAAATTAACAAATTATAGTCAAATCACAGCCAAATTTTCTCTTGAAGCCTTCTGAAGCCAAATTTTCTCCTGGAAACGCATGTTTTGAAGTCATTAATAGGCGTACGGGACAGAGGGGGGCAATTGCTCTCCCAACATTTCAAAAATCAAGAAATTCGGGCAAAGTTCAGCCGAAAATTCAGACAAACTGAAAATGAGTTACATAACTAAAATTTTTTATTAATTACAACAAAATATCTACGAAGGAAAAAAGAAAATTATGTAATGTGATTTTATAAATAGACTACTTAAGCAAGATTTACCCCCGACGGGACACGCCTTGCCGACGATATTTAAAACTCTTATATGATGGGCTTGGCGCCCTATCTAAAAGACCGACAGGTAATGGAGTGCACGCAATATGGAAAGGTAGTCAATGGCCAGCAGCAAATCGAAAACTAACCAAGACCGAATATCCAAACCACAAACGGTCAGTTTAAGCGTGACATCGCAAATGACCGAGCTCCTTTAAAGTTGAACCCACCTCATCCCTTAAAGTCTTCACTAACATTTATGTAAATTGCATGATTTACAGTAGCTGATATCTATAGAGAGAGGACCGTTATATCTCAATTAGCGATGTTGGTAGACGTATATACAGGTGCTGGCGGTTATTTGCCTCTATCCTTTTGTGAGCTTAAATATTTGGAATTTTAATGGCATTTATTCATAAATATCGTTTTGTTCGACAAAAATAAACTGGCTAGGAGAACCATTACTTCTAGCCAAAATTATCCCAAAACGGCGCAAACTGATGCTCAGAAAACTGAGCTGCGGAAGACTGGAAAGAGGTATGCAAAATTCATGGCTTGCAATATATCTATGCGTAAATAAATCCACCACCTCCCCCCCCCTGCCCAACGAAGTTGCGCCCGTGCGTCTATGAAGTCATTTAGTATGCTATGCAATCTTTACGCGTTTTTTACATCAACGTTGTTTTATACATGCAGATGAGACGGGCGGGGTTTCTGCTTGACGTATTGCTTATGTTATATTGCACGTCCGTTTGCTCTTGCTATAACGAAGAATGCCTTCAGGCATCTTCTGCACCACATTTCATAATATTCGTTTCAAATTTGCACAAAATATGCCGAACTTTTGACGTAGTACCTACTCTGGCATAGTCGTCACAACTGAATTACAACAAAACGAAACAAAATAGTTTGCTCGAGAAATCTTCTTGGATGAATCTTCTTCATGAAAACAGCCAGCCACCCAAATCAAATTTCCTCAAATTAAGATCTAGACCATCTTCTCACATTCAATTAAAAATAAATGTCCTAATGTGGAATTATGATGAGAGCGGATACATTCTCCTCTGCACCAATATCACCACCCGCAGGAGAAGTGCGTATGTCACGCTTAATATGCACAAAGTATTTCCTAATAATCTCAGTGGTTGCCTGCTTGACTTGAAAAAAACTTGACTTTTATTGACATTAATTTTGAAACTTACCGAATATAAATTGGTATATTGAATGCACTGTTATAAAAAAGCTTCTAAAAATATTAAAAAAACTATACCCACAGACTATACCCTCGATCTTGCAAAAATTAATATTCTTGAAATGGATCCGAGCGACAAATAATTTTATTAAGAAGGCGATAGTTAATTTCAAAATGGTGTAAATCGCATTTTAACTTTCTTTATTTTGTTAAGATAAAGAAACACTCCGGAATAGACCAAGATGGTGCCGACATGCACCAAAGTGACTAAACCTTTTTAACTCTGGTTCAACAACAGACAAGCCTACGGCCTAAATCCCCAATTTTCCTGGTTCGCCAGGTTCCTATAGTCACATTAAACATCATAACTAGTCTGGAAAATTAACAATTTCTTCAGGTACAATAATCTCAGCGTAGACTTTAGCTAAAGCAGTAAATATTAATGATTGAACTAGAAACCCTCAGTGACCTTTAAAAGATTCCAATATTCATGCAATTTGGCAAAGTTTCAGATAACTTTAACATAAATACACAAAAATAAGAAACATGAAGAAATAAAATAACAAATATTTAGAAACAATAAGAGATAAAATATATCGCGGTCGGTACGAAAACATAAAATAAATACCAGACTTTGGCAGCTATTTGAAAATGACGACAAATTAAAATCGAATCAATCCAGTTGAGATATTTGGGCCTTCGTTAAATGCGTCAGCGCATATGACACCACATTTGGTGAGAGCTGACATGACATTATTTCCTGATCTCATGCCCACTGAATCTGGATCGTGGGAAAATCAACAACGGATCAAGACCAGCTCATCATTATATCTAAATGTTGATTTTTAGATTTATTCACACGATCCAATTTTGTTTGATCCAATTCACTTCTGATGTATGTTTTATAGTCTGTTGTCTTGTAATGTATATGAGCAGCAAATCCACTGAAGCCAATGCAGTATTGCTTTATCAATAACCAACTATATTTTATACGTCAAAAGTGAATTGGATCCAAGAAACAGTGAATAGATCCTTGAGAATAACCATACAAGATCATGAGATGATCATGAGATGTAGCTATCTATATACGTACCCTTCTGGCAAATGAGATTTCTGTATATTTATATAATGCAAAATGATTAAATTATACTGTGGGTCCAAAAAAAAGCCCCTTTGAGGCGAGCTTTTATTTAATTTAGAATGCTTCGAAACTACACACAAGGGTGCGTTGAATTAAAATGTGAGACCTTAAACAAATGGCTAAAAAGAAAACAGTATCGATATCAAACAAAAACAACGTTGTATTAGTTTGTCTTGTGGTTGGCTGAGATTGACTTAAACCTATTAGAGCGGGCAAGGCAAGCAATATATTAGTTCTTTACCCGTTGGCATTGACTATATATGTTTCAGTCACGCAATTTTAGTTCCACCTTCATCCGCCACTTAGGAAAGGGTTGCTATACAGCTACGTAAAAAAACAAATATTAACATCACACAATGAAAACCACTTAGGATGTAAATAAATGTATTATCGAGAAAGGTGCTGTGATATTGGACTGAAAGCCTGAGAGGCCTTCAAATAGACGGCAGTCTGCTAATGTGTTTGTTATTACAGCATATGCATTGAGGTTCGAGGTTGCAAAACTAGAACTTAAGTTACACTTTCAGTAACGTTGCTTAAAAATATATCGAAATTTCCAGGTGGGTAACTTCTTATTTTTTCTATAAAGATTTAACATTGGTCAGTACCTACATGACGATACGGTTGTGATTTAATTACGAGTCACAAGTGGGAAAGATTATACAAGTTTAAAAGCCTGGTTTTAATTTTAGTCGTCATTGTCATGAACTTATTAATGTGGATAATGTGTTAGGATATTGCTAATATTCTTGTGCGGTTAACAATGAGAATTTAGGTATAAAGAAATTAAAGACTAGATAAAAAATTTCTAACCAGACTTTTTCACATTTACTTCGTAAAAATGACGTGTTTACTACAATTTTCGTTTTCTAAGCAAAACCAATAAATTATTAAGGCCTTATGATCACGACAAACGATGAATATTATTCTGTTATAATTCATGATTTAAAATTGGTTGCAATACTGATTTCATCTTTCGTAATTCGTCGTATTTCGTCATAAAATATACGTGGCAATTCGTAGCATTTCAGTTTTTAACAAGGCATCATTATTTTTCATATCCTAACATATTTCCTAGATCGTAATTCGCTGAATATCGCGGATTTCATGCCCACAATTTATTGTTGTTCGTTTTCGTTTGGATTGTGATATTGTGAATTACGAAATTGTTGCAACACAACTAAGTCTAAGACCCGTTTACACTTTGCCGGATTCACATGGTCATGACTGGCATCAGTTTAAGTTGTTTTACGGTATCTCTGTCTCAAGAACCTTTCTGTTTGGCAAATCATGTTAGGATAATCATACTATGAACTTTTGGGGGAAAAAATCGCATTGACATGGCTAGATTTGATATCGTTACCACGCGAACCGTGTAAACAAGGTGGAATTATGAGTCATCCAAACTGATCTATAGCATCAGTTGCTAATATTTTACAGTAGCCTATATGTTTATTGATTTAACTTTTTGCTGTCATATTTTAATTTAATTGACACCTTTCATTGTTTAGCTATTAAATTAAATATTCAGGGCGGCAGGGCCAGTTGTATCAAGCCTATTTAGCTTAAACGGCGGATAAGTCAAAATTAAATAACACTCTTACATCTCTCTTGAACGAGTCAACTTGAATATTATGCACTAATTGTGTAGTTGTGAACAGTATATTTGTATTAAGATTAAAAACACACTTTGTTTGCTTGTTGAATAAAACGATAGAATTGATTTTTATTTTGAACTTAACCACCGTTTAAGCTAAACGGGCTTGATACAAACGGCCTGAGATGTACTAAGCATCTACGCTTAAACAATAACAGACACTTCAAAACAAATTAAACCCATATTGAATATTATGTGCGTGCATAATTTCAACGAAGAATAATGTCGCGTCGCGCGTTTCTTTGTGTTCTGTTCCTGAAATACTCTGACTACTCTATACCCACTTAGCACGCTAACATTTCTATTGATTTTTGCGTGAGTCCTTTGTCTAGAAACTAGCCGACCTGATAGTTCAAGAGCCTATATCGCTGAACTAAACTGACAGTTCCCTGTTGAAGGCCGTCTAACTGAATTCTTAGAAGGCATATTCCTGATGATTTCCGGCCAACACTTCGCACACAGTTAACATATAGAAAAGCATTATAGTTGCTCATGAACTTAGTAACATTCTCTTGCTCTCAGAATAGCGAGCTTTAGCAGTACGTGGCTAAAGTACGTGGTTCATCATAACTACAAGCATGCACAATAGTCAATAGAAGCAATCACCACCCCTGTCAGTATTTAAACATTCACAGAGCATGATTGCTTCTATTTATGGTAGCCTGCTTTCTGAGTGACGAATCATGACGAATCACACTTACGCAAATAACAATGGAGTTGTCTTTCTGAGGCCAGGTATTCTGTGTCATAACTACGATCGTAAAAATTAATGATAGCGTAAGCAAACAACACACGAAATAATAAATTTCGATCGTACTTTACTTTCTCGTACTAACTGTCAAAAGCAGTCTGCCAACAATTTTTCTCCTAAAAAGGAAACATTTCTGGGAGTGGGAGGTTCGATGGCCTTTTCCGTAAAAGGGTGTCTAAGGGCTGTTTGCCAATAGGCGGAATTTTTCATTCCCTGCGCGCTTTCACGCATAACTGTGAGAAAAACAAAGAAAATTCCGCTCCGCGCGCAAAATTCCGCCCAGTGTAAAGGAGGCTTAAGGAGCATCGCTTTCTCCGGTTATAGTTTAATTTTCGCAAGCAATATTGGCACTGCAGTAAAATTAATCGCGTGAGAGGCCTAAAAGCAAAATAATAATTCATGACCATAATTCATGAAGAACTGACTCGACTTATTTAACATGGTAAAAGTTTTGTAGTGTAACTTTTAATAGTTTAGATGCAACAGGGCATTCAATAGAGTAAAACAATCATGGAAAAGAATAAGCTTTGCATCGACAGAAATTTTAAATTAAACAATACTTTATCGTGTTTTTATTCGAAACAAAATTACCGAGGGAGCGAATCGTCCGAGGAAGGTAATTCATATAAAAATAACCTCTGGCTATATACCGCTCTGAGAATATGGTGAATTTTCTGAGACACTGGCATTGTGTAAGCAGACGTACTGCATAACACAAAGTAAACTTATGTATTATAATTTATGTATCAAATGTGGTATATAACAACTGCCTAAAATAGACAAAACACTTTTCAACGTTTCGACCTGAGGGCCTTCGTCAAGAGAGTTAGTACTAGAAGTGTTTTGTCTATTTCAGGCAGTTGTTATACCCAGTGGCGTAGCCATCAACGATAATTGCGGGGGGGGGGGGCGCATATTCATATATATATTCATGTAAACAGACTGTAAAGACAATTGATTTGAAAACCTGCGTATCACGAATATATGAATATGGGCCCACCCAATTCATCGTGCTGGCTACGCCACTGGTTATACCACATTTGATGCTAAGCTGTTTGAAGACGATGCCACGCTGCTCCCTGGTTACATTGGAATATATTATATGTATTATAACTTTTACTTTTCAAACCGAACATTCCAGCATAAAGATGAAGAACATATTCATTGGAGCAGTTCTTCTTAGCGCTCAATTATTCTTGGTTTCCACTGCTCCCATAGTTCCAGAACAGGAGAATTGTGTAGAAGGCGAACCAATGGAGGGTATGCATGGGATTGTATTTACTTGCATGAAATCAAAATAAATAGGATTAAAAGATCCAGGTTAGGTTAAAATTATGAGTTGGAAAGACTGCAGAATAATGAAGACAAGCGTCATTTAGAAAAAAAGACACCCATATTATATATGCATTTGCAATTAAACATTTGAATGTGAGATCATATTTCTTGTCTCTCCAAAAAGGGAGTGCGCCACTAGCATGAGTTAATTGAGGAGACAATATATTTAATATATTCTGTTATGCAGGCTGATTTCTATTGAAAGTGAAATTGTTTTCAAAAGGAATTAGCCAGGAATATATAAATATGGTCCCTCTTAATTAACGTTCTATTAACGCCAATGGCTACCAGAACAAGGCATTTGGAAATGGGGAAAAGTTAACCATTCAGCTCAACAACAATTAATTCGACATCGTTTGAGGGTTAATACTATAACTCACTTTTAGCAAAATATTCTGCAAAAGTATTTGTACATGCATTCTCTGCTGCGGCTTGAATGAAACTTCTTCGGTTAATTTGCATACTTCTTTACCTTTCAAATTATTTTTCAACTTACTAAATTTCATATTTTTAATGGTTGAGAACACAGCAAAACATCCAAGTATAACTTAAACTGACATCCTCCTCACCCCCCCCCCCCCCGCAGATATATACCATGAATTAGCAATGCCCATGCAAAAAACACTCCATCGAATTATCTCGTGATAATGTTACTAAATCATTTATATAGGTCAGCGTCAACCAGATGTAAACATAACCATCTTACCGTCCACTGAAATCCCTGAGTTGAGTCCAGTGGAAATCGTTTGTGATGCGGACTTGGCTCGTTTCCCAGCAAATTTAACGCCACCTGCAACGGCTCCTGTTAAAATTACCATCCGAATTGGGATATACAATGTGAAGGAATGCAAAAATAACGTTGGAGTTTTCCAATGCAATTATAGTGTGTCCAGTTTCATTCCTGGAATACCACAAAGAATTAGTTGCACTGCCTCAACAGAGGATAGGCAGTGTCGCTTCAAGACAGCTAGTATTACCATCGCACAAGGTATACCTTAAGAATTGTACTTTTTTCTTTGCTGCCGTCGTGTAGTGAGTGGTACCTTAAAGGAATTAGTTCTTATACATCATCATACATGTACGGTGGGAGACGTTCCTTTCTAAAATACTGAAAAGAAAACTAGTAGAAATTTACATAAAAACTCTCAAAAACACTGACACGGTTCCTGCGATAACTTTATTGTCGACTGCTGGCAAAACAGGTAACGAAGGTGATACACACACACAGGATTTGGGATAGAATATATATTTATCAACTCTTTTTACTGGTAGTGAAAACCCATTCTTTCCCATGCTTTACCAACTTTTGTTCATTTAATCATTTCTAGAACCAACAACACCGAGTGGAAATGTTACTTCAACAACTTCTCCACCAACAACTTCTGCACCAGCAACACCACCTACGCCAACAGGTATGTCCACAATTTTATTACACTCTCAACATTTTACATAACTTACACATGATGTACCGTCTTTATATCGTCAATTTACATAATAAATCTATATTGATGTTTGTTGATCTTTTTAGGTGACAGTGCAAGTACGCCAGGTAATTTAAGATAGAAGTGTTTTCTACACACATACGAGGGCTCAGCCTGATGTTCATGATCGTAATTGTCGTGAACTAATGTCATCGGTTGCCGATGTGAAATAGTCCCAGCCCTATATGCATGTTTTAATCATATCAGAATACAAAATACACAAATTTTCAGTTTTATCCAAGTCATCTTTTATCCAAGTTACTTAGTTAAATGCATTTGACACTCCCATCATCATTGCAATTGACATCATATAATATTCGACATCTAGCTATATTCATTTGATAATCTAAGAAAGACTGAACCTTAGTTTCAAGACTTAGCCTATTCAGTTATTAACCGATTTATCAATAAAAATAAATTATCAAATTTTCAGTGACAACGCCAGTTATCCCGCCAACACCACCAACAACAACAGCCACACCAACACCGACGGAAGGTAAAGGGTTTGACTGTTTTTTTGGTTCAAAGATTTAACATCAGAAGTTACCAAAGGCGATAAAATTTTCTAAAATGAGCAGTAAATAATTAATTTTAAAAATTAGGTCTTATATCCGGATATCGGAGTAGCAACATGCAGGATAATCCCTGTTTAAAATACTTCTTAAATCTTAAGAGCATCTTAAGAGAACAGTCGGAACATTTGACGACACCATTTTTGTTAGCTATAGTTTTAAATGAATATCAGCTGAATTTTATGTTCAGAATTATACGAAACATGCTGAAATTCAGTGTTTCGAGCAGAATACGTCTGTTTCTGCTTCTATACTAAATTATCTTCTTTCTCAATTTCATTTTTCAATAGACGGTGACAGCGATGACGACAGCGATGACGACAGCGATAGTGACGATAGCGACAGTGATAGTGATAGCGATAGTGACTGAAATTTCCAGCTGAAATAGCAAATCATGAAGTCCAAGAGAATACGATAATCATATTTTATATTCATCTATATATTCATCGTAAAATTAAAAAAACAACAATTTTTTAACCTCGAAGAAAGCATGTGAGCAAATTTGTTATTGTTATTGAAATACAAAAATATACATTCTGCAACATTTTTGGTAGAATCCAATTCGAAACCCCAAATCCAATTTGTCTAAGCCTAGGGGGCTCTTTTTAAACCTAAAACTTGACATCATCTAATAATTACTAATTGCTTCAATTTATACAAAGAAATCGTGAGACACGTCAAACAACTGAGGAAAAAGAAACGACAGCCACATGTATGCATATTTCCTTTTGAAAATTTATTCTTCAGATATGCACCCAATCCTTACCTAAGAGATGTTATGATAAAAGGGTTACTATGATAAATTCAAGCTACTCGTGGTTGTTAATCGTAAGTAACGTACATTTAAATTCGCACGTTAAATAAACCTTACAACTGACTTACAACTTTTAAACTAAATCTATCAAGCTCTGATTCAGTAATCAACACCATACGCAATTCGATATCAATTGTTGTCTGTAATCCGTGAGTTAAGGTAAAAACATCTCATCAAGAGAAGTGCCGCCATATTTTTATGAACATTTATTATACTTTCATTTATTTTACTTTCATGAACATCCTCTGGTCACCTTTTTCATTAGAGAGCTTTAGATTTGACTACGGCTCCCGCTACGGCTACGAGATTCGTCACTCTGGCGCGAAACAAACGCTTTATATGCATACGCCACCTCGTACTGGCATGATAAACCACTGCAAACACAATAATAAATTTATGTTTATCCTGTCAAATATTTTAGAAATTTTACGCCCACTATTTCGAAAAATGCACATAATCAAAGTTTATACACATCAACAATTCTTTCAAAATATTTTCTGGAAAAAAAGAGAAAATGTTAACTTTTATTGCTTTTTAATTCACGTAGCGCGAGGACTACGAAGTTTTCTTAAAATGCCGTGCTCAGATGAGCGACGGTTACGAGTCTCTGGCGTCAGTCGAAGCATCACGAATTACGAATATCACGTCAATACGACGAATCTCGTAGCGGTAGCGAAAGTCATAAGAGAGCTTTAGCAGTGACTACGAGTGCGACTACGAGTACGAGATTCGTCATTCTCGCGCGTTGTTTGCTTACGCTATCAGCCAAAACTCGTAGTCGTTGGGCTTTTGACAAATTTCGTACTCGAAAGTTCAACGACTACGAGTTTTGGCTGATGGCGTAAGCAAACAACACGCGAGAATGACGAATCTCGTACTCGTAGTCGTACTCGTAGTCACTGCTAAAACACCCTATAGTCGAATCTAAAGCTCCCTATTATAGACAAAACTGCGTCCTGAAGGGAAGACAAGTATAAAGACAACGATAAAGCAGGAGAAGTAAGGAACGTGCATCAGCAGATTTTTTCTAACACCCCTCCGCTAATCCGCAATATCCAGCTATATCTACTTAAGCAATCCCCCCCCCCCTACGTCCTATCTATCTTTGTGGCCAATCAGCACACGTAACGTTTTGCTTATGATTGCTAAAAGACACGTATCTGCATGGGACGTTTTATAAATATTATCTCTATATCTATATACCTTGCCTATAACCCTTATACACATGCTTAGTATCCTCATATGCTTGGCCCCTGCCTGCCTGTATTGTTGTATGTAATAATTAACGCATATCGCTTTAATTTTCAATCTTCAAAATGCATACAGCATGAAAGACAATGGAGCTAAAATATTAAAGCAAATGCCTAAAATAGACAAAAACACTTCTCGACAAAGGACCTGCTTCAGATAATCATATCTAAATCGTACAGAAGAATGTCCTTCTCTATTTTCGCGAGTTTTTATGCGAAGTTGTTACAGAAAGCCGCCATTCATTAGCTATATTAAAGACATTGATGCAAATTGTCATTTATGCCCTGAATGTGATTGAGGTCGTTGCACAAGTGTTCATGTGACTTATAATTTTTCTAGCAAATCTTTCATGGCAGAATTCACTGCTTAATCAACACTGCCAGTATGACTGCGTAATCAGAACCAGAATTCGGCGTAAAAGCCGCAATAATACACTACACGACGATAAACATTGTCAGTAATCCACTTAAATTTGTGGTAAAACATGTCATCAAAAGAAGTGCCGTGATATTGCACTGAAAATTGAAAATATATGCCTTCAGGCTTCATATCAACATTCTTCACGCTAATCTTTCTCACTAGAGCGCAGACTTTCAAGACTGCAGGAACGAATCTGAGGTGAGGAGTAGTTATGATTTAAGTAAAGCAAAACGACGTAATTGCCATAATAATTCATGTAGGTGAGCATAAAAATAATTCATTATTACACAGTATGGCCAAATGGTTGTCCAATATTTATAGTATATATGTCAATTAGCCAAATGCAGTGCATGAATAGAACAAGAATATAATATTTCAATGTCTTGTATTCGCAGCCGATGCGGCAGAGAGCAACTCTTCAATTCAAATGTCTTCTTGGTTCAAGAAGGCATTTTATCCTGCTGTTTACAGTATAGTTACAATTTAGCTGCGAATAAAAAGCATTGGAAAGGCTAGCTATACCTTCATTTTATTGTATTAGAGAATTTTTCCTAATTGATCAATATTTCATGAAGTTGCATGCATGCTTATACCACTTTTTACGAATATTTAATAAAAAACCGAATATTGAAGATCGCATTCGTCACATTTTCAGTCTATCCAATGATTTTTTTCTTGATAAATAAAATGCTCATTTTCCTCGCTAAAATAAAGATCCCAAATACTTTTACTGGTCAAATGTTCCTAAAATCTCCCGGCAATAAACATCAATTGACCTCATTCATCATTGCAAACAAACAACGAGTAATCTCCTGTAAACCGCGTTTTTGTAAAGTGGGCACATCCTGCTTCGTAGAGAAAGAAGATTCCATCCTTAGCGAGGTTTAATATTTCCGTTTCACCCAGCAGTATTCCTCTAATCCCTCTCCGTTCTAAATGGATTATTTTGGGAAAATAAAACCGGCAAGCCGCCATTCTCAAATATTTCAACATCGCATGTTCAACAATAGCCATATTTTTTTTCTGATAAAATTGACGCTTTTCTTGTAAAACTAAATTTTTCTAGGTTTAACCTGCTCATGTTAAGCTAAACAATCATGATGGTTTAAACATCTTGTGAATCGTGTATGAAAAACAAATCAAATAATATTATTTAATAGCCAGAACTTTATTAATATGGGTAACATCAAGCTGCATTATAACACAGTTAATAGAATATACATGGTTTGGAGACCATATAAAACTACAATGCAACTCACTAACTATGTTCAGGTAGATTTATATGCAAAAAAATGTTCCTTTCTCATCACATGTCTATTGTATTTCGCACAGATAAACCAATAGCAATAGCAATAATTATCATATTTTTCAAGTCAAGGTTGATGAGCTTAGCAAGACGAATGCCATTGGTAAGTTTGGCTAAAATACAATAGACATGTGACGAGAAAGGAACCATTTTTTGCATAAACGTGGACAATAACATAGTTAATGAATTGTATTGTATTTTTATTTAGTCTCCAAACCATGTTTATATTCTATTAACTGTGCTTATAATAATCGATTTTAAACAAATATAGGCTGATAGCCCCGATGAAAAGGCGCGGATTTGAGCTAGGATCTTAATTGATTGCACATGCATGTAAGTGCGGATTTCATGATATCCCAACTTATTCAGCTGTCTTCAACTATAAATTTAAAATAATTCGCGCCTGCATGATATTGTTAAATGAAAATCTTTGCAATAATATACAAATGCCGAAGACCCCAAAACAAAACACACGAAGGCATGACGACGGCAGGGCTATAATTGATAAGTGAAGAATGATTTCAAACGGAGTGACTTATTTTAACGCTCTTTTGATTTCCACGCCATATATAGAGAACATTTTTACACGTACGTACATGCACATAAAAATTTAAAACCTTCTAAATTGTTATATAATTAATTTTATGATAGAAGGGACCAACCCTATCAATCGTAGACTTTATAAGTAGCTATCATTTAAAAGGTTTTTAAACTTTAATTCATAGTTACGTGCGTGTACGTATATATAGCTACAAAAAACACGACAGTCGAAAGCAGCCCTAAATGTAATTACGTAACTTTAAAGGGTAAAGAAATTATCAAAATGTAAAGAGAGATTATCTTAAAGAAGCCTGTTGTTTTAATGGAACGTTTATCTTGCAGCATAAGGTCTAGAGCCGTCGCTAGACCGCCGCTAAATTGCATGGGGGGGGGGGTTACCATTCATGTTTACATGTCATAGAAGCAAAATCAAGCAATAGCGTTCAAAAGAAATCAGTCGGCCAAAATACGAATATACGCGCGGAACAAACACTCCCCATCCCCGAATTAGGCTTCTAGCTACGGCCCTGATAAAGTCCAATTGCTCTGTTTATTTAAATAAGTATAGCTATTAACTAGAATGCACATAATATGGCATTGCACACGACATACTATAGGGCTATTCACTGGCATGCAATATATACGACTGATTGTTATTCACTGGAAAAACGAGGCAAATGCCGAATTTTGTCCGCATCTTTGATGCACGAATTTGTTTTTTGAAAATTATCTTAATTTCACTTCAAGCGTTTTCTTATAACTGAATTATACAGTATACACGGAAAAATTTCCACCAAAACTAAACTCGTATTTATACATCGCAAGGACATGACAGGACTAAAAAGAGCCGCATAGACGGTGTAGTACATGAAGGATATGTAAATATCGAAAAGAAATCACAAACGTGCAAAAATTAGGAGCTATAGGTTGGTTCAGTTTGTTACCATTTTCAATCACAAGTCGGTGGAAACCAACCAAAAACGAACTGCATGCAGGGTTAGAAACATTCAGTTTGGTTGTTCTTTTCAAAATGTAAGAATTAACAACCGTGTGAAGATATTGTATTATTTTTGAACAATGCTTTCTAATACATTGATATTTGTTTTTATGTTTCCTCACCTCTTGAATAATCTCATATTTGACATGAACACCATGGCAATTTTGAACAAATGACGCACGAAAGCTGTCAAATAACTCCATGCATGTAAATAGAGTTTTTCGATAGCATAAGTGCTCTTGTCATGATATATATGATAATTTGGGAATTTCGAAGAACCCTTCCAAGATCAAATTACATGAAAATATACAGATTGGTATATAATCGATGTTTAGCCAAATTATGGGGTGACATATAATGGACGACTTGCGCTTTACTTTACACTAACTTTTGATCGAGGTAACAAGAAAAACAGATAGAGAGATCTTACTTTAATATTTAGTGCTAATGCAGAGTTTGGCTACGAAAGATGGCATACTTTGTATACTTTTGTATTACGTGTGAAAATGTTGTGGAAATGTGTAACTAAATTAGTTACAAAATGTGTAACTAAATTAGTTACACACTTCCGGCCGTAATACAAAAGTATACAAAATTCGACAACCTCGCATTGCTATATTTTCCATAATTTACAACATTTCTCAATCAAACATGGTGTTTTAACTAATTTTAGTACCTCTTTCATCAGAAATTTCCTATTTCTCGCCGGGATAAAAAATTTGTCTATTGGTCCATTGGGAAACAATTTCAATATGAAAATAATATTAGTTCACAACCAATTTTATAACGCTATATGTGGCGTTCGCTTTTATACAGTACATGTAATTCATAGAATAGCCAACATTTCTCGAACGGCAAAAAAGGATAAATTAAAAGTCTACAAAATTTATAAAAAATTCGGCTTTCGAATAAAAAATGTCAGTGTCATATTTCAAAACGAATAAAAATTCTATAATTAAAAGTGATCTCTCATTATGATAACGATCTCAGTCAATTATTTTCTACTTCTTTTAGACTAAACAGTCTTTTTTAAAGATGAAGAACATATTCATTGTGGTAATTCTCCTCATTGCTCAAGTTTTCACAGTTTCAACTGCTCCCATAGTTGGAGAACAGGCGAATTGTGTTGAAGGCGAACCATTGCAAGGTAACTAATTAACAGGGTTACTAATTAACATCCCTCAAAGCTGAATTCTTTGAAACCAAACATTTTATCACGGGAGGTGTCGACGAGTCGGGAAACATGCCGCATAGCGCAGGGCAAACCGTTTGTTCTCATACGGAATTCACTTTAACATTATAGGCCAAAGTCAACCGGATCTGAACATTACCATCCTACCATCCCGGGAAATACTTTCTCTGTGACCTCTGGGAATCATTTGTGATGCAAATGTGGCGCGTTTCCCGCCCAAAGCGTTGCCTGGTCCAGCACCTCCACCAGTGAAAATTACGATCCGTATTGGAATTTACACCGTAAAAGTATGCACAAGTAACACTGGGATCTACCAATGTTCTTATACTCTGTCAAGTTTCTTCCCGGGTCTACCACAACGAATTAGTTGTACTACTTCAACCGAAGATAAGCAATGTCGCTTCAAGACAGCTAACATTACCATTCTACCACAGCCGCCAACAGGTATGGTCTAAGAACTTAATTTGATCTTCTTACCAGCTTCATAAATTGCATTAACTGTTTTTGTTGGTATAATTGCGAAAAATTTGTTTTCCTTTCGTGCCAAATTTGAAGGCAATGATATAAACGGCGTAAGCGCTGCTTTTCAGTGTCGCGACGGTGGGGAACAGCCCTAGGAATTTTGAGTTTCTTAGGCCTATTTCAAACAATAGATAATGAGGTGGTAGACCTCATTCAGCTCATCATCATCTTATTATCTATTGTTTGAATTGCATTCGATGCGACCAAAATGCGACTTATGAACTAGGCTTTAGCAGCTTCATAAATTGCATTAACTGTTTTCGTATATTCTTAGACTCAGTATGCGCATGAATGGTGACGTAATTCTTCCTGAAAACTGATCTCATGCAGTATATGCATGGATCCCTCATTTCCACGGTCAATAATAGCATACATATTGCACATAAGGGAAAGTTACTGCAATCTGATCAATTACATGTAAACAGTAAAATTAATTTTGATGATGTTATTCAACGATATTATTCAGGCTATGCTAATTTAATATGTTCATTGACTTTGATAATACGCAAAAGACGTTTCTCGTAATAACGAGCTTTGATCGTTTCTGCAAAGCTGGACGACATGGTCAGGTTTCATGAATTATCTTGCAGCACAGGTATAGCGGTGGCTCTCTCACGCACATAATACAACGAATGCTTCTTCTTTCAAAATCCTTCTTCTGTCAAAAATGCTTCTCTCATCGCACATGCAACTGATACTTTTTTATCTTTTTAGCTGGAGTTACAACTACCAGCACACCAGGTAATATAATTAATTATATGAAACGCGTTTTGTGCTCTTATAACTGCATATCTCTCAAGGGCCACATGTACAGCAGCATTTAGTAAGTAGGGAAGGTCAATAATGTGTCTGTGAAGTAGTTTTGTTTAGTTTACATGCACGTATTAATCATTTAGTTGCTCAAAGATGGGCACATTAAGGGCATCTCAGCTGAGGAATCGAGCACATCTTAATCTTTTCAAAAAAGGGACAGCCGTCGAAAGCTCGTACTTATTACTTCAACATCCGCTTATTTTGTATTCCCCACATAATAAAATGAATAAATGCTTCTTCTTTCAAAATCCATCTTCTGTCAAAAATGCTTCTCTCATCGCACATGCCACTGATACATTTTATCTTTTTAGGCGGAGATAGCACTACCAGCACACCAGGTAATATAATTAACTCGATGAAACGCGTTTTGTGCCTTTTTATTCCTCAGCTGAGGAATCGAGCACATCTTAATCTTTTCAAAAAAGGGACAGCCGTCGAAAGCTCGTACTTAGTACTTCAATATAAGCTTATTTTGTGTTCCCCTTAAATAATTATGTAGAAGTAAGGCTGGATTTCCACTCGCAGGGAAATCATTATGGTTCGCTATCGCAATATTACATACTTTCTTTAGGATTTTAACAGCATATAAATAAATTAGTTTGACTTGACTATTCTAATTCAAAGGAATATATTAAGCAATTATTTCGCTAGTAAGTCACTTTTCTTCAAGTGAAAATCCAGCCAAAGAAAGTTAAGCTATAGTTCTTTAAAAATTTATTATACTTTTTTAGTTGCGACAACCACAGACCAGGTCATCCCTCCAATATCAACAACAACCCCTAAACCCAGAAAGAAAGGTAAAGGTTTTGGACATAAGTCAATCATGTATCTATTACTGAACAACACCTAAAGCCCCGTTTACACTACACTCGGTTTATTGTCACGGCTCGGCTAAAATGCGTACTCGTGCCCATTTCATCTGTGCACGGCCTTTTTCTTGGTAGCCTGAACAGTAATAAAATTGGGTACGGGTACAAATTTTAGCCGTGCCGTGCTGATAAATGGAGTGTAGTGTAAACGGGGCTTAAATATAGTCTTAAGGGCTGTTTACATGGTGCCGCTAAGTTAGGATTCAACGAAGCGTGAGATGTATGACTTTGAGGTATTGGATTGAGTAGATAACACTTGAACCGCTGATAGCCGTGTAGTCATCACAACAATAGCATGGTCTTGTTTCGCTTCATAAAGACTTTGCTGATACCTCAAAATTATCCCACGGTAACCGGGATTATGTTAACAACTTCTTATTCATTTCACATAATAACAAAAATACAAACGAAATACAAAGCAGGAGATCCAGTCGGGATCTTCACAGGATGGCTGATAATCCGCGCGTCTGTTCAGTAATAGGCCACAGCTCTTGACCAACCCAAATGAGAAAACTACTTTCATTATTTATAATTTCTAATAGATGATGACGACGACAGTGATGACAGTGATGATAGCGACAGCGATGATAGCGACAGCGATGATGATGATGATGATAGCGATGATGATAGCGATGATGATAGCGACGATGATGATAGTGACAGTGACAGTGATTGAGATCGATATAGCAGATACAATCACAGACCGTATACAAGTGAAATTAAAACATGGACAGAATATAATTATCAATTTCTATCATATTACCCCAAATATAATTTTTGTATCGAATATAATCTTTATATATATACTATGAAATGAGTATGCGCAAAGTATTCAATTGTAACTGCATGTGAAAATACTTAAAAATATTATTATTCGATCATTATTTTCTGGTACAATATAATTCTCTTATACAGCTGAACCGGATGTTACGTTCCTCGTCAACACTGCGATATTTCTATTTATTGGTTAATTGCCCGCAGAAAGTTGGTAGTTCTTCTTCTTCTTGCTAGTCGCTGGATGGACGACAAGCTATTGACAATTAATTTACATGATTTTGTGACTCCTGTGTTTCTTAGCTTTGCAAATTGACCGCGCTCGGCTTGGCTAATTGCCTGGGCCAATTAAAACGTTGAAATCTTGATGCACTGATTTGAAGTAGATTTTCAGAGATCTAGAACAATCAAATTTCTAATTTTTTTCTTGCTCGTAGCCAACCATTGTGGCACCTCGTTAGCCCAGACTCCAATTGCAATCGAATCATGCGCGACCGTGGTATTAAAACCAAGCGCTGAGCTTCAGTCGGTTCACCGTATTGGGCAACTTCAGACGCCACCATAGAAACTTGCATGGACACTAAAATTATAAATGCATTCGACCAAGCTTGTAAAATGTGCGCCTGATAACACTTGGCCTTTCAATCAAATACATAAATAGTCTGAATGAGTCTTTCGTTTCGCAAATATATTTGGTTTGGGTTGTTTAAACCAAATATATTTGGTTTGGACACCCCAAACCAAATATATTTGTGAAAAGAAAGACTCATGCATTCAGACTATTTATGATTAGTGAAAACGAATAGCCATTGAATATGCGGCAAGGTAATCTAGGCCTAGCAACTGTGACCTATTACTAGCTGTTCGGGGCCGCATTGACTGAGCAATCATAAATTTCGCCTGCCGTCAGTACAGATTATATAATAAACAAAGAGAAAAAGGCAATATTTAGTCTCCAAAAGCTCCAGTCCTAAAGACGTATCAATCCCACTGGTTTAATATCTGTGAGTATTTTATTCGTTTAACGGCTCAACGCTGCATTTCGCGGTCATTGTTTATCAGACTATGTATATTGACAACTTAATTATAGTTATTGTGTTCTTGAACAAGTTCTGACGCAAACATAGGCGAATGGCTACGCACAAAGTGTATAAATGGAAGGGTATCGAAATATACCGGAAGCCTTAGATCACAATTGGCCAGACATATTGTCAAAGGTCAAGGGATAAACATTAGACTGGGAATATGTGCTAAAGAGTTAATAGCTACATTTTAAAGTAACATGCAATAGAACTTCATCATGATGGAACCACTGGAAAGTTAACTGACGTGCAGGGACTCGATTATTCTGTATCACCATGACTCAGTCAAGGTGGCTTACTAATCCATTTAGTTACTGATCTTAAAAAAATTATTCAATAAAGAAATTTACGTAATATTGGTTACCTCGCCTGAAGAGTGAAGACAACCTTCCCCTACTTACCGGAAGTTAGAAGGAAACGAGCCAATTATTCCATCACCGCAAAAAAACCGTTTACGTCATATTGGTTATCTGAAGACAACCTGACTGATCTTGAACAAATTAATACAATAAAGAAGTTTATACGTAGTAATATTGGTTCACCTCACCTGAAGACAACCTTCCTCTAGTTAATGGAAGAAGGAAAGGAGCAATTATTCCATCACCATGCACTTTCTCTCTGCTGCACATCCCAATACGACTATTCAAGTATTGGGTGACGTATCAGTATACAGCTAATCCATTTAGCCTTTGAATTGAATTTAAGATTCTTCATGAGAAGCATCCATGCGCGCTCAAAGTTTATATACATATTATATAATTTTTGAACAACCACTGAAATGACTGAATGAACCAGCTGAATCTGTAAAACCTGGATATTTAACTTTTAGATGATAAACTTGAGGCTTTTGGTGTAACGTATCTGTCAAACATGCCTTTTCAACTGGTGAAATTTCAGTCCACAGTAATTTTTACTAATGATATGTTATACTATTAAATCTCTATGTTAATTTCTTTTTGAAACCTATGAAATAAACAGATTATTAAATATGACTCTTAGGTTCTCATTCAATAAAATATTTCCCACGATTTTATTTGTCCTTCCCCTGTCGGCATTATTGCCCAATTCACGCAATTACCACGTCCTGCCTCGCCACTTAACCAACACCTTCCGTGTGGCTGCGTATTCACAGCCCATATTAGGTGTGAAAACAAGAAAACATACATCACACGACAATAACTATTGTCAGAATTTGCAGGAAGAAATATTTGATGCGCCGATATTGCCCGGAAAATTTAGGATGCCTACAAATAGCCATCATCTGCACAGGTCCCTCATTCGGAGGTTCAAGCCAGCTGGGGGAACACTGAAGTCAAGTTACACGAGCAGTGTAGAACAAACTGATACGCTGCAATTATTGGAATATTCAGGTAAGATTCAAGAAACTAAATTATCACATTATAGTCAGTATTTATAGTTTGTCCGATATTTACTGCGTGTTTAAAGATAGATGTATCAATTACTTTTCAAAATATTATGTGGAATATAATGTTTATTTGGCAGAAACTGTCTATAAATGTCTTCGGCTTGATGTGGTCTCGATCTGCATGTACAGTTTGAATGTATTTGTTTCCTAATTTGTTTGGTATAATTTTTTATCAGAATGTATATGCTCCAAATTTTCACACATTATCACAAAAGCTAGGAATATTAGTAATTTATGCATCATATTTAGTGCAACATGTATGTTATTATACTTAGTGCAACACCTACCTAATTTCAATCACGATTTTGTTATCATAGTTAAATTTTTCATTTTCAACAACTGCTTTTATTTTTCTCTTCGACGTCCATTTCAATTTGCCCACATTGATTAATAAAAAAGTCCTGAAATTTTAAACCAATCATGCAGTTAATGTTCCAGAATCCAGATAAATGCGTGTTCAAATGCCACGGAAATAGACATCAATTGATCTAATTTATCATAATAAACGAACAATTATTGAGAAACCTCTTGTTTACGCATTATGAAGAGGCCATATCCTGTTACGTAGTGAAGACACCATACGAGACGATCCTCGCAATGACGATTTCATCCCTTTCATCCCATTTCTTTCATCCGTCTGTAAAGGATTTATCCTGCCTGCTCTGACTGGCTTATTTTCGGAGATGAAATTAAACAAACAGCCGTTCAGGAATATTGCGATATTGTTCAACCGATGTCAAAACCTTAATTATAATATTGATATTTGTTTTATTTCCGATCGCTGTGATTCGGCTCTTATTTCAGATTCAAAACAACACCATCTTGAACAAATATTGACAATACGAAAGGCGAAGAAATAAAGTGAATGAGTTTTTACATCTACACTGTCACGGCAAAAAGCTCAGGTTGATGCATGGAAACAGGACTGAACAATGTTGTGCTACACTGCATGAACATGGTTGTTGCCAACAAGGCTACAGCAAGTTTTCACAACTTTATAAAAACCATGTTATTAGGATGCAGCCTACCATTTTTCAATCCTGATTTTAATTAATTAATCGGAAAAAACCTGATCAATTTTTACGCGTGTATACTGTATAGCTTTCATAATGACATTACACAATGACAAGGATTAAGACCGAAGGAGCCTGTTCTATGAAGGAAACATATATGCCAAACAACATCTCGTAAACCATTGAGATATGAGTTGATAATTTAATCAGGGTTTCGAATTATACAAGACTTTCTTTTACCAACCCTTGGGTCTTGAGTTCCCAAGATGTTTATCATTACAAATAAGTTTTTTAAACATACAGGCAGACGAAACTCATTAAGATATTCCCCGAGAAGAATTATAGCTTCCGGCTAAAAGCATCGATATAACGACATTATTTTTGTGAAGTGATGAATTCACGATATCAAATAATGTCATAAATGACACAGTTTGGAGCATACAAATGGCATTCTTTGACACATAACGTCGACATTACTTAAATAATATTCACCATAATAGCCAAATACAACTTGATGACATGCCAATTTCCGCGGCTCTATAGACGTATCGTCGCATATCTACAAAGAAGCTGAATACTATTTTCCCAGGGAATAAAAACGCGGAGGCTTTGAAATTTCGAGACCAAATTATCTATGGGTTGTTCACATGAGCTCGGTTAGTCGAGACTCAACGAAGCGTGAGATGCATGATTTTGAGGTATTGAAATAATAATTGAGGTATTGAATATATTCAATACTTCAAAGTCATTTCACGATTCGTTAAATCTCGGCTATAAGCGGGATCATGCATGGAAACAACTCCTTTTGGTAAAATTAGCCTAAATTTCAAATCGAAATGAAGTCAAATATCGTCTTGTTTAAAGAAGTAGCAACTGAAGAAATTTATATGTCATATAAATGACAACAAACAAGCAACTCTAACAAGCAACACCATTGCATCTTCAAAGATATTATTCTAGATAAAAGGGGATCAGATGTCGGTGAGATAGATTCCCCACAGACAACCACAGTCCGTTCACTTAGCGTTTAATTTGAATTTGTGGTTACATGTCTGATCAATTGTTGACTAGCACTTCCGAGTTCCGGCATGCTTCGACACTCCCTCTCCTCTCACTTCGTTCACATCATAATATAACTGACGCGTTTCTTCAAGTGCGATTCTAATTTATACACTGACATGCACGTATGTCACTCACCGACGGTCGGCGATGGCTACATTGTCGGTGATGATAAATGAATGATGATAAAGTGTTTTGCTATTTTTAATCATTTTTCGTCACCGGCCACAAACAATAATACCGATCTCTATGAGAACCATGCAAGCTTTACAGCTTTGCCCTGTGTGGGCCTGGTTATCAACGGAAGTAATTTTTGACAAGTGAGTGAAGACATTGCTAATTTTTTTTAACAAGAATCTTGTCAATATTCGTTTGTATGTTTCCTATACCAACTCGAATCGCTCACATTCGACATCAAAACAATATCAATACGGACAATGCCAAATTTAATAATCTTTTAAACCAATGGAATTGTAACGGGAAGTTTAGCCTACTGTAAAAATTAGATGGCGATGTTTTTTTCAGCCGAAATCACTCGTCATATCATGTCTATAGTGTTACATGACTGTTAATGAAGATGAAAACTTAATAATTATACAGGGTGTCCTAAAAACCCAAAACTATATTGAAATCACCGATAGCAATGTAATAGTTAAAGTTTGAATGCATGCATGAGCTCCTTGTTGAGACCCATGCACAAGTGTATATAATGTTCGACACAAACATTTTTATGCCTGTTGACAGTGAAATTTGTTTCTACCATTATATATAAATGATTTATATTACCAGGAAAATGAATATTTACACTTTAAAAATATGGACAACAATATTTAAATTTAAAACTCAAGCACCGTGACCTTCGACAAGTGCCTCTTCTCTAGCAAATTCATGTCTTTAGCATTCTATCAGTTGCTTTAATCCTCACAGACAAAAATACGCGAAAAAATCATTGAAATTTTAACGATAGATGATTAAAATAGTTTTGTGTTTTTTGGGACACCTGTATAACCAATTAATTAGGTCCATTCGAAAATGTTGCATATACTCAAATCCAAACTTAATTCAATCTTTTTTTCAACTATATTTAGAGTCACTGTGATCTGCAAAAATGGTGAACATATTGATTGGAGCGGTTTTTATCAGCGCTCAACTTTTCATAGTTTCAACTGCCCCGATAGTTCCAGCACAGGGTGATTGTGTTGAGGGCGAACCATTACAAGGTATATTTACTTATCTGTTACAAATATCTAAGGAATAACCGAGTTATTTAATTGTCAATAATAACAAATCGTTCGCGTCAGTACCCATAACCCATTAATAATATTATTTAGCTGATTAGTGTTGCAAGCTTAACGCTTGTCATACGAAACACATACGAAACAGTTCTGTAGTAAATAAAATTCGATGAAGTAACTCGTGTTTCTCATCCTGTGTTATATATAAATAAAATATAATAAAACTAAGACTAAATTCCTCTTTTATAATTAGGTTTGGAAAAGCAGGGAAGCTGGTTTATCTTAACGAATTATCTTTATCGTAAAAAAAATATATTGTGTTCTGTTTAGGTCAACGTCAACCTGATGTTAACATAACTGTTCTGCCATCCCTTGAAGTACCCTTCTTGAGTCCCGTGACTATCATCTGTGATGCAGACGTTGCCCGTTTCCCACCAAACCTACCACAACCTCCGACTGCTCCGGTTAAAATTGTGATCCGTGTTGGGATATACACAGTAAAAGAATGCAAAAATAACACTGGAATCTTCCAATGTACCTATCGTCTATCAAGTTTCTTCCCTGGTCTGCCACGAAGAATAAGTTGTACTGCTTCAACAGACAACGATGAATGTCGCTTTAAGACCGCCAATCTTACCATTAAGCCAACGCCGACACCAACAGGTATTTTCATCATTCTCTCTTGAAGTAAGGGTCATGTTAACAATAGCGATATGTGCAAACCAGCAGCGCAGGGCAATGATTTGGAGGGTGAATATTCATATATTCAGTTCTGCCTGATGAATTTCTATTGTAAGCTATTGCAATTACAAAAGAAATCCGTGGGGCAGAACTGGATGAATATAAGAATATCATTATTCTCCTCCAAAAATCCTCCAAATTAACGTTCTAGTTACATCACTGCTTTCACAGAACAACCATTCACTGGTCTATTGTGCTCATGCATTTTTAATCTAAAGGCTCCGGGCCGCTAAAAAAGGTTAATACTAGTGGTGAGCCGGTTAATACTAGTTAAGTACTAGTAAGGTTAATACTAGGGCAAATACGTATAATATAAACTTTCCACTGAAACAAGTAAATGATTTTACTGAAGTTTTACACATTTTCTTGACTTCTTTTCTTCTTAATGCATGATTTTGTTCACAAAGTTTGATCAACCAGCTTGTTACAAACAGGCTTTGAATATAATACCATTCTCTGACCGAGCTTCTGCCAAAAAAACCCCAATTATCTCATGCTCATTGCGACGGCAGCCGAAATAACGTGAATTTTTCGACGTATCTCGACCACTATTAAAATACATGTTGTTAACTTTTAGCCGTAGATAGTTGTCTAAGTTGTTTGAATTAATTCAACTGCAACTTTATATATTCATTCATTTGCTTTGCTAAATTATACGTAATAAAGCATCAAACGTAGAAAAAACTATACGTAAACTAGACGAATTAACGGTTTAACAGGTTAATCGCGACAGCAATCAGCCAATGACTTCCGGCCCGAAGTTATAACGTGTGATAACGTCGTGACGTCACACGTTATGACGTCACACGAATGGCGAAATCATTCGGAAATGTAAAATAACAAAAATGCGAACGAATGAAGTTTTAATGTTTATTCTTTTAAATAAATAAATAATCATAAGCAATTATTGAGTTCAGTCTTCAAATGATATGAAGATTAAGAATTATCAAGCCTCAGTTTGCAGTTATCAACGAATCGGTAAAATTTTGCGGTTTCCCAGCATTAATGAACTTGAAAAACATACCACTACATTCCAGGTCAGTGAGTTTTCTCAGCACTAGTGAGTTGATGGAATCTGGCGTTCTCTAACAAAATTATAAGATAATTAAACCGCTAAAGTAATTTTTATATAACAAAAACGTGAAAACATAATACAAGTTAATGTAGGGTAAACTGTATGAAATCACTGCTATTGAATTTGTAAACGGTGATCTATAGATTCGGTTTGAACAAAAGGAGCAACAATCATTTAAATGAAAAAAAATGGAAGTCAAGAATGACTTAATTTATGAGTTATTAAGAGAAATTACAAGAATTGATTTTATCTTTAGCAACTGGCAGTGTTGAACAGTTTCCAAAGATGAGTGTTATAACATTTGTCTTCAAAAACGGCACCAATGGTAAATATAACATGCAATCCATATTATTCCATAAACCCAAACAGGTCAATATCATTCAACCTGACGTATAGTCATGCATGACAGGCTGACAGCACGTCAGATTTCGATTCTGACTGGACACTTGGAATAAACGAAATTTAATTTCAAAAAGGAATTAAATAGTAATGAATGACTAAATAAACTGGTGTTATTTAGTTAAAACATCGACAAACAATACACAAGGAAATGCTACTGCTTCCACAACAGTGTTTAATACGAACGGTAGGCCATTGTTTGTATCACATTTAATTTCAAGAATGTTATACGATAGTTGACGAGCAATCAAACTTGCATTAAATGGGCTGTTGTATATCAATCAACCAGTAAATAAGAACATTCTACAACACTCTAGCTATCTATAAAGTAATTTTATATGAAAGCTGAATTTCATTAAAGCAACGTTATTAACATGCATGTAGTAACGCTAGGCAACGTTAACTTCAGAAAATATATTTAAAAATTTAATTCTAAGAAGCGACCGCTTTGTGAAATAGATCAATTACTACAAATTGACTAAGTTTACATTCAATATTGTGTAGCAACAACTACGACAAACACTTCCAAAGGAAATGTTACAACTCCTCCTCCAACAGTTATTAATACTAACGGTAGGAAACGTTAACTTTAGGATTAATTAAAAAAGCGACCACAATGTGAAATATAGCTATGACTAATTTTACATTTAATATTGTGTAGCAACAACTACGACAAACACTTCCAAAGGAAATGTTACAACTCTTCCTCCAACAGTTAGTAATACTAACGGTAGGAAACTATAAGTAAATCTAAATAGGAAAGAAAATGTCTTATATATAGACTAGACTGATTGATTAAAGTTTATTAAAAATTTCAGTCCAAATGCAGGCATGCAATGACTACAAAAATGGCTGCTCTACGACTTCCAACAGAGAATGATATAGGATTAACTGGAAAAGTAGTGATTAGTTGGATGAAAAAGCAGTCATTTAGTTAGATGAGCACATGCATTAAACATCAATCCACAAAGAAAGTCTCGCGGAAATGTTTTTGTTTACTTTTCTCGACCTAGCAACTGAAATTAAAGATAGACCGCTTAAAACATGATTCATTTCAATAAAACAACTTTATGGCAATGAATAAAAAAGTAAAAAAACTAATAATTTTGTAGCTTTGATTACGCCAAACACTTCCTAAGATACACTTATCGCTACAAAACTAATGAAGCTTATTTTCAAGAAAGCATCCATGCATACACCATTACTTAATAGGCGACTATCAAACTAATATTGTGCAGTCACATGGACAACCATCAGGCATCAGCACAACTGATCTTATGCTTCTTAAGATTACTCACAAAATTTCCTTCTAACAATAGAATATTAGTTTAAAAGGCAATATTGCATACTAGCTGCTAAAAGACAAACTCTACCCGATTTCATCTACAAACTGCAAGAACTGCTAGCCATTTAGACAAAAGTTTATCATTCGATATATAAGCAACAATCTTCCAACAGCACTATAAAAATGTGCAATTATAACACGACCACTGCAAAAGAGATGTCATAGCGGTATATATAGATCCCTTAAGTATAGACCAGTTATCAGGGAAACAACAATCTTTCAACCATTGCTTGAACATATATTTTTGTAGTTCCAACTACGTCAAACGCTACCCAAGAAAATATAACAACTGTGCCTCCAACTGTAAACATCACGCAAGGTATGCATGCATAACTATGTATATACGACGATATAAATTCATAAAAGCAACAAAATAACCGTTCAATCCATAACTAATAAATTTATATTGTAGCTCCAACTACAACAATCACTTCCCAGGGAAATGTTACAACTGCTCCTCCAACACGTAAGTCAAATATAACTGTAACAATGTGGGATTTATTTTCAAAAAAGATTTAAGGAATTGATACTGACAATATTAATACAGAATGCAGTAGCTACGTCGAAAGACACAGGTGTCTAAAAAAACGGAGCGAACGAACAGTCTTTTTTACAAGATAAAAAGAGCAATCATTTATCTGATAACAAAAAAACCCCGAAATTAAAATGGAATAAGAAAGGATGCAAAACGAACTAAATTTGAAATCTCTATTTATGCTTTGATGTGTGTATATGCATGCATGCGTCTATGTTCGTGCAATGTTTGCAACCGGCGTCAATTTTTTACAAACGATTATCCAGTTGTTTGACATGAAAAAGTATTGTTGCATGGAAAGCTAAAAAAACTCCCGTATTTTGACGTTTAAAAGCCATAGACTCAATATATAATGCATTACGCCATTTAAAATAGTTTGAAACATCTGTAGTTCGCGTACTAAATCTCATAATGACATGATTATTAATTTTTCATTCATGCAGCTCCACCTACAACATTTGGTTTCCAAATATCTAACTACTCTGTCAGTGAAGCTGGTGGTATTTTGAGAGTTTGTCTTCAAGTTAGTAATTTTGATGGAAATTCCTTTTCAGGAAAGTAAGTAAATACCATGATCTCCATTTCAAATGTAGCTATGAAACAAAATATTTACGAAGAAAATGAGAAATTCATGTACTGTGTGATGTAAAATTCATGGCTGCCGGAGATGCAATATATCTGTGCATAAATAAATCGCATTACATAGCTAATTAGGCATTATCCGGCTGATCAGTTAAAATAATGCAAGACCTTTCTCATGTATCATAATGCGTCAAGCGTGGCAAGAATGACCAACGTCGTTCCTAAAGGCATCCGCACATCAGAACTGCCTCCTTACGCCCGCCGCCAACGAGAGATATCAGCTGAACTAACGACCTGGCGCGGCAGTTTGGTCGGCCCGAAAACCATCCGCACACGTCATCTATAGGCCTATCAACCAGAGTGACCCAAATTTTCAGAAGGAGGTTTGACCGAATTCATACATCAAAATTGAGACACCTGGTCTTGTTTCCCTCGCGCGAGAGTCGTGACTTTTCCCATGCATTAGCTCTAGAGTTCAGTACTACGTGAGCCTCGTAGTGGAGTTTTTCCCATGTATATAATATATCGTAAAATCAAGTTACATGCTTTACCCTAATTTCTCTTTTAACAAAGAAGGAAATAATTAATTCTTTTTAACAAAGAGCGAAAGAACGTTGGATAGTGTTAAAATTGTGTGCAATGTGGACAAGGAAAAAACTCATTTCACCAATTCTGATATGAATCATTCTATAAATTCCAGATTAACATTCAGAAATGGCACCGCAACAAGCGGAGAAGATTTCTCAGGGGAGGAGAAAACTGTTGGAATACAAAGTTTTATTCAAACAACTGATTGCGTTGATATTGATATAATCCAGGATAACAATTACGAGGGCAACGAAAATTTTACAATTGTTTTGACGTTAAATAACAATCCCAACGTTCAAATAACTGTTGGTGAAGCGACAGTGACTATCGTAGATGATGAAGGTAAACTTTAAATATATTTTATTTTGTAGACAAGTGTATAAAATTACTATGTCTGTTATATAATTTATATATACGCAGATAGATCTGTCGGGCAGAACAGAATATATGAAAAAAACCTCACTCCCCAGTTGTCATTCTAGTTACGCCCCTGCTTTAAAAAATATTGTTGAAAAAACCAACAATCCTAAAATTCAACCATGACAAATAAAATAACTCCACGCATATCATGTAATTTTGAACAATGTTATATTTAGCACCAACAACGACAAGCCCTACCCAAGTAAATGTAACAACTGTTCCTCCACCAACAGCTACTGCCACAAACGGTAAGGCACCTCACTTCAAGTTCAATTTAAAAAAAATTATATATAGATGCGGAAAATAAAAAAAGGTGGAGATAAAAGTAAAAATGTGGACAAAACTAGAGCGAAGATCTTGGTTGTAGCCTTCGCTTTGTTCATAACCCTCCTTATTGATTTACCCTGCAATGTTTGCTTGCTTTTAGCAATAACAACACTGAGAGGAATGCGATCATTATATATACGACGATATAAATTCATGAAAGCAACAACCGTTCAATCCATAACTAATAAATTTATATTGTATAGCTCCAACTACGACAAACACTTCCCAGGGAAATGTTACAACTGCTCCTCCAACACGTAAGTTAAATATAACAGTGGAATATGTCATAATAGTGGAATTTATTTTCAACAAAGATACAGACAAAATTTAAAGAATTGATATACGCGGATATATCTGTCGGGCAGAGCTGAATATATGAATAAACACCTCACTCCCCAGTTGTCATTCTAGTTACGCCCTTGCTCTAAAAATATTGTTGAAAAAAACCAACAATCCTAAAATTCGATCAACCATGACAAATAAATTAACTCCAGGAATATCACTTAATTTTGAACAATCCTATATTTAGCACCAACAACGACAAGCCCTACCCAAGTAAATGTAACAACTGTTCCTCCACCAACAGCTACTGCTACAAACGGTAGGCCACCTCACTTCAAGTTTAATTTTAAAAAAATGATATATAGACGCGGAAAATAAAAGTGGAGATAAAAGTAAAAATGTGGACAAAACTAGAGCGAGGATCTTGGTTGTAGCCCTCGCTTTGTTCATAACCCTCCTTATTGATTTATACCCTGCAATGTTTGCTCATACTTTTAGCAATAACAACATGCACCGAGAGGAATGCGATCATTATATATACGACGATATAAATTCATGGAAGCAACCAACCGCTCAATCCATAACTAATAAATTTATATTGTATAGCTCCAACTACGACAAACACTTCCCAGGGAAATGTCACAACTGCTCCTCCAACACGTAAGTCAAATATAACAGTGGAATTTATATAATAGTGGAATTTATTTTCAACAAAGATAGACAAAATTTAAGGAATTGCACTGACAATATTAATACAGAATGCAGTACGTCGAAAGACACAGGATGTCTAAAAAAACGGAACGAACAGTCTTATTTACAGGATAAAAAAGAGCAATCATTTATCTGATAACAAAAAAGACCGAATAAAATTAAAATTGAAGAAAAAAAGGATGCAAAACGAACTAAATTGGAGATATCTGTTTAATGCTTGGATGTGTGTATGCATGCATGCGTCTATAGGCAAAAAATGTCATTTTTTTCATGTTCGTGCATAGTTTGCGAACGTCATTTTTTTACAAACGATTATTCAGTTATTTCTCGCCATTATGACATGAAAAAAGTATTGTTGGAAAGTTAAAAAACTCCCGTATTTTGACGTGTAAAAGCCATAGACTCAATATATAATGCATTACGCCATTCAAAATAGTTTGAAACATCTGTAGTTCGCGAAATAAATCTCATAATAACATATTATTTAATTTTTCATTAATGCAGCTCCACCTACAACATTTGGTTTCCAAATATCTAACTACTCTGTCAGTGAAGCTGGTGGGATTTTAAGAGTTTGTCTTCAAGTTAGTAATTTTGATGGAAATTCCTTTTCAGGAAAGTAAGTAAATACAATGATCTATGTAGCTATATATAACAAAATATATTTACGAAGAAAATGGGAGATTTATGTACTGTGTGATGTAAAATTGCTGGCATGCAATATATTTGTGCGTAAATAAATCGTACTACATAAATAGGCATTATCCGGCTGATCAGTTAAAATAATGCAAGACCTTTCTCATAATGGGGTCAACACGTGGCACGAATGACAAAAGTCGTTCGTTAAGGCATCTGCACATCAAACATTTCTCTTTTTAACAAAGAACGAAAGAACGTTGGATAACTGTTTATAAAATTGTGCAATGTGGACTAGGAAAAAATTCATTTCACCAATTCTGATATGAATCATTTTATAAATTCCAGATTAACATTCAGAAATGGCACTGCAACAAGTGGAGAAGATTTCTCAGGGGAGGAGAAAACTGTTGGAATACAAAGTTTTATTCAAACAACTGATTGCGTTGATATTGATATAATCCAGGATAACAATTACGAAGGCAACGAAAATTTTACAATTGTTTTGACGTTAAATAACAATCCCAACGTTCAAATAACTGTTAGCGAAGCGACAGTGACTATCGTAGATGATGAAGGTAATGAACTTTAAATATATTTTATTTTGTAGACAAGTGTATATTATGTCTGTTGTATAATTGATATACGTGGATATATATGTCGGCCAGAACTGAATAAATGAATAAACTCCCCAGTTGTCATTCTAGTTACGCCCCTGTTCTAAAAAATATTCTTGAAAAAACCAACAATCCTAAAATTCAACCATGACAAAAAAATAACTCCACGCATATCATGTAATTTTAAACAATCTTATATTTAGCACCAACAACGACAAGCCCTACAACAGCTACTGCAACAAACGGTAGGCACCTCACTACGAAATTATATATAGACGCGGAAAATAAAAAAAAGTGGAGATAAAAATAAAAATGTGGAGAAAATTAGAACGAGGATCTTGGTTTTAGCCTTCGCTTTGTTTATAACCCTCCTTATTGATTTACCCTGCAATGTTTGCTTGCTTTTAGCAATAACAACAGCGAAAGGAAATGCGACCTCAACCACACTACCAACAACTATGCCTCCTACAACAATACCGACAGGTAGGTGACTGCAGGAATAATAATATTGAATAGTAGAAAATTATTCAAGAATTAACAAGAAATGTATGATTCATATTCATGATCACTTGTCTTTAACTAACCTCCTATTCAGGGTCTACGAGGTTGGTTTTAACATGGTCCGTAACTACTTAAAATATATATCCAAGGAAATTTTTCGATGTTTTTATAATATCGTAACAAGGGCACTTAGGTCAAAACGGCCAGTCGTTTTCTTGAGCTTCTTATAGTAAGCTTAAAGTATTTAAAACAAAGGTTTAGAATTATCAAACTTTTTGTGTTATTTAGTTGTAACAACGACAGAACAAGTCATTCCGCCAACACCACCAACAACACCACGAACAACTAAACCCACTAAAAAAGGTAACTTCATAAAAGCTAGGGAGTGAGATAGCGAGTACAATTCGGGATTAATAGTACGAGTGATGCTTCAAAATTTTGCCAAAATTGGACGAGCCGTCGGAGCGAATCCAATTTGGCAAAGTTTTCAAACATCACGAGTCAATCTTTAATTGTACGAGCAACATTGCGTGGTCATTTGTTTATTATTAGCATACTAACTAAATCGTAAAACTTTCGTAGCGCTTTCCCGAACTTTTTCACTTTTAATTTTCAATGCAAACACGATAGTTTCTTGTAAAAATACAGTCCTGCTAGACTTTCTGTCCTTTTTTATTTCCCACATATATATTTGTCGGTAAATAAATCGTACAACATAAATAGGCATTATCCGGCTGATCAGTTAAAATAATGCAAGACCTTTCTCATAATGGGGTCAACGCGTGGCACGAATGACAAAAGTCGTTCGTAAAGGCATCCGCATATCAGACATTTCTCTTTTTAACAAAGACTGCTTAGTTTGTAATTATGCAAAAACTTTCCGCCATTTTGTTTATTTTAGCAAAATCATTTGTAACTCCTGTCGACCAATCAGCATGCAGTAAATTTAGTACGCGAACAATCAGCTTATTTATGTGCACAATAAGCAGCTAATTAAACTTGAGGGTTACTGATTTAAATGGAACCCAGCAATACTATATACCATGTACAGGGTATAAAATTATATACCTATCAGCGAGTATTTCTTCCTGATTAAGATGTTCCTCCTCGTTTTTCTAATAGGTGATGGAAGTGATGATGAAAGTGATGACAGTGACAGCGATAGTGAAAGTGATGACAGTGACAGTGATAGTGAAAGTGATGACAGTGACAGTGATAGTGACAGCGATAGTGACAGTGATAGTGATAGTGACAGTGATTAAGATTAACGATCGATTGGAATTGTATAGGATTATATCAATTTTTAATCAAACCATCCTCTATCGTGGATTAACTGAAATGTTATCATGTTTCGTTATTAGCATGCATATACATATAATTATTATAATTCTTACTAAATTATAATGGAAGACATATATATAAATATGATATATATATAAATATACAAATGATATTGTAAGAGTTTTAAGCGTCAGTTAATCTGCTTGAATGGACGGCAATGCAGATTTTATACACAGTATATTGTACATTATGTCTTAGATTTTAATAAACGCAAGGCTATATCACAGATTTTAATGTGGTGTGAGCCCACTGCGTGTGAACCCGGCAACAGAGAAAATAATTTAATGTTCATTGTGGTATTAAAAAAAAGTTTAAAAAAAGAGTTAGTATCGACTTGAATTGCCTCTTAAAGTCTCCCATTTCTCTCAATAGTTATTAACTATTATAAATATGGTCGATCAAAAAGATTGCTTCAAACACACTAAGCAACATCAAACACATCGCTGCTGCCGCGTTGTCATGCACAGTGAAATTGGTGGAAATCACGATGCCGTTTCAGCAACTAGAGCAGTGTGCAACGTTAAAGGCCACGTAATTTACATTTTTTGTCTTAAAGGATCAATGCCATTGTTGATAAGGACGTTGCAGGTTGCGGTTGTATTTCCCAAACTCTCTAACACAAAGGGCGAGCATCTTCCATGTATACAAATAGCTTCTTACTGAACAGACAACGGCTGAATATAGGCTATTGTAATCTTATTTGTTTATACCCACCTTGTACACAATGTTCCTGGGTTTTCATGTTCTTCAGAAAAAGAACTCACTCATTAGACCACTATTTTCTTGTTGTAACTTCAGCAAATTTTCAGACTTAAACAGCCGTTCACCTGAAGACTCGTAACAGTTCATACGATGCCTGAATAACAGGGAGCAAATATGAAGTGAAGTGAATTGAATCAGAATCATTGAATTAAACGTCCCCAAAATCATTAACACTTTGAAATACTTGGATTATTGTAGTTATACAATTACAACGTAGCATGTTTAGGGCAAGTCATGATGTCAATTGGGGAATTTTACTGAGGTACTGTATCACACTTTATACAGTGAAAAACGCAATTTGATTGGTCAATAGCCGTACAGGATCAGGCAATCCTGCACGAGCAATTTAAAATCACTCGTGGGATTTTCGCGGGATTCTCGAAATATCGTTGTTTCACTTAGTTATTTTATAAAACAATTACCATGCATGCAAATGTTTTTTGGCGTCATCCATACACTCGGGATGTTGCTCGACTTTCGAAAATCCTGCATGGAAAACCATTTGGTAATCCTTTCGTATCATGCGAAATACTTAAGGCTTTACTTAAAAGTAGAATTGTATTGCAAGTTGCATGAAAAATTTCACCGTGTAACAGGGCCTTTAGTATAAAAAGTATTGGTATCCTTTTACAAACATTAAAACCTTCGATATTTTGGATTATAAACCCAAGTTTTTATACGTATATAGTGCTCGGTAAAGCAACAAGAACCCACCAGTGAAAGTGTTCCTCGCAACAGAGAATATTTGTGATGGACCTAAGCCCGCGGTTTGACCTGTTTTAAAAAACGTGTTAGTATGCGTTTTGCCAGTTTTCAATTTTGGTTATATTTTGTACTGTACGTTTGAGGTGAATTCTTACCAAGTTGCATTAACAAGTGAATACTGTTTGTCGAAAACCTTACTCAGACATTGAGGACAGACCAGAAGTTTATCAACATCCACAATACTACATGAGGAGTTGGAGCATTTCAACTATAAGTCAAAATAAGATAAAAATGTGTTCAATGGAAAAATACATTTAAATGTGGGGGCTAGAAAAACAATAGTGAAATTTGTAGTAGGATAAGCGAATACAGTTAGTTTTTCTAGGAAATACAGCAATAGAATACTACAATATATTGTAATCCAGGTGATCTATAGCGTTTAGTAGTATTTCAGCCAATCACCGCCCAAAAGGTTGTTGAAATAAAATCCATTTTGCAATATATTCAATCGGTTATTCTTTGTGAAACAAGTCAAAATTTTCTGACAATGTTCAGCTATAAGAACTATATAATTATATATATATATAGCTCTGACATAAATTCGAAAATAAAACGTATATATTACAAGAGATACTAAGTTGAGATACAAGAGATACTAACTTGCCCACTATTTCAGATGACCGGGATTGAATGCAAAATTTTCACTTACTACTTTTTGCAGTTTATGCGAATAAAGTCTTTTGTGTGTCGGAAACTTTAGTAAGTGTTCAATTAAATGACCGCGTCCATCACACAGAGTTACTCTAATGAAAGAAAGAAAAAACCCTTTAAATATAAAAGCAATATAGTATAAATATTTTCATAATTATAAATATTTAGTATAAATAGTATAAATATTTTCAAATCAATTTATGGAATATAAGGGATAGTCTATATTCGCTTTACTGATTTCTCAGTTTAAAACTTCGTCTAATATTTAATCGGGCCCATTTTGGGAAAACATGAGAGAAAAGTGTACATCTGGGACTGGTTGTTCAAAAGTCGGTTAGCTTAACCATGGGTCTTAGCAAATATTTACATCAATTTTTTAATCGCTTGTTAAATAAATATATTTTCTGGACGGTCAACAGCCATAATTTGTAAAGGTTTAAATAAGAACAGCGGTACAAAAGCATTTAAACCAAAACAGAGGATTACAATTTAACCCATGCAGGGTTAGTGCTAATCCAGTTTGAAAAACTGACTTCACCTGGACGAATAGGTAATAAACCAAATAGTTAATCGAGGATAGAATACATGAATTATGCGGACTGAGTGCTTGTTACCTTACCGGCATTCGAAGCAGAATGCTAAGTTCGATGTACTGCCACAGTCGATGCAACTGACATTCTTTAAACGTTTTAATTTTCTACACCTAAAAATAATATTAAATAATTGTCCACAAAATTATAACCATAAATAACCCTCTGAAAAGTGATGATACCTACTGTACAGAAAATCTGGCTTTACAAAATGATGCAAAAACTAATTGCTAATAATGCAACGAGTAATACATGTTGTACATACTGTAAAAATAGGTCTTGAATATCGGCACTTCTGTGACTTGTGTTCTAAAAAATTTCAGACGAAATACAACTTAATACAACTATTAAAAACAGCGAAAAATGGCCCCTAATTTTCTCTCGCACAACACATCGTTTTTCGCTGTGAAACGTTGATTGAGATGTCAACGAGAAACGTTGACTGAGATGAAACGAGACTGAGATGTTTGTTTAGGGTTTCAAAATTTATTAATGCTTCTACAACAGACTGTTTTTTTACAAATAATTCACTTCGCTTTCGGCGAATAATTATTGTTAAACACTGAACGCGGAGTTTCATTCCCTTCATTGACTCTAATTATTACAACCCGATTGTTGCTTTCCTTAACACGTTTTTTCATATAAAAGGCTAAATCCTGCTAATAATTGTTACAGGTATCTCTAAAAGTGAATGTATCTTTGAATGTATCTTGAGTCAATAAATCGGACGGTTTGTTGAGCACGATGTTAAATTACAAAAATTTAGAAGCATTTGAAATATCCCGTGGGTGTACGTGCGTATGAAAAACACGTTAGTGAACAGCAGCCTTGAGGGAAAATAATATACGCCGGTAAGCATACAGTGCAAATATTTTCTCACCTCAACATGAAGATGATGGTATTTCTTTCTCTCAGCTTGTGGAATGGTGCAGTGTTCTGTGAGATGACCTCGTCTGTTACACCTGGAACTAAAACAACACAGGAAGCTGAGGACAGGGAAATATTCATGTCAAATATGTACATGACGTTTCAGATTCTGGATTTCCACTTGCAGAGAATCATTGGCTCGCTAGCAAAATACTTTGCTTATATTTTTCGACTTTTAACCGCTTAAATGCACATTCAACTTGTCAGTTCAACTTGACAGTTTTCAATTCAAAAGAATATATCCAAGTATTTTGTCAGTGATATGCAGTCTTGATATGTTAAGTGTAGTAAACTGTACCATGAATATGTCGTTAAAGCAATTGCGGTGGGGTCAAGAACATTCTCTGAGGTTTTCGTAGTTCCTTCGACATTGGGCGATCCTTTTGACACATTTCTGAAATAGAAAATCTATAATTATGAATCTTGAAATCTCCTGAAAGATCTCGATTCTTAAAATTCGTGTCGTCGAACAGTATTGTATACATATTCATATAATATACGTAGTTATAAGCTGTTACGCAATCTGATTGGCTGATCTACTCACATGCAGTATGTCAGCTCATATACGGTGGGTAGTGAAAATAGACATTTATTACTGTGAGAATTTGGGATGAGAATTTGTGAGGTGATTTTACTATACAATAAGATTCTGACGATAGCATAAAAATTAATAATAATGTAGCATTCGCAGTTGTCATGGCAGACATAAATGTAAAAGAATCAGATCATGCACGACTCGAGTTCGTGGTAAAATTATCCCCATGAGTAAAAAAATTACCTCATTGTTGCATCATCGGACTCTTCTGGAGAACTCTATAAAAACGCAAATATAGTGATCACTATTAGTCTATAAAACGGTGTGTTATATAATAGTAAACAGCACGCACCAAATATATGATAGAGTATTCGTTTCCTAATAGCCGTAACACCTACGTACATATAAGCTAATTTAGCTAACACAAATTATGAAATTCTGTTCAGCGGATTAAAAGTTTCAAACAACATAGAAACACAATGGACGACTTAGACTAATTTTAAATCGGAGTATATAATCGTCTAAAGCGCAAGTCGTCCATTGAAACACACCTGGCCGTTTTGTCCAGTAGACAAACCAAAAAAATCCATTGTCTCGCTTTCCTTGTTGTCACTATCACTACTCTCTTCTTTTGATAAACTAGGATTGTTATCCTCATCTATAAAAAATTAAAATCTATCTCTCCAAACGCATTGGATAGGGTGCAGTATGTACACTGTCTATAAGGAGTGCTAATATTGGTCTAATGCATTTAAAAAAAAAACACGCCAGCAGCATGTACCTCCGAGTATTGTATCGTCCCAGTGAGATTGATAGCAAGTTTATGAAAGGAATTTCTGGGACCGGTTGTTAAGTCAAAATTAAATAACACTCTTACAACTTTCTTGAATGAGCCAACTAGAATAATATATACACTGAATATGCAGTTGAAAAAAGTATATCGTTGTATTTAGATTAAAAACATTTTGTTTGCTTGTTGAATAAAACGATAGACTTGCTCTCTATTTTGAACTTAACCACCGTTCAAGCTAAACGGGATTGATATACAACCGGCCCCAGAACGTTCAGTAATAATAACTAATTATTTTCACCTTGTTTCAACCATTCCGGCAGAGGTAGAGCTTCTTCCAGGGTTTCGTTCACAACAGTCGGAACTGGATAATGTGGTCCATCTTTCTTTTCTTCTCCATTCTGTCTGTTTCGTTTCTTTCGTCTTTTTCTTTTCTTAAAGATATCGACCTCATCTTCTAAACAATAAGACCAACTTGTGAATTATCGCCCTAATGTGACAGACGCGCGGTGCATGTGATAAATGTGATTTCAAAGCAGTTATAGGAAGAGGGAGAGGAATCTGAAAATCATTTCACTTCCTACAGTGAAGCAGAGCCAGAAATTGCATTTCTGAGTATTAATACTTGGATTATGACTTCATTTGACCATGATAAGAGACTTTTATTATCACATATATCACTATAGCGGGAATTTGTCTTGCGAATGAAAATAGTTTCGTCAGATAGCGTAAACAAACGACACCAAGCTTTGGAGAAAGAAGACATCTTTCAATATCTGGCCAATTTTTTTCAGCTAGCGAATGACTAATTAGGTATATCAGCGAGGTGAACGTTTTGTTTTAGAACAAGACGCCTGTTCTGGCGTTAACTCCGGCGTGCCGCGCACGTGCCAGTCTTCAATATAAAGCTTCTGAACATAAACAATACAGTTCATACTCATTTAGATGCCTTGCGAACCTAAATGTTATTCGATCGCGAAATTCAGAAGCACATCGTACTTTAAAAAGTATAGAAGTTCAATTGTTCAAAAATGTACCAAGAAAAAAACAAAAGAAAACCAAGGCGAATTTTCAACTCCGTCACTCACGCCGGAGTAATAATGAGAGTCAATTCTTATAAGAAATTTAGATAGTGTTGGAAAGTAAAATAATGTATATTAGACATATAACCAATTAAGCGACCGAAATGCTCAACAGTATAAAAGTGCCCAAAATGTATATGCACAATAACTAAGTGATCTGAAATGGCGGAATAAATGAAGATCGAAATATACTTTCTCGGTTAAAACAACCTAAAATCTCTTGAAATGCACTTTATTACGGTTTCAAACTTACGTCAGAGCTATATAGTTCTTATAGCTAAGCATAAGTAGCTACAAAATTTCGACCAGTTTCATACAGAATAATAAAATATATTATCGATTAAATTCTATTTTGACAACCTTTTAGACGTCTGATTGGCTAAATATCAAAATAAGGAGATCACCAGGAACACTGCATAATATACTTTATAACATAGCTAGTCAACGTATATAAGCTATTCCGCAATCTTATTGGCAGGGCCGTAACTAGAACGATAATTGGGGGGGGGTGTTTATTCATATATTCGCAGTTCTGCCCGACGGATTTCCATTGTGAGCTATTGCACTTACGGGCAGAACTGAGTATATGAATAAACACCCCCCCCCCAATTATCGTTCTAGTAACGGCCCTGCTGATTGGTCGAGCTACCCACCGTACATCAGCTCATATATACGGTGGGTAGCAAAATCAGAGAAAAAGCAAAATGGCTGACCGGTTTGCTGAGGTTAATCAAGAAGAAATTGACAGAATTCTGCAATACTTTTATCGCTCAACAAAAGCTCTTGCTCTCGTCGTATATCGCTGATAGATGACTCGGCGCTATGCACGGTGCTATCGGCTCATGTACGACTCGAGCTCGCGCGGTATAGCTAATTGTTTAGTATTACTACAGTGTAACCACCAGATGCTAAATAATTCGTATACCTTGCTTTCTTTTGATTTTGCCACTTTCAAGGGAAGCTTTCGTGATTAGATCACCATATAGGGCACCCAAATTATTTCCTAAAATTTGAAAAGGTGAAAACGTTTAAATATGTGTTGTGTGCTTAGATCAAAGACTGCCATACATATGGCAAATGCTGTACATAAAAATTACTGTCAAAAATAGACAAATATATTCTTTGACGTTTCAACTTAAGGTCCTCAACGTCTTACATCGCAACGTCGTCTTTTTAGGCAGTTGTTATACCACATTTGATGTGAAGTTGTTTGAAGAGTAAAGACGCTGCCACACTGTTCCTGGTCACATATATGGTCACTACAGGAAGATCAGCGTTTTGAATCGTCTATTTACACTCCGCACTCCGTACTAACCTCAGCAAATCATTGGTATAAACGTTTTCACTTATGACAGGTATATATTTAAAATGTGCAACTTCAAGGACAAGATAGTAGGTATTTCGAATTTTACAATATTTCGCAATGAGACTTCAGAATTATACTAAATGAAGAATGCTACTTCCAGATGAATTCAGTAATACGTATTATATAAAAACTACAATGAAACACGCAATTTGATTGGTTCGTAGGCGTGCAGTATGAGACAATCCTGCACGGAAAGTTTACAATGCCGGTTTGCGCGGGAAATTGCGCGGGAAATTTCACGCTTTCCGAAAGTCTCGAAATCTCCCGCGTGCAGTATCACGCAATCCTGTACGGAAAACCATTTAGTATTCCTTTATTCCTGTACTCAAAATTGAACTGGCTTTACCTCGTCCAAATAATCACTTATATACATAAGATCATATATGACCCAGGAAGTAGCGTTTTGTATATATTCACACAAAAATTAGCTAAGAGTATAATAGTGTGCCAAAAACGAGCAAAATACACAAGGTCTTGGTCAAGAGTTAGCTACTGACTATGACGGGACTGACTTCATGTAAGTCTTAGGCTAAGTGTAAGTCTTATTTTGCACGTCAAAACAATTAAAGGTTTTCTCTTATGTTTCAGGGCGCTGACAAACCGCATCAACTATATTTACCATGCTTTCTTGAAACTTCTTCTCTTTCTGCTTGTCCAACATCACCAGTCGCTAGCTTATATGCCTATATATGTATGGGGGAAAAAGTATCAGTTTACTGGCTGTAGTTTTGCATATTTCCTTGGTACGTATATGACGAAGTTGTATTACTGTATTTTTTGGTCATGCTTTTTAATTAAAGGATTTTTCTCATCGCCAATACACAACAATGTAAATTAAACAGTCAATGTAAATTAGACTTTTATACAGCCTTTTGAGTGTTCTAAACATCACTTTAAAATGTTACTGATTTATTAGAGACCTTTAAGATTGGCGTTTACAACACACATATTTCTAACTGCAAACGGTAAAATTCACTTGCAATTTTGAAAACAAATACAAGACTTTTGAAATCTAGAAAACAGGTGTACCCTAAACATGAAGTAACTATACTAGGGCTGATTATGAGAAAGTGATATAAAATCTAAATCTTATTGTGACTTGAACTTATCTGGTTGTGCTTCGCTGAATTGGTGAAGCTATTGATTCTAATGGGAAGTTGCCAAATTCTTACGCATATACCTGTAAATTTCCAAGAACCTTGGATAACTTAAACTCTTTTCCATCTGAAAAATAAAATAGTTTATTTAGTTCTTCAAACTGTATTTGTTGGTCAATTCTAGATTTTAAATTTATAAGATTTATAACCAAAAGTCTTTGTCTGGAATCAGTATGCAGTCATTTATGTATTTGGCCAGTCACATTTTTTAAAACTTGATTGGCCATCAAATCACTTAAATTGGTACTTGATCAAATTTACCATATGTAGAAAAAATTCATTCAAAAATTAATAACATAATTCAGAGGGATTTGGAATAATAGAAGGATTATAACGGCACAATAGAAAAGCTGTTAATCTAAAAATATATGATTTGGTTATGAATTTGTAAAAATTCAGTATATTATAGACCGGATAATAACTATGTAATTTTGGAAGCCAAAATGAAGTTTACCAGCTAATTTGACCAGAGTAAAGAGACACTGTATCATGGCTGTTATTTTCATGATTACCCTAACAACTGTTTGTGTTCAGACTGTAGAGCAGGGCATATTTTACTAAGATCTCGAACGGAAAAAAAAGCTAAAAAATAGGAGGGAAAGGGCAGGCTCATGTGCATTCAAGGGCAGGAGAGGTAGGAAACAAATACAGTACAGCAATTGATTACAGATGATAAACCGAGTGCCAATAACAGCCAAGGTAATGAATTTTGTCCTAAATGATGTCTCTGACTCTTACCACTCAACAAATATACAGACATTAGACATACAGACTGGGAATGGTGACAAAGGTGATTTCCAGCTTTCAGGTTTTTTTTTTTTTGGGGGGGGGCATCATGTCTATGAAAAAAGTACTTCAAGGAAAACATTTTTTTCAATGTGTGATGCCTCATTGTGCATCGCCCTACTCTAGTGCAGTCTGCGTCAGTGTTTAACTTTCCTGGCACTCTCATATCAAGTCCATTTGATAGAACATGTTCTTAAGCTCACTATTTTTTTATAAATATGTTTGTTAACACTAAGTATTACGACCTAGCTAGGTATGATGATTGATAATAAGCCTTCTAATTCCTAATTAATTCATTTTATAATAATCTAAATAATATATCATATAACATTTGCATTATAGTTCACCCTGAAAATTTGTAGTTAATTATTCCCATTGTAAGTTGCATAAAGTCGAACAGAGACTTACAGAGTTATATAAAACAGAGGCCGTACTCTCGACAATATCTTTTTTTACAAATATTCTACATAATGGCATATTGCATTTAATATCCATACACCCCCTGTTGAGGACAAACTGCAAACTCCACCCCCCCCCCCATGGATTTTCCTTTAGAAATGGTTTTTTTCTCATACCACCCTGGAATTCCGTGGCTAATATTCTTCCAGCCCCTGGAATATTTGAATATTTCTTGTTTCACCCTTGGAAATTGTTATTTCTAAAAGAAGGTGCCTGGAATTCCAAGTGCTTCTAATATAATCCACTGTAATATAATTCATTCAAGATTTGTGTCAGAGAAGGTTTTAAGCATTTTATTCCCAATTCTGTATTTCTGTTTTGAAAACTAACCCACTGGAATTTTTGTCGTACATCCCTGATTTTCCACCTAAAAACATTTAACTGCCCCCTGGAATTTCCATTTAACTTTCTTGTTATTTTATCCACCCATTGGATTTCCCAGTATAAAATTACCTACACCCCCTTGGAAATTCCATCATAATTTCCGTTATTTACCCTACCCTCTGGATTTCCATCCTAAAAATTAATATACAACCCCTGGAATTTCCAAGGTCCTCAACAGGGGGTGCACGGATATTAAATGCAATATGCCAATACATATAAATGAAATACACTTTATATAATGTCTGAACTTACATATAAAAGCTGGTGTCTTCTTATTAATTTCCGAATTCATGTCACACACAAATTGACAATCATTGTTGACGTGACAATACAAATGTCACAAATAAAATGCAAAGACTATGATGAAAGTCATGATACTGATAACTGATTACACCGCCGCCATTTTGTTTTTTTAACCGAGCAGCAGACTGGGGTAAGTATGAATAACCTGGAAAGTTGGAAAATAAATCCATCCATTACCTTGGGTGGACCGAATGGAGCCATTCAAAGTCCATGCAAACCGTTATTAAATATCAGGAAATTCTAGATCTGTTGTATGGATCCTCAATAAACTCGTGGAGATGCCCTATGGAACCAGATTGATGTCCTTATGCCTGGTTTCCATTCAACCAACTCATTCTACCTCGTACCCTTCAGGGGCCGGTTGTATCAAGCCCGTTTAGCTTAAACGGTGGATAAGTTCAAAATAGAAATCAAGTCTATCGTTTTATTCAACAAGCAAACAAAATGTTTTTAGCCATAATACAAAGATACTGTTTACAACTACATATTCAGTGCATAATATTCAAGTTGACTCATTCAACAGAGTTGTAAGAGTGTTATTTAATTTTGACTTATCCACCGTTTAAGCTAAACGGGCTTGATACAACCGGCCCCTGGAGTTTAGGGTCAGGCGAGGTGGCTAGCCGGGATAACTCGCTCCATGTAAACATAATAATTGATCGTATTGTTGTAATCACGATTAAATGGCAAGTGATTTCAAGCGGAGCCCAGGCATTAACCAAATGCACGTCACGCTAGTGCGCATACGAGATCGAGAGATATCTACCTCTTCTATGTTGGCACGCTCGAGATGGAGAAATATCTACCTCTCCTATTTTTGCTGTACGTTGCATGATCGCGAGTCACCAAAGTCGTTCATATAAGACCAGCGCAAGAGCCATCTCCTAAAGGCGCTGTCGCGCTGTCACTTACTCTATGATGGCACTTTCCTTGCAACTTGCCAGCAATTATAGGTTTCAGGGATGTTAACTTGCAAATAGTGATCAAAATGCTGAGAAAACGTTAGCAGATCGTAAGAAATGTTCGTATTTGACAACTTAATTTGGATGCCCCAAAAGTAGAATTGCATTGCAAGTTGCAAGAAACGTGGCGAAGTGTAACACCGCCTTTACGCTACAAACCTAAAACCTCAATCTCACAACGAGGTCAACGCAGAAAGCCTAGTGTTACATGACGTTTGATTGAAGCCTTAGTTTTACTCAGCCAATCAAACTTCGTTTAACATCAAGCTTTTGCGTCATTAGGGCTGCTTGCCAGTTGCCACCACTTTCCACTGCTTCACACTCATTTCGCTTTCGGTATGTTCCCTGAAAGATACATTAAATTCCAGTCCTGTAGGAAAACATTTAGACGCGTGGAATCTCGCATCAAAATTTGCAAATTTCACAACAACAGATAAGGGAAGCTGCCTTAGGATAACTCTAAATTACAGTTCTGTTAGTTCATTTAGCATAACAGTTCTGATTCTAAAATTACATAATTCAGTTCTGCCATCATGGCACAAATATAAACAAAATCATTGTTAATAAACGCACATGTTAATATTTGGCAATGTTTCTATCTTGGCTAGCAAAAATTATTTTCAGTGAATTCATTCTCAGAAGGTTAAATCTTTGTGCCTTACATGAAATTTCTTATGCATTTCAATGTTGTGCTGTCATGATAAGCCATCTCCCAGTGTATGATCTTTATATCTCTTTTAATTGATCCAGGGTTGTCCAAATTAACACTGTGCCGAAATCTCTTACAAACATTACATTTATAAGGTTTCCCTCATGTGTGTGCTTTTTGTTTTGCAAAATTGCTTGACTTAAAAAACTGCAAAATTGCTTGGCTTAAAAATCTCTTCGCACAAATATAACATTTTATTCTGAGGTGTCTCACCAGTGTGTGTATTTTCTTGTGTAAAAAAACTACTGTCAACTGAAAATTTCATCTTACAAACATCACATTCATAAAGTTTCTTCCCATCATGTGTTCTTTGATGGATAGCCCAATGACCAACCCATGAAAGTGTCTTCTTACAAACATCACATTCATAAGGTTTCTTGCCATTGTGAATTCTTGGACGGATAGCCAAATGACCAACACTAAAATCTCTTCTTACAAACGTGTATCACATTCATATGTTTTCTCTCCAGTGTGTGTTCTTTGATGTCTCACCAAACTACCAACCTGTGAAAATCTTTTCTTACAAACATCACATTCATTAGGCTTCTCTCCAGTGTGGGTTCTTTGATGTCTAACCAAATCACTACCACATGAGAATCTCTTCTTACAAACATCACATTCATAAGGTTTCTCTCCAGTGTGTGTTCTTTGATGAGTAACCAAATTACCAATCTGTGAAAATTTCTTCTTACAAACATCACATTCATAAGGTTTCTCTCCAGTGTGTGTTCTTTGATGTCTAACCAAATCACTACCAAATGAAAATCTCTGATTACAAACATCACATTCATAAGGTTTCTCTCCAGTGTGTGTTCTTTGATGTCTAACCAAACTACTACCACGAAAAAATCTGTTCTTACAAACATCACATTCATAAGGTTTCTCTCCAGTGTGTGTTCTTTGATGTCTAACCAAATTATTACCATGTGAAAATCTCTTCCTACAAACATCACATTCATAAGGTTTCTTTTCAGTGTGCTCGCAATTTCTTTCTCTTCTTGCTGCCTTCAAGCCGCTCATTGCCTCACTATGAACTCAAAGACTTTGAAAACACAAGATATATGAAAGATATCCAACAACAAAGCCAAAGGCGGCATCCAAACGGCAAGCGACAAATCCTAACTTTTTAATACTGGATCATTTTATAGATGAGTTTCATCCCTCAGTACTGACAGAAAGTATTAGCAACGATATATTGCTGCTGTGAAATGAAAATAACGGCGACAAGAGAATAATTCTCCACTTCGCGCGCTAGAGTGTAATGATTAAATGAAAATCATCACGAAACCGCTGTTCGTTTTACAAAACTGACCTATGTTTACTCTGTTTGACTGGATTATCATCAAGTGTTTGGATTAGGCCACTACAGTGGGCCACCAAAACACGGTAAAATAACAACCACAAGGTAGTGTTCTACGTTTTATGGTTTGTCCAGTGTTTGTCTAACTTCTTAAGGCAATATTTGTCATATAGCAATGCTATTAGAACCAATGAAATCTAATTAATTTAAGCTTACCCAATTTGTTTTTACAATTTCAGTGATCTTTCTGCTGGACTTCTATCCAGATAGCTTTCGTTCACAGCACAATATCTACACACAGCCATTATAAGCCAAACATAGCCATTATAATCCCCCACTATCCGCAACACACCCCTGATACATGACCCTTGAGTCCAGTGACGTAACATTTTATGTACACACACGTGCAACGTGTCACCCCCTTTTTGATCACGGCCCATTGTGCGATCGCAAGCTCCACTGTTAAGCGCCAAATAAAACTTTTGAAAAAAATTACATACCTTGACAAAATAACTTACCTTGGCAATTGTCTACTTTAGTCTCGTTTACACTACATGTACACTCAATCTATGGGCAATGCATGACAGCCATGGCTAAAATGGTAACGTGCCTATTTCATCCTTGCCCGGCCTGTTTGTGTAACTTAGCATCAAATGTGGTATAACAACTGCTTAAAATAGACAAAACACTTCTCGACGTTTCGACCTGAGGGCCTTCGTCAGGAGAGTTAGTACTAGAAGTGTTTTGTCTATTTTAGGCAGTTTTTATATCACAGTTGATGCTTGGTTCTATTGGTAGTATGAGCAGTGAGCACAAGTGGCGGCGCCAGGTCTGAAAATTTGGGGGGGGGGATTTGAGGGGCAAATTAATATTTTGGGGGGCAAAATCCCTCAAACAGAAATCCATAAACCGGTGTGTAATAATAATTTTGAAAAAGGACTGCTGTTTACTCATGCCTTTATGTTTTCATTACGGTAGACAACCATTCCCTTTACATTTAATTTTTATTATTTACAAATATCAACTTCGTTACAGTTATTAATCAACAATGTGAACAGGGTTGCATAATTATTACGTACCCCTTGTAAACTTAAGAATCTAAAATACACTTATATGTATATAATAATTTTCAATGTAATTTAAACAAGTGTAATTCGGCATCTCGGAGACTTTTGAATAAACCTATCTACAACCTCTTCCAAATCAAATTTTCAGTGCTCCTTTTCTATGAATGCTGATTACTGCATGTTATGAATTTTAACCTAGAATTCGCCATTGTCGTTCTTAGGTGGTTTTTGATTATTTTTAATTTGCTAAATGATTTTTCACAGCCCGCAGTACTAACGGGGAGGGTCATAGCAATCTTGACAGCTTTACAGAGCTCCGAAAATGCTAAGTTTAAAGGGTTCAAGTATTCTGCAAATTCATCGATTGTTTCAAAACATTTTCCTGACTTCTCAAGCATTCTTTTAGCCTGTTTTGTTTCCATTTGAATATCTTCTAAGTTTAAATTGTAATGTCTAGCAAGCGGTGAAATCCTATGAAAATCTATAAATGCGTTTGATGTTGGATCTAGGCCTGAAAGTGATCGAAATATTACAAGATTTTGTTCGCTGAAACGCCTTCTGAGCTCACTTAGAAAAACCTCTATTGTAGGATATAATACTACTCTTTTCGGCATATCGGACGATCCTGAAATAGTGTCACGTTTTCCGAGCGAAGTCAAAATTACAAAATCATCCAAGTTACTTGGAACCGTTTTTTGTCGCAATGTTTGAGCAACAACTTAGATTACTTTTTTTTGCTATATCTAAAGAATTTTCGAAATAATCGACGGATTTCTGATCTGAGCGATATGTTTCTAGCTCTTCAATAAGAGATTCAATAAGATCTGCGGCTTTAAGGAAATTAAGCTCGGAATTTTGGAGCGTATCAGCTAGATGACCCTTTTGCCTCAAGTAACACGGCATGCATAAGGAGCATGCAATAAATAAATTTCTGATCAATTTGATCTAAAATACTGCGAGCGACTAGTGCTCGATCACGATTATTATCAGTGCTATCAACATAACGAAGAAATTTAATTAGGCATTCAAATCGATCATTTATAGCACTGACGGCGCGCACTTGACAAGCCCACCGAGTATCGGACATGATTTTAAATTCAATCGGCTTTTGGTCAGGATACATATGCATGTCTTTCTGAAATGCGATCCATCTTAAATGCACATTGGAACCGCTCAGAAAGTTGTAACACATTTGCAACGCTGCAAAAAAATCAGCCACTGGCACAACACTTTTTACTGCCTGAACAATCACGAGGTTCACACGATGAGCGAAACAGTGCACGTAGAGAGCTTGCGGTACAACTGTTTTTATTCTCTCTTGTACACCGGAACATTTTCCACTCATGACGGCGGCTCCATCATAACCCTGAGCGACAAGATTGTTGATGTTAACACCGATCTGTTTCATTTCATCTTGAATAGCATCACTAAGGCTCTCGGCGGTGAGCTCCTCTGCATTTCTAAAACCAAGGAATTCTCCGTGCACTTCGTACTCAAACACAGAACGAAGCACAAAAGTAAGTTGTTCTTGTTTCGACAAGTCCTTTGTTTCATCAACCAAAAGAGCGAAATATTCGGCTTGCTGAATTTCTTTGGTAACTTCATCTAATATTATATCACTGAGAATTTCAAGAATAGCATCTTGTACAGTGTGGTGCGTGTATTTGGCTGTTGTTTTGTTGACTTTCACCAGTACATTTCTTCCACTGACAAAAACCCTCGGTCACGAAAGGACGTGAAGTATTTTTAGCTACCGTGGAAAAGTGACGGCAGGTAAAGAAGTAGACTTTATCTTCGCAAACGGAATACTCGAGCCAGGGGAACTTCTTAAACCACTCAGGAGTAAAACGTCGGCCGTGTGTCTTAGGAAAGTGAAATTCCTTTTTCAATCCTGGCTGCGTTGGTCCGTCGTCTGGTAACAGCGAAATGTCTCCAGGCCCGGCGTTAGTTAAAGTTTTTTGCAGCTGCGAAGTCAGGATTGATGAAGATGAAATATTTACGTCTTCTGGTTGTCCAAGAATATCTTCAGCGTCATCCTCCTCATCACTATGTAGCAAATCTGTTCTAGAACGTTTTTCGGCAGGCGCACAAACTTCATCTGCACTCGACTTCTCGACATGACAGAAGTTTCTGATATCCATCTTCAAGTTCAAATCGGCAATCTTATACAGTCATATAGGATGTTTACATTCGAAACATGCATAGTAATTTGTAATGTATCATAACTTTCAATTATTGATTACTTGAGACGTTCTCTGGTTGAAAATATTTATTGTTTACGAGCTTTCGGCTGCCAGACTGCAGCCTTCAACGGGTTGATATAAAATACAATGACTATATAAAGACGATATGGTTTACAATTACAAAGTCATTGTATTTTATATCTACCCGTTGAAGGCTGCAGTCTGGCAGCCGAAAGCTCGTAAACAATAAATATTTTCAACCAGAGAACGTCTCAAGTAATCAATATGTTCAATCCTGGTCGCACTTCCAGCATATTTAAACTTTCAATTAGTCAGAACTAAAATTAGATTACGATGTGTCAACAATTGACAGTCACGCCCATTTTATCCTGTAGCTATTTTGTATTTCAATTTATTACTATTAAATATTATCTTTTACGGCAATAATTTCCGCAGACATTTGAGAAAGGGGGGGCAAAATGGGGGGGAAGAAAATAATATGGGGGGGGGGCATTTGCCCCCCCTTGGCGCCGCCACTGGTGAGCACTAATAAAATTGAGTACAGGTGCCACTGTAAACGGTGCTTTTCTCTTTAATGCAACACGATGGCAGTGTTATTAGGAACAGTGAAATCAATTTGTCTATCCTTAGAAAATTTATATATCCCACTTTTTTAAGCTACTGTATTTGCTTGACGGATTGCACCAATAGACCCTGGGTACGAGGTTGGAATTGAACTAAACAGTGCAATGAGTGCATACACAAATTCGACAGAATATAGCTTTCGTTGGCGGTCTCTGCAGCTTGTTGTAATTGTTTAAATGAACATTTGAACAATGATATTCAGCATTTTAATGTTTTGCCAAAAGCTAAAATATAATTAATCTTTTGAGTTCTCGAATTTAAACACCTTTCAGTTTCTATTGCAAACCAGTTTGATGACCCCTAATTTTTAAAAATCTCACTTTTAGGATGCATTATGACATTATCAATAGAGACCTTTGGTAAAATGAGATTTTGGCTGGTAAGGACAGCCTTTGGCTTTTGGTATTTGAAAGATAGCCTAACACTTAAATGCTTAATAACTCTTTTTAAAATGCACAACAGATAATTTCAAGAACTGTAGGGAACTCCCTTAAGAAAACGTCCTATTCTGTAACTAATTCTTTTCATAAGGCACAAATTTAAACAAATATAAACTAAATTGTCTTGGATGTCCATCCAAATGAACACTATATGAAAATCGTTTCTCACAAACAAGATTCTATTTATATTAATAAGGTTTCTCTCCAATATATTTTTGTTTTGTTTTGCAAAACTGCTTGATTTAGAAAAACGCCTTATACAAACATCACATTTGATTCTGAGGTGTCTCACCACTGTATGTTCTTTCAAATCTCTTCTGATAAACATCACATTTATAAGGTTTTTGTCCAGCAAGTTTTCTTTTGATGGCAAACTAAATTATCAACCTGTAAAAATTTCAGCTCAAAAAACATCACATTCTTATGGTTTCTTTCTCTCTAGCATGCTCTCTTTGATGCCTAAGATTTCTCTCCAGTGTGTGTTCTTTGATGGCTAGCTAAATTACTACCACATGAAAATCTCTTCTCACAAACATCACATTCATAAGGTTTCTCTCCAGTGTGTGTTCTTTGATGGCTAGCCAAATTACTACCATGTGAAAATTTCATCTTACAAACATCACATTGATATGGTTTCTCACCAGTGTGCGTTCTTTGATGTCTAACCAAATCACTACCACGTGAAAATCTCTTCTTACAGAGATCACATTCATAAGGTTTCTCTCCAGTGTGTGTTGTTTGATGGCTAACCAAATTACCAACCTGTGAAAATCTCTTCTTACAAATATCACATTCATAAGGTTTCTCTCCAGTGTGTGTTCTTTGATGTCTAACCAAATTACTACCGCGTGAAAATCTCTTCTTACAAACATCACATTCATAAGGTTTCTCTCCAGTGTGTGTTCTTTGATGGCTAACCAAATCACTACCATGTGAAAATCTCTTCTTACAAACATCACATTCATAAGGTTTCTCTCCAGTGTGCTCGCAAACGCCACATTCATTAAGTTCGCATTTTCTTTCTCTTCTTGCTGCCTTCAAGCCGCTCATTGCCTCACTATGAAGTTATGAACTCAAAGACTTTCAAAACACAAGATATGAAAGATATCCAACACACAAAGCCAAAGGCGGTATCCAAACGGCAAGCGACAAATCCTTACTTTTTAATACTCGATCATTTGATATAGACAGTTTTATCCCTCAGTACTGACAGAAAGTATTAGCAACGATAAATAGTGAGCTTAAGCATGCGACGTTTTTGTCAACACGGACGTCACGCGTACAAAATTTAACGGCTAAAAATGGCGTCAGCCGTTCTTGCTTAAAATCTACGACGGGAAACTGCACGGACTGCGGTTTCTGATTTTAAACAAAAACGGCTGACGCCATCTATAACGCCAAAATTTTGTACGCGTGACGTCCGTGTTGACAAAAACGTCGCATGCTTAAGCTCTCTAATAACGGCGAGAAGAGTAGAGTATAATGAAAATCATCACGAAACCGCTGTTTTTTTACAAAACTGACCTATGAGTTTGACTGGATTATCATCAAGTGTTTGGATCAGGCCACCAAAACACGGTAAAATAACAACCACAAGGGAGTGTTCCACGTTTTATGGTTTGTCCAGTGTTTGTCTAACTTCTGAAGGCAATATTTGTCATGGGTGCCAATTTTAGCCAATTTGTACACACAATATAATTCCCGTTAAAAAAAAACTAACAAGCCTGCTGCCCGCCAGGAAAAACATCTGTGGGGAAACCTGGTCCCTCCCGAATGCAGATTCAGGCTATACCGAAACAATCTTGAGGGAGTAAGATACTAAGATTGATTTACAAAAATCAGTTTATGTTTACCAAATTTTTCTTGTGTGTTGGAGCAGAGCCAGCCTAGAATGCAATTGTCAAAATCCCGTGACCTATTAAAGTGGCGCCATTACCATGGAAACTATCACGCGTTTCACGAACCGTGAAAACAACAATTTTCTGCTATTCTGCGAACCGCAGAAAATAACATGTTTACCCTATTCCCCCAACGACACGTTATTGGTGGTGATGACAAACATGGCAAGACATTAGATACAGTTATCATTTACAATGTCAAGACAGAACAAAGTCACATGCTAGAACAAAGTCACATGCTGCCATCAATGAGATGTAAGAAGAGGGGATGTACTGCAGTTGTTATTGAAAACAACATTGTAGTGTATTAGAACAATATCTAAGGTATTAAGTGGAAACTCCTAACATATTATGAACAATTGAAATGAACTATAAGATTTTCACAAAGTTATAAAAATAGATTGCAGCATTCTAAGTTGATTGTCAGACATATACTGATTTATATTTTTTGTGATTAAATTTAAATTGAGTCAGTTCTTAGAATTATATATTAAAGAACAATAACAAATCTATGAAATAGATATTTTCATTGAGGAAGGTTTAATTAAAATGAAACACCAAATAAAACATTTGAAATAAGCTTTTCTGCTCCTCCCACCTTGGTTTTTTACCCCCCCCCCTACTACATAGGTTTTTCAGCCACAACCCCTTCCACCGGGAATACAACAACTATTATTACAAATAGTCTTTTGGGTTTACGATTAAACCATTCTTATAAAGTTGTAAATGCAAATGGTGTGTTTTTCCTGAGTAAGGAAGTTCCTGGGATTTTCCCAACACTGAACCTTCATCAGCGAACCCTGAAGACTTCGAAAGGGTGAAATAAAATATCTTTGCACTAAAATCTATAAAAAATTATTGAAGTGAATTATTCTAGTGCAATAGACGGGTCTACATGGTTGTTCTGAAGCAGTGCAACAATTAATGAACCTTCCATATTTCATTTTAAAATTGATGGTCTTATTGTTGAAGATAATGAAAGCGAAAGAGAGAAATTGTGTACAAGTGAAATAGTCTGATTGTCTTTTAAATTGTCGTGGAAAACTCATTCTGTTTCGAGAAATGCATATGCATTATAGTTTAAAATTTAGTTTAGCCAAATTCATATTAGAGGCGGGAAACTCGTCTTACAAGGTCAAGGAAAACAGGAAACTCGTCTTACAGGGAAAACTCCTCTTGGAAACTCATCTTAGACGGGAAACTCGTCTGATGCGAATCAGGCTATATACAGACGGGTTTCTCGTCAGAATTTTCCCGCTTAACTTTCCCGTCTAAACAAACGGTTAATTTTGAACGGGAAACCCTTCTGGACGAGAAACTCGTCTTAAATTCGCATTTAGACGGATAAATCAGACGAGTTTCTGAAATATCAACACGGTCAAGGACGGAACAAGGGTAAAGCCCGCCGAACAAGAGAGCTATCAGCTGAGCTAACGACCTCGCGAGGCAGTTAACTCAGCCTGAAAACTATCCGCACACGATAGAAACTTGCCTCTCGAGGCGAATTCCTCACGAAAAACTATCCGCACACGAGAGTAACTTGCTGAGCTAACAGCCTCGCAAGGTCTTTCCCTCAGCTAGCAGCTCTCGTGTGAGGCGCGCTTAACTGAGAGAATAAACAAAAATCATTATCGTAATAATCACGATACCCTTTTTAGCATTACCCGACCCATCACACGTGTAAATTTTATATCCATTCCAAGTCATATTAAGACGGGTTTTTACAATCAACTTTCCTGTCTAAGATGAATTTCCCGTGCCTAATATGAATTTGGTTATTAATGTGTGAGAGATGATACCTTCGGCTTCTCCGCTTCCTTGAATATTCAATCCATTGTTATATGGTTTGTTGTTGTTTGAATAAGAATGTGATTTTCAAATGGTGTCATGACAGAACTCTCTGGTTTGCAAATGATGTCGACACCATTGTGTGTACGAGAGCCTCTGTATAATGATAAATTCACGTTAATTTAATTGTTTTTGTAAGATTATAAGAATATTATCGATTCGTTGTGTTGCTACAAGGTTACATCTGGTCTTACCTTGGTGTTCCGAAATCACCACAACCCTGACTGTCACATCCACGGATTGAATTTCTACCATTTGAGCTGCAAAGCTGACCAAGTTTAAAACATTCAACCGCATTATCTAGAAAAATAAATCCAGAAAAATACGATGAAGAATAACGAAGTGACACTTGAGAATTCTATGAACAAAGATATATATCACAATATGTATTCCAGTACCCGCAAAGACTAGGAATATAACAACGGACTTAACAACTCCAAACATCTTTGATCTGCTCAGCCTAGCTTGAAATGGCTTTTCATCGATAAAATGACCGCACTTATACAGGATGTTTGAAAAAACATAACACTTAATACTCATGAATATTTTGTCACGTACGGTATACGATCTTTTGTGATCAAAACGAAAGTATCATTTTCGGGAAGATTTCGAGAAAATACAAACACAGACATCTTCAAGAACGAACACTGTATCTATATTCAGTGTATACAGCGAGGTTTATACTACAGAGCGACAAACAACACAGAACTTGCTTTATTATTACGACACAAGAACGACGTGGAATATGGCTTCATATATACAAGGCTACGATGAAGAAAGGTTTGTGGACAAAATCAATCAAAATTTTCATTGCCAGATTTGCTTCAACGTCTTGAAAGAGCCAGTTATGTGTTCGAGAAACCAGCATTCTTTTTGCCGTTGTTGTATTACGAAACATCTGAAAAATTCTCAAACATGTCCAACGTGTGCTGATGAACTGACCGTAGAGACTTTGGCTGAACCTTCACGAATGGTAAAAGATTTTTTAAATGAATCGAAAATTCGTTGCGTTTACATCGACAGAGGTTGTCAAGAAGTTGTAGAAGTACAGCATCTTGACCGCCATGAAGATACATGTGGATATACACCAGCCGTTTGTACAAACCAAGGCTGTGGTTTAATTGTCAACAAGCGTGATCTTATTCACCATGAAAGTGAAGTCTGTGAATTCCGAAAGTTGAAGTGTCACTCGTGCGGAGAAATGACGAAAACTTTGGCAGATATGGAGCAAAGAATGGCGAATATCGAGAAGAATAATGTAACAATTGGAACTAAAATAACAAATTTGGAGAAAAACGTTGCCACTGTTGCGAATATCGTGAAAAACAGGGAAGATATAAAAGCAGATATGGAAGGAAAACTCGAAGCGGTTAACCACAAAGTCGATGGATTGAAAACAGCTTTGGTCAGAGCTTTTGATGAAATGAAGGACGTTCTTATCACGATGGAGGGCAAGAAAGGAGAAAACACAAGAAAAGTAATAAATAGACCAAGTGGTGATAAGGAAAATATAGTTGTTGCTGGAGGTCGTTGGGTTAACTCTGTGGAGATGTTTAACTGGCGTCAAAGAACATGGTCGCTATTACAATCAATGCCAAAGGTACGTTATGGAGCAACTTCATTTATTTATAACAATCACATGACTATAGCTGGGGGTTATTGTGGTGGGTCTGGCATTGTTGATGATATGATTAGAATGAATATTGACCCAAACCCTGATCTCTGGACCCACTGGAGTGACTGTCCTGTTAAACTACCTGATAAGTTGAGATGCCACAGCAGTGTGCTGTATAATGATCAGTTGATAATCTCTGGAGGTGATAATGGAAATGGTTCATCTGACTTGATCAGAGCAGTCCAGCTTGTTCCTCCCTATACTGTGAAGACCTTATCAAGAATGCCAGAACCAAGACAACGTCACAGCATGGAAATATTTGATGATAATTTGTTGATAGTTGGTGGAAGAACAACTGGCGGATGCAAAGACAACCTCAGCAGTGTCGTACTGTACGATATAAAGAGGAATGGGCTGAAACAGTTGTCACCACTGCCGTATGAAGTGAGTGATATGGCAACTGTGAGATGGGGAGACAACATTGTTGTTATTGGTGGTGAAGACAAACATGGCAAGGCATTAGATACAGTTATCATTTACAATGTCAATACAGAACAAAGTCACATGCTGCCATCAATGAGATGTAAGAGGAGGGGATGTACTGCAGTTGTTATTGAAAACAATATTGTAGTCCTGGGAGGGTTTGGTGAGCGACGAGAGGTAAAATCAGTTGAAGGTTTCAACTTTGAAAGGTATTCTTGGGAAGAACTTCCAGAAATGTCTGAAGCAAGATACTGGCACACCGCTGTTGTTGTGTGAACAATATGTAAGGTAATATTTAGTGAAAACTCCTAACATATTATGAACATTTGAAATGAACTATAAGATTTTCACAAAGTTATGGAAATAGATTGTAGCATTCTAAGTTGATTGTCAGGCATATACTGATTTGTATTTTTGTGATTGAATTTAAATTGAGTCTGTTCTTGGAATTATATGTTAAAGAACAATGACAAATGTATGAAATAGATATCTTCATTGAGAATGGTTTAAAATGAAACATCAAATAAAACAGTTCAAACAATAGGTAGGTGCACAAGTGAAAAAAATTGATTAAATATTGACCATGTTGGATCAGAGTTATTAGTTTCTATTAACTGTAGTTTGGATTAAAAAATTCCACTTCCCTAGTAGGATAATTATTTCTGGTTGGAGACATAAAATGAAAGGGTAAACTTACAATGTTTCAGAGCATGTGATGCAGGGAATATTTCTGATGTTAGATTTCAACATTGATAATGGCGCCTGTTCATCTCTACCATGATGTTCCCCACATTTGAAATAAAATTCCTTTGAGAGAACAAGAAGTTTGTGACCTACTTTAGTATTTTACTCTGTCTAATCCCAGATGATTTTACTCATCAGTGGAAGAGTACTGTCAGTTAATAAGTTAACAAAACTATCTGTCAGTGTCTCTTGTTAACCCATTAGCTTGCAATGCACCGAGATGTGACCTACTTTAGTATTTTACTCTGTCTAATGCCAGATGATTTTACTCATCAGTGGAAGAGTACTGTCAGTTAATAAGTTAACAAAACTATCTTTCAATGTCTCTTGTTAACCCAAATGTTAGCTTGCAATGCACCAAGATGTGACCTACTTTAGTATTTTACTCTGTCTAATGCCAGATGATTTTACTCAACAGTGGAAGAGTACTGTCAGTTAATAAGTTAACAAAGCTATCTGTCAGTGTCTCTTGTTAACCCATTAGCTTGCAATGCACCCAGATGTGACCCACTATTGTATTTTAGGTCTGATAGGTGAGTAACTTACAGCTGTTTTTCCATGACAGTTGTATTGGATTCACATTGTTCCTGCATGTGGCCTTTGATCAATACATCATCCCAACCATTTGGACCCTTGCAAGAAACCATAAATATTGTGTAAACAAAATGTTTGTTGACATTCAAAAGCTTGACATTCACAGCAGGCTTGTATAAACAAGTTGTAAGAATGTGGACATTTTATAAAATTTAAATATAAATCTGGTGCAGATTTTTTACAAGTTGTTTATAAGGAAACCATAAATACCCGTGATAGAACAAAGCTTCCTTCCTTGCAATTTGAACATCGGCATCGCAATTTTCTTTGTGTTAGTTTCTTGCAAGTTTTACAAAAAACAAAGAAGAAACTTCGCTTGCCTGAGATAAGAGAGTACGAAAAATATGGATCATTAAAGGAGCCTTGGTGTTAGAAAGAACAGGGTTCTATAGTGATGGAGTATAATGTAAAATTAGAAGGGTAAGATATATTATAAGACATATAGGGAGGGGTGTAATATGGAGAAGGGGGGGACAACAGAAGGTTAAATTAAGAGAGGGTCTATTAGAGAAGAAGTATAAAGGGAAGGCTATATTAGGGAGGGAGTATGGGGAGGGGTTATTTTAGAGAGATATTTAAAGAGGGGATGTTAGGTAGAGAAGAGGTGACGTATTACAGTCATGAGGGACATTCTACTAGGGAGGGGTATAAAGAGGGGGTTATTTTGAAGAATTATTTAGAAACTGGAGTATTTGAGAAGTATATTAGAGAGGAGTATACTTATATAGAGAGGGGTATACTTATATAGGGAGGGGTACAGGAAAGGAGTTGTTAGAGTGTTAATTGGAGAGGGACATTAGAGAATAGGTATAAGGGCACATTAATTGGGAGAGGCATGAAGAGGGAGTTGTTATAGGGGGTTAATCAGAGAGAGAGGGTTATTGGAGAGGGGAATACCACACGAGAAGGGTATGTGGAAGGAATTGCTAAAGAGAATTAGTTGGAAAAAGGGTGGGAGGGAGACACAGAAGAGTTTAGAGTCAGGCAATTAAAAAGAGGGGTTTTTAAAGAAGATTGAGGTATATTTGTTAGGGATATACTATGCAAAGGTATAAAGAAATGGTTATCACAGTGGGGATGGATTGAAGGTATTTATTGAGGGTGTGTATTAAACCAGGAAGGGCACTAACACCTGATTGTCCAGATTCACCATCTTCACCATCCTCATCCTGTGTCAGTTTCACTTTCGTCAAACCATCATTTGCATTGTAAGTTGCACCAACTGAGATCTGACCAGATTTCTGAACAGCATGAATGATGCTGTGGTTCATCTCTGCATTCTACAAAAAAAACACAGTTTCAGATCTACGAACGCCAGACTGATTGTCGACTGATGGCAATTTAAAGACTGCTTTCCATTACGTTAACTTTGCCTGCATGGGTGAAACAGCCTTCAGAAAAATCTGCAGGTGCAGTTGTGACACGCCTCAAGAAAGAGCAGGCAGCGCCGTAGCCAGAAGATTAATTGACCTTTTTCATAATGACGTCAAATGCGGAAAGTCTGATGTTACACAAAGTTTCATTGGTTCGATAGTTTTGTGAAGCCAATCAAATTTCTTGCAACATCAGGCTTTCTGTGTTTGAAGTCAATATAAGAAAGGTCCATTGCGGGCGTACATTCATATATTCGTTTATGCCCAACATATTTCTTTTGTAAGCTATTGTTCCTATCATATGTAAACATGAATGAACGAACATACACCCTTCAATTAAGCTGTCTAGCTACAGCACTGAGGCAAAGTTAATGTAATGAAAACCACCTTCAGGAATACAAATATTTCATGTTCTGAAACTACACTTTCTGATGCAAGTTTAGAAAGCCAAGCAATTGACAAAATGGTAAAAATTTGTAGATCTTTCACCTAAACTTGCTTTCAAATCAGGCTACCATAAAAAAGCCAACAAGATTTCTCTCATATTTGAAAACCCAGCTGTGCACAGACCATTTATTGTAGTTAACTCTCCAGTATTTGCAAAGAAATTTAAAAAGATTTCACTGATGAGGTTATAGCACTGAGCTATATAATAATTCCTGGAGGACCGGCTCCTAATGTTTTTTTCTCAAAAAGTGAAGCAAAAAACATGGCGGACTTCGCCCTTCTGCGCTTGCGCAGAAGCTTTGCTGACGCCACATGGTCCCCTTTGCCCATGGTAATTACCACTGACCAGGCTCAAATATGAGCCCGCTACAAGAGAATGCTCCCCCCTGGTTTTGTATGAATATTTTTGTTTTTGCCGTGAAACCTTGTTGTTTTGTATTTTTCGATTTATTTTTCTGCTACAAAGGCTTGCAATAAGGCGTTTATTTCAGTTATATACAAGTCGTTGACGCTGTTTTGCCAATGCCAGAAATAATAAATATTAAAACGCAAAAAAAATTGTGGACGAAGGATTTTTATACGATTAGCTGACAGGTTATTTTATTTAATTATTTATTTTCATTATTCATAAATATTTTCTGTGTAAAATTTTTAAAATACTTGAATATTTTTCGAGACTTGTCGGAAATTTCGATTATCTTTCGGATATCAATGGCCGACTAAAGGTTACCGGCAGAAAATATGTGGTTATGTGATGTTACATCATGCTTATGCATATCAGCCCATGCATAACTCAAGGAAACAAAGGCCAAACCTCATGCAAAATGCTGGGTGGCTGATTAGTAATGGTATTTCAAGATATATTCGCATAGGATATTTTCATTTAGGTCATTATAGCTATAAGTTACCCATATCTTAAGTACTGTATCCCAAGTAATGCACTTTCAAATGTTCCCTGCTTGACTCAAGAATTTGAGTGGAATCATATTCCAGATAATGCAAAGAAAGGCTATGGTAAATAACAAAAATTTGATTATATATGGTACCAAGAAGATTATGGTACTAGTTGTGCTATCAACAAATGTCTTATGAATTAATGAAAATGCAACTGAGCCTATTCATTCCTCCATTAGTCTATAATCTATTAACCTTCAATTCCTGATTACCCTATGATAATATTCCTTGTAATGGTAGGGAGGGTAAAACTTTCCAGAAAATTATAAAGTTGCAGCAATTAAAAACAAACTGCTCGTCAATGCATGTCTGTATAAATTTATTTTTCATTTAGATAACTATTGTAACTATAACTAACAAAGTCACATGGTAAAATTAACAGTTTAATGCTCCAATAATTTGCAAAAAGCCATCCCCAAATTCCATAACCTCTTTATCCTAAAAAAGAGAGATCAGACCAAGTTTAACTGTACTCAATAGAGTACACCCAGAGGACAGAACCAGAGAGGAGTAGAAATCATTGCAAATTAACAAGCTTGAATCAAGCTAGAAAGTCTCTATTAGGCCATGACTTGGCAAACAAGATAACATACTAGACTTTTAACAAACACTGTTGAAATCTAACAGTGAAATATTTTGTATCAGCACTCACACAGTCATCATGTTTAATGTTTTAAATTCATCTAAAATAGACTAAGGATCAATAGAGAGACTAGTAGATTTACTGGGAGGATTGAATATTGATTTATCTTAATTGTTTGAATGAAAATACTCATGAATTGGCATTAAATATGAGTGAAAGCTCCAGTGCCTGACATTTTCAAATCCCATAAGAGTTCTAATAAAAAAACAACATAGCCAAAACTTAAAAGATCAGTTATTGATCCTTTTTCATAAAATATAGTTTTTCATAGCGTAACTAAGTCATGTACCATTGATCAAAAAGGCTGAAGCATATTTGCCGTTTTTAACATTAATTTCAAAGGAATTACTGCAACAGACGCTTTGGTAGTTGTCTATACCAAAGGCGAAAAACGAAAATGTTGTGAAAACCGGCTTACCTGAGGTAAAAATTAATATCCCGATAGATTAATTAGGCCATTCACAGCATCATAAGTAGAGCAAGAAACCACTTCTCCATATAACTTGTTGAACAGTGAAAAAGAGACTTTAGATGAAATGCAGAGAAAATATATGCCGAAAACAATACCGAAAACCGAAAATATTTTCATAAAAATCGGGAGGGTGATGGACACGTTTTTGACTTTGTATCGCGGTATGTCAGTGGTAATTACCATGGGCAAAGGGGACCATGTGGCGTCAGCAAAACTCAAAATCCGCCATGTTTTTTGCTTCACTTTTTTGACAGGAGCCGGTCCTCCAGGAATTATTATATAGCTCAGTGGGTTATAGTGCTAAATAGACCAATTGCGAAACTTAGTAACCGCGCCTTCGCTCAACATGGAAACGAGGCTTATTATGCAAAACACAATATTTGTATTTTTTGCAGTACAAAGCTATTCGCCGAGTTATATGCCGTTTTTCGCCTTTGTTTTACATATTTTTTGATACCTTTCAGCTTGGTTTCATCGTTGTTATCATAGTTTTCAGGTTAGGAAGTTTTTCCTTTTAATTGAGGCGTTTTTGTGGTGTTTTATTTAATCTTTTCGGCTGCTTTTGTCGGGGAAATATAGAAAAGGCCGACACAAACTCAGGTAAAAGTTTAGTTTTTCCAAACTATTTCGTCTCAAGTTTTGAAAATGTATTTCATTTTTCTCCCTCTTATTTGTGCAAAATTTGGCGATATATATTTGGTGCAAAATCTATGTTTTTTATGTCAAAAATTATTCAAAAGTCACGATCGAACAAACCACCATGTTCACATTTCTCATCTAAAATTTTTTTATACCAATTTTATCGATCGATAAGATGTAATTTGACAGCAATTTTACAGCTCAGCAAAAAAAATAGTAGAAATCTGTTGACAAAAACTATAAGAGATAAAATAAGCAACGGAGTTTTATGTTTATTTTCCCTATGTATATGGACTACAGTACATGTGATGTGATGCCGACTGAAAAGCAAAACAACTCTTCAACTTGGCACACATGCATGACATGGATAGTAAAATACTTATAACCAAGACATAATATCATTGTCTATTTTGAATTGCCATTTGAATATTCCTTTTCCCGCAATAACATACTATAAAGGTAGCCACAATGCAAGCTGCAGCGTTTTTAAGATACACCTTTACATGATGGCAAAGCCGAAAGCGAAAAATATTTAAACCGGAGTTCGCAAGTGTTTTTCCGATGCTGAACGGAATCCTTTCCTTTTCAAGTATTCCTGGTTAACCCTTATTAAACATCTATTGCATGGTAGTAGATAGAAAGAATAGTGTTTTGTACTAACAAAAATGCAGAATTCAGATGCAAACTCAGATGCATTTGAATTCGACTTTTATAAAATTCGGCCTTCAGGTCGGCATGCAAGCCATGCATCGTCTGTACTTTATTATTTATATATTATTTATTAAAACGAATATAAACAAAAACATTTCAGTCAGTTACTTTTGATTATTTTAACAGTATTACTGTGGTATAAAGAAAAAAAAGTGATATTTGTGAATAAATTTGAATAAATGAAGCCATTTCAGTCATCAGGTTTGAAAATTATATAATCTGAATGTCACTTTTCAATAATTTTTGACATAAAAAAACATAGATTTTGCACCAAATATTTATCGCCAAATTTTGCACAAATAAGAGGGAGAAAAATGAAATACATTTTCAAAACTTGAGACGAAATAGTTTGGAAAAACTAAATTTTTACCTGAGTTTGTGTCGGCCTTTTCCATATTTCCCCGACGAAAGCAGCCGAAAAGATTAATGAAAACACCACAAAAACGCCTCAATTGAAAGGCAAAACTTCCTAACCTGAAAACTATGACAACAACGATGAAACCAAGCTGAAAGGTATCGAAAAATATGTAAAACAAAGGCGAAAAACGGCATATAACTCGGCGAATAGCTTTGTACTGCAAAAAATACAAATATTGTGTTTTGCATAATAAGCCTCGTTTCCATGTTGCACGAAGGCGCGGTCACTAAGTTTCGCAATTAGTCTATAATCTCACATTTCAGTGAATTATTTTGTAAATACATTCACAATGGTGGTTGGTTCACTTTTGAACCATATTCCAAGACACCCGAAGCCTGGCTACAATCTGAGAATTTTGAGAATCATCTGAAAAATCCTGGAAACTGTCCATGAGTGAGAATTCACATAAGTTTGGGTCAGGTTTTAGTGGAGAAAGATGGCTTTGAAAAATGTCTTAAAAGATCATTTTATCAAGATTCAGACACTGTGATATTCTGAGATGGACTGACTCAAGCAAGACAAGCTGTATCATAATCTATCTCAGATTTTAATACTATAACGAAGATGGTCGCTTTAAACATCAAAATCCCGAACTAAAAAAAAACCTCATTTATGAAATCATTTAAAGCTTTCGTTTTTCTTTGAAAATTGTTATATAAATCACATTAAAAGCTTGATATTTTCCTAAAAATCACTCACCCCGAGTGTTAATTCATCGGGTAATTCTCGACCGGCAAAAATGATTTTAATTCCAGCAGTTTTGACATTTCTCTTGCGAGCAATTTCCCGTTTTAGTTGAGCGATTGTCCAGGATGGTTGAAAACGAAGGTTAAATGATTTGCCGTTGAAGTTTACGGTCACGTCGTGCGACATATTTCGCTAGAAAAGCTCGTGTATTTCCTTGCAATTGAGAGAAAATAATTCAAAATATTTTGCTTCAAAACGAAAGTTTGGAAAAGAAATGTTTGAAAATTGAAAGTTTTTAAAAATCGACGGTTGCTTCCACTTACCAAAACAAACTTCCTCTTTTTTCCTTGAAATTTCACTCCCTGGCAGTTTTCTGATCTCTTGGAACACTGGAATGTTCAGCGTTTCCAATGTTGGCAATCAATATAATTCCAGAGATTAGGTTAGGATTAGGGTTAAGTTTAGGATTAGGTTTAACCCTGTGTCTAACAGTGTCTAACACTAATGTCTAACCAAACTACCAACCTGTGAAAATCTCTTCTTACAAACACTGCATTCATAAGGTTTCTCTCCAGTGTGTGTTCTTTGATGTCTAACCAAATTACTACCATGTGAAAATCTCTTCTTACAAACATCACATTCGAAAAGTTTCTTTCTAGTGTGCGTTCTTTGATGGCAAACCAAATCACTACCATGTGAAAATCTCTTCTTACAAACACCGCATTCATAAGGTTTCTCTCCAGTGTGTGTTCTTTGATGTCTAACCAAATTACTATCATGTGAAAATCTCTTCTTACAAACATCACATTCGAAAGGTTTCTCTCCAGTGTGTGTTCTTTGATGTCTAACCAAATCACTACCACGTGAAAATCTCTTCTTACAAACATCACATTCCTAAGGTTTCTCTCCAGTGTGTGTTCTTTGATGTCTAACCAAATTACTATCATGTGAAAATCTCTTCTTACAAACATCACATTCATAAGGTTTCTCTCCAGTGTGTGTTCTTTGATGGGTAACCAAACTACCAACTTGTGAAAACCTTTTCTTACAAACATCACATTCATATGGCTTCTCTCCAGTGTGTGTTCTTTGATGGCTAACCAAATTGCCAACCTGGGAAAATCTCTTCTTACAAACATCACATTCGAAAGGTCTCTCTCCAGTGTGTGTTCTTTGATGGCTAACCAAATTGCCAACCTGGGAAAATCTCTTCTTACAAACATCACATTCGAAAGGTTTCTCTCCAGTGTGTGTTCTTTGATGCTTAACCAAATTATTACCATGTGAAAATCTCTTCTTACAAACATCATATTCGTGAAGTTTATGTATTCTTTCTCTTTTTGCAGGTTTCAAGCTGCTCATTGTCTCAATCTCACCATGAACAATCCAAGCGACCTCAAATCCTAACTTCTGAATATTCGATTTTGAATGAGACTATGAAGTCTATGAGTTATATCCCTCAGTATTTACAAAAAGTGTTAATACGTATGAAGAGATGTCCTGGCTTTCGTAAAAGGAAAATAATCGAGACAAGAGAATACGTTTTGATTGTTTTTAGTTTGATTGAAATCCAAGCTGCTTGCTGTTTGAACTTTGAAATCTTCACGTTGCGCCAGGGCTCTCACATCCTATTGTTTAGAAATCCTTAGACTAAGGACAAAAATTCCTCAGATTGAGTAAAATTTCCTTAAATCTCCGGGTTTCCAGATATGAAGCCTGGGACCTAGTGTAGTTTACTAAAAAGGCGGGAAAATTGTTTTGGTTTTATATTAGTTAGTGTAAAAAGCTGTTTTATTATTATCGTTATTCCATGCGCACCAAGTTAAATTAGATGAAGATTTTGCCCGCATGGTTAAAAATGTGAAAAGTAATCTCACTGACGGCCAGGTTCACGAACTGATCACAGAAGTTGAGAAGAGTTAAAAAAACATTGTAAGAATGGAGTAACAATTTTTAATTTTTGCCATGTTTTGTTCAGTTTTATGACTTTTGTAACGAAAGTAAATAATTTCGATAAAATTCAGAATTCCTTAGAAATTCATTAAAAAATAAAATTCCTCAAACAATTCCTTAAAAAGGTGAAAAAAGATCAAAATTTCCTTAGTTTAAGGAAATTTCCTTAAAAGTGAGAACGCTGCGTTGCGCGCTAGAGTATAATGAAAGTGATTACGGAATCCGCTTTTCTTTTTCCAACACTCTGACCTACATTTTTTACACTGGACTATCAACTCGATGGAACATATTTGTTGTAACCTGGACAAGGTACGGTTTTTAATTTATTTCTTGTGTCAATGCGTCTGGTATTGTATTTGAGACAGCAATCAAAGAAATACAGAATAACGCATCAGGTAGGCATACACGAGGCTAAGACGAAGTTTGATTGGGTCTCGTTAGCTTTGCGTAACCAATCAAACATCAGGCTTTCCGTAACCAATCAAACATCAGGCTTTCCGCGTTCGCTCACTTTGGTGGAGCTCATTGCTTTCTAGTTAGAATACTTGTAATTTTATAATTCAAAGACAAATATACAACAAAAACTTACAACTTAACATTATGTTCTGAAATGTCTACCATAACTTAAAATATCAAAAAATATAATATTGTTTATTGTTATCAACACACAAAGCTTAAGCTTAAGGTGGCTCCCTGAAGTTTCTTGAAATTCTTGAAACAAAAAATATGAACAAAAGCATTGATAAAGCTAAATTTATCTTGTTAATGTTAATGTTACCATACCATGTTATGTTCTGCAAAAATATTTTTCAGTTCTACTTCTGGTAAGGTTAATTATTGGTTTGTCATTTCATCCATCAGAAGATAAATGAAAGACTTCATTCATTTTATGAATGTATGTCGTGCTGTTTGGAAAATGTAAACTTCTCATATGACATCTCTCTAGATAGTGTGCATTCTTTATGTTTTTTGAAATTGCTAAAAGTTTATTTCAAAAGACACCCTGTTCCAAGGTTTTTTCTCCTCTCCAGTGTGTTTTTTTTCTTTGTGAGCAGACTACTACCATAAGAAAATTCCTTCTTACAAACATCACATTGATAAGGTTTCTCTCAAATGTGTTTTCTTTTATGTGTAAGCAAATCACTATGCTGTGAAAATCTCTTCTTACAAACATCACATTCATAAGGTTGGTCTCCAGTGTGAGTTCTTTGATGACTAACCAAATTACTACCACCATAGGCGGCCCAGAACTGATCTCACTGACCTCGCGCGACGCTTATGTTGTCTGAACAGTTTTATATTATGACAAGGTAGGCAACTCTCACGCCAAATAGACTAAAAACGCACGACGGTTGACCCAAACACTTTCACAAAACCGCAAATATTTCATAAAAATATGGCGAATAAGAAAAAAAAAGTACAACACATTAAACTTGAATAATTTTACTACATTTATACTACATTTTTAGCATTCAAATGTATTCCTATGCATGTATAAAACGTGAATGTTTTTATGGTTTCTGGCAAATATATTTCAAAACCTATGCTGGGGACACCTTGCCTATACCTTCGTCATATTTTTAAATTGAGAATAGAAAGCTGATTGGCTGTCGTTTAAAAAGAGCCAATCAGCTTTCTATTCTCAATTTAAAAATATGACGAAGGTATAGGCAAGGTGTCCCCAGCATAGGTTTTGAAATATATTTGCCAGAAACCATAAAAACATTCACGTTTTATACATGCATAGGAATACATTTGAATGCTAAAAATGTAGTATAAATGTAGTAAAATTATTCAAGTTTAATGTGTTGTACTTTTTTTTTCTTATTCGCCATATTTTTATGAAATATTTGCGGTTTTGTGAAGGTGTTTGGGTCAACCGTCGTGCGTTTTTAGCTTATTTGGCGTGAGAGTTGCCTACCTTGTCATTATATAAGACTGTTCAGACAACATGAGCGTAGCGCGAGATCAGTGAGATCAGTTCTGGGCCGCCTATGCTACCACATGAAAATTTCTTCTTACAAACATCACATTCATAAGGTTTCTCTGCAGTGTGTGTTCTTTGATGGCTAACCAAACTACCAACTTGTGAAAACCTCTTCTTACAAACATCACATTCATAAGGTTTCTCTCCAGTGTGTGTTCTTTGATGGGTAACCAAATTGCCAACCTGGGAAAATCTCTTCTTACAAACATCACATTCGAAAGGTTTCTCTCCAGTGTGTGTTCTTTGATGCTTAACCAAATTATTACCATGTGAAAATCTCTTCTTACAAACATCATATTCGTGAAGTTTATGTGTTCTTTCTCTTTTTGCAGGTTTCAAGCTGCTCATTGTCTCAATCTCACCATGAACAATCCAAGCGACCTCAAATCCTAACTTCTGAATATTCGATTTTGAATGAGACTATGAAGTCTATGAGTTATATCCCTCAGTATTTACAAAAAGTGTTAATACGTATGAAGAGATGTCCTGGCTTTCGTAAAAGGAAAATAATCAAGACAAGAGAATACGTTTTGATTGTTTTTAGTTTGATTGAAATCCAAGCTGCTTGCTGTTTGAACTTTGAGATCTTCACGTTGCGCGCTAGAGTATAATGAAAGTGATTACGGAATCCGCTTTTCTTTTTCCAACACTCTGACCTACATTTTTTACACTGGACTATCAACTCGATGGAACATATTTGTTGTAACCTGGACAAGGTACGGTTTTTAATTTATTTCTTGTGTCAATGCGTCTGGTATTGTATTTGAGACAGCAATCAAAGAAATACAGAATAACGCATCAGGTAGGCATACACGAGGCTAAGACGAAGTTTGATTGGGTCTCGTTAGCTTTGCGTAACCAATCAAACATCAGGCTTTCCGTAACCAATCAAACATCAGGCTTTCCGCGTTCGCTCACTTTGGTGGAGCTCATTGCTTTCTAGTTAGAATACTTGTAATTTTATAATTCAAAGACAAATATACAACAAAAACTTACAACTTAACATTATGTTCTGAAATGTCTACCATAACTTAAAATATCAAAAAATATAATATTGTTTATTGTTATCAACACACAAAGCTTAAGGTGGCTCCCTGAAGTTTGTTGAAATTCTTGAAACAAAAAATATGAACAAAACTTACAAAAGCATTGTTAAAGCTAAATTTATCTTGTTAATGTTAATGTTACCATACCATGTTATGTTCTGCAAAAATATTTTTCAGTTCTACTTCTGGTAAGGTTAATTATTGGTTTGTCATTTCATCCATCAGAAGATAAATGAAAGACTTCATTCATTTTATGAATGTATGTTGTGCTGTTTGGAAAATGTAAACTTCTCATATGACATCTCTCTAGATAGTGTGCATTCTTTATGTTTTTTGAAATTGCCTAAAAAGTTTATTTCAAAAAACACCCTGTTCCAAGGTTTTTTCTCCTCTCCAGTGTGTTTTTTTTCTGTGTGAGCAGACTACTACCATAAGAAAATTCCTTCTTACAAACATCACATTGATAAGGTTTCTCTCAAATGTGTTTTCTTTTATGTGTAAGCAAATCACTATGCTGTGAAAATCTCTTCTTACAAACATCACATTCATAAGGTTGGTCTCCAGTGTGAGTTCTTTGATGACTAACCAAATTACTACCACATGAAAATTTCTTCTTACAAACATCACATTCATAAGGTTTCTCTGCAGTGTGTGTTCTTTGATGGCTAACCAAACTACCAACTTGTGAAAACCTCTTCTTACAAACATCACATTCATAAGGTTTCTCTCCAGTGTGTGTTCTTTGATGGCTAACCAAATTGCCAAACTGGGAAAATCTCTTCTTACAAACATCACATTCGAAAGGTTTCTCTCCAGTGTGTGTTCTTTGATGGCTAACCAAATTGCCAAACTGGGAAAATTTCTTCTTACAAAAATCACATTCATAAGGTTTCTCTCCAGTGTGTGTTCTTTGATGACTAACCAGATCATTACCACGTGAAAATCTCTTCTTACAAACATCACATTCATAAGGTTTCTCTCCAATGTGTGTTCTTTGATGTCTAACCAAACTACTACCATGTGAATATCTCTTCTTACACACATCACATTCATACGGTCTCTCTCCAGTGTGTGTTCTTTGATGTCTAACCAAACTACCAACCTGTGAAAATCTCTTCTTACAAACATCACATTCATAAGGTTTCTCTCCAATGTGTGTTCTTTGATGTGTAACCAAATGACTACCATGTGAAAATCTCTTCTTACAAACATCACATTCATAAGGTTTCTCCCCAGTGTGTGTTCTTTGATGGGTAACCAAACTACCAAGTTGTGAAAATCTCTTCTTACAAACACCGCATTCATAAGGTTTCTCTCCAGTGTGTGTTCTTTGATGTCTAACCAAATTATTATCATGTGAAAATCTCTTCTTACAAACATCACATTTGAAAGGTTTCTCTTCAGTATGTGTTCTTTGATGACTAACCAAATCACTACCACGTGAAAATCTCTTCTTACAAACATCACATTCATAAGGTTTCTCTCCAGTGTGTGTTCTTTGATGACTAACCAAATTGCCAACCTGTGAAAATCTCTTCTTACAAACATCACATTCATAATGTTTCTCTCCAGTGTGTGTTCTTTGATGGATAACCAAACTACCAACTTGTGAAAACCTTTTCTTACAAACATCACATTCATATGGCTTCTCTCCAGTGTGTGTTCTTTGATGGCTAACCAAATTGCCAACCTGGGAAAATCTCTTCTTACAAACATCACATTCGAAAGGCCTCTCTCCAGTGTGCGTTCTTTGATGTCTAACCAAATTATTACCATGTGAAAATCTCTTCTTACAAACATCACATTCGTGAAGTTTGTGTGTTCTTTCTTTTTTTGCAAGTTTCAAGCTGCTCATTGTCTCAATCTCACCATGAACAATCCAAGCGACCTCAAATCCTAACTTCTGAATACTCGATTTTGAATGAGACTATGAGTTATATCCCTCAGTATTTACAAAAAGTGTTAATACGTATGAAGAGATGTCCTGGCTTTCGTAAAAGGAAAATAATAGAGACAAGAGAATACGTTTTGATTGTTTTTAGTTTGATTGAAATCCAAGCTGCTTGCTGTTTGAACTTTGAAATCTTCACGTTGCGCGCTAGAGTATAATGAAAGTGATTACGGAATCCGCTTTTCTTTTTCCAACACTCTGACCTACATTTTACACTGGACTATCAACTCGATGGAACATATTTGTTGTAACCTGGACAAGGTACGGTTTTTAATTTATTTCTTGTGTCAATGCGTCTGGTATTGTATTTGAGACAGCAATCAAAGAAATACAGAATAACGCATCAGGTAGGCATACACGAGGCTAAGACGAAGTTTGATTGGGTCTCGTTAGCTTTGCGTAACCAATCAAACATCAGGCTTTCCGCGTTCGCTCACTTTGGTGGAGCTCATTGCTTTCTAGTTAGAATACTTGTAATTTTATAATTCAAAGACAAATATACAACAAAAACTTACAACTTAACATTATGTTCTGAAATGTCTACCATAACTTAAAATACCAAAAAATATAATATTGTTTATTGTTATCAACACACAAAGCTTAAGGTGGCTCCCTGAAGTTTCTTGAAATTCTTGAAACAAAAAATATGAACAAAAGCATTGTTAAAGCTAAATTTATCTTGTTAATGTTAATGTTACCATACCATGTTATGTTCTGCAAAAATATTTTTCAGTTCTACTTCTGGTAAGGTTAATTATTGGTTTGTCATTTCATCCATCAGAAGATAAATGAAAGACTTCATTCATTTTATGAATGTATGTCGTGCTGTTTGGAAAATGTAAACTTCTCATATGACATCTCTCTAGATAGTGTGCATTCTTTATGTTTTTTGAAATTGCCTAAAAAGTTTATTTCAAAAGACACCCTGTTCCAAGGTTTTTTCTCCTCTCCAGTGTGTTTTTTTTCTTTGTGAGCAGACTACTACCATAAGAAAATTCCTTCTTACAAACATCACATTGATAAGGTTTCTCTCAAATGTGTTTTCTTTTATGTGTAAGCAAATCACTATGCTGTGAAAATCTCTTCTTACAAACATCACATTCATAAGGTTGGTCTCCAGTGTGTGTTCTTTGATGTCGAACCAAATTATTACCACGTGAAAATCTCTTCTTACAAACATCACATTCATAAGGTTTCTCTCCAGTGTGTGTTCTTAGATGTCTAACCAAATTACCAACTTGTAAAAATCTCTTCTTACAAACATCACATTCATAAGGTTTCTCTCCAATGTGTTTTGTTTGATGTCTAACCAAATGACTACCGCATGAAAATCTCTTCTTACAAACATCACATCCATAAGGTTTCTCTCCAGTGTGTGTTCTTTGATGTGTAACCAAATGACTACCACGTGAAAATCTCTTCTTAGAAACATCACATTCATGAAGTTTGTGTGTTCTTTCTCTTCTTGCAGTTTTCAAGCTGCTCATTGTCTCAATCTCACCATGAACAATCCAAGCGACTTTTTAAAAATCCTAACTTCTGAATACTCAATACTCGATTTTGAATGATTTTGTTATATCCCTAAAAGGAAAATAATCGAGACAAGAGAATACGTTTTGACTGTTTTTAGTTTGATTGAAATGCAAGTTCCTTGCTGAAATCATCCGTCATCACCTTCCCGCGCTAGAGTATAATGAAAGTGATTACGGTATCCGCTGGTCTTTTTCCAACAGTCTGACCTAAATTTTACACTGGACTATCAACTCGATGGAACATATTTGTTGTAAACCTGGACAAGGTACGGTTTTTAATTTATTTCTCGTGTCAATGCGTCTGGTGTTGTATTTGAGACAGCAATCAAAGAAATACAGAAAACGCATCAGGTAGGCATACATGAGGCTAACACGAAGTTTGATTGGCTCTCGTTAGCTTTGCGTAGCCAATCAAACATCAGGCTTTCCGCGTTTGGTCACTTTGGTGGAGCTCATTGCTTTCTAGTTAGAATACTTGTAATTTTATAATTCAAACACAAATATTGAACAAAAACTTACAACATAACATTATGTTCTGAAATGTCTACCATAACTTAAAATATCAAAAAATATAATATTGTTTATTGTTATCAACACACAAAGCTTAAGGTGGCTCCCTGAAGTTTCTTGAAATTCTTGAAACCAAAAATATGAACAAAAGCATTGTTAAAGCTAAATTTATGTTGTTAATGTTAATGTTACCATACCATATTATGTTCTGCAAAAATATTTTTCAGTTCTACTTCTGGTAAGGTTAATTATTGGTTTGTCATTTCATCCATCAGAAGATAAATGAAAGACTTCATTCATTTTATGAATGTTGTGCTGTTTCGAAAATCTAAACTTTTCAATGACATCTCTCTAGATACATTTGAAGAATAACTCCAGCCTAACGAAGTCGCTGTTACGAAGACGCCTAAGTCGCCGTTACGAAGTCATACGCTCACGGTTTTGCTAAAAAGTACCCCCAAAATGGCGGCATATTCGTCATCGTGAGAAAGGCTAATTATACTGAGAAAAGTTTCATTTATGTTTTTTTGGGAAGCACATTCTGTGAGTAAATGTTGTGATTTGCGAAAAGCCGAAAACATCAACAATACGTCACTTCTTAGCTTTCCGTGTAAGATATCGCTTATTTAATATCCTTGTTAATTTAATTGAAATATAAAAATATCTCATGCAAAGCTTTTGTATTGGCATAATATAAAGCGTTTTTTTAAGATGAATACAAGTTGTAGACGCTGTTATTGCCAATGCAAGAACAAATATATATTAAAACGTCAAAAAATTGTGGACAAAACTGAAGGTTTTAATTCTGACACGAACTGACAGGTGTTTTTTCATATTTTCATTATTTATACATTCCTATATGAAATTTAACAAATGCTTAAACTTTTTGGCACTATTGTCGGACATTTTGGGGACAAATGGTTATTTATGGACATCAATTACACTTTTTTGAACCCTGAGCTGCAGGGTTACCGAAAGTATGCAATTAATAATGCTTTCTTGAATGTCTTATAAGGACAATATATCTAGGTATAATCCAAAGAAACAGAGGCCAAAGCTCAGGGGCAAGATACCTGGCAGCTTAATAAGTGCAGGAATATAGTTTCAACCAAGAGTCATATTTGCATAACATACTTTTCATTAAGGTCATCAGCTTAATTGTACCTCAATGGGCTATAAAAGGTTTCAATATTATTTAATTGCACCCCTGGACCCCTGGTCTTACTAATGAATAATATTCATCCCTCCATACACTCAATTACTCCTGATTAGTTTATTGAATTTAGCCCTTTTGAAGTTTGATACCATAAACAGAAAATTATAAAAGTGGCTGCAGATTGAAGATACACTGCTCAGTAATTTAATACATGTTTATATTTTCTTTTATAAATATAACAATGGTTATAAAAATACCAGCCAACAAAAAAATCAGATAACATGGTAATTAAGGATAACAATGCAGATTCATAACAATGTGCATAATATGCTTAATACATCTCAGTTCAATGTTCCAGCAAATTGCATGACAATTAATAAGCCTTCTCTAGCTTGCTTTATTTCATAGCATCTTCAGAAAATCACTCGAGAAATTTCGAAACCAGAGCCGACTCCTTCCCCCGATGGATCGCTGGCTCTGGTTTGAGATTGTTGCTAGAGCTAAAGCGAGAGTCTTAAATTCAGCCAGTTTTTTTTTTCGAGAAAGACGTATTCTCCCACGCGACCAATCTCAATTTTGGCAAATCGTTGTCCGGAGCATGTGACATAGTTGTGACCATCTTATATGTCTTCAACGGCTTATTCAACTTTCTGTTTTTTCGTGCTTAAATCAGTGGCTTATTCGACTTATAAAAGACCATATCCATACCTCTAGTCGTTCATAGATTTCAATATATTACGTTTGTTACTAAAATAAAATGGGTATGGGCAATTGAGGATGCAGATACTCCCCTTCCCCTCTTTTCGCTGGTTATTTCCATCAACTCAGTCTCAATGGCAGTTAATTCAGCGATTTCAGTCCAGCTGATGAATTAATTTACATTAAAAGCCTAAATCACTAAGCTTCTTATATTTGTATACGCCTATATGTTTTTAAAAGACTTTATCTTGGTTACGACACAACAATTATTGTCATTAGACGCTGATACAGGATATGACACTTTAAGTATTTTTCTAGCCAGGCATGTTTTTCATGCATTCTCAAACACGGAAAGTCTTTGACACGACATGTTTATCAATCCTATTTAAGCTATTTTGCCATCAAAGACTTGGAGACACTGAGGCGATAAATCACGAAGGAAAGAGGAGAGAAGGAAGGCGCGTGGTTATAATATTTTTGATAGAATTCTTCAGGATTCATATAAATAAAGTTATATATTTGTTGCATATCCTTGTTCGATTTTACATCAATTATTTGCATCAAAGCCTTGTCCAAGAAACGTAAAAAGCATTTCGCATAAACACACAGATTGAAAGTTCTCACTGGCAAAAGAAATTACCAACAGAATCATAGGTAAACAGCTAAACTATATAATTCATTTATTTAGATAGTAGATAAAAAGTAATTTCGTAAATAGTCTATACTATATTTATATATTGGCTATAATTATATACTATTTCTTTTTAACACTCGTTAATAACTACGTGTGTTTGCTATTTATTGCAGGCGTGTATACATAGTTTACATGTAATACAAAATTTAAATCTTACTTCATTTATTTCATCATATCTATAGATCTTTGACAGTGTGTGGTTTTGACAAACTATAGAAATATCTGACAATTAGCCATAATCATTGTAATTTATTTTATATAGCTTCTCAGACACGATTCAGACTAATTTATATTCAAAAGCTAATTTCTAGCTACTTCTTGAATGGCCATGCATGGCCATTTGATTATTTCAACGAATATGTTATAGCCTAATAAGGGCAAATAAAACATTAGAGTTGATGTTCGCGGGCATAAATGTTTTTGGTCGGCTATGGGAATTCATGTTAGCCCGAGCGTAGCGAAGGTTCTGAGGAGGGCCAAAAAGTCAAAAACACATTTATGCCCGCGAACATCAATCGTATTGCTATTATAATTATTAACTTTAAAGGGCATGCATAAAAAATAAAGAAAATTGCAACAGCAATATTGCATGATCGTGCTGTGCATAAATCTCTATATAACATATAATAATCAAGAATAAGTCACTGATATAAATACATTAATATCAAAATAGTGATATTTACAGTATCCGCTCGGGCTGAAGCTACGTCAAAGACCAACTGGTTTGAAGAGCAAACAAACCTACATATTGGGTGTCATGCATGCTTTAAAAGGTGGTCTTTTTAGCGGATTTTGAGGTAACGAACCCGCGCTGAAACACTTCTCCCTATGGAGTTTCATTATACTCATGAATCAGAGTTCATTTCAACCATATGCACCCCTTAGAATTTCACTGAGCACACTTATTTTTATTATATTTTATTGTAACGAGTACACATATTTTTTAATATCTAATTCAGTCTTATATTGCTGACGTGGCCGGATGATGCTCGTTCTCACATAGTTCTTATGCAACCAGCCTGTATTCAAGAAGCTCCCTCACACTCACATTCATTAAGTGTGCGACATATAAGTTTTGTTAATGCTGATCAATGAGAAAGTTTTCTCTGAATAGATGAAAAGGAAAAAGGTAAATCACCGAAAAATAAAGCCCTATTCGGCTGGAAATACCGCCATTGAAACGTCATGAGAAGATTAAGATCTCCCACTCGAAGAGTTTAAGCGTGAGTGAGCTTTTAGAATACAGGCGATTATGTTTTAATGACGTACTTAGTATGAACACCATCAAAGTTCTTTATTTTTTCTTTATTTCTTTAACATGCATGAGCAATAAGTGGCTTTACCGGACTTCGTGTAATTCCATGTTTCTTAACCATTTAATTTATCGACAATTCAGCCTAAAGTTGAGCCTCGAGATCGCCGAGAAAACAAGTATTGTTACTACTTGTAATGGCTTGTGTTTCAAAATTCCATGCCCCCCCCCCCTACATCTCTCCCCTAGTATGCATCCCGGAATACAAGAGTTGAAGTACATATTTAAAATATAGGTTCATTGTTTTACGAGGTAGCAAATGGATTATGATCTCACAGTTAAACTGATAGTTCTGACTATTTTATTTGGTGTTGCAAATTCGAAATGCAAATTTGGAGAGCCGACGACAGGTAAGCGTACTTTAACTCAAGTAACATTCACCGAAAGGATTCTGTAAAATAGCAGGAATATAATGCCACCCAAAAAAATACAAAATTAGCATACAAAATAATTATACAAAACTAGAGCAGGTGAAATAGTTTGAGTCTGCTTCGTTAAAAGCTTAATAATTGTGGGTATTATATACGTGCACAAAATGCATTTTCGTGACAATTTTAATTTTCATATCGTGCAAAACTTGGTACCGAGACATTCGATAACCCCCTAGCTAGGCATTCGTCGAACTAATAAAAATAATCGGAAATACATTGGCACCCATCTCTCTACTTGGACTTGCTCCAACTGGTTTTAGATAATCTTGAGATCAGTGCTTCAATCACGGACTGATCAACACTGGATAGACCATAGATCAAAATCTAAATCTATTTTCAGCGAGACTTGCATCAATTAAGGGCTACTTTAATTTGGCCAAAGTATAACATGAATTTTAACTGTACTCTACTTACAAATTTTCACTGTACAAAACTTACGATATTTGAACGCACAGTCACTGTGAAATTTATCACGAATTGTTGGATCAATAGTTGGTGTATATCACTGCATATGTGTCATCACTACACCATACACGTGCGCTTTTTTTTCAGATCCTAGTGAGTCGGAACCCGATCTTAACATGACATTGTCGGACGTTAATCTTTATGTTGGGGATCAACTGAATATCACGTGCATTGCTGATAAACCTCGTTATGACTCTCAACTTAAATCTTCCTTTCATCTGCACCCTTCCTTAGTTACGATCTTCTTTCCTGGTAACAATGTGGTGAAACCAAACTGTCCTAGATCAAGTGGAAAACGCATAGTTTGTAGTCGTACTGTATTTTTGAAACATACAGGAGAGGTACAGGCAGCGTGTTTTACAAGAAATGACATTGGCTGTCGAGTGAAGATTCTAGTGGTTACTGTCATGGAAAGACCCATTCGTAAATATATCCACTCATAAAAATTTCTTAAAACATTAATTTATATATCTAAATTAAAGTACTAATAAACATAGTCTCGAAAAATGTACTTTTTTATCAGGTAGATAAAATTCATGGTAGACTGCATGCCTTGCAAGAGAGGTATATATTAAAAAGTAGCATGCAGGGTCAGTGGATAGGACCTTTTTCACACTAACCTGTCTAGACTATACCAGGATCTAAAACAGGCTTCATAATCCTTAAAACGTAGCACTTTGCAAGAGCGTGGCAACCGGGTAGGTGTGACACCTCCCCCCAATAATTCACTATGACAAAAAGTTGGTCAAATTGCTTAGTTCTTGAAAATAAAGTGTAAAGTTTAAGAAAATCGAGCAAATATCCAAAATGCTAGAGTATTTACGAATATGAAGGCTATAGTCACACTCAAAATAAGCCGTTTCCAAATATTTACACACTGACAATTTGAAACAGAAACAGAAGGGAAAATCGACGACAAATTTTCAATTTTTTTTTCAATTCTCATCCATTTTGAGAAAACCGAACATAAGTAACTAAAAAAATATCATAATTTACATACAATAATTTTAGGTTCCCTGGTCCATATAACGTTTTGTTCTATATTCTAATACAGACGTATCACCTTCACCAACGTCGATATCTCCGTCAAAATCCATAGCGGAAAATAGAGGTAGAATAGAATCTGCATAAAAAAACAAAATGATAACTAAAAAAAGTATTATTATAATTTGCATACAATAATTTGGAAGTGTATCGTCTGTCTATAACGTTTCATTCATTCTATTTCAACGTAGACGTGACATCTTCACCAACGTCAATGCCTCCATCAATATCCATAGTGGGAAATAGAGGTACGGTAGACTCTGTATTAAACAATAACATGAATTACAACTACATAGAAAGGAATAAAATTTTTATACAAGTAAATTGAGATGCATGTTCTCTGTTTGCTTAAATAACGAGTTTTATTCGATAATTTATTTTAGACGTAACATCTTCACTAACGTCGATTTTTATGTCAGCATCAATTAGTGTGAAAACTGGAGGTACATAGTCTTTGCATGAAGATCCTGTCATGAATAACATGAGTACCTAGGTATACAATATTTGCAACCTCGTTCCCAGGGCCTTTTGGGACTTTATAGGGAGGGTTGAGGCTGCGGGGGGGGGGAGTAGAGGAAAGGCCCTGGGATCGGCCAGCCGCTTCTGACTTCTGATTGGTTAAATGATTTTCCTAATTTATGTGTAATTAGCGGAATATTTTGTAATTATTCCGAACCGAGCTAATAAATAAGTTGGGGTGCGATCAAAGGGCGGTATAAAATGGCAGAACTGAACAAGACTCCAAATAAAATTTCGGCAAGGAATCCCGTTTGTAGACTTTGTCATGAGGCAAAAGAGAGACGACATGTGATCAGAATATTCACTAAAGCTGGTTTAGAACAAGAGCTCTGCCAGAAAGTCGAGTTTTCGTGTGGAATACGCATTAACGAAAACGATAGGAATTCAAAGGTATTGTGTAGATCTTGTGTGTCGTTCGTGAACAAGATATGCGAGTTTATAACTAAAGTGCGAATGTTACAAAACGACGAATTCGTTGACGATGTTGTTTCTGTAAAGCGTTGTGTTGAGGTGTCACCTTCTACTCGACAACCACAATTAAAGCGTCTAACTCCAAATAGTTCATCCAGGCAATTATTATTCGAAAAACCGGCCCAACAACAATGTCCAACAAGCAACTTACCCATTCCAATTCAGTACGATCAAGGACCAGTAGACACCGAGCATTTTTTGAGTGAGAAGCAGCGGCAGATGTTAACCCGAGCTATCAACTCGAAGGATGCAAATGTTCTAGCATTTATTCTGAAAGCACACTGTGACAATGTTATCAATGCTTTGCGAAAGTTACAAGTTAAATATATTAGCTTCTCAAGCTCCAAACTTTGCAAGCGCTCAGAAGGTTCTATCTTATATGGCAATGGCTATGAAAGTTTGACAGATTTTAACTATGACAAGATTTGGATTGAACTTAAAAATAATTTTCCCGTGCTAATAGAGCTTTTGAATGCGGTAGCTGATCGAGATGGAAAAAGTATTGATGACATTGGCGAAAGTTTACGCATCAAGTATAGTTTTATCTACTCCATTCTGATGAGTGAAAGATGGCATGAATTGAATCTCGTCAAGCGTGTGAACACAGTCCTTGTTATCGAGGGTGGATGTACTAAACAGGTACAGTAATAACAATATAGAAAAATGTTTGAAGTGAACTCCCCTCGGAATCCCTACTTTAAATATTTATTTCTTAATTAAGCTATTCCTGATTCTAGCCTCAGCTAATAGAACGTTTTCACTAAATTGCGTTTTGTATTGCTATACTTGCGGGTTTTCATTCATTAGGCATGTTATCGTGACTGTTTAAAAATAGCTTTGACATTGTACTAAAATTGTGCGTATATTTTTCAATCGGATTGGCGTATATATATTACCATAAGACTGACAAGTAGTATACATATAATAATATTATTAAATTATATTTAATCATGATTTTTTATTTCATTTTACTTCAATAAATTATAATTTTTACAAATGCACGAGCGATTTTCCCGTCAATTTTATGTTGATTTTTAACTGTTCGTGACCTTGTTACTAATGATATTATGAAATTGACAAGTTTTGAAAAGCCTGTCAATTTCGTAAAATATGCTGTTATTGAAAACTTGTCATATTTCATCTTTTGCGAATAATTCAAAATTGATAATTAAGTTATTAAGAAATGTATCTGATTTTTAACTTGATGGCTAAAATATACGAGTCAATATAGTTACGTAGTCAATACGAGTCAACGCGTTCACGATAGGAGTTCTAAAATGTTTGGAGATAATTGGAAATAGTAATGTTCTTTCACATAAAAATTTTTCTTCAGTTTTTTTTTATTCAGAATTTTTTTTATTCAGAAAGTTATGTATGCCCAGATTAACAAACACTGTATTGTGATATTAAAAGAAACTTTCCTTTCTGTTTCGATCCGATACTGAGGAAAATTTTGTAAATCAGCTTTTATAACTTACTTTCTTTAGGAGATTTCTGTCTAGAATGTAGGGCAAATAAAGTTTCATTCCCTGTTTATAATGCTACATGAAGGGTCGCATGACTCGCATCTTGTTTATCAACATGCTCGCACAGAAATGCAAAATACATTCGAATCGCCGCAAATTAAAATTTGCCTAACGAATCAATCAAACATGTATTTTCTGATTGTTGAGTATAGGCACGTGCATATTATTACTGTCTGTAAAAATGTTTAATGGACTGTAAATGTCAACCAGTCTCGGGGCTAAGCCCGGATCAAACTAGAACGCAAGTCCATCGCAAGTTTTTGCTTCAGGTTTTGCGCGTGCATGCTTGTACCTCGTGTGACTGTCCACTTGCGATGACTTGAGTTGACTTCCGACAACATTGAATAATTTAAAATTTTCATCGCAATTTTTTAAAACGTTTGAACAGGAAGTTCAAGTACTTCGCAAGTTGAATTTGCGATGGACTTTCGTCCTCGTTTGATCCGGGCTTTACACGCAGATAACCTTGCTAATATTGCACAGAAATGTCCCTTCCACTTGCCCTTCATTAAGCAAAAATAAAAATTCACTTAAGATAATTTGTACTTTTTTGTGAAATTGTGAAAGTGCAAGATTATCTTTAATGAATTTCTATCTCTGCTTAAAGAAAGGCAAAGGTGTATTTTTTCTGGTAGTTACAAGAAAGATTGAACAAGCTTGGGGTGTGTCTGTCCACATCAAGAAGGGATGCACTCATCAGGATGCTTGGAGGCCATTTTTCTGATCAAGTTGTCAATAAGATCAGGAAAGGAAAGGTATTCCGTGGTACAGGAGATAATTGGGATCTAAGGATTCTGAAAGGTAGTATGCGAAAGAACATTCATAATGAAGATCTTCACTTGTTTGCCACCAATCTCATTGAAAACAGATTGACATTCAATCACTTACCAAATGATATGCCAAAGAGGAACATTGACGACCTTCCACGTTCCACATTTTCTTTAAATGTAAATGAGTGGAAACAGTATGCAAACAATGCCAAGGTTATTGTAGGTCGGATTGTTCTTCAATATCTTCCCCATTTCAAGTTTCTAAATGGTGTTGTTCCGGAACATATCTCACATGTTTACAGTAAAGAAATGGAACAGCAGTCAACCATTGTTAGCATGCCTATAATAAATGCCAATGAGGCAAAATATGAAGATTGTGTTTCCATCCTTCGTACTTACGAAAAGTGGATTTCTGAAATATATGTTCAAGCTGGTTTTCTCAAAGAAATGCCCCCCATAGAGAATCCACCAGTGCCTGCTGGACCTGCGGCCCCTGGTCAGACGCATGCCCATCAAGCAGCAACTCCGAATGATCAAATGAGAGATATGAAGATTGCATTTGCCGGGGATCAGTTAACGAGAGTGCGTTTTGCTGGTGCGAAGGATCTTTTGTCAGGGTCTCATACGCCTTCAGATAGGTTTGAGCATTGCTCGCCTTTCAAACCTGTGATGTGGCATACCAAAGCTTCACTTCTCCAATATTCGTATTCATTTCTTCACAAATCAGAGTCCGTAAACCAGGTTGGGACATTAAAGTATTTTAGAGAGAAGTATCACCGTAAGAATGCTACACCATCCAAAGTTCTTGACTCTTACGAAGGAAGCGAGGACTTGTTTATAAGCGTGGGAAAAGCTTACATTGTTGCTGCTGTTCTTAAGTTTTTTGGTATGAAAAAGCTTGACGACAAACCTACTGACCATGTTTTCCCCGACAACATCAGGAGGGCAAACAAAGAAAGCAAGACAAGATACTATGACAATGTTTTTGGGCAATTCGTTGACAGAATGGTCCTGCAGAAAGGTACCAACGAGTCGTATGATGATGAAGACTATGTCATGAACTATGGGTTGTGTTTCATCTTCTTGTCTATTCTGCTATTACAAATGAAAGATACTGCTAAAGAAGCTGATGGCAACAGAAATCTGATCAATCAAAAACTGTTACTGGCTGTATTCAAATCAATGGGAAGTTACAGCAAATATGCTATCGAGATGTTTGTTAGCATAGCACAGATTGAATGCCTCTTGACCCCTAGATTGTCAGAAGAATTCAAATGGGGATTCTTTGTGAACTATCGAGGAGGTGCAGGGAAGAATATTGAGGACGACTTGGCACAGGAAATATACAACAAAGTGTCAAAGAGTATTGTCCAACGCATGGGTGCAAACAAAACTTTGAACTCCATTAGTAAAATCTGCAGAGCAACAACAGGGATAAGTCGGAATTCACAAAAAATCTGTCCAGCATACATCTCGGGATTCCCTAGAAGATGAAAAAGAAATGATTGCAGATCTTTTAAACCTCAATCCTTTCACTCATGTACCCTTGAGATGTCATGAGAGTTTTCCTGAAATTAAACAATGTCCTCTGAAATATCTGAACATTGTCGAATTCCATCAGTGGCTAGCAAAACACATGAAAGAACTCTCAAGTTAACCTATATATTTTTATTTGATTGTATGTTGGAATCAATTCCACCATAACATATAAGGTCAAACACTCAAACAAAATATGGATATGAACTAAATAGAAATTTTGAATCAAACTTGGCTTTTTTTTAACACTTCCATTTTTTTGCCACATATTATTGTGTTCCCTTTGTTTGACTGACAATGTAAATTTCCCACTTTAGTGTTATTTATGATCTCTATGATTTACACAGACAGCACTCTGTGGTTTGTGTTTATATACTGTAATAAAATTTACATAGTTTTCCCAAAGCTGTCTGTTAATTTGTTAACAAATTTTTTTTCTGTTAATCTGTTAACAAAACTATTACCAATACATACTTTGATCATTGTCATTGTTCCTCCAGTTTGAAAGTTGCTATTTGCATTACAAACATCATGTCAAAACTGTGAGGTCACATATAACAGAAAATATCTGGGATGAGCAAGTTTCATCCCATATCCCAAATGTGCATAACAGATCGCACTCTCTTGCGATATATTCAATACCATCTATTATGTTTTCAGTCATGGTGTTTATGTTTAACAATGGGACATCAAGCATGGGTATAGACTGCAATGTTTTTGAAGAGCTGTGCAAAATTGCTTTTATTGATTCTTTTAGAGGAATCCTGTTTTCCATGGGTAGTTCCCGGGCTTTTTTTATATTTGGAGAGAATGTGTCTTCTGTGGTCTTACTGCCTTCATCACAAATACTGCAGCAATTGCTCTGTTTCACTAAATTAAATCCAAAATACTCTACAATGACCTTTCTCAAACATGTGTCGCAAGCTTGGCAGTAATCTTTCATACACTGTTGTACGTGTAATATGTTTTTGCTAATGTCAGAATTGTTGTAATAAAGGGTTGCTTTAGCCTGTAAGCCTACAGTTCGACCAGCACGTCCTATCTCTTGCATGTAGGCCTCAAGTGTGCTTGGTGGTGAGATATGAATGACACTTGTGACATATGGTGAATCCACTCCCATTCCAATAGCAGAAGTTGCAAATATTATTCTTACCCTTGAGTCTTCTTTCTTATCTCTCTTATGATTTCCTTTTTCATACGGTCAGTTTGTGGGGAGTGGAATTGTGCAAAAAGTCTCCCAGCTGGCTCTTTTGAGTTCCCCACATATTGGTCATCCTTCAGAATTCTCTCAAATAGAGAGTAAGCATATCCACAATATTTCAACTTTAAATATATAATTGTCATTGGGTATTTCTCTCTTCTAATTGCTAGCTCCTGAGCAATTGGTTCAATAATGGCTCTATAACTCTCATTACCCACGTTGTTGCTAAGTCGAATCTTTTTTTCCAGGTATATATTCATTCTGTTTGGGTTGACAGACACAATTTTGCAGCTGGCAAGCAGAAGACTTTTTTTCAACTTTTCCAACATTACTGGTGAAGCTGTTGCTGTCAGCGCAATAGTTGGAACCAATGGAAAGAATGCTTTTAGTGAGGATAGGTCTTTAAAGTCTGTTCGAAACTCCTCGCCCCTACCAAATAATTATGATTATTTAATAAATCAATTATTCATTAATGCAGTACCTCACTGACAAGAAAAAGGATGTGACATTATACAATATATATTCAGATAAGTACATAGCAAGCATTGCATATTTTCATATAACATTTTGATATGATGACTACAATTTTGACAAAATGTATACTATTCAAATACTGATGAGTGGTTACAAGTGTGATCAATTCTTCACAGTTTTATACAGTATAATAAACTGAAACTGCCATTTTAATTTGCAATCATCAAGCATGGCGTTTCAGTTATAACCCATTTGATGAGATTTGAAAAGGTGGTCATCTGGTATAAGGAAATCTATTGGCATTGCATGAACATATTATTTTGCAAGCAAGGCTGCTATCATTGACGTTTAATAATTTCTTACCATAGCTCAACACAATGTGCCTCATCAATTACACAAGCTACAACATTGTCTTGGTAAATTTGACTTGTCATTAATTTTCGTCCTTCTTTGCTTAATAGAGCTTCTGGGTGGGCAAATACAATCGAACATTCTCCATTTAGTATGTCGTTCGGGATTTGATAGTCTTCCTCAGTAAGGTGACTAAGGTTTTCGTTGGACGATTTGTCTTCAGTAGCTGGTGACGATGAGAACAACTTTTCAATCTCGCTACGATCTTTGCTTCTTCCAACAAGTACATTAGCCGAGATACCTCTATCCTTCAAGATTTTCAGTTGGTCTTCAATTATTGAATTTAGAGGACAAATAACTAGAACAATATTGCTGCGCTTCTTAGTTGGCATGAAATACGGTAGAATATGAAAAATTAATGACTTGCCAAACCCTGTAGGTAAGACCCCGATTACGTCTTTGCCATTCAAAATATACTCCAGACACTTTACTTGAAGTGGCTTGAGATTTAATGGCGGAAAGTTTGCGGAATTAAGTGCAATTCCAATATACTTGACAATATTAGACGCCGCCATTTTGAAAATATTTAGGCATAAATTATGCTTATTCAAAATACCCACGAAATGTGGGTATTTTGAACGGCCGATCCCAGGGCCTTTCCTCTACTCCCCCCCCCCGCAGCCTCAACCCTCCCTATAAAGTCCCAAAAGGCCCTGGGAACGAGGTTGACAATATTTGTAGTCGTATAGCGGGTTTCAAGGGTTTGGCATGACGCTGAGTTTTCAAAACATCAAGATATTTGAGGCCCTGTTACATGGTGCAATTTTTCCTGCAACTTGGAATGCAATTCTACTTTTGAGAGATGTATATTTGGGAACAACGAAACTTTTGTGTTTATTAAACTTCATGCACTATTCTTCTGCAAGACTCTTTACAAATTAACATCTCTTAGAAATAGAATTGCGCTGCAAGTTGCAAAAAAAATTGCACCGTGTAACATAGCCTTTAGATAACGAGTTTTATTTATCCTGTAATTTATTATAGACGCAAAATCTTCACCAGCGTCGATTTTGATGTCAGCATCAATTACTGTGAAAACTACAGGTACACGGTCTCTGCATGAAGAAAAACCTGTCATGAATAACATGAGTACCTAGGTATACAATATTTGTAGTCATGTATTCTGCAAATTTCGCTTGACGCCGAAATTGAGGTGGAGCGTATCCACACGAGGGTGGCAAGCAGGGTGGCAAGACCGCTTGGCAATCGCACCAGAAGGAGTGTCACAACTGTGGCAAGCTTGGCCACTTTATGTCTGTCTGTTGAAGTGAGTTGAAGCAAAAATCGTTGTCCTGGGAAAGGAAAAGATTAGCAGCTCTTAACGAACAACTCAGCGATAGCGAGACGAAAAACGTTTTGGCTGAATGTCTACAGTGTCAGTGGTGAGCGTCTGGGCGAGAAGCTAAACACCTTACAGTGAGCGTTAGAGGCGTATGGTTGACCCTGATCGCTGATTCTGGGTCCAGCATTAACATCCATGATGAGAACGTCCTATACTCGAATTAAACCACCACTCGCGCCCATCCATATAAGTCGAACAGACCCCTGACGATGCTTGGGCAGTTCGAGAAAATCCTGAAAACCAAACGCGGAGCAACGTCGTGAGAAGTCAAGTATGTGACACAAGGAGCAGGCGGATCTCTCCTGAGTTGGCAAAAGCTCGGTTTGATCTCCACTGTACGACCGTTGGTAATGAAACAAGGCCCGAGAAAGGGAACCCAGCGTCTGGAGGAAGAGTATTGAGACCTATTTACTGGCTTAGGAAAGCTGAAAGGCTATCAAGTTCAACTACATATTGATGACAGTATTCAACCTTCCACCGCATCAACGCATTTCATTCCATGTCAGAAAACAGCTTGAAGAGCAACTAGAAGAAGACGAAAAAACCAGTGTCATAGAGTGCGTAGAAGGCCCAACCCCGTGGGTGTCACCAGCAGTCGTAGCCTAAGCCTAAACAGCCAGGATTGTCATTCCTGCATGAAGCCATGCAGCAACGCGTGATTGATCTCGCCCATGAAGGTCATCAGGGGATCGCGTAAACAAAGTTCCTTTTGCGCGAGAAATTTTTTTGGTCGCTGGTATGGATAGTGCTGTCGAAAAGAAAGTTAAGTCCTGCTTTGCGTGTCATGCGGAGCACACCTGGAAAGGACCTTGGAAAGAAATGAGCATCGATTTTAAAGAATTGCCTGGGGAAGAATATCTACTCCTGTAACCGTGGAGTGTGATGATATTGACGACAACAGTATTTCCCCACCAGCACAGCTTGTGCCTTCAGTAGATCCACCAGATCTAGTACGTTATCCCTTGAGGAGTTCTCGACAAATACCAGCACATCTTAAGGACTGTATATGTTTGACTTTATCAGTTACGTTAAGTTACTTTTGACATTTTATAGTTATTTATACTGAGTTAGGTCCTATACCCGTGTTGCTTTTAATTAACGTAGTTACGTTTTGTCCGAAGAAGGAAGAAGTGTAGGGTAATGAACTCAGTTCCGCTTTATGAGTTTCTGTTTAATTATTGTTTTATTGTTTACCAATTACATTACCAATGCATGGTTAGTATAAAAACACGTGTGAACAATTAGATGGGGTTAGTTTTTTCCAAGCAAGCAATAAAGTTTGAACCACTATATTATCTATATATTATCTCTATTTTATTTGGATCGCCTTTTGTACAGTTAATTCTCATCTTTTATCCCAGTTACTTATTTAAATGCATTTGAAACGTTCCCATCATCATTGCAATCCAGGTGATCTCGCGCTCATATTTCAGCCAATCAGCGCTCAGAAAGTTTGTGAAAATAGAAATCCATTCTGCAGTGTTTAATCGATTATATCTTTTATCATTCTTGATGGAACCATACAAAATTTTGCGATTATGTTTAGTTCTAAGAACTATAGCTGTGATATAAATTTAAAACCGAAATAAAGTATATTTCACGAGATATTAAGTTGTTTCAACCGAGAAATGGATTTTTATATGACAACTAGTCCTAGTCCTTTCCCGCCATATCAGATCACCTTGATGTATGTAATAAAATATTCGGCATCTATTCATTTGATAATCATGATCTAAAAAGACTGAACCTTAGTTTCAAGACTTAGCCAACTGAGTTATTAACCGATTCATTAATATAAAAAATAAATTATCAAATTTTCAGTGACAACGCCAGTTATCCCGCAAACTGTTCAACCAACAACAGCCACACCAACACCGACTGAAGGTAAAGGGTCTGACCGTTCAAACCGCAAAGATTCAACATCAGAAGTTATCACAGCAGATTACATTTTCTAAAATGAGCAGTAAATAATTAGAAAATTTTCTTTTTTCCAAAACCTAAAATTTTAAAAATTAGGTCTTTTAGATAAATTCAGCTCATACCGGATATCGGAGTAGCAACATGCAGGACAATCCCTGTTCAAAATGTTTCTTAAAGAGTTTCTGAGAGATCAGTCAGAATATTTGACGACTACTATTTTTGTTGACTATAGTTTTAAACAAATATCAGCTGAACTTTATGTTCAATGATCTTCTCTCTCAATTTCATTTTCCAATAGACGGTTGTGGCAGCGGTGATGAAAGTGATGACGACAGTGATGACGACAGCGATGACGAAAGCGATGACGACAGTGATGACGACAGTTATGACGACAGTGATGACGACAGTTATGACGACAGTGATGACGACAGCGATGTCGAAAGCGATGACGACAGTGATGATGACAGCGATGACGAAAGCGATGACGAAAGCGATGACGACAGTTACAATAGTGATAGCGTTAGTAACTGAAATTTCCAGCTGAGATAGCAGCAGATCATGCAAGTCCAAACGTGAAGAGAATTATCTATTTTATATCTATTTTATAGATATATAGAATTATATATTTATATCATTTTTGGTAGAATCCAATTCGGAACTATTTGTCTAAGCATAAGGGCGCTTCCTTTTAAACAGGAAACTTCACATCATCTAATAATTACTAATTTTCTAAAATTTATACAAAAGAAATTGTTTTTGACGTGAGCCGGGAAGAAGAAACGAAGGACATGCATGCATATTTCCTTTTAAAAATCTATTCTTCAGATATGCACCCAATCTTAACCTAAGGGATGGTACAATAAAAGGTTACTGTGATAAATTTCAGTTACTCGGAGTTGTTAATCGTAAGTAACGTACATTTAAATTCGCACTAAATCTATCAAGACAGCTAGTATTACCATGGATAGTTGAAAGACTGGATAGGAAACTCATGGCGTCAGCATTTTAACCTTGCTGAAAATCGTGACGTAACGCACGATATAGCTTGCTGCTTGCCTCAAGTCGCGTCAAGTTGATCAGGTCTTCTTGGAATATTAAAACAACTGCTGTGATTGATTTTTATAAAATCATAAATGGGTTTAATGAGTTTATAAAGAGCACAAGAAATATAAAGAAACTTTGTCAGAGACTAACTAAATGTTCTTGATCTACATAGCAAGGACAGCATCAGAAAGGCATTAATGTACAATAGCTGTGCCCCATAAATGTGTTTTTGATTTTAATTTTGAATCTTGCAAGTTTTATCTTGTTGAACTATTTTGTACTTGTGTATAAAATAAACTTTGATGTCTACATTTCCAAAAGTTAATGTTTTTTTTTCTTGTTTCTCTAAAAGTATTATTTGACCATTTTTCTGTTGTTTGAGCATAGTATAAATTATGTTCCAGGACATAACAGGTGAAATTGCATACAAACATTACACAGTTAAAGTACATTGGATATTCAGTATTGAAATGACATATTTTATTTATAATAAAAATCACACTACAACTTATTTAATACTTACAATCATGGATAATAAAGTCTTTTCACTATCCATGTTACAATATTTACATCATTACATGTAATAAAATTATTTCCAAATTTAGCCACTTCAACTAGTATGCAAGAAAAATTATTAAAATTATTAACTGATTAATTAAAATTCAAATCAATAAAAACTTGACATGTAAAAAAGCATGCAAAAACAGCCAATTCAATCTTTTAAACCTTGATTTTAAAGTACTTTTTCTTTCTTGCCAACTCTATTTTTCCCCTTCAGGTTATTTGAAAAGTCTAAAAATGCAAAAATAAATTAAAAATCAATGAACATTCTATATGACTTTGTATTGCTTCTAGCTGCTTCTAGACTAGCTGCTTCAAGTAAATGCAGACAATGCTAGCTGCATTTATTTTGCATGTAAATATTACAAATGGTTGTCACCCATACAAACATTGCGCGTACAACAACACTAAACTTTTGGCAAAAAAACCCTCCCCAAATAAACAAAATTATAAAATTTAATTGTCACCAAGCCACATTTTAGCAGAATATGTATCCAGTGTTTTATATAAGTAAACAAACTCAACAATAATAAAAAATCGATAAAAAGAGAAAGAATAACAAAATGTTACACAAACCAAACAAAGGTGAAAATTTGAAAAAATCTCAGTCAAAAACATAAGGAAATCAATGCTACTTACGTAAATATTCGCCATCCGTGACATCAGATTTTTCAACAAGGTTTCAGCCATTTTAAAAACATCAAAAAAGCGTTTCGACCAATCAAAATGTTCCTAAGCACCCCACGTGACTATAGTTTCCTATCCAGTGATTTTATTATCCATGGTATTACCATAGGCGGCCCAGAACTGATCTCGCTTACCTCGCGCGACGCTCATGTTGTCTGAACAGTCTTATATTATGACAAGGTAGGCAACTCTCACGCCAAATAACCTAAAAACGCACGACGGTTAACTCAAACACCTTCACAAAACCGCAAATATTTCATAAAAATATGGTGAATAAGAAAAAAAAAGTACAACACATTAAACTTGAATAATTTTACTACATTTATACTATATTTTTAGAATTCAAATGTATTCCTATGCATGTATAAAACGTGAATGTTTTTTGGGTTTCTGGCAAATATATTTCAAATTCAAAACCTATGCTGGGGACACCTTGCATATACCTTCGTCATATTTTTAAATTGAGAATAGAAAGCTGATTGGCTCTTTTTAAACGACAGCCAATCAGCTTTCTATTTTTATGTGTTTTACAGCGCCCTGCTCGAACGTAGCCAGGGCCGTAGCTAGAAGCTTAATTGGGGGGCTGCATATTCATATATTCGTCTTATGCCCGAATGATTTCTTTTGTATGCTATTGTTCCGACGGTATACAAATATGAATATATGAATATACAACCCCCCCCTAATTAAGCAGTCTAGCTACGGCCCTGAACGTAGCTAAACAACACATTTTGTGCTGGATAAACATAAGTACACATATTCTGCGTCGATCAAAACTAAACATCTGTACGCAGCATATTTATTCTGTGCTCGATCAAAACTAATCGACTGCGGGCATATTTGTGTACTCGATCTAGTTATCATATTTCAGAATCTAATGATATATTATGTTGCTAAAATGGGTATGGGCAATCGACGATTCACAGACCGATCCCATTCCCTTTAGAAAGATAGCCTTGATGTTTTTGCTGCAAGTGCCTGCATGCCAATCTTAATTCTGCTCCTTTAACTCCAGTAAACGCTTAGCGATTTTGGAGTTGGATTTTGGTCAAGAAAGGATAATCTTGGTTTGTTTCGAAAAAAATTAAGAAGTAATCGAAGTTTTATGAATGAAAAATATCCGATGATGAGCTACGATCAGGAAACTGTATATGTCATGAGCTTCATAGTGACAATTGACATTTAGTTGACTGTGCACTTAACACTGGCTGGCTGGCTGGTTATTTCCATCAACTCTCAATGGCAGATAATTCATTGATTTCAGTCCAGCATGAGTATTATTATATAAAAGCCTAAATCAGTAAGCTTCTCACATTTGTATAGGCTTATATGTTTTTAAAATACTTTATCAGTTTATTTTGGTTACTACACAACATATATTGGCATTAAACGCTAAACAGGATATGACACTTGAACACGATGTTCTTTTAGTATAGTTTCTAGTCAGACATGTTTTTCATGCGTCCCTAAACACGGAAAGTCTTTCACGACAAGTTTGTCAGTCCTATTTTGCCATCAAAGACTTTAGACATCCGAGACACTGAGGCAATAAATCACGAAAGAAGAAGGAGAGAAATAGCCGCGAAAACAGCGTAAAAAGTATTTCGTATAAACACAGATTGAAAGTCCTTACTGGCATTAAAGAAATTACCAACAGAATCAGAGGTGAACAGGTAAACTATAATTCATTTACTTACTGGATAAAAAGTAATTCTGTATTCGTAATACCATTTTCAATGCCATTGGCATTGGCCATACTACTTTCCAACACTCGTTTATACATGTGTGTTTGTTATTTATCGCGTGTATACATAGTTTATACCTGAAGCACAAAAATTGATATAAAACTCATATAATTAATATACGAGTTTCATATATTAATTTTAATTATCTCTGAGATCTTTGAGAGTGGGTGGTCTTGACAAATTATAGCCTGACAATTAGCCATAATCATTGTAATTTATATTATGTAGGTTGTCAGAACCGATTAAGATCAATTTAAATTCAAATGCTAACTCCAGCTACTTCTTAAATGCCCATTCGATTATTTCAATGAATTAGTTATAGGGTAATCATGAATAAGTTATATATAAATAAATAAGATAAATATCAAAATAATAATATTGACAGTATCCGTTCGAACTAAAGCTACGAAGGTCAACTGGTTTGAAGAGCAAACCTTTGATTTTCCCACCCAATCTACACTTTATTAAAATACGGTCCCTATATATTGCGTGACATGACATGGGTGGATCCAGCCCTAGTGCACTAATTTGCATGACACAAGAAAACTGCTAAAAATAACCACTTTCGATCCACCCGTGCGACATGGGCTAAAAGGTGGTCTTTTTAGCTGATTTTTTAGTAACAAACACGCGCTGAAATATTTCTTCCAATGGACTTTCATTATACTTCATGAATGATAGTTCGTTTCAACAATCCTTAGAATTAATTATTTTGACATATTCGATCATTCGTGTTATAACAGGTATTGTAGGAGTACACTTATTTTCAATTAAGAAATAGAAAACATTTTCCGTGTTTCTATACAGTTATAGAAACACGCGTGGGAGTTTGGGAGAACGAGAAATAATCAGTGGGAAAACGAGCCGGTAGGGCGAGTTATTTCGAGTTCTCCTAAACTCCCACAAGTGTTTCTATAACTGTATAGAAACACAGGAAAAAATTTTTTCTATTTCTTTTATAATATAACTCAATAAAAAGATTTTATACAAATATTATAATTCGATTCAATGACAAATTCTCATTACATTACTTCGCTTGACAAGTTCAGCGGGAAAATTCCCGTGTTTCTATACAGTTATATAGAAACACGCTTCTCGACCAATCAGCACGCGCGTACTATAAATGTTATATTATTATCTTTTTTAATTGACACATTCACTTGTCTGTATTGCTGATATGCATGATGCTCGTTCTCATGTATCCATTATGTCTTAATGACGTATACTTAGTATTAACACCATCAAAGTTCTTTATTTCTTCAACATGAGCAATAAGTGCAATGGCTTTTCCACTACAGTTCGTATAATTGCATGTGCATGTTTTCTTAACCATTCATATATTAAAAATTCAGACTATATTCTTCTAGAGAATATCGACAACTCTACAGGGTGTCTAAAAAAACCCGAAAAATTTTGAAATCACCCATAACAATGCAATTGTTAGAGTTTGAATGCCTAAGAACTCTGTTGGGACCCACAGGTGTATAAATGTTTGCCATAAGCATTCCCACGCATGCATATGATGCAGTAAAATTTGCTTGTACGCAAAAATGATATTTATTAACAATATTTACAATTTACAAATATGGATAACAATATTTAAATGTGCATCTTAAGGACCATGACCTTCGACATGTCCCCTTTCTCTAGCAACACAAAGCATTTAGCATTATATAAGTTGCATTAAATTCCCACGAGCTGAAATTCATAAACACGGCTTTCAAATTTTAACAATGAGTGATTTCAATAGTTTTCGTTTTTTTGAGACACCCTGTATATACGAATTATACGCCGAATTAGGACAAACATAATTACGCAAAACCTTTTCTTGCAAACGAGTAAGATACAGTATAAAGACCTTTGAAATGCTAAAACTGGAGATGTACTTAGCCGTCTTTAATTAACATATTATTATATTGAAATGTGGTAGCATCATCGCACTATTATAAGTCACACGATTGGGCTATAATTATCAAGCTGAGTTTAAGTGACTCCATTCAATATTATACCGGCTTATATTATATATAGTTTGAAATACGCTACAGTAAATAAAAGGCAGGGAATAAAAACATCTAAACAAATAATTAGAATTGTATATTATGTGATCACCAAGGTGATTCATTTCAATTAAGGATATTCAAAACAACAAGTACTGCTTGTGACGGATCAGTTGTGTTTCAAAATTCCATTCCTCCGCGCTCCCCTCTTATCTTCTTCCCTAATATCCACCGGCTAGTTACACAAATTAAAGTACATATTTTTAATAATTTATAGGTTAAGTGTTTTACGAGGCAGCAAATGGATTATAAGCTCCTAGTTGAACTGATAGTTCTGACTATTTTATTTTGTGTTACAAATTCGAACAAATGCAAAAATGGAGAGCCGACGAAAGGTAAGCGTACGCAGATTAAACAGGATTCAATTAATTCATTTTAAAACATCTATATTAAAAACAACGCCATCTTTGTCATACTCCTATAAACTTTATGTTACGCAATAATATAAACACTACATCCCTTCCATTCTAAAGACAAACTAGTCCGTGTCAAAAGGAAAATATCAACTTAGATATGTCTGTGTAAACTGTTAGATTAAAGTGACCTAATATGATACGAGAGTATCATAATGTTCTACTCCATGTTAAACAATATATAAATTATTCAAACATCTACATTATCTTGTGTCGTGTTCAAAACATAGTCCTGTCGGGTAATTTTCTCTTTCGCGATGGTCGGGTTTCAGGCTTTGTGACCGGTTCTTCCACCACTGCATCTTCCGACTTTTCAGGTTCCGTAGTTGTTTCTTGCTCCTCTGGCTCTTCATAAGGCTTTACAAACGAACTGTTTCGCCTCTAGACTACCCTTTCGTCTGATCTTACCGTGAGTTCCTGTTCTTCTTTAGTTTGAACAATATATGGTTTGTTTTCAATTTTGGATCCAATTTCCCTGATATTTTTGAATTCTTCAGAAGAAATTTATCTCCGGGTATAACTGGGTTCTGTCTGGCTGGTCGATGATTATCCGCATACTCTTTTCCTGCCACCTTTTATCTGCAGTCACGATCTCTGATATTTTCAACCAATATTCTTGTCAGGACGTAACTCTGGAAGTTTAGTCTTGAGTTCTCTCCCCGCGAAACCTCTGTACTGCTGTCAGGGGTAGTTCGGTATGCTAACAGGAACTGATTGAGTTCATCTTGAATCTTTCGCATGCCCACACAAACGCTATGCTCTCTTTTTCGGTTTGGGAATACCTTCTTTCCACGTCAGTATAAGGTTCCTTGATGCATATGAAATTACTCTCCATGAACCATTTTGCAACTGTGTGAGAGAACTGCTCCGATTTCTATAGGGCCTGCGTCCGCAACTATACGTGTTTAACAATCATTCTTGAAATAAGCGAGTGTCCTTGCTCGAGTTAGGGGATCTTTCAATTTCTCGAACAACAGTTGCTGAGCTTTTCCCCATTCAAATTGCTGATTCTTTCTAGTTAGCTTTCTGATTACCCCTGCTACCTGTACAAAATTAGGTAGGAACTTGGCACAATATTGAACTAGGCCTAAAAAAGAAATTGCTTCAGTATTCTTTGGTGGCTTGGTATCTTTCACTGCAGCAAATTTCTCTTCATTTGGCGACCGTCACAACTAAGATCATGATTAAAATGTCAACTTTGGAAGCCGAAATTGACACTTGCTTGCATTAAGAGTTAATCCACACTCCCTTAAACGGTCGAGTACGGCTATTAAATTCTTGTCATGCTCTTCAATTCCCCGTCCATGGATAATTAAGTCATCTGTGATATTGGAAACTCCTTTACAATCGATTAATACATCTTTAACAATCTTTTGGTACATTTTAGGTGCTGAGGTTATTCTGAACATTAACCTCTTATATCTGTATAGTCCTTTATGAGTTACAAATGAAGTAATTCAACGTGATGACTCTTCAAGCTCGATTTGATGGAATCCCCATTTCAAGTCCAACTTGCTCCAAACTATTGACCCACTTAACTCTTAACTGTCATTTTCAATCATGCGTACGTCCATCAGATATGGAACCTAACGGTACCCTCTCCATCCCGTGATCACACTGTCACACGGAATCACAGAAGTGAAAGCCTGTGGAAGGAAAACATAGAACACATACGATGCACGCATAGTAATTATTATATACATACCCCAGGAGTCTTCAGCAAAACCAAATGAACCTAGAGAAGCTAAACTAAAAGCAACAATGGAAACGAAGTGCATGGAATGTCAGGGGAGGAAGGCGGGGCAAACGAACCGATAATAGGCAGATAAACAACAATGCAAGTCATTTATAAATACTGAGGACCGGGGAAGATACCCGCGTGCCAAATACCCGGCCGTGTAACCAGCGAGAGCCAACTGTTCGATATTAATTTCCTTTATTATACAATGAATAAATTTTGACACCATATAATATAAATTGAAAGCACGTTTCCATCGCCTCCAGCGAACTGATAATGTTGTTGGATCTCCCTTGGGTTGAAGCAAGGAAGCCCACTAACTTGAAGTACTTTCGCGTTCGTATTTAAAGCAACCGTTCCACTCGATTCGTCAACTTGAATATTTTCCGTATTTCGAGTCGTAGACATCGCACAAACTTCTCAAAATTTCTTTTAAACCAAGTCTTTTAAATATATAGATGTCCATCCTCGTCGCTATTAGGTAAAATACTTCTTATATAAACGCAGATTAAACAGGATTCAATTCATTCATTTTAAAACATCTATATTATTAAGAACGCCATCTTTGTAATCCCCCCAATACTTTATGTTACTCGATATTATAAACACTACAATGTGCCTTTTTTCAATATTTTTTCAGATCCTAATGAATCGGAACCCGATCTTAACATGACATTGTCGAACGTTAGTCTTTATGTTGGGGATCAACTGAATATCACCTGCATTGCTGATAAACCTCGTTATGACTCTCAACTTAAATTTAACTATTATCTCCACGCTTTCATAGTCGAGATCTTCTTTCCTGGTAACAATGTGGTGAAACCCGAATGTTCTGGTTTAAGTGGAAAACGCATAGTTTGTAGTCGTACTGTATTTTTAAATAAAACAGGAGAGGTAAAGGCAGCGTGTCTTGCATTAAATGACATTGGCTGTCGAGTGAAGAGTCTAGTGGTTACTGTCATGGAAAGATCCATTCGTAAATATATCCATAAATATGTTCAACAAAGTTAGGGTGAAAATTAGCGGGCACTTTAATTGTTTGGGGTTGTTTTACTATTTTTTTGTTTTGTATTTGTAAAACGAGATTAAATAATCAAAATATGGAGAAAAAAAATTGTAGGAATTCGTCCTGTCTCAATTAAGCACATTTAATGAAAATTTATGTAAACTATGTTTTATATTTCCAGAAAGATCTCCAAGTATGAAAGAGGGTTCTACCACAAGTAAGTGTCTTCAAATTGTTAGGGTCAGGTTTCGAAAATTATAATTTTTCATCACGAGCTCACATGCAGTTGCTTTTTGTCTACACATTCGTTAGATTGTCAAAGACCACATTGTTTAAATTACGACGGTTCGGTACCCCGGGCCGGTGGCCAGGACTGACAGAAAAGGCAATCTCTGAAAAATCATCATTCTATATCATGTTCTGCATGTGATTCCAAGACTTTATACATCTCATTAATTTACACTAACTGGTCTTTATCAGGATATAAATAAGCTTCATAATCCTCAAAACATTTTATAAGGGCGTGATAACTGGAAGGTGTTTGGGGATTCTCTATTACAAAAAGTTTGTCAAATTGCTTAGTTAATGATTAAAAAATACAGCATGAAATTAAAGTAAATTTACCAAAATATCCAATTAAGGTGCGATCCAATTAATTATACGAACGTTTAAGTTTTGCATACTCAAAATAGGCTGTTTCCTAAGATCTACACGCTTAGAATTTAAAAAATTTTCGCACTCGCCACCTAACATTTCTTAATTCGCCCAATTAATGTTAAATACTGAATAAAAAGCAGAAATAGAAAGGAAATTCATCGACTAACTCTCAACTTTAAACAGTGGAAAAAGGTGGAAATTTATCTGGCCGGAAACATCATAAACACTACAGAGTAATGGAAACACCATTAAACTGTCTACTTTTAAATTCATATTGTAAAATGAACAGGTTCATTTTATATCATGCCATCTTAGATTATGTTGCGTGCATGCATTGTACTCAGAAGTGTTACAGAAAATTCAAAACGATGAAAATTTACTAACAAACAACTAAATTAAGGTGCTTAGGGTCTGTTTACATGGAGTTATCCCGGCTGGCGAGGTGAAAACTGCATATTATATAATGAAAGACAGGTTTGAAAGAAAGCCTTTGATGCGGTGCGCTTTTTTTCTCGCCTAGCCGGGATAACTCGCTCCAGACAGGCCCTTAGAGTGTCTCTGTTTAGACGTTTACACGGGGCCGGTCCCAAATTCGTCCGCGGTTACCTCGTAGAACACGTAGAGACGGTCAAATTTTCATCCAGTTTTGCCGTCTGAACACCTAAAACGGACGAATTCGAGCAGGGTTTCGCGAATTCGTTCGGTCCGGTGTGAACGTAGCCTTAAATGACAAGTTTTTCGTGTAAATATTTTACTTAATTTATGATTCCAGTTTTTTGTATAACTTCATCCAGGTTCATCCAATGAAGAATCAGTCAGTAACATTGGCGTCATTGTTGGTGTGTTGGTTGGCGTGGTTGTTTTAGTTATAGTCGTATCCGTCGTAGTTTTCTGTTTTTATCGACGAAAACGAAAAGAGAAAAATGCTAAAGACATTCCTGACCTAAAAAATTCTGCTTTTGAAGCAAACCCGGAAGAAGACATAGCAGTTGTCACGAATGCATCCGGAAAGTCCTCAGATGATCCCAACTCTGATGGCCTCTACGAAGAACTGGACAGTGCAAAAAGAGAACCTTTTGATGGAAATTATCAGAGTTTGGTAACTGGTGATTATGAACAGCTTGATAGACATCCTTACGAAGACGTCAAGGTGTCTGCTTCACTGAATAAGAATATAACGAACTGGCAAACCAAAGTTAATAGCGAAACTCTGTATGAAGAGGTATCCTAATGCATTATCATATGGAAGCCTATAACATGCAGGCTAAGGAATTTTTTTATCATAAATTTGGTTTTGCATTTTGTCTGCACTGTAAATCTCTAGAGAGAATCGCTGCATTTGAAAGAACTAAAATAATTTGTATGCATTTGATTTTATAAATTGTATATATTGCATATAGTTTAGTAGTTGGTGTTCTCATTTTCTTTTATATTGTAATTTATAATGTAATTATGGACGGGACACTTTCAGGGTGAGTATATAGGGCAACTCATTTCAAATATTTGTACTTATGGCACTAAATTAATTCATTTCCACTTTTTCATTACACGAGAGACAAGCATCAATAGAAACCTTTCTTATAATGACGTCAAACGCGGAAAGTCTGATGTTACACGAAATTTGATTGGCTCCACAAAATTATCGAGCCAATTAAACTTCGTGTAAGATCTTGACGTCCGCGCTTGACGTCATTATGGAAAAGGTCTATTATACTGCATGCATGCAGGACCGTTAAAGGTTTAAGTGGAAGATCAAGGCTGTATGCGCATCAGTTCAGCTCATAACAATGTGCGCATTATTTAAATTAACAAGCAATTGATCAGAAAATATCCTGACATTGGGAATAATAGATGTTCTTCATGCGGTGATCCTAGGAGTTTATTAACTCTGTCGTATTTCTTTTGTTTGAGCCAAGATGAAAAACTCCGAACCGCGGTTGATTACCCATACCTGGGCAAGAGAGGTTAAATCCACCAAAGTGTTTCTTTATCCCCTTACATGATAAATAATTATTTAACCTAAATGGTTGGAAAGTCCGAGTTTGACAGCAGTTTCTTTTCACTATTTGATATAGACATACTCGAAAAAGAACAAGAAGCCTGCTTCGAGTTACGAGAAAACGAGGCTTGCAAGATTTTCTTTGCTTCATTTTAAACTACTAGTTATTTGTTTATTCACGCACTTTTATGCTGGACCAACAACACAAAATTCCTATCAAAATTTAAAAATTATACCGATGATTTTGAAATTTTGACAGCAGAAAACCTGACTAGCCTCGTTTTCGCGTAACTTGTGATGATATATATTACCAAATTTGGTTTCAAAAATTCTTGCTATGTAACTCTTATTCGGTTCGCCCGAATTTCTGGCTGAACGTTGCCCGAATTTCTTGATTCACGAAATTGGAGGAGGGGGGCAGCCTAACCCCCCCCCCCTCGCGGCCCGTACGCTAATGTGGACGCATATTCTGTGTACTCGAACGAAGCTAAACAACATTGCTCGCATATTTTGTGCTGGATAAACATAATGTACACATACTCTGTGCAAATCAGAACTAAACATCTGTACGCGTATATATTCTGTGTGATCAAAACTAATCGACTGCGTGCATATTTTGTGTACTCGATCTAGTTATTATATTTCAAAATTTAATAATAAATCATTTTGCTAAAATGGGTACGGGCAATCGATGATTCACAGGCTGGTCCCATTCCCCTTTTAAAGGTTGTCTCGATCAGTCTTGTTCCTAGGCCTCGTTGCGCGGGTTTTAAATATATGTGTGACGTCACCGAATGAAACCGAAGTGAGAGGCCTAGCACAAAATGTTTTCTAATCTAATGTTAACGGCTCATAACCGCCCATAAGAATTGTTGTAAGAAAGTAAATGTTTGCAATTTATAACATGAACCCTTATAAAGGAAGGAAGAATGAATAATTGAAATTGGCAGATTGAAGCTTATTATAATCATAAACATGTACGTACGGACTCGAATTTACTGGATAGTCAATAGCATTGACAGCGAATGACATTGCAACGTTTGTATGAATATTTCAAAGTCCTGGCAGCATAATTAATTTCCCGTAGCTGTTTTCAAGCAAAATATTTGACTAGCGAAGTCGAACAAGATCAGCTAACCGCGTCGTGGATCGTAAACTAACCTCAATACAGAAAGTGGGGACAAAAAGTCCTCACTTTAGCTAAATGAAACATTTTCTTCTTGGCCTCTCAGCTCCCGTCTCGCCTTATGACTAGGTTGCTTGCAGGGTCAAAATCAGGGACAATTTTCAAAATTAATGTCAACATTTTGTGCTAGGTCTCTCAGCGTGGGCTGCCCCTGCATATTACTATCAGCAGCGCGCGCTTACAAGGCCTGAGACTAGGCTGAGCCTCGATGTTTTTGCAGTGCCTGCCAATTTTCTGCTTTTATTTATAAACTTTCTCCGCTAAAAGCAGCTCCTGTAGCTCGAGTAAACACTTGGCAATTTCGGATTTGGATTTTGATCAAGAAAGGATAATATCTTGGTTTGTTTTGAAAAAATTAAAAAGTAATCGAAATTTTATGAATGAAAAATATCCGATGGCGATGATGAGCTACGATTAGGAAACTATGAGCTCCATAGTGACATTTGATATGTATAGTCGACTGTGCACTGGCTTGTTATTTCCATAAACTCCCAGTTACAGATAATTCCGGCAGGGATTTCAGTCCAGCATGAATATTATTTTATAAAAAGCCTAAATCGTAAGCTTCTTACATTTGTATAGCCTATAGGCCTATATGTTTTTTAAAGACTTTATCAGTTTATTTTGGTTACTACACAACATATATTGGCATTAAACGCTAAACAGGATATGACACTTGATCAAGATATTCTTTTAGTATAGTTTTCTAGTCATGTCAAACACGGAAAGTCTTTCACGACAAGTTTGTCAGTCATATTTTGCCATCAAAGACTTCTGACATCAGACACACTGAGGCGATAAATCACGAAAGAAGAAGAAGAGAAATAGGCGCGTGGTTACAATATTTTTGGTAGAATTCTTTAGGATTGATATTATAAAGTTATATACTTTTTGCCTATCCGTGTTCGATTTTATATATATGCGTATATAAACCCAAGAAAACGGCGTAAGAAGTATTTCGCATGAACACAGATTGAAAGTCCTCACTGGCATTAAAGAAATTACCAACATAATCAGAGGTAAACTGCTAAACTATAATTCATTTACTTAGTAGATAAAAAATAATTCCGTAAATATAAATAGTCTAGCTGCCGTATTTATTGGCTATACTATTTCTTTCCAACACTCGTTTATACATGTGTTTATTATTTATCGCGTGTATACATAGTTTATACCTGAAGCACAAAAACTAATATAAAACTCATATAATTGATATACAAGCTTCATTATATTAATTTTAATCATCTCTAGATCTTTGAGAGTGGGTGGTCTTGATAAATTATAGCTTGACAATTATCCATAATCATTGTAATTTATATTATGTAGCTTGTCAGAACCGATTAAGATTAATTTAAATTCAAACGCTAAAACTCGGCTAGCTGCTTCTTAAATGCCCATTCGATTATTTCAACGAATAAATTATAGGGTAATCATGAGTAAGTTATATATAAATACTTAAAATAAATATCAAAATAATAATGTTCACAGTGTCCGTTCGGGCTGAAGCTACGTCAAAGACAACTGGTTTGAAGACCAGACCTCAGGCTCAGTTAATTTTCCCACCCAATCTACACCTTATAAAAATATGGTCCCTATTTATTGCGTGACATTGGCTAAAAAGTAGTCTTTTTAGCGGATTTTTTAGTAACGAACACGCGCTGAAACATTTCTTCCAATCGACTTTCATTATACTTCATGAATCATAGTTTCAACAATTCATTTTAACAATCCCTTAGAATTTGACCTATTTGATCATTTGTGTTATAATATGTATTGTAGGAGTACACTTATTTTTAATCTCTTTTAATTGACACATGCACTTGTCTGTATTGCTGACATGCATGGTGCTCGTTCTCATGTATCCATTATATCTTAATGACGTACGTACTTAATATTAACACCATCAAAGTTCTTTATTACTTCAATTAACATGAGCAATAAGTGCATGGCTTTCCCACTATACTTCGTACAATTGCATGTGCATGTTTCTTAACCATTTCATAGATTAACAATTCAGACTATATTCTTCTAGAGAACATCGACAACAATATACGAATTATACACCGGATTAGGACAAAAATAATTATGCAAAATGCTTTCTTGCAAACGTGTAAGATACAGTATAAAGACCTTTGAAATGTTGAAACTGGAGAAGTACTTAGTCGTCATTAACATAATATGATATTGAAATGTGGTAGCATCATCGCACTAATATAAGTCACACGATCGGGCTATAACAATTAAGCTGAGTTTAGGCGACTCCATTCAATATATACCGGCTTGTATTATATATAGTTTGATATACGCAACAGTAAATATAAAGGCAGGGAATAAAAACATCTAAACAAATAATTAAAATTGTATATTATGCATGTGATCACCAAGGAGATTCATTTCAATTAAGGATATTCAAAGCAACAAGTATTGCTTGTGACGGATTGTGTTTCAAAATTCCATGTGTCCGGCCTTCCCCCTTCCCCCTTCCCCCTTCCACTCTTCCCTAATGTCCACCCGCTGGTTACACAATTTAAAGTACATATTTTTACCATAGGTTAATTGTTTTACGAGGCAGCAAATGGATTATAATCTCCCAGTTCAACTGATAGTTCTGACTATTTTATTTTGTGTTACAAATTCGAACCAATGCAAAACGGGAGAGCCGTCGAAAGGTAAGCGTACCGACGGAAAACTTTATATCCAACGAATAGTATATACCAGTATTTTGTCCGTCAATTTTGCATAATATTTGGGATCAAACTTCAAGTATTTGGGACTACGCATCAATTTAAGAACCATTCACCAAAAGAACTCGCTGGAATTGCTAAAAAAGCTAGTACTCAGAAAAATGCCAAAAGTATGCAAAACTAGAGAAGGTGAAATAGTTTAGCGTGTCTATACGTTTTCTGGAGAGCCAGCGTCTTAAAAAAGCTTAATAATTGGGGATCGTATATACGTGACCAAGTTTATTTTCACAATTTCAATTTTCATATCCCCGACTCGGATAACCCTATAGCTATTTGTCGACCCAAACAACTGTAAAATTAATACTGGTCAATGTAAAACATTCATTTTCACTGTACTCTTGGTTCTTACAAATCTTCACTGTACAAATCTATGGAATTCACACTTAAGTGTCACGTGCACTGTTAAATGCATCACAAAATATTGGGTCAATAGTTATTATCAAGACGACAAATATGTGTCCGTAAAAAAGCCAAAGCACAACTCCTGCATGCATGTATGTAAAATAATTCTGATCTAAATGCAGTTTAAACAGGATTCAATTCATTCATTTTAGAACATCTATGTTATCAACAACGTCATCTTTGCAATCCCCCCGTATACTTTATGTTACTCGATAATATAAACACTACAATGTGCCTTTTTTCAATTTTTTCTTAGATCCTAGTGAGTCGGAACCCGATCTTAACATGACATTGTCGGACGTTAGTCTTTATGTTGGGGATCAACTGAATATTACCTGCATTGCTGATAAACCTCGTTATGATTCTCAACGTAAATCTTCCTTTAATCTGCACCCTTCCACGGTTAGGATCTTCTTTCCTGGTAACAATGTGGTGAAACCCGAATGTCCTACATCAAATGGGAAACGCGTCGTTTGTAGTCGTACTGTATTTTTAAAAAAAACAGGAGAGTTACAGGCATCATGCTTCGCAAGAAATGAAATTAATTGTAGAGTGAAGAGTCTAGTGGTTACTGTCATGGAAAGACCCATTCGTAAATATATCCATTAATATTTTCAAAAAAGTTACGGCGAAAAATAGCGTGCAGACGGTGCAGTATAATTGTTTGGAGTTGTTTTACTATTTTTGCGTTTTGCATTTGTAAAACGAGTTAAATATTAAAAAAATGGGAGCAATTTTGTTGGAATTCGTCGTGTCTCAATTAAACACATTTGATGAAAATTTATTTAAACTCTGTTTTATACTTCCAGAAAGCTCTCCAAGCATGAAAGAGGGTTCTACCACAAGTAAGTGTTTTCAAATTGTTAGGCTCAGATTTCGACCCTACTAAGCTAGCACTTGTCAACACATTCGCTAGATTATCAAAGACCGCATTTAAAAAGTTTAAATTACGACGGCTCGGTACCAGGGCCAGTGGCCAGGACTGAAAGAAAAGGCAATCTCTGAAAAATCATCATTCTATATCATATTCCCTGATTCAAATGAATTTATAGATATCATTTAAACTAACTGGACTTTATCATATGCAGGGTATAAATAAGCTTCATAATCCTGAAAACCTAACTCTTTGTAAGGGTGTGAAAACTGGAAGGTTAAAGATTAAAGTAAATTTAGCAAATATCCATTTAAACATTTACGAATATTTAAGTCTAGTCATACTCAAAATAGGCTGTTTCCAAAGAGTATATCAGTAGGTTTCTGGCGTTTAATTTTTTGTATAGATTGGGCTATATTAAAATAGTGAATAAAAAACAGAAATAAAAATTCAAACTTTTGAAACAGAAATAAAAATTCAAACAGTGGAAAAAGGTGGAAATTTATCTGGCCGGAAACATCATCAGTAATGGAAACACCATTAATTGTTTATTTGTAAACTCGTATTGTAAAATGAATAGGCTCATTTTATATCATGCACGCCATCTTAGATTAAGATTCGTGCATGCATTGTATTCAGAAGCGTTACAGAAAATTAAAAAGGATGAAAATTTACTAACAATTAAACAACTAAATTAAGGTGCTTAGGGTCTTTACATGAAGCGAGTTCGGCTGGCGAGGTGAAAACTGCATAATTTTACAATGAAAGACAGGTTTGAAAGAAAGTCTTTGATGCGATGCGCTTTTTACCTCACCTAGCCCGGCTATTAGTGTGTCTGTGTTGCTTAGGCTATACGTTTACACGGGGCCGGTCCCAAATTTGTCCGCGGTTTCCTCGTAAAACACGTAGAGACTAGAGGCGGTCAAATTTTCATTCATTTTCGCCGTCTGAACACCTAAAACGGCCGAATTCGATCAGGGTTCCGCGAGTTTGTTCGGTCCCGAATGAACGTAGCCTTAAATGACGAGTTTTTCTACTTCCATATATTATAGACGTTTCACCTTTAACGACGTCGATATTTCTGCCAACATCAATAGTGGAAAATAGAGGTACATAGACTGTGAATGAAGAAATACCTAACATGAATCAGTTTAAAAAAGGATGAAAATTACTTACAAACAAATTAAAGCGCACGATCTCCATTTCCCTTATAAATAACGAGCTTTATTTTAATCTAATGTAGACGTAACATCGTCGGTATTCTTGTCAATATCAACATCAATACTGAAAGATAGAGGTACAATAGACTGTATAATTATGAAAATGATTACATACAATAATTTTGAGGTGCGTATAGCCCATATAACGTTTCATTCTATTTTGATGTAGACGTGACATCTTCACCAACGGCGATACTTCCGTCAACATCCATAGTGGAAGATAAAGGTACAATAGACTCTGTTTAAAAAAAAATAGAATAATAACTAAAAAATACTATAATTTGCATACAATAATTTTGAGATGAGTCGACGTCTAAAGCGTTTCATTATGAATTATTTAAACGTAGATGTGACATCTTCACCAATGTCAATGCCTCCATCAACATCCATAGTGGAAAAAAGAGGTACATAGACTCTGTTTGAAAAAAAATAACATGAATTACTACAGAGAAAAGTAATAAAATTTTCATACAAACAAATTAAGGCGCATGTTCTCTGCTTGCTTAAATAACAAGTTTTATTCCAATTTATTACAGACGTGATATCTTCACCTACCTCGATGTTTTCGTCAACATCAATAGTGAAAAATAGAGGTACAGTAGACCGGCCTATATTGTAAATAAAGAAACTCTTAACACTAGTAACTACAAAGACTCTGGTTTCCAACCCATGAAACATACAGTTTTATACTAAGGGCTTGTTTACATGGAGCGAGTCATTCCGGCTAGGCGAGGTAAAAGGCGTATCACGAAGGCTTAACCTAGCTGATTAGTCTTTCAATATACATGGAGTTTTCACCTCGCCTACGTGGCCTAATTTGCAATTCAAAATACCTTAATAACAACACTATTGGTTTTTCAAATATTTTTGAAAATCTATGCCAATATGATTGCAAGTTAGAGTCTTGTATATATAATTTTTTCTGACTTACCATAGATCCATGAATGATCGGCACTGAATGCACGTACGCTCCCAAAAGCGTACATGTTTTTATAAAAATAATATTCTCGAACGTAAATATCACAATGTTGGAAGTACAAATAGTAGCATATATATAATGTGTAAAACTCAAAGCAGCTATAATATTCATTGCTTTGTTTGACCATGTGCGGTTGTATTTCGTTTCCTAGTTTGATCTCATATTGTTAGTAATTGTTCCTGTGAATATGCATGGGAGTAACATGCGTAACGTAGTAACGTATAGGCATAGTTTTTGATACAACACGGTAACTTTACTTTATAACCAAAATCCTAATTTCATTTTCCAATATTTCTAAACAGATGGTTTTGCAGGGAAGCAAGGGGAAAATGGTAAGAGTTGTTTTGCTAAAATTTAATATATAAACCTACATGTGTATATACATGCAACTACAAGGTGTAACGCTTTGAAAAAATTGCCTACTTTTAAGATGCGCACGATATTAGAAAAAACCTTTAGTATATACATGGTGTAGGTACCTTACTGTTCTTTGGGACGAGACGTTCCATATTTTGGGGGCAGACGTCCGATTTTCGGGGCTTCTTAAAAATCTTTTTTATGAATAAGACATTTTAGCTCTGCTGTGAACTATAATTACTATATGTGTCTTAACCATAATAATATATTGACCATAATAATGATGTTACTTACAATACATGACGAACATTAAGCCAAAGTTAATTGATATTGACATTTTGTTTAATTTAAGACGAGGACGATGAAGTTGATGATGTAAAGAAACTGGTGACCGCGGCACTTATCTTGGTAGTCGTGACACTAGTTCTTGTGATTTCAGCCATTCTTTACATTATTTGTGCGATCAAACATTAACTCAGAAGTCGAGTATATGAAAATTAATTCTGTGAAGATTCTTTGATCACGTTCTTGGTTTTGATGAGCCAGTGCCAGACAGATGAAAATAACAAATTGAATGAAATATTAGCACTGCGCAAAAAGTATTGTTCTAAAACGTAACGCTATAATATTTAGCCTATATAAAAAGCTACATAATTATATAGGATATTGAGGATAAATTTAGTTTACTCACAGCATATTTTAAACTACACGTACAATGTTTACCAATATTTTTGTTGATTGCTCTCGCTGCGGCTTCTTGTCAACAACTTCTTATATACTAATCACTATATATAAAAATCGCTATTTTTAGAATATTATTAATTCCCATGTGGGCGTGTTCGTGATGCTTACTAACATTACTATAATATTCTCACCAGGTCCCTTGGTTTAAACGAAATTCCCAATTTGAACATTATGTTTGTATCATTAATATATACAAATCTACCACGAATCATATCGTCGTTCATGACACTGTTCTAACTAATTATCATATCTGGCGGTGGTCAGTTCCAAGATGATCTTCTATATACCATCACCATTCTGATTAGGATGGTTATTAGGTCTGGGCTGAATTTCTGTTGGTACTCTTTCATCTGAATTCATCATCTGCGATGTCGTCCTCTGGCTTCATTATTTTCGTGAAATGCGATATATTTCTTGTGACTTCATGACCAATCTTTTGTTGAGCTGCTACTTCTACACTATTTTTCGAAATAGCTTTGTATGGTTCTGGGTAAAAATACGTGGTTTTTTGTTTGTGTTTCTTTTCCTGTCCAAGTGACACATCATCGCCAACTTTTACCTCGCTTTTTTATGCATTTCTTCTATGATCAGTGTATTCTTTATTTCTTTCATTCCTTGTTTTTTCGTTGTCTCGAGCTTCCTTGTGACGATTAATGACTTTCTTCCGTGTTAAAAAGCGAAAAAGGAACGATTTAAAATGTTTTAAGCGGGTACGTTTCTATAGTATAGTTGTTTATGATATTCGGTGTTTGCTGTATGAAGACGAATGTTGTTTATTCATATGTGAGCTTGATACGTCGTTTTCCAAAGTCATAGTATTATAATATAGGCTATGAAAGGCTTTTACACCGTCGTTTTAACTTCAAAAAGGGTTTTTGCAAAACGTAAATTTATATTTTAATGTAAAATGTCGCTTCAATATAGACCTATATATAGACTTATAGTTATATCTAGGTCCTGGCAGGAAATTATTTTGAAAATGGCGAGGGGTGCTGCATGCATGCATGCATGTATTTCTAGTTAATTATTTTGCTCAAAATACCGTCAAAAACAATAGCAATGCACTTCCAAATTCGGCTTCAAATTAGTTTCAAAAACGGCAAACGAGGCCCCATTTACACTATACCGGATTCCTTTGTCACGATATCTATTCTTTGTTGCGTTGAAAGGGCAACGGTTAGTAGCAAATGCTTATACAGCACAGAGAGAGAAAGAGAGCACACGTGTCAATTCAGTATGTGGGCGAAAGGACAGTTAATCCAAGCAACGAGAAACTTGATAATGTATAAATGCATGTATTGTAACCAATAAGACCCGACAATTAGAAAATAGAGTAATCAAGCGAACAGTTGTAGTTCTTTGCTTTAGTCTTTAAGTCCAGTGTTAAGGAAAGGTTTGTTATGTTTGATTAGGAGTGCATCGAGAAAGGCGAAAATATGATAGTTATTGATTTAGTAACGTGAGGATTTTATAATTATTGAGAAATTTTCAATAGGAGAAGGTTATTCAGAGATAAATGAATTTAAGATAAAGGTATATAAGTAGTGAGAACTGGTTTTGTAGTGTGGCTAAGAATAGATCGTGCTCCATTCAGAAAAATGTTGGCCTACTGCACTAGAAGAGGGCAGAGTAGAATGCTCTTTTCAAACGTACAGATAGGCACCTTTGCGTCATGCCAGGGCAAGCGACTTCGCATATAGTAACGTAATATGGGGTAAAACCAGGCGCTTATATACAGGCAGTCCGACCATCATAAAAACGCAAACATTGTGTTTATCCAGCATATATTAAAATAAGCCAAGTTGGGGCGTTCATCTAAGTTATAAAATATGTGATTTTATCACGCTTGAGGCAAAAGGCGAACGATAGAACCATTTTTACAGTTTTGACAAATTAACACATTAATTTTGTCTCTTTGAGTTTCGAGTTAAAATTTTAATTTCCTCCCATCTCCGCTCTTCTTTGCTAGCCCCAGTCTTGAAGTGCATCACACATGTTTCATTATATACGCCCTGATACAGACGACGAGAAACGCAATAAGGGGCTGTTTACATGAGTCCGGTTACCTCAGATTCAACGAAGCGTGAGATGACTTTGAGGTATTGAAATAAGTCTTTATGACACCAAACAAGCACATGCTATTGTTGTGGTGATTATACGACTGCCAAGATCATGTTATCTGCTTATTTCAATACCTCAAAATCATCTCACGCTTCGTTGAATCTCGGGTAACCGGGCTCATGTAAACAGCCCCTAAGAGAGCTAAATCAGCCTGGGAGATACGCTGCAAAGATAATCACAAAAGTATTCTATATTCCGCAATTCTCAACTTCTATGCCCAGCGGCATAAGGTATGGGCAGGAAAGATTAATTAGAATCCACTGACCACACAGCGGGAGAGCTAGTATGGCTCAGACGAAACCACATGAATTTACTGAAGATAAGTTCGATACTCCTCCACTCCTCTGTCCGAAGGAACTCAATTTATCAAAACACTCAACACGAGCAAATATCCTCTTTTTTATACCTACACACTATTACGTCACTTAAATTATGCCCATATACGCTTTTTGTTACATTCATTTACCTTATTTCTTCTTTCGCATACAATTAAAGCATTGCGAATAGTAATGCCAATGATCAGATGAAATTGGAGACAGACAATAATCAGTCTTTTCACGGTGAGGTTTTACTAACTGGTGTAATATGGTGCGTGTCATTCTGTGTGACATAGCTAATTTTAAGAATTTTCCATCACTGCACATATCATCACAATAGTATAGTGGAGACGGATATGATAAAAATGGTTCTAACTGGAAATTGGTAATTAAAAGATGGGGGAATTGTAGGGGTCTGCAGGATCTCTTGCACAAAATTTTCTGTATTTTTGAGTCCCTATGACTTGATTTCCAGCATTTTGTGTGACAAACTATATACTTAATAATTTATATGAATCCACTTCTGCAGTGAGTCAGGTCTTTTGAGAAAATGCCATTAATTTTATCACTGCACATTTCTCATTTTATCACTGCACAAATCGGTTATTACAGCACACTAAAATCAGCTATGCAGCGTGGTATCTCAACTGGGTGGCGTGGTTAGCATTACCCATGTTATTCGATGTTTACGTGTCTTTGATTTGCCGGATAAATAATTATAGGATGTAAATAATTTACGTTCGTTTGAGTGTAGCGAATTAGAACGTAATGCTTAATTGTTTAAACTACTTGTAGCTTCAACTATTCAAGGACACAAAAAAATTAAACGTAGCTTGGAGTTCTGTTACACCATCGTTTATTAATTAAAATGTTTTTTAATTGAATTAAACGAATGAATAGAACAATCATCACACTAAAATTAATTATTAAAACATAAAATTTATACTTCACTAGGTGAAAAATTAAAACCTAATTCTACATATGATATTGTAAAAATGTCATATCCAGTTGAAACTAGATTGAAGTTCCATTAGGAACACGTTCAGAAAGAAGATAGATGTAAAGAAGACTGCAAGTTCCAATTTCTCATTTCGCTTCTTTATTATCTTGAATGAACAAATATAAATGAGAAGTTTAATAGCTAAATATCTCTTGGAAATGTAATAAAATATACGTTTGCACAATGTTTTAGAAATTTTCTACACCAAGGTCATTCCTGACAGATGAAACCCAAAAGGTGAGGGTTGCAGGAAAGAGATATTCTTGGGTAAAGACCAAGGAAGCGAGGTTTATTATCACATGAATGGCATAAGGCATGTATTTTCACTTCATCCTCTGAAATTGCTAAATTTTAAAAGCTTAAATTTTCTTGCTGAGCTTTATATTTTGATATGTTGAAAAAGACACCACATGTTTTGAAACTTGTGCACAATATATGACTTTGTTTAACTATTGCAGGATATTATAACTCGTGTTACCTTTACGAGGAAATAGTACAATATCCTTGGTTATCCATCTGAAGCATGGGAAAGAGTAGACACGGTCTTGACTGGAGCTCGAAACTTTTACCTATATTAGTGGAATTTTTAGGTTTAATTTTTAAGAATATCGCACAATTACAATTACACAATTATTTTGGCAATACTGTAGAGCAAGCGCGTCTTCGTTTTAACTTTTGGAAAAGTAAGTCAATGTCATGCAGGAAATCACTGAAGGTCAACAAGAAAGTAAAGACTTGATGACTAATAAAGATTTCTGGAATATAAATTTGTTTCCAAGAAGTACTGCTGTAAAATTACCAGAATATTGTGACAAAAATGGCTGTCGCAACCACAGACTTTGAGCACTGTTTGACGACGTCTAGCGGATCGATAGAGCAGCCGTTTAGAAACGTTTCGGCAACTGCATTTTTTACCTTTGCTATATCTGTAATCTGCCTATTTCAAAACTGCTGATAATTTTGACTGAGTTCTCTTAACGAACTTATATAATCTTACATTCATACGAATATTTCGATTCGGATAGTTGATGAAGTTGACTTGTATCTACCAAATGTAGGAAATTTTGTTCTTATTGTCTTTCTGTTATTATTTTGTTCTTATTCCTGATATAAAATTTTCTGTACGTACGGTGCAGATTTTTCTGCAATCACTTCAAGCAATTCAACCCAGTGAACACAGTGAACACCATATAATTATATAGAACTCTCTATATCGCTACTGTGAATCCAGTATACTCTATGCATTTACCCTGTTCACAAACCAATCTGGATCGTCTCTCCAGTAGTATCCTCCTCCATCAGAATGAAGTTCAATGAGTTGAATGTCACCAACATCGAATGCTTTCACTTCATATTTCTCTTTACTTCCTGCCTCGAAATCATTATGGAGCCATTTGTCCAGCTTCAGGTAATCTGTTCGACCTTTCATACCTGCAGATAAATAAACAAATGGATAATTTAAAATTTAGGGAAAATCGTATCATCGTCCTGGTTATTCAGTTTGATCACCCTGGTTATCCGCTTTGTGAATAATTTTTGTATTTTGCTTAACAATAAACATTCTATGCATTAAAAACAGACTATTTTGCTGAAGGTCAGACAAATTACTGGCTACTAGTCACTTAATTCACCTGTTATTCTAATGGTGATTGTAGCATCCGTCCCGGCATTCTTCCTGTCTCCAGTTTCAACCTCGATAGTGTAATCAGCGTTTTGATCAGCTCGAGTCACAGATCCAAACTTCAGTTTACGAAGATGCTGAACGTGAGAGTACACAGCAACTCGAATATGTCCGATACTGTTGTAATCTTCAGGTGAAATAGCATCGAGTAATCCTAACGATTCAGGTTGGTTGACAATATTGAAACCCGTTCTAAATTTAGTAAAATAAATAGAACAGGTGTGCAGTAGGTACCGTTAAAAAATATTACATTGTATCAAGTTTGGAAAAGTTTATGACGCCTAACAATTTGTTCATACTTTAATTTTGGTTGAGGGAGAGAGGTGTTGCTAATATCCCTTTTTCAGGCATGTCAAGTTTAAACTGCATTTTTAGTCATCCTTGCTCACAGTGTTTATGTTTTGAGTTTACAAACTTTTCTGTAAAAGAGCTGGACGATGGCTTAAACTACTTACACATACCAAACGATTTCTCTATATAACGATGCGTGGTGATTTACGACAAAGATAAACTTTTTATACACACTGTATTGTCTGTATATCTTTTCGGCCAGTCGTTTGATGCAAGGTTTGTGTCAAAAGCTGATAAATATACGAAGAAACATCAAAGCTAAAAATGAGATATCAAACCTTTCCAAGACATCTGGTGACAATGGTGTCTTGATTGTGACAGTAGCAAGATCAAACCATGGGTGTGTTTCCTTGTCCCACATTATACCAGCGTGGTTGACGGTTGCAGTGTCTTTTGGAGATGCTTCATGTATTTGAATTTGCAAGCGATAATTTACTGGGCCTTTGGAAAGACGATCGACGTACTCTTGGCGTAAATAGTCGGTTGGTCGATTCTCATCAGCAAGGCGACTGAAAATCCTTGAGAACAGAGAAAAGAAAGTTGTAGAAATGGTGGATTTATAGTGGTGTTGAATTGATCGGTTGGTTAACGAGGATCCGATGATTCAAGCTGCCTTTTCAGGTGAAGTCCAAAATCACAGACGAACAAATAATAGATGTGCAGTATTCACCAAATTTTTCTTTGTTCTTCCTCTGTTAATCTTCCACTCTCATCTTCTTCTTTGATATCAACATCTCCAGGAAGAGCACGATATCTGCAATAACGAACTTTACCATCCTTTGCTTTAAAATGCATCGTAAGTTGAGAATAGTAGTAGAGATGAGCAAAGGTTTCAGGAGCTCGTCTCAGGGCCTCGACCAGATTGTAATAACTAAAACAAAAGTTATGTTCCTTTACTGTCAAAAGGAAGGAGCTGGGATTATGCTTTGTTGAAATTTGATTAAAATAAACTTTTACAAAAGCATGGATGTCAACAATAGACTGTCTAATAAGGAGACGGCGCCCGTTTTACCACCATAGATGTTGTCAAAAATTGTTGAAAAATGTAAATGAGGTCTTTGAGGACGGGCATTTGCACTTACAACAGTAAGTACGTATCACTATTGCAAATGCTGATATATGGATAAGTAATAAGGAACTTACTAATAAGGATTCTTGTAAACATATTCTTTACCCGCTTCCCCTTCGTCCATAGGAACAAAATCCTCTAAACTTGAAGTGTCCCAAAATACATTAGCTTCACCAGAGTTCATAACTATATCCATTGGACTCTCGCTATCACTGTCAGCAAACTTGATCGAGAACGATCTCGCATCTGCACCAGCATCATCCGGGAACTTGAGGTTTGCATGACGTAATCTGGCAGGGAATTTTCGACCTTGAGGGAATGGAACATTTTAGAAAATATTTCAAGGGTAGAATGACATGGTAAGTTACAATACATCCCTATGTTCATTCGTTATTCATGTTTTCTGATTTTACTCATTTTTATTTATGTTTTCAGTTTTCTCAATTTTTGGTCTTTGATTTCATCGCTTCGGTCGAAAGATAAAACATGTTGATGGCTTTTACGACGAGAACAGATGTTCGAAGATTCAAATAGGAATTTTCATCATCCAAGCAATTCTTCGAGCAGTTCCTCAAATCATGGAATACTAACCAGCTCTAAAGAATTCGTGTTCAGGAAATTTCGGATCATCAACGATTTTTATTTCTCCAATTCCGCCAGTACCAACAGTGTGGGTAGCTCTACGGAATCCCTTTAAGGTTGTGGCAATGGTGAATAAAGTCTTGAATTTTTCTGTCGTTAATTTCAATTTAAGTCCACCAAACATAGTGGCATTTTGTGGTGGCTAAATTAGAAAATTAAAAAAAGATTTTCTTCACTGGATTAGTATTATAATTATTTAGCTTTTTTAAATCCTCTATTCTGATTGGTTGACGAGCGGTCCGTGAAACCCATATCTGGACCGTGGTACGGTCCGTATAAATGATTTCGTATAAGGACAAGATCCCGGATATCTTATGTAGTTTAGCCACATAATAAATCGATTATTGGCAATATAATAAACCTATTACCTCGCTTGCTCGGTCTGCACATTTTGATGAAACACAGATATTTTGCATGGACCTCGCTGCTTCGTTCCTCGGTATATATTAAAAATTATAGATTCTGCAAGCAATTCGGCCAAGTTTTCCGGGTATGTTTTTTTATTTTTAACGGTCTTTTAGCCTTTTCCGGAAAGGTTTTCACACATTTTAACCGTACATTGCTTTAGTTTTTCGTTTTGTTTACATTTTTCACAGCAGGCCGGATGTATTTTACGTACAGCAACTTGAAGAAGCCGTGTTTTATCATTAGTATGCATACAGTGATAACTTTTACGATAATTATTGTGCGAAACAAAGCCCAGAATAAACGACTTCGACAGCGTTTACTGGTAAGCACCGCCAAATAGCATCTAAAATGATATGTTTCAATAGTTGCTTCTCTTGTATAAGCATGAAAAATAACGAGAAGAAAAGAAAAAACTTAACCAAACTGAAAACAAGATATAGGAACAATAAAACAGCCACATTTTAAATTAATGTATTTGACATAATATTCTTGTAGGTTTGCATTGTGGAAGTGAATATTGGACTGATGAAGGCCCGGATTAACGTAGCCTACCGAAAGCTTTGCAGTATTAATTACTTACCTGGTGTATCTATACAAACTAAATTACTTAATTGAAATATAGAACGTTCTCTGGTTGAAATATTGAAATTTATTACAAGCTTTCGGCTATCAGTCTATAGCCTTCAACGGGTAGAAAAAAGAGAGAGTTCCGCAGTCGGAAAACTTTAGAGTCATGGCATACAGCTTTATCCGATCAAGCTGACAACAATTTGAAGCCACTTCCAGGACAATATACTATGCTCACTAAAAAACACTAATTAAAATTTACATATTTCATGCTATTCCTTCTATATATCATATAACCTTTTCATACTGTCGTTAGACTCACATGTAGTTTCATGTTTCACTGTTAGCGTCCTTCTTTGAATTTATATTTTCTACTCGTTGAAGGCTATAGACTGATAGCCGAAAGCTTGTAATAAATTTAAATATTTCAACCAGAGAACCTTCTATATTTCAATTATGTTTAATCCTCGTTGCACATCTACGATTTTTTCTAAATTACTTAATGTATTTGACATTTTGTGAAAAGGCCTTGAGTCAATAACTCGTAATTAAGCCTCGCTACTTTCAAAATTCTACTAAAATAAGATGAACAAATATTCACAACCATACCGTGTGTTCATCTTTTATTCGCTTCTCAAGCTCCTCTTTACCAAATTTCTCGGCGAATATCTCAAATCCATAATTTTTCCCTGGATTGAGGAAACTATAATTATCATCCAAGCAGTGGCGTAGCCAGCATCGATAATTGGGGGGGGGCGATATTCATGTATTCATGTTCGATGTTATCAATCTCTTTTGAAATCTATTTTCCCTACAATCACTTAACATGAGTATATGAGTATGCCCCCCCCTTAATTATCGATGCTAGCAGTAGTATTAAGCCAATTTTCCACAAGGCGGAATTTCTCGACCGAACGAAGTTTTTCGCTCGATTTTCTTTTCAATTGTGACCGGTAAAGAGAATTCGCTACGGTCGAATTCTCACAATGAAAAGAATCTCAGGCGAAAAATTTCCTTCGATTGAAAAATTCCGCCTAGTGGAAAACCGGCTTAAGGAATTATGCATGCAAAGTACGTGCAGTAACGTCTAATCTCGTCTTCTATCATTACAATTATTACATAGGTAGGTACGCATAATTCAATCATAACAGGCTGAACGCTTTTCGGACACAGATTAATATCAAACACAAGTCGCTTGTAAGCAAACGGATACTTACAACCCATGCTGTTTACGAACTGTAACCCATAAATAATCCATGATAACTGTAGCAGCCACCTATAGGAAATTAGCAAAGTAAAGAAGCCAATGTGACAATGTCTGCTTTAAATTTTTGTTGGAAAAACGAAACAAATACTCTAGTTATCAAGTTTGAGTATTAATATCCTATTCAATATAATATACTTACATATTAGGTTTGGGAGTTTTTACCGACCCTAAAAGAACGGAAACGGCGGAAAACAAAACGTTATAATTATAATATTATACTCTTTATATATAGCTATAAATATATGAACAGGTCAGTGCTCTCACAATATGCATACTTTTTATTGTGGGGAAGGAAGCTTGGAATAAGCCTAGACAAAGAGCATTTGAAAACAATATATTAAATATTCCTCTCTCTTCTCGATAGAGTCAAACTTTTCTAAGGAAATTTCCTTAGAAGTGAGAACGCTGGACCAGGTAGATCGTGACTGAAAACATTTAGATAAATTAAAATAGCGAGGAGTACATATGCAGATAACACGGTGTATAAAAAGGCCATGTATGCAAACAAGCGTCGTTTTCGAGTGCTTTCAAAATTGTTTTGTCTATTTTATTGTTTAAACGCCCTGTCATGCACACGATCCGATGAAAAGTATGCTTAATGTGTTAAATTAGCTTCAGCCTCTATTGTAAATTGACGGTGTTTGAAACAGTTTTGGCATGAAAACGAATGTGAAAACGCTCCAAAACGACAAACGTTACCGTGTGCACATAGCCTAAATATTCATCAATTTCACGCTTCCTGGATTATTAAATTTTGAGCTTGTGCTTATGTAAATGTTTCATAACCGTAATGTTTCATCCAAGACAAAAAATTAACAGGTGCGTTTATAAAGTTCATAGCATTTTCAGACCTTAAAAACTAACCATGACCGTTCACCAATCAGCGACAATTCTACATAGAATACCGCCGGCAAACTAGTGCCTATATCGTTCCTCAGCCGACAAAATCTCTCCACATGCAACTTAAACCCCGTTTACACTACACTGAATTTATTGGCACGGCACGGCTGAAATGGGTACCTTTTCCCAATTTTATATTATAGTGTTCAGGCTACCAATACATAGGCCGGGCACGAATAAAATTGGAACAGGTACCCATTTTAGCCGTGCCGTGCCAATAAATCGAGTATAACGGAAACCCGAAACTGGGCCGCTTTTTTGCACATGACTGTCCTCATATTAGCAGCACTCTAAATATCACCACAGTTTATATCACTCTATATATCACCACAGTTTATATTGAAATTGACAGCCGGCTTATGTATTTATATTCGTGATTCAGTGAACTTTGATATAAGTAAGGGCCTGTTTACATGGAGCGAGTTATCCCAGCTAGGCGAGGTAAAAAGCCCATCACATCAAAGGCTTAACCTGATTAACCTTTCAATATATGCAGTTTTCACCTCGCCTAGCCGGGATAACTCGCTCCATGTAAACAGACCCTAAGCATGAAAGCTCAATATGAACCGATTGTATAGAATTATATTCACCTCACTAATTAATGCACGAGTGATATACCTCGGCTAAAACGCCATTGATTCAGGGGTTGAATTTTTGCTCAAAGAAACGCAAAGAAGAATCGACAAAAAGCTATGACTTTGAAAAAAAAATTATCAAGTAGGCGCCTACTGTACTGAGGCAAACAAAAATTTTACGGCTTTTGATGTACTCAAGATGTATATGATCCTGCACAACACATCCTGTCGATCGAACGGATTAACATACATATTTGTCACTATCCTGCATCATTCTGCTTTCTTTTGTCAATAAAACTGACATTCATATTATATTCATCTAACTATATGACACATGCTCGTCAACTCCTACCTTAGAGGTGATGATAAAATTTGATTTCAAGATCCAACTATAATGTCGCGGCTTTTGCGCTCTACCGTTTAAACGATGCATCTGAATTGATTACTGACTATCAAGGAGTTGTTATTACTGCTATGCTCACTGACACGTACATCCTCGATGCAAATTACTATGGCCATTGAAAAAGCGTCTTTGTTCAGTCCTATCATGTAGCTGATGATGCATACAGTCAGTGGCGCCGTCATGGTCACGAATTTTTCTTGAGGGGAAATAAACCAGAAGGTGCAGAAGAAAATAATTTTTACTTTTTAACTTCAGTAAAACGTAAACATTTTAAGTCCCTTCTCTCGATCTCCCGATTTTAAAAAGAGTAAGCTCGCTATTATCGTATCACTTGACGGCAAATATTTCACAATATAAAAAGATTTGACAAAAATTTCTAAGACAAAAAATCAGCAAGCCTGAGATATTCTGAGATAACCATTTGAGATAGTCTGTTGTCTTATGATGTTTGTGGCAGCAAATGCACTGAGGCCAATGCAGTAATGTTTATCGATAACAGACTACATTCTATACGTCAGAATTAAGTGAATTGGATCCAACGAAATTGGATCGTGTGAACAGACCTAAAGGTTTTAAGTGCAAAACATAACAAAGGAATGATTGACACAAACTAGTATCCACCAGAACTTATGTTCTTAAGTCGTGATACTCTTGAACTTCGTACGACAGCACTATTATAGTTTGACAGGAAATCCCATGGGCTGTCATTTCATGACAGGAAAAGTAATTACGTGATCATTGAACCAACATATCCAGGGTTTCTTGGCTAGATTTTACACTCAAATCCTCACATTCCTCGCCAGCATCACCGTCAGCATTTTTGTTTCTAACACGAGCACTTTTTTTCACCATTCCAGTAATTTCTTCATCAATGTTGACCTTCTATTTTTTTTACAACGCTAAATTAACATTATGTATGCGCATTTCGTAACCGTCTGAATATTCATTTCACGCTTCCTCAAACCTTCGAACATTATGCAGTGCTGATGTAATAACCTTATATTTTGACTTAATTACAATTGCGGTTTGTAACTATCTGCTGATTCGATATACTATGTATATGATCGCTTCAAGCGTTTCGTTTGGTAGAATTCCGTTAATCAATTTAAGCAACGATCCCTTCTATATTACGGGACAACCAGCCGGCGCCACTGAATGCAGCACGCGCATCATGAACCCGTAGGGTATATCCGTTTTTAATACTGGTAATTAATATCTGGAATCAAATTTTAAAAGTCTTTGGAACATCGTTAAGAATCGAAAAAAAATCATGCCTTTGAAAAAAATTATCGAGTACTGTAATAGAGCGAACATAAATTCTACGGGATTTTATGTACTTCAAGATGTAGTATATCGATAGAACTGACATGCATGTATAACATATGATATGTAACATATACAACTTTCTATTGTCGATAGATAGAACTGAGATAACATATACATCTAACTATGTCACTTTGGTCGCGTGTTCCTACCTTACAGGCGATGATATCTTGCAAGTTAAATTTGAGATCCACCAAAATTTCAGCTCCTGCCTCGGCTGCTGTCAACAACAATGATTAATGAACGTTGGCTACGTAAGAGTTGTTCCTTGATGACGTCGTGTGCACTGATACGTATATCCTTGACGCAAAATACCATGGTAAAGAGTATTTTGCATCGAAAAAACTTTTATGCTGTCTGGAAGGGACTCGATCACTCAATGTCTTTACATTACGTAGCTGGGAAGAGGCATAGCTACAGCACGCGTACGTCATAAACCCGTCAGTTGCGGAGCCAGCGTCGATAACTGACATCAATTTCTTTCTTTTCAGTCACTTGACATAAAAAAATGAATATTGGAATATCATAAAAAATAAGCATAGCTTGGAGTCCTGTCACACCATGATTTATTTTTATTCAAGTTTAGTAATTGAATGAAATGAATGAATGGAACAGTCATCACACTTAATTATAACACCAAACAAAAATTAAACCAGTTCTACATACGATATTGTCATAATGTCATATCCAGTTCAAACTAGATTGAAGTTCCATTAGGAACACGTTCAGGAAGAAGATAGATGTAAGAAAGTTCCAATTTTTCATTTCGTTCTTTTATTTTCTTGGAAATATCTTCAAGTTTGTCTTGGAAACGGTTGATAGCATCAAGGGCTTCCTGGTCTTCCCATGCTGTGGCACGGTAATTCCCCAAATAACGCTAAAACAGAGGAATTTCGTTTTCAATTAATCGCCATATATATTTTTTGGGCGAAGCCAATCAGAATGCCAAAATTTTTAATACTTCATGTAAAATTATAATATAATGGTTTATCTTTCATTTTTCGTTTCGGCGTTCAAGAGTTCTTGTTAGTGAATAGGTGTGCCTCTTTCGGCTGCTGGTGTTCACTGGGGTTTCAGGGTTTCGGGTGGTTGTCCATCTTTAGCCGTTTGAAATGTGATATATCTCTGCATTACCTGATGTCACTGATCAATGTGGGCAATGAGACTTCTAATATTTAAACATGCAATAGACAGCCCACGGTTACAAAAAATAGATAAAGAGATATTATAGATAGGTGCTGTAGAACGACCAGCAACCGTACTAAACGACTCCATGATCGTTTTAACTCCGTTTATACTTTTTTATCCTTATTTTAAACGGTTTTATCCTCAATTCATTGGTAATCTCACAGGAGTCACAAAAATTCCGCCTCCAGTTTCCGCTTTCGCACACCAGTTTTCTGTCTGTCCTTGTCATTTTGTCTGATCAGCGCCAAGAGTCCCATAATTTATGAAGCCGACCTTTCGCCGACTCATTGTCTGCAAGGAGAAAATGCAAGAAAGACAAAAGATTTTACTCATCAATACTCACTGACAATAATACTTTGCCGACGTCGGCGTCATATGGAAACCAGGCTTAAGAGTTTCAAGGCGATATAATGCCTTGATAATATTGTATATTTCGCACAGCTGGGACAAAATTCGTTCGGCTAACTACACTCTACTGTGGTATATTTCGCTTTTGCAATTGTGTATTAGTGACTACACTGTTGGACACGTGGAGTATCGTGGATTAACCATCAATATAGTGAATATACTGTGTTGTAAATCACTGCAATCAGGTAGTCTGTATGAGAATTTTTAAAACTATAATTTCAGTGTACTTGACTGATAAAGTATGCACATTATATAATATTTCATTCTCGCTAGAAATTCACAGAAGCCATTCCGTGAATTTTCAAATACTTAACAGCAAGCATTGACTGAATATTCGTTGCAACTGTTTTACAGCAAGATAACTGAGCAACATGATGCATGCAGTCCATATCACGATGTCTGTGTATATCGCGCTTTCTGCATGTGTTATATATTATGTGGTCTGTTGTTGTCTTTATCAGTTTGCCGAATGTGCCGCAACAATAGATTAAAATATGGACACAATGAACAACTTCGAATTCTATATCTGAACAATTTTGAATTCTATGTCACTTGAGATTTCGAACGGGTTTCAATCGCTATAGAGATTTTGAGATAATATTATTGCATTTATGGCATTATTCTCAAAACAACGTCTTCTCGTATATTCTGTCACGTATAAATGTCACGATCATTGGACATGTGACCTCTGGATCGGAAGCAGTTTCGTAATAAATTGATAAGTAGCTACTCATCGGCGAGTGGTGACTAGTTATTTACAATTCGTCATGTTTTCGACGTGGGTTCTATGAAAATACCAAATTACGATTCATGGATACGGAAGAATGAAGAATCCGACGTAGTAGCATGATACAAAACGAAAGAGCGTCGACATCGACTACATGCGGCGCGCAGACATTCCAAACACAAGTGCCACTTCATATTTAAAAGGAAATATCTCCTAGTTTTGAATTGAACCAATATCTTATATAATTTGGTTTGATTGGAGCTTCATTTCATAAATCATTTGTATTAAATGCTGAACACAGTAAAATTGATATTCACATTGTATGTAAAAGTAGTTCTTCATTTTATGCAGGCGCCTTACTCCATGCATGCAGGATAATTGCCAAGGTCGTTGTTTCACTCTGCAATATTTTCCTCACAACTTGCAATGCAATTGTAATTTTCATTACTGTTGTTCATTACTGTTCAAAATGCAAAGAAAACGTTAGCAGATAGTAGGAAATGTTCGTATTTAACAACTTTAGATGCCTCAGAAGTAGAACTGCATTGCAAGTTGCAAGAAAAGTTAAATGGTGTAACACCACAAGGGTCAATTTAAGTCTTATAAGCGTTACCTGTGTATAGTTCTGATTCTTGCCATGCGGGGAGGTCCCACATAGTTGACACATTCTCATCAACTTTTCTTGGCTTGAATCTGAGTGTAACTTCAACTCGAAATTAATTCAAATGGACCTTTTAGTACTTGTTACAGCTTTTCATAGTCTTTAGTCCATAGTCTTTTTTCGAAACATTTATAACTAGCGAAGTTAAAAATTCACAGTAAGTCTGGGTCTGAAAACCGGGGTAAAAAATTGTTTGTATGCTATATATAGAAAATTACAATTACAATCAGCCTCGTACCCAGGCGCTTTAATAGTAAAATATATAATAATGCACTCAATTATTGTATAGAGGTCAGTTGAATAAGGCGAGCGCGACGGGGTGCTCGCCTTTTTTTAACTGACCTCTATACAATAACTGAATGCAACGTTACAATAACGAATTGCAACGCTGAATTAGAATCACAACAATTATAATAATACAACGCTTATCACAAGAGCCAACTCGGCTCATTAAACAAAACCTATGAAGCATCAACGTGATGAAGTCAGTGTAATAAAATGATAAATCTCGTTAGGCTTCATTATCATCTCAATATCTGTCGTTGTTGGAATTGTATTTAACGCAAAGAAAATGCAACGTTATATGTCTAGGACAATTCTTCGCTATCCGCGATTTTTTATCATTTTATAGACTAATATAAAGAAATGGCTGAATCTTCAGAGTCTTGTGGTTCACATGAGAATGAATGTAACAAAGTCCTGACAGAGCATCGCAAATCATTGATAAACTGTCCTCACCCCGACACAGATTCGGTGAAAATCTACAAAAGACGATGGTACATTCTACTAATGTACTGTCTGATAGCCATTTTACAAAATATCATGTGGAATACCTGGGGACCAATTCAAGCGACAGCGAGAGCAGTTTATGATTGGGATGATTACGTCATTGATTTAATGGCTGCTTGGGGGTGCATTACATTCTGTATCGCAATGATACCGTTTGCTTGGATCATGGATGTGAAAGGTACAAGTTTATCTTCTATAGTTTTGTGACCACAGTTTAATTGTTAATCTTACGGTTTCATCTCACGGTTTGTTTAGTCTAGGCCAGGTGGTATAATGTAAACAGGCTATAGTCAGTTCTTTTCGTGTTTTAGCTTTTAAAGCCGGTAAAGGCCCAGAAAGACCGGACGCGATGCGGAAACGCGACGCAAATTTTCAGTTTTCAGTAGCATATAAATGAAACAAAATTCTGTCAGAAAAATGTGTGGAAGATCTATGGACACCAGAGCAGTCAAAATGCAATATCGTTAAGTAATCTACAAAATTATTCTGATAGGTATAGATTTTTTTTGCTTTTGGAAATTAAAAATTTGAAAATTTGCATCACGTCCGGTCTGTGTGGGTTTTGCGCACAAACTAAACAAAGCAATGCGATCAGATCCGTATCTTCTTAGCAACCATACAAGTGCATATAGGTACTATAAACAAGACATATTGTTTGGCATGTAGTCTTCCTGCCCCTATTCATATCCCTGCTTACACTATACTTAATTTATCGGTACGGCACGGCTATAATTGGCACTTATTTGATCCGTGCCCTGCCTGTGTATTGGTAATATGAACACCAATAAAATTGAGTACGGGCATCCATTTTCCCGTCCCGTGCCAATTAATTAAATGTAGTGTAAACCCGCTAAACCAATTAACTAAATGTAGTGTAAATCTTATACATAGGTCTACGATTAACAATGATTCTCGCAGCTGGATTGCAATTCCTTGGCTCCGCGTTGAGATGCATTCCAACTGACAGCACACTAGCACACAATTCATCATCTGTCTCGCTGGTGGCATGTCCCCAGCTGCCCTCATATCTTCAACCTGGTTTCCTCCAAACCAACGCACGACTTCAACGGCGATCTCTACCGTTGCTAGTTACATTGGGACCGCGCTAGGATTTATCACCGCGCCTGCATTTGTTGATGATATCAAAGATTCAAACATTCCCATGGTTGACAATCGTTACCACTTGAATAGCACTCAAGTAAATATGTATAAAAGACAAATTAACTCTCTCCTGTATTCTGAAGCTTGTATACAGTTTGTCATCTTTGTGGCCATCATTATTTACTATCCGGCAAAACCAAAGACCCCGCCCAGTTTATCTGCAGCCACAGGACGTGTTGATTTTAAAAATGGCATCAAGAAACTATTTAAAAATTACAATTTTCTTTTATTTGCAACAATATATGGAGCAAGTACGGGGGTGTATGGAGGATGGTGTTCTGTGTTGTATCAAAATTTATCTGATTATGGTATAAAAGTGAATGCAAAGTTTGCTGGATGGCTTGGATTTGTTGCTGTGATCAGTGGTGCTTTCTCTGGAGTCTCGTTTTCGTTGTAAGTAAAACGTTTAATATATGATTTTTTAAAGGTATTAATAGTTGATAGTTCATATTGTTTCAATCATAGTCCAGCCAGCAACGCAGAATATTAATTCATCCATCCAGGCAACACCTGCTGCCTTGGCTGCTGATGCGCACCTATACCGTGAGAGAATACAGAACTAATACTAGTTTTGACGATTAATATACGATATGAGTTAAAAATGAGTTAGTCATGGAAAAGGTTAAACCACCACTGCTCTGTTCCGCCAGGAATGCGCCAGAATCATCTACGACGTTGAATGATTCTCCTTCGAATATGCTTCAACGAAACCAAAGCAGCATTGTACTCATTTGCTGCTTGCACTGCCAGCTGTTGTTGCCGACGTCTTTGATGCAATAAAATACAGAGTAATAGGCCACAACATTGAAATGCAGCAACCAAGGGACCAAAACATAAAAAAATACAACTTGCCGCCATGCAAAACGTCATGTTTAGGCGCCATTTTCGAATACGGCAAGCTTAGTAGCCACGCAAAGGTGGGGTGACCCTATCTGGAGAGATAGCCCTACCGGTAAGGTGACCCTATCTGGAAAGATAGCCCTACCGGTAAGGTGACCCTATCTGGAAAGATAGCCCTACCGGTAAGGTGACCCTATGTGGAAAGATAGCCCTACCGGTAAGGTGACCCTATGTGGAAAGATAGCCCTACCGGTAAGGTGACCCTATGTGGAAAGATAGCCCTACCGGTAAGGTGACCCTATGTGGAAAGATAGCCCTACCGGTAGGGTGACCCTATCTAATGTAAACACTCATTATTTCTTGAGCCTAGTGGTAGGGTCACCCTATCTCTATGTAAACAGAGCCTTAGTGTTTTCGCTAAGCTGCGTGACATGAACCTAATTTATATTACACTAAAATTTTGGACACAGCGTGCCTATAATGGATACCCGTGTAAGTTCTATCTGTGATTTTGCCTTTGATATATGCGTGAGATACAATTGGGAACTGTACCAATTTAACCGTACTGTAGAAATAAAGCGTATTGTAAACAGGGATATAGTCTCTGAGTCCCAATAGTTATATAAAAGACAGGAGACAGCGTAAAGCTCAGTGAGCTCCCTGCAATATATTTCTATTCTATTACTGTGGTCTTAAACGTTTCATTTCAATTTTAGATTTGCAGATCGTTTTTCAGGTCATCACAAGTCATTTCTCATCGTGTTTATGGCTCTGTCTTTTTACACCACTTTACTAATCTGCTATATCTTTACTGGAGTTATATCGTTTAACGAATTCTTTGTCTATGTCATGTTTGGATTGAGCGGATTATTTATAAACGGTTCAATTCCATTCTACTTCGAACTTGGTGTAGAGATCACTTACCCGGTGGCTGAAGGAATAACTGCCGGTGTGATAACTTTCTTCAATAACATTCTGCAGACTGGATTTCTTGTTATTCCGTTAGGAAACTTTGGAACAAAGTGGATGCTTTGGACAACCGTTTGTACTTGTGCAGTTTCCACAATACTTTTACTGTTTGTGAAAGAGACTTATTACAGATCATCAGTAGATAGACAACAAAGTTCTAAATAAAATGTTAAAAGAAGAGTCATTATCAAAGTCTGTTCACACGATCCAATTTTGTTGGATCCAATTCACTTCTGGTGGATGTTTTATAATCTGTGGACTAGCAATGAATATATTTGGGCAGCGCTAGCAAATCAACCTAAACAAACCCAGTACTGCTTGATTAATAAATGACTTCATTCCATACATCAGAATTGATTGGATCCAACGAAATTGGATCATGTGAACAGACTTTAAATTAATTAAATACCACGTGACGCGTATCAGAATCTCTTCCTTCGGTTTTGTGGCGGCTTTCTAATTCATTTCTTGAATTAGATCCAGGTTTTTACAGATACACCGGTTTTTAAAAATGTTATAGGTTGATTAATATTGAACATTTCATGTAACAAATTATATCCAATAAGTATCACGTATGGAATCAACTCAAGTTGTTGCCATATCGCGTTGAATACATCCTCGGATTATTAAACCTGTAAACAAAGGAATATAAATTTATCTTTTATATCATGGACAGAAACCTCTTAATATGTTGAAATGCGCTCGCTTTTCCCAATAGTAAATATGTAAATACGGCAGGCGATTATTCGAGTATTTTACGATATAGTCACTCCGACGGAAAATATATTTAAATAAAAGTAGCTACCGTCAGATGATTCTTCGCCAAAGGAAACGTTCATAATACTAGGCTAGCCTGTCGACAGTCGATCCAGTAAAGAAATTATAAATAATGAAAATAAAAACTGCAAAATACAAACGTTTTCCAGAAATCGGTCACGATTTGGCAGAAATCGGCCATTTTTTGCCAGGCGTTTCTTTGCTAAAACAAACCACCCCAAACACCTTTGCGCGCTTGCTTTTTTCAGCTGAACTCTATACAATACCTGGATGCAATGTTATATATATTACTATTAAAGCGCCTGGGTACGAGGCTGATATGAACCAGTGATATGAACTCGTCAACATTTTTCGGAACGCTTCTATTGGCACGACTGTGAGAGTTTCAAGGCGATCTTATGCCTTGATGATCTTGTATATTTCTCACAGCTGGCGCAAAATTCGATGAGCTAACAGGTAGGCTACAATCAGATAGTCTGTATGAGAATTTCTATAACTATAATTTCTGTGTATTTGACGATAATGCATGCACATGTATGATATACTATTTATTTCTCGCTAGAAATTCACTGAAGCCATTCCGGCTTTCTTGGAATTTTCAAAATACTTAACAGCAAGCATTGAATGAATATTCGTTGCAACTGTTTTACAGCAAGATAACTGAGCAACATGTTGCATGCAGTCCACATCATGGTCTGCTGTTGTTATTAAAGTTAGTGTGCCGCAACAATAGCATAAAGTATTGAATTCTATATCAGTTGAAATTTCGAATGAGTTTCAATCGCTATAAAGAATTGAGATAATATTATTGCATTTATGGAAATAATATTAACTTCAAAATAACGTTTTCTCGTATGTTACAAAATGTCACCATCAATCGAGGTGACCTCTGGAAGCTTTGGTAATAAATTGATAAAGAAGCTAATCATTGGCGAATGGCTACAGCTATAGTTATTTACAATTCGTCATGGGTTTTCGACGTGGGTTCTATGAAAATACAAATTACGATTCACGGACACGGAAGAATCCGACGTTGTGGAGAATGATACAAAACGAAAAGAGCGTCTACATTGAATACATGCATGATGCATGCAACTTGAGATAGATTCCAAACACAAGTGCCACTTCATATTTTAAAGAAAATATCTGCTAAACCAATATCTTATATAAAGTTGATTTCGATTGAAGCTTCATTTTATAAATCATTTGTATATAATGCTGAACACAGTAAAATTGATGTTCACATTGTATGTAATCAGTTCTCCATTTTATGCAGGCGCCTTACTCGATGCAGGATAATTGCTTAAGGCACTCTTTCACTATGCAAATTTCCTCGCAACTTGCATTGCAATTATAATTTTGATTTACTCGTTAGCAGATAGTAAGAAATGTTCATATTTGACAACTTTAGATGCCTCAGGAGTAGTCTAATTGCATTGCCCGTTGCAAGAAAAGTTAAATAGTGTAAAACCGCCTTAAAGGGTGAATTTAAGTCGATTTTGAGAGGTAATTAATTTTAAGCTAACTGTATATAGCTAGTTCTGAATCTTGCCATGCATGCAGAGGCCCAATATAATTGACACATTTTCATCAGCTCTTCCTACCTGAATCTGAGATCGATGTGTGTGATTTCCATTCGAAATTAATACTCAAATGGACCCTTCACTATACTTGTTACAGCTTTCAGTTTGTGTCCATAGTCTTTTTTCAACATTTATAACTAGCGAATTTCACAATTCACAGTAAGTCCGGGTCTGAAAACCTGGGGTAAAAAATTATTTGTATGCTATATCGATATAGAAAATTGACCGGCAAATCACAACAGTTATAATAATACAATAACGCTTCAAATGGTTAAAAGGGCCAACTTCACTCATTAAACAAAAGTTATAAAGTATTAGCGTGCTGAAGTCAGGGTAATAAAATGATTTATTATATTCATTTTGAAATCAATGGTGCATGTTTCTGGCAATCTGATTGGCAAAAAATAATGTGATTAATTCCCAAATCGCACTGTTTTTGAGCATTAATCATATCATTTATAAGCCAATAAGATTGAAGCACGCACCGCAATAACCAATCAGATTTAGTATTTTAGTGTAACTATCCAATCAAAATTTTAATATTTTTACTTTGTAAATGCCCCGCAAAATTTCTTGACAAAAATATAGATGAACATTACTCACATTTTACACCGTTTACGGTTCTTTCAGCCAATAAATCGTTGTGAATTTGTTCAATTTTTTTGTCAGATTTCAAAATGAATATAATAAAGTGGAAGTTCCACTTCGTGTCGTGTAATTTTAGTGTGCAAAATTTGTACTGTATTAAAACTTGTGATTACAAATCGCACTCCCGCTTCGCCATTAAAAATCACGTTAGGTTTCGTTATCATGCATCTCTATCTATCGTTGGAATTGCATTTAACGCAAAGAAAATGCCACGTTATACGACCAGGACTATTCTTCGCTATCCGATTGTTTATCATTATGTATAGACTAAAGAAATGGCTGAATCTTCAGAGTCTGAAAATTGTGGTTTACATGAGAATGAATGTAACGAAGTCCTGACAGAGCATCGCAAATCATTGATAAACTGTCCTCACCCCGACACAGATTCGGTGAAAATCTACAAAAGACGATGGTACATTCTACTAATGTACTGTCTGAAATCCATGTTACAAAATATGATGTGGAATACCTGGGGACCAATTCAAGCGACAGCGAGAGCAGTTTATGATTGGGATGATTACGTCATTGATTTAATGGCTGCTTGGGGGTGCATTACATTCTGTATCGCAATCACACCCTTTGCTTGGATCATGGATGTGAAAGGTACAAATTTATCTTCTATAGTTTTGTGACCACAGTTCATACATTCCGCTTGTTAATCTTAGGGTTTCATCTCACGGTTGGTTTAGTCTAGGCTAGGTGGTATCACGTAAACAGGCCTTAGCTGTAGTCATGTCTTTTCGGGTTTTAGCTTTTAAAGCCGGTAAAGGCCCACAAAGACCGGACGCGATGCGGAGACGCGACGCAAATTTTCAGTTTTAAGTAGCATATAAATGAAATTAAATTCTGTCAGAAAAATGTGAAATCTATGGACACCAGAGAAGTCATGCAAAATAAATTATCGTTAAGTAATCTACAAAATTATTCTGATGGGTATAGAATTTTTTTGCTTTTGGAAATCAAAAAATTGAAAATTTGCATCACGTCCGGTCTGTGTGGGCTTTTGCGCACAAACTAACCAAAGCAATGCGATCAGATCCTTATTTTCTTTGCAACCATACAAGTGCATAATTATAGGTACTATAAACAAGACATATTGTTTGGCAAGTAGTTTTCCTGCCCCTATTCATATCCCTGCTTACACTATACTTAATTTATCGGTACGGCACGGCTATAATGGGCACTTATTTCATCCGTGCCCTGGCTGTGTATTGGTGACGTGAACACTAATAAAATTGGGTAATGGTATCCATTTTTCCGTCCCGTGTCAAGTGTAGGGTAAACCGGCTTATATCTTATACGTAGGTCTACGATTAACAATGATTCTCGCAGCTGGATTGCAATTCCTTGGCTCCGCATTGAGATGCATTCCAACTGACAGCAATTCTACAACGACAATCTTAATGCACTCTGGTCAATTCATCATCTGCCTCGCTGGTGGCATGTCCCCAGCTGCCCTCATATCTTCAACCTGGTTTCCTCCAAACCAACGCACGACTTCAACGGCGATCTCTACCGTTTCTAGTTACATTGGGACCGCGCTGGGATTCATCATTCCACCTGCATTTGTTGATGATATCAAAGATTCAAACATTCCCATGGTTGACAATCGTTACCACTTAAATAGCACTCAAATAAATATGTATAAAAGACAAATTAATTCTCTCCTGTATTCTGAAGCTTGTATACAGTTTGTTATCTTTGTGGCCATCATTATTTACTATCCGGCAAAACCAAAGATCCCACCCAGTTTATCTGCTGCCACAGGACGTGTTGATTTCAAAAATGGCATCAAGAAACTATTTAAAAATTATAATTTTCTTTTATTGGCAACAATATATGGAGCAAGTACGGGGGTGTATGGGGGATGGTGTTCTGTGTTGTATCAAAATTTATCTGATTATGGTATAAAAGTGAATGCAATGTTTGCTGGATGGCTTGGATTTGTTGCTGTGATCAGTGGCGCTTTCTCTGGAGTCTCTTTTTCGTTGTGAGTAAAACGTTTAATATATCATTTTTTTGATAGAATAGGTTTTTTGATCAAGTAGTTACATTGTGTTTCAATCATAGACCAGCAACGCAAAAGATTCAGTATAGCTACAATTAACATATAACCATGCAGGGGTATCCTAATTCATCCAGGCAACATCTGCTGCTTTGGCTGTTGATGCCACCTATACCGTGAGAGAATACTGACAGAACTAATTGATACTAGTTTTGATGATTAATATACGAGAGGGACCAAAACATAAAAAATACAACTTGCCGCCAAAACTTCATGTTTAGGCGCCATTTTCGAATACGGCAAACTTAGTAACCACGCAAATGTAGGGTGACCCTATATGGAAAGATAGCCCTACCGGTAAGGTGACCCTATCTGGAAAGATAGCCCTACCGGTAAGGTGACCCTATCTGGAAAGATAGCCCTAAAGGTAGGGTGACTATATCTCATGTGAACACTCACTATTTCTTGACCCTAGTGGTAGGGTCACCCTATCTCTATGTAAACAGAGCCTTAGTTTTTTCGCTAAGCTGCGTGACATGAACCTATTTATATTACACAAAATTTTGGACACAGCGCCGGTGCCTACAATGGATGCCCATGTAAATTCTATCTGTACCTTCTCTTAGATATTATAAGCACGTGAAATAAATTTGGGAACGGTACCATTTTAACCGTACTGTGGATATGAATAGTGTGTATCAGTGTAAACGGGGATATAGTCTCTCGCTCTGAGTCCCATGCAATAGTTATATAAAAGACAGGAGACAGCGTAAGGCTGAGCTGACCTGCAGTATGTGTCTTTTCTATTACTGTGGTCTTAAACGTTTCATTTTAATTTTAGATTTGCAGATCGGTTCTCAGGTCATCACAAGTCATTTCTCATCGTGTTTATGGCTCTGTCTTTTTACACCACTTTACTGATCTGCTATATTTTTACTGGAGTTATCTCGTTTAACCAAATCATTGTCTACATCATGTTTGGATTGAGCGGTTTCTTTTTAAACGGTACAATTCCATTCTTCTTCGAACTTGGTGTAGAGATCACTTACCCGGTGGCTGAAGGAATAACTGCCGGTATGATAGCGTTCTTCAATAACATTCTGCAGACTGGATTTCTTGTTATTCCGTTAGGAAACTTAGGAACGAAGTGGATGCTTTGGACAACCGTTTGTACTTGTGCAGTTTCCACAATACTTTTACCGTTTGTGAAAGAGACTTATTACAGATCATCAGTAGATAGGCAACAAAGTTCTAAATAAAATGTAAATTTTAAAAGAAGAGTCATTATCAAAGTCTGTTCACACGATCCAATTTTGTTGGATCCAATTCACTTCTGATGGATGTTTTATAATCTGTTGACTTGCAATGAATATATGGGGGGAGCGCTAGCAAATCAACCTAAACCAACGCAGTACTGCTTGATTAATAAATGACTTCATTCCATACATCAGAAGTGAATTGGATCCAACAAAATTGAATCATGTGAACAGACCTTTAAATTATTTAAATACCACGTGACGCGTATCAGAATCTTTTCCTTCGGTGTTGTGGCGGCCTTCATTTTTATTGAATGCAGCTTAATTGCGTGTTTTACGAAAAACGGCAGGATGATCTGGGGCCAGTAGTTCAAAAGCTGGTTAGCTTAACCCTGGGTTAAAGGTTACTTAATCGCTTGTTTACAAAGTTGAACATCTTTCTTCATAAATATTTTCTGGACCGACAAGAATCATATTTTGTAAAAGTTTTAAAACAAGGTTATCAAACAGCGGTTCAGAAGCACTTACACGAAACAGTGGATTGAAATTTAACGCAAGGTTATTAATTATTCCACCTTTGAACAACTGGCCCCTGAGGACCCCGATGCCCAATCCTTTGGTGTAGCAAGACAAGCGTTAGTGGACTATAGCGCGTCATTTCTCATGGATTATTTTATTATCAGTTTGTGCCATGGCTTCTCCTTGATGAAATTCAATATGAAGGTAAATAAATAAGAAGATTATACTTCACAAAGGGAACAAAGTAATGAGCCGAGGTTCTTTCGCAAGGGTGATGCAGAGAGTATGCACACTAAATGTTTGTTCAAGTTGTAAACCCTAACTGTTGAAAGTATCAATCACAATGGACGACTTGCGCTTTAGACTAACTTTTGATCAAAGTAACTAGAGGAAAATAAATCGCCCCAGCTAGAACGATCTTACTTAAATTGAATAAAACTGCCAAGTTTGGCTGCGAAATTTTGTAAAATACGGAAAATATAGCCATGCGAAGTTGGCAAATTTTGTATGCTTTTGTATTACGTGCGGAAATGTGTAACTAAATTAGTTACAAACTTCCGGTCGCAATACAAAAGTATACAAAAATCGACAACTTCGCATGGGTATATTTTCCGTATTTTACAACAATTCGCAGTCAAACTTGGCAGTTTTACTTATTTTAGTACGCTCTTTCAGAAATGTTCTTCTTATCGCCGAGGTAAGAAATTACTCTAAAGCGCAAGTCGTCCATTTAATTACGAAATCTGAACTCGATGTTCTGACCATTTTTTAGATTCAGTAGGACTAAATGAATGAATGTTATGGAATAAGCCTCCCCAATGACAAATGCTGTCAATTTCAGCTCGTCGATCTACATGTTCAATATCAGGCCTTTGTTTAATATTTGTCGTCGGTGTAGTTAATAAAAAAGTGGTATCTCGTGTGTTTCATAACATAGATTGCATTTAAACGCTCTGCTTTTCGCGCCTTTGTGCCTGTGGAAGCGTATCACATTCCGAGCGCATATAAAATAAGCAAGAAAGTGTCATATAACAGACACCCTGTGAGCGCCTTTAAAATTGCGCAGTGTTGTTGAAGACTTGCTCGACTGTATTACCTTGGCTTTGTCGCTAGAAGCCGAAGAGTCGTCACAGTTTGGTCACATCTGAAGGTAAGCCTTCCACAGTTCCTTATTTTATTTTAAATAGAATATTAATGAGACGCATTTGTGATTTAACGGAGATTGTGAAAATTATACAATAATAATAACACAATGCTCTCTTGTCAGCATTATAAACGACTTCTGTGAACATACTGGAAAATATCCTAAGCATCGCATCAAAATTCGTTCCATTTTGAATGTCGAATGTATAATAGATTAGCGCACAACTATTTGTCCTGAACTCCGGCCAGTTTGAGCTATTATTGTATTTAAAACGGTAAATTTTGCGATATGTTTCAATTAATGTTGAAATGTAGCATGCCGACTGTATTATGGCACTGATTACTAGATATGATATGATCTTGGAGTACCAGTAATTAATTACAATATTTGAACGAAGGCCAAAATATTCTAATCAATAGCACACCGATAAATCGACAATTATTGCCCATATATTATTGACAGCACAATACTTTACAGATTTATCAGAACAATTCCATAGTAGCATTCATTGAGTTTAAAATTTGATTTCCACCTAGTTCATTTTTTTTATGAAATTACATGGTTATCCTATGTTGATATGACTATCCTAGTTCATTTTTCTATAAAATTACATGGTTATCCTATGTGTGATATGACTATCCATCTGATATTAATATCAAACAAAACCTGTTTTTCAGATATAGTCAGTAAACAATAGGGTTTTGGTAACTATAAAGCCTGCATAGGTTTCAGGCATCGTTTGGATGAATTCACAAATCTAATCGTAACCAACCGTTAACCGGTTGTACCTGCATGAAGGCCGTATGAAGATTGTTTTTCGCTTTCGATCGCGGATTTTTAGCATCGCTATTCAAACTATTGCGCGTTGTTTTGTAAAAACGCTTTGGGAACAGAATTCTCATATTCCTTAGTGTCATTTCCCAATTCCTTAAATTTCCGCAACTCGTCATATCACTATAGCTACCTTTCACATATTTTTTTCGGGAGCAGGAAATATTAAAAAGTTCATGGGTATGAAAGCCGGATAGCGGTAGATAGCGCTTTTTTCAATCGCTTTAAAATCACCCGTTGCTGGGTATGGCTTTGATGAAATCTTGCCAGGCATCCAAAATAGATTTCCGCCCTAGATGTGTTTCCTGCCAAGTATATTAACTTTAAGCCTTCTAGTGAAATATTTAGATGCTTCATATTCCTGCTTAAAATTTGCAGCTAAAAATTTCGAGAGACTGTATCGAGCCACCTTAATATGAATAAGGCATTCAATATATTGTAGAATCCTTACAGATTTTCAGTATTTCGATCTGCATTGATGAATATGTTCCCGGCCCATTTCTGTCTCGAAATAATTTTGCACAATCTACCATCGCATATGTATATCTATTGTAGGTTTATCTCTAGGTGCTCAGGAGTATTTGTGTTCAGTTTTATATACTGCGGTCAGTGACGCACTCTTGCAAGCCAAGGCGTATGCCAAAAATAAAGATTTTTTATTTACGCACTGTGCCCCAACATCACCCTGTAGAGACTATGGGTAGATAACAATAGCTTTTCTTCACGAACACGCAGTTTTTATCAATCTTACTAAAGGTCTGTTCACACGATCCAATTTTGTTGGATCCAACTCACTTATGAATTTTGACGTATGAAATATAGTTGGTTAAATATAGTTGGTTGGATAAAGCAATACTGCATTGGCTTCAGTGAATTTGCTGCTCATAAACATTACAAGACAACAGACTATAAAATATCCATCAGAAGTGAGTTGGAATATTGGATCCAAAAAAAATGGATCGTGTGAACAGATCTTAATGTTTATCCATCTCCATCTCTGTTTTATAGTCTTTCACTACCATCATGCAAGCAGCAATATTCCTCCTCGTTGCCTTGGTAACTGTGGTTCTTTCACAAGATCGTGTGGTCGATCCACTCGAACCAAACTGCGACAATTGTCCTCCTGGTCCGCCTGGGCCTAAGGGTCTTATAGGTGAGCCAGGTTTCCCTGGCTACCCAGGAGAACCTGGTGATCCTGGCAAGGTTTTGTATCGTGGTACTGGTTTTCAATGTGGTGGCCAGCCCTGTCCTACCGGCAGTCCAGGAGAAAAAGGTTATATGGGAATACCTGGTGAACCAGGTGATATCGGTCGCTCAGGTCTCCCGGGTGGTAAAGGAGAACCTGGTGATCTTGGTGTGCCTGGAAAACCTGGTCCTCCTGGTGCTGAAGCTGGTGATGTGATGTATCTGCCATACAAACCTGGAGATAGTGTAGGACAAGTTTGTTACAGTTTCCGCAAAGTTTGTGCTGGTAAGTTTGGGCTATTAGAATTGTATATCTTTTTCCCGTTATCATTATCCAGCTGATCTGGGTATAAAGATAAACCAATTAGAAGCCAGATCTTCGAAAAAACTGAATTATCATTTCCCTCATTGCATATGACTTTGACACTCGAAAATATCAAGTAATTTTATTATATATAGGCGAAAACACGCTCATTTTGTAAATTATATTACCAACTGTAAATTAGAATTTAAATTTTTCGCCCTTTATACTATTAGTTAGAAGAATAAGGACAAATAAAACCAGGCACATGATAACTCAGTTATGTCGAGACGCCTTATGACGTCATAATCTCAGATCAGCTGGATACTTTAACCCAACAACCATGACGACTATCCTTAAATCATTTATATTTGTGGGTTCTGAATACGGAGAATTACTATGAATTTGAAATGAAATAGCTAACATTAGGATGAATTATTGGAACATTGCTTATTTTAGTATGGTTTATACACTTAGTAATATTCTATTACGGCAACAACCTTGGCATCTATACTAAAACTAAATGAACACCAGGTTTAATTTCTGTTCAAAATAATAGAGGAATTTTTATAATTAATGAAAGTTCTTTTCTTAAACATTTGACAAACTCGTTTTACTCCGTCATTTCTTTACTGAATGCCCTATAGCTACGAAAACTAGCAGGCTTGCTCTTTTAACCCATTTCACAGCACATAGCACTCTTAATACTGTTCCTTTGGAGCAAATGCAGGGTAATCCTGGTCAAAATTACGAAGCCATCATTCTACTAAAGTGTCTAGCGCTTTTCAACGATCCATTTTGAAGCAAATAATTCTTGTTTTAGTGCCAGGACTACGTAACGGTTGGCGTGGTTGGTATCGTGAGGGACAAAGCGGTTATATGATTTACAAAAAATGGATGTATTTTGTTACCTTATCTGAATGTCCATGTGATTATGACAAGCCTAATTTACCACAGCCAGCGAAACCCAGCGATTGCGTGCGTCTTGGAGAGTGCCAATGAACTGGGAGAATATTAACATACGAAAAAAACATTTCTCCATTAAAGATTAGTGTCTTTATATTAGAAATTTAAAACGTGTTTTGAAATACATGCTTTTGGAAACACATTACCTTGCATTGGATATTTTTGTATTATATAGCCAACCACAATGTGCAAACGTTTACGGTTTAATAATTACTTGTGCAGCAACTGGAGACTGGCGTCTGAAGTTGCTTTAGGCTGGGTAAAAAAGTGTTAGCCACATTGATTTTGCACAGGTATATATATTCCATATATATAAGACATTTTCTTCTTCAATATGCCCAAGAAATCGTCTTGAAAAACAAATAAACCGCCTGGTGCTTGATATTTGGCTGCCCAGTTCTTCCTGGTGGAGAATTTTCGCATAGAGTAGAGTTTGCATTTTTGTATTGCGCATGCAATGATGTGCTGAACTTATTGCGTCATTGAATGGAAACAATCGAAGGCGACACGAAGAGTATTTTAAAAATGCTTTAAGAATTATTTTTTAACAGCGAACATCGGAATGTATATGTTACGCTTTTTATCCATCACGGTTCATGGAATTACACAATTAAATCAAATTATACGTTATAAAAAAGAAACCATTTTTCAAGACGTTCTACATTAAACTAGATTTTCTGCAAACCAAGCTTCTAACAGTAGCTCACGGGAAACGCTGTGGGCAACCTAAGGGAAAGAAATGCATCATCAAACTATTAAAAATCAAATCAAAGAATCCAGCATCTTTAGGTTTGCTGTATACCATAATTTTTACATTGTATGAAAAACACAACGGTAAAGGAACATATATACGATTTACGATATGCCGAGATAAAGATGTTATTTCGCTTCAATTAAATTCGTTGATATTCATATTAGAATATTCGGGAAACATGCAGGAGGGAGCAGTGTGGCCTGATCTCGTAATTTTTATTACCAGATTCAGTCGGATGCACACAGACACCCCCACTTTTTTAATAAATAACAAAGTTATGTCAGGGGGCAGTCTAACTGGATTTGAGCAACTTTGGTTAAAAATTTAGTATATTGTAAGACTGCATGGGGGGAAGACATCCCAAACTTTACTTATCATGTGCCATGAAAAAAACGAAATATTTCGGTAACGAAACATTAATACTATAAAAATGTGTTACTTACCTTGCAATGTCTTAAATATGGCACCGTTAACCAACAAATATTGTCCCTTCAAAGCGGTGGAAACATGTGATCCATACGAAGTAACTACCTGCCAACCAGATCCCATGGGAGACAATTCACTAATGCCAGTACGGCGAAACACAACGTTATTGGAGTTGATACCATAAACATCGCCAATTCCACCAGCCTAAGAAGTAGAACTTATATGAACTTCTAGAAGATCGAACGATATAGAAATAAAACAAAACCTACAGACATCAGATTTATTTCCACTGTTTGGGTCTACATTACATTTGCAAAACTAAAATTACTTTAGAGAAGGCAAACTCTCCTGTGAAAACAATACATAAATTACTATATGTTGGGGAATATGATCAAATATAGTTAGCAACTGTCTAAGATATGCATGAAATTAACTTTTTCATGTCAGATTTATAATTGGATTGCAAGTTGGAAGGAAAGGGAGTGTAACAACGCTTTTACGCTGCTCCCTAGTTTTTACCTCAATTTGTTTCAATTTCCCTCCAATATGGTGCCAATTTGTTCCAGCACAGTTCTGATCAGACACACCAGATCGATAAAATATATTATCATTTCGGTTCACACCCCAGCAACCAAGAGCTCCACAACTGATGTATTTTAATGAACCTCCAATACGAGTCCAACCTTGACCTGAAGGATGAGTTGCTTCGATTCCTACATAGTACATTTGTAATGACTGTAAGACTGGATGGTTGTTAGTTAGTCGGTTTAAGAAGACTGATCTTATATTTCACCCCGTCATTCGGAAATATGAAAATGAGAGGGAATGCGGAGAAACCATGATATTTCGTTTCTTTCTATTTTTTCTTGAAATAACCATCCGAAATCGTTTGGCGAATGACTTGCGAATATGTTCAAATATGATTCAAAAATGATTCAAATTTGCGTTGAAAATGTGAATTTCATGCGGCATAATATACTGTCAGATAAAAATGTTGTTGCTGATTATTAAGCTTTACCTTCACATTTTATAGACTTTACGAATTTTACCTATACGACAGTAGATTTCGTCGTTACTGTTCACTCCATACACTATTCGACCCGGTCCTGAATCGATCTGTTTTAATTTCCCTGGTATGTATCTCCAAGATGAACCACCAAGGTAGTAGTAAATATCATCGTATCTGTTTGCGCCCCAGACCCCGGCATTACCCACAGTTACATGTTTTAAATGACCGGGAATCCTTATCCATGTCTTGTCTGGTTTTAATCGATAGATTTGTTCCGCGTTGTTCACACCCCATACTTCACCGGACAAACCATGATCAATCTGCTTTAGGACACCAGGAATCACTTTCCATTTCCCTGTAGGAATATATTGTGTCTAATTTCTGTATCTTTTTATGCTCTCCTTGTACGTCTAACTTCTGTAATTCTAAAAAAGCTCACTCACACTCAAACTCATTGAGTGGGCGATCTTAATCTTCTCATAGCGTCTCCATAGAGAAATTTTCACTCAAATAAAAGCTTGATTTTCAGTGTTTTATATTGAATGTTTCCAATGATTAAGAAAAAACATCCTCATTAGTCAGTGAGAGTGAAATTTGTATGTCATACTCAATGAGTATGAGTTAGCTTTTTGTAGTTTTTGTTTTTGAATACAAGCGTAAACATTGTACTTACCATTGAAAAGAAATATGGAATCACTCGTATCTAAACCGAAGATTTTAGATGATCCAGCAGAAACATGAGTAAAACTAGGTGCAGAAATTGCTCGCCAGTGTGTTCCTGTGGGTTTGCTTCTTGTTATTCCTTCACGAACATAGAGCGACTTGCGTGCGTTCACTCCATACACCACTCCGTCTTCTTTCACCTTTGATTACAAAAGAAAACATGTCTACGTTTTGTTCGGTCGTGATTTAGTTCTGCAAAAGCGAAATGTGAAAATTAAGAATATTAAAATTCCTCCCGCTGATAAACGTATTGAATTTACTTCCATGCATATGCAGTCCTGTCGGCATTACGGACTTTTGCAAACCAGGGAGTCTTTTCTCTCCTCTTGGCACCCTAACACACCTGTTTTTTGTCCTGCAGACTATCCTACCTCGAGTTGCCTCAATTTGCCGGCGATTTTTGTCCACGATGTTCCGGCACAGTTTGTAGATGTCACACCTGCTCGAAAATAAATGTCATTTACCGCATTTACACCCCAGCACCCGAGCCCACCACAACTGACATACTTCAAGGCGCCTTGGACACGTTGCCATGACCACCCTCTGGGGTTGGCAGTTGTAATACCGACTCTGCAATAAATGCTATCCCCATTGTTGACTCCATAGACTATTCCATGTGGACCCGAATCAATCTGTTTTAAATTACCTAAAAATTAATTGCATCAAGAAATAAAGCAGCTGTTTTTGCGATAATCTAATGCGATTTGGAAGCGACTGGTTACTTCTGCATGCTAATCATAGAAATAATAGACATATGTCTATTATTTCTATGATGCTAATAGATGAGCAAAAAGTCAACCGTTAAAATATAAATTCTTAATATCAATTCTCTAAAACAAAAGGACTTGATGGTTAATAAGTTTGTACAAGGGAGTCAGTCATAAGAAGAATTTTTTAGTACCGATGGTTTGATCATTAAATGAATTAAATAGGTGCAAAATCTTAGTAATATCTCGTATTATTTATTTATCTTATTCCTTAATTCCCATCGAAAATACACGAGTATCCGACAAGTTTTTCAGTTTTGGAAATTCAATTATAAGTCTTCAATTTAAACTTCGCCGAAAAGCCTCACAATTAGATTAGTGAGCGCATGGTATTTAAATTTTAAAACTCGGATGGCTCCGCATAGCTATTACACTCGCATCTGTTATGGCATAAATTTTTTTGCAGCTTTGTTTTCAAGAATAATCGACAAAAAGTGGGATTTGGACTCAGATTAACGTATTGTCGACAATTTTTAAAGTGTGACAGCCGTAGTACCTGCAATATCAGATTAATTTGTAACTGTTAAAGAATTAATGCGTTTTTATTGCGGAACTTTTTTTTACTTTTTTGACAAGTTGGTTATAAGATATGAAGGAAAAGATCGGGGAATGTTGAAATGTTCTAATCATACGCAACAATTCTTACCAGGTATTCGTGTCCAGGAAGTTCCTGCGGGCAAACTGAATGTAATTCCCTCCCGGTAGTAAATATTTCCGTGCACATTTCGGCCCCAGACTCCAGCGCTGCCGACTGTCACATGAGACAACAATCCATCCACCTGGTGCCAGCCGTTGCCATTGCGCATGTAGATTCGATCACGTCTATTCACTCCCCATATATTGTCTGTTGGACTAACATCCAGCTGGTCAAGTTTGCCAGAAATTTTCGACCAACTTGGGTTGGCTGCTGCGACCACTGCAGTTGCGAAAAAAGTACGTTATCAATAGACCTTTTTGAATGACGTCAAAAGCAGAACGTCCGATGTTACACAAAATTTGATTGGCTCTGCGTTTGACGTCATTATGAAAATGTAAATCCTATAAACAGCTCTAAAATTAGTATGTTATATGTTAGTTAATACATATACAGTTAGTTAGCTAATACATATATTTCACAATAACGATACAAATTTACAGAACAATTCTACTTTTACTAAAGATTGGGTTATATTTATATATATATATATATATATATATATATATATATATATATATATATATATATATATATATACATATATAGTAAAAGTAGAATTGTTCTGTAAATTTGTATCGTTATTGTGAAATATATGTATTAAACGTAAAGTGCAGGTTTCGCTAGCTGTCGCAGTCAGTTGAGTTATGAGTCCCAAGGAAATGTGAGAGTTTCAGAACACAGAGCATTAGCTGAAGATGCCCAGACCTTCGTTTTGCTATCAGAGTATTGAACCCGCATCGAAAAGGTTCAGTTAAAGACTTACAGGAGGACTTGTAGTGAATAAAATGAGTAATGTTCATGCATATGAATGTAACCCGAAATTTAAAGATTCGAGATTCAACTGTGTTCAATCATTCCAATGTAGAATTTGGTTATTTAATAATAACAGGTTTTTTAACTACTTCATTGTTTACTGTGAAATATCGTACAATTATCGGACATTATCGAAACTCTTTTAGTTCCCCTGGCAGGATGTTATTGTATATCATTTTTGTAATTACATTGAAATATCGGATTTACGCGCTACTGAATGATTTGAAATAGTCTGCGTTCTCGTGTTAAGAATATCACGCCAGGCGTTCACTAGAAATTAACACATTTACGACTGTTTCATAAGATGACTCGCGCAACCATTGGTTTGCTATTTGCGACATAATCGAAACTCTTTTAGTTCCCCTAGCTAGCAGGTAATTATTGTAACAATATATCATTGTATGCCAAAAAATGAAAAAAAAGACAAGCAAAGAGTGATCTAGAAGATCTAAAGTCAGAACTTAGCCACTCTTTGTTTTTTTATTTTTTTTTAGTTACATTTAAATATCGGATTTACGCGGTGCTGATTGACTTGAAATTAATGAGACATGGTGTAATACATGTCGTGTTATTCAAACTTAAAGTTCCCCCGCAACAGGAGAATACCAGCCGAGCCTTGACTACAGATTTACATTAACACATTTTAGCAAAACGGTCAAATAGTGGTTTTTTTGTTAATGATTACAACGATAGAAATGATTATATAAAAACCACACAGTGGAAAGCGAAATATCACATGATGTTATTCATAAAATGTTGTACGCCTTTCGTCCAAGCACACAGGTGATTCTCGATTACGAACTGGAAATTTGAGCGCAAATTTGCCCGTAATTCCGACGCAATATTGTAGCTGCAGCACGGCGCAGAAATCAAACCAGTCTGATTTTGTGCGAGGTGACGCAGTGACAAGACTAATTAAAGCTGTCGCGATCGCGTTCGATGAAATCAAAATCGTTGCCCAACTGTACATGCACGAAGCGATTTGTCCCCTAGTGTGTACCGGCCTTATTTATTTCAGCGAACTTTACCTGTCCAGATCAAAGCTGACAAAGCAGATGCAAGAATAAACAACGACATTCTCTGCATGACTCTCTTTCGCAATTACCTGAAATACAGAGGGAGACGCAAAATAAACGTGCATGTTGATGCAGTTAGGAATTCAGTGGGTTTTCACTGTGGATTGCACTTGTATTGAAACAAACAAATTGAAACGACAAGAGTTGACGTGTATTCAATCCCAGAAATTAACAATATCTTCACGCATGGTCGTACCTGATAAAATTAAAGTTTAGGTTTTTCTTTCTTGTATATAAAAAAACTGCTCGTATATTGAAGCGTCCTCCTCGAGGTTCTGTGGTAAATGATTCACAGCTAGTGAGGGGTTGCATTTTTCATATCTTTCAGACACAGAAGAATCCCATCAACCACTGGCCTTAAAGGATAATACGTATGCTGGTGTACTTGCAGCCAAAAATATTGTGGGAGACGTAATTAATAAAGTAATTATATAGGGTTATATAGGGGTTGAATCGCATGTCACGTCAGAAACATAATCGAAATTTAAGACGTGCTTAATATACCCCAAAACTACCATAAATTCTGCATGCTTTCACGGTATAGGTATCGGTGCGGCAGCAACAAACTCTTCAACAGGTCTTGCTTCAATAAATTCATGCTCCTGATTATCATAATTTGCGTTACTAGACTAAGGGGGCAAATTTTCTTTTCTGTTCTAAGAGGAAAGTAATATCACACGTCAATTTGATTTTATTGTTTCTATACGGTTTTGGTAATGCTATATGGTTTAGTATGATGATTGCATAAATATTTATACGTTTTTTTAAGAACGATGCAGAAGTGTGTGCTGCATTTCGCAGAGGTCGCTCCCTCATTATACATGAAATATTGACTAATACAGTTACGTGGCGTATGACTAGTACAGTTACATGACGTACCATTGACTTTACTTTACCACTTTTTGTGGATATCGATAGAAACCCTGTCAAAGGGATTCTCAGAGCTAGTAATTATTGCCACATATATTGCTAGTGATCTACTGGTTTTTGTATATATTCATGTCCAGTAAATTGTTATGACCAGTGAATATAAACACTTCCTGAATTTGTTCTCGGGCAATGAAAGCCATCCCACAAGCAATAGATTACGTTGCTCGCCTCGTTTCTATAAGCTGCATGTATATAGGCCTAGTATATAAAAGGCATGGTAACCATATACCATTATCAAAGGTTAAGTTGTAACAATGCTTACGCATTTACAGGTTCTTCCTCTGAAAGCAATGAAAATTAAATGGTGATGAAATCTTATAAACAGTTCTAAAATAAGCAAGTTATTTTCTCCCATTAACGTAGGGCTTAAGTTATGTTCTTCCTTTAAGTTATGCATGTCCTTCCTTCTTTTCTTCACTTCAACCTCTTTACTTTACGTGAAAAACCGGGATTCAATAATAAATGTTGGGTCTAAACTAGTTACCATGTCACAAAACTAAACAATAACAAAAGGTCCTGCGAGGGTCAAAATCGTTCATTTAGCGACAAATAGTTTTCAGGGAGAGGTGTCACCCCCCCCCCTCCTGATTAAGAGCATGTTAAGTAGTGCCAGTGGCGCTGCGCGGACTGAGGAGGAAAACTTGCAAAAGCAAATGCTTAATAAGTATACAATAAATTAAAATTTTCCCTCTCCAACTTTTAGTAAAACGTCCCACTTTTTCCCTTTTATAGATTTCTTCGACTCTGTCATTATTTGGGGGGAGGTATAGTCTGTTATTGACAAACAGTGCTGTCTTGGCTTTCGTTGATGATGTTCTGCTCCATATTAAGCGCACGCAAACAGACTATAAAACATCCATCAGATGTAAAGTCAATTAGATCGTATGTCGTGTGAACAGAAATTGTAACTTTATTTAGACCATGCACGTTCATAAAGGATGTTGCCCGCGTGATAAAATTCGCCTGCTTCAGCCTTATAAGGCGGATTTCCATTCAGTGCAAAATGTCGCGCGATCGACTTTTTGCGATCGCTTTATGTCGAAATATAAACAGTCAAGCGGAACTAACCCCATTAGATGAGCTTGAATAAAAACACATTCGAACGAAAACGATCGCAAAAATCGATCGCGCGACTTTTTGCACTCAATGGAAATCCGCCAAACGATGTGAATGGATGAAAATATATGACGATTATTACAATTTAAAACTCATATTGTTCGTATATTTTCGGCACTTGACATGTTTCACTTGGCACGTTTTCAAATTAATCGAAAAGTCCTTTTAAATATCGCATACAATAAGCTTGATGCTATATGTTTATATAGCTCCCTATACGTACGGTGAAACTAGATTAGAGAAAATCAGAATGAGTACATTCCTTACATGTGCATATACACAGCAATAATACAAATGTTTAGACACCTAGTTAGTCGAATATCTATAGAATCTTAACATTTGCAAGTCCTTGAAGAAATATATACTATTAAACTTACCGAAGTGCCACAGTTTTGGCTGAAAGACTGAACAGATATTATTGAATCGACTATTTTGAATTGTAAGTTGCTGATCCAAGTGGGCTAGGTATCCACTGAGCTCAATACGAGAACAAGCAAGCTTGCTCTTTTAACTCATTCTAATTTCCACAGCATATATATAGCACTCTTAATACTGTTTCTTAATTTGGAGCAAATGCAGGGCAATTCTGGTCAAAATTACGAAGCCATCATACTACTAAAGCTTCTAGCACTTTTCAACGATCCATTTTGAAGCAAATAATTCTTGTTTTAGTGCCAGGACTACGTAACGGTTGGCGTGGTTAGTATCGTGAGGGACAAAGCGGTTATATGATTTACAAAAAATGGATGTATTTTGTTACCTTATCTGAATGTCCATGTAATTATGACAAGCCTAATTTACCACAGCCAGCGAAACCCAGCGATTGCGTGCGTCTTGGAGAGTGCCAATGAACTGGGAGAATATTAACATACGAAAAAAACATTTCTCTATTAAGGATCAGTGTCTTTATATTAGAAAATTTAAAACGTGTTTTGAAATACATGCTGTTGGAAACACATTACCTTGCATTGGATATTTTTTTATTATATAGCCAATCACAATGTGCAAACGTTTACGGTTTAATCATTACTTGGGCAGCAACTGGGCGCAGAGCGTTAAGCTTGGGAATTATACAGATATTTCTGCTTGTATAAGATGCGTCTTAAGTTGCTTTAGGCTGGGCAAAAAAAGTGTTAGCCACATTGATTTTGCACAGGTATATTCCATGTATAAAAAATATTTTCTTCTTCAATATGCCCAAGAAAATCGTCTTGAAAAACAAATAAACCGCCTGGTGCTTGATATTTGGCTGCCCAGTTCTTCCTGGTGGAGAATTTTCGCATAGAATAGAGTTTGCATTTTTGTATATGGAGTGATGTGCTGAACTTATTGCGTCAAACAATCGAAGGCGACACGAAGAGTGTTTTAAAAATGCTTTAAGAATTATTTTTTTAACAGCGAACATCGAAATATATATGTTACGCTTTTTTATCTATCACAGTTCATTGAATTACACAATTAAATCAAACTATACGCTATAAAAAAGAAACCATTTTTTACGACGTTCCACGTTAAACTAGATTTTCTGCAAACCAAGCTTCTGACAGTCACTCACGGGAAACGATGTGGGCAACCTAAGGGGCAAGAAATGCAAAGCCAAATGATTAAAAATCAAATCAAAGAATCCAGCATCTTTAGGTTTTCTGTACACCATAATTTTTACATTGTGCGAAAAACACAACAGTAAAGGAACATATACGATTTACGATCCGCAGAGCTAAACATGCAATTTTGCTTCATTTAAATTCTTTGAGATTCATATTAGAATAATATGAATAATTTGGGGAACATGCAGGAGGGAGCAGTGCGGCCTGATCTGGTAATTTTTATTACCAGATTCAGTCGGATGCACACAGACATCCCCACTTCTTTTAATAAATAACAAAGTTATATCAGGGGGCAGTCTAACTGGATTAAGGACATCTAAAACTTTATTTATATCATGTGCATGATAAACAACGGAATAATTCGGTAACGAAGCATTAATACTATAACTTACTTTGCAATGACTCAAATATGGCACCGTTAACCAACAAATATTGTCCATTTAAACCAGTGGAAACGTGTGATCCATACGAAACAACTACCTGCCAACCAGATCCCATGGGAGACAATTCACTAATGCCAGTACGACGATACACAACGTTATTAGAGTTGATACCATAAACATCGCCAATTCCACCAGCCTAAGAAATAGAACTTATATGAACTTCTGATCGAACAATATACAAACAGAACAAAACCTACAGGCATGAGATTCATTTCCACTGATTGGGTCTACATTGTGCAAAAATACATGCAATTACTTTAGAGAAGGTAAACTGTCCTGTGAAAACAATAAATAAATTACTATATGTTCGGGAATATAATCAAATATAGTTTGCAACTGTCTAAGATAGGCATGAAATTAAATTTTTAATGTCAAGAATGAGCCGTTAAGGCAGTGTTACACTATGAAACTTTCCTTGCAACTTGCAAAGCAATTCTACTCCTGAGGCATCTAAAAATGACAAATACGAACCTTTACTACAATCTGCTAACGTTTTCGTAACATTTCTGCCATTCTTTACTAATCATCATGCCTCGAAATTATAATTGCATTGCAAGTTGCAAGAAAAATTGCACATGCAGTGTAACACCGCCTTTACGCTGTTCCCTAGTTTTTACCTCAATTTGTTTCAATTTCCCTCCAATATGGTGCCAATTTGTCCCAGCACAGTTCTGATCTGACACACCAGATCGATAAAATATTTTATCATTTCGGTTCACACCCCAGCAACCAAGAGCTCCACAACTAATGTATTTTAATGAACCTCCAATACGAGACCAACCTTGACCTGAAGGATGAGTTGCATCGATTCCTAGATAGTACATTTGTAATAACTGTAAGACTGGATGGTTGTTAGTTAGTTGGTTAAAGACGACGGATCTTATATTTCACCCCGCGTCATTCGGAAGTATGTAAATGAGAGGAAATGCGGAAAAAACGACGATATTTCGTTTTTTCGCTTTTTCTTGATATAACCATGCAATCCGAAATAGTTTGGGGAATGACTTGGCAATATGTTCAAAAATATAACTAATAAAACTAATTTTATAAATTTGAATCATTTTTGAATCAAATTTGCGCTGAAAATGTGAATTTCATGCAGCATAATATATTGCTGCAATGCCAAATAAAAAATGTTAATTGTTGCTGATTATTAAGCTTTACCTTCACATTTTATACACTTTACGAATTTACCTGTACGACAGTAGATTGCGTTGTTGCCGTTCACTCCATAAACTATTCGACCTGGTCCTGAATCAATCTGTTTTAATTTCCCTGATATGTGTCTCCAAGATGTTCCACCAAGGTAGTAGTAAATATTATCGTGTTTGTTTACACCCCAGACCCCGGCGTTACCCACAGTTACATGTTTTAAAGAACCAGGGATACGTATCCATGTCTTGTCTGGTTTTAATCGGAAGATTTGTTCTGCGTTGTTCACACCCCACACTTCACCGGACAAACCATGATCAATCTGCTTTAGGGCACCAGGAATCACTTTCCATTTCCCTGTAGAAATAGATTGTGTCTAATTTCGGTATCTTTTTATGCTATCATTGTAGGTCTAACGCCTGTATTCTAAAAGCTCACTCACACTCAAACTCAATGAGGGGGCGATCTTAATCTTCTCATAGCATCTCCATAGAGAAATTTCCACTCAAATAATAGCTTGATTTTCAGTGCTTTATATTGAATGTTTCCAATGATTAAGAAAAGACTTCCTCATCAGTCAGTGAGAGTGAAATTTGTATGTCATGTACTCAATGAGTATGAGTTAGCTTTTTGTAGTTTTTTTTTTTGAATACAGGCGTAAACATTGCACTTACCGTTGAAAAGAAATATGGAATCACTCGTATCTAAACCGAAGATTTTAGATGATCCAGCAGAAATATGAGTAAAACTAGGGGCAGAAATTGCTCGCCAGTGGGTTCCTGTGGGATTTTTTCTTGTTATTCCTTCACGAACATAGAGCGACTTGCGTGCGTTCACTCCATACACCACTCCGTCTTCTTTCACCTTTGATTACAAAAGAAAACATGTCTACGTTTTGTTCGGTCGTGATTTAGTTCCGCAATAGCAAAAGTGCATTTATTATAATGCAAAGCAATGAAATGTGAAAATTAAAGATATTAAAATTCCTCCCGCTGATGAACGTATTGAAGTTACTTTTATGCATATCCTGTAGGCTTTTACGGGCTTTTGTAGACTATCCTACCTCGAGTTGTCTCAATTTGCCGGCGATTTTTGTCCACGATCTTCCGGCACAGTTGGTAGATGTCACACCTGCTCGAAACCAAATGTGATTTGCTGCGTTTACACCCCAGCACCCGAGCCCACCACAACTGACATACTTCAGGGCGCCTTGGACACGTTGCCATGACGACCCTCTGGGGTTGGCAGTTGTAATACCGACTCTGCAATAAATGTTATCCCCATTGTTGACTCCATAGACTATCCCATGTGGACCCGAATCAATCTGTTTTAAACCACCTAAAAATTAATTGCATCAAGAAATAAAGCAGCTGTTTTTGCGATAATTTAATGCGATTTGGAAGCGACTGGTTATTTCTGCATGCTAATAGATGTGCAAAAAATCAACCGTTGAAATGTAAATACTAAATATCAATCAATAAGTCTAATACAAAAGGACTTGATGTTTAATATGTTTGTACAAGAAAGTCATACGAAGAATTCTTTAGTACCGATGGCTTAATAATGATTAGACTTGGTGCAAAATCTTAGTAATATCTCGTATTGTTTAATTATCTTATTCCTTAATTCTTGTCGAAAATACACAAGTATCCGACAAGTTTTTTCAAAAATTCAATTGTAGGTCTTCGATAATCTAAACTTCATGGAAAAGCCTCACAATTAGATTGGTGAGAGTATGGTATTTGAATTTTAAAACTCGGATGCCACCGCATAGCCATTATATATATGATTACACTCGCATCTGTTATTGGATAAATTTTCTGCAGCTTTATCTACAGGAATATTCGACATAAAGTGGGATTTGGACTCAGATTAACGTATTGTCGACCATTTTTAAAGTGTCCTAGTACCTCCAATATCAGATTAACTTGCAACTGTTAAAGAATCAATGCGCTTTTATGGCGGAACTTTTTTTTTACTTTTTTGACAAGTTGGTTATAAGATATGACAAAAAAGATGGGGAGATGTTGGAATGTTCTAATCATAAGCAACAATTCTTACCAGGTATTCGTGTCCAGGAAGTTCCTGCGGGCGAACTGAATGTAACTCCTTCACGATAGTAAATATTCCCGCGTGCATTTCGTCCCCAGACTCCAGCGCTGCCGACTGTCACATGAGACAACAATCCACCCACCTGGTGCCAGCCGTTGCCATTGCGCATGAAGATTCGATCACGTCTATTCACTCCCCATATATTGTCTGTTGGACTGACATCCAGCTGGTCAAGTTTGCCAGAAATTTTCGACCAACTTGGGTTGGCTGCTGCGACCACTGCAGTTGCGAAAAAAGTATTTTATTAATATCCCTTTTGAATGACGTCAAAAGCGGAAAGTCCGATGTTACACGAAATTTGATTGGCTCTGTGTTTGACGTCATTATGAAAATGTAAATCCTATAAACAGCTCTAAAATAAGTAAGTTATATGTTAGTTCCTTTACGTTCGACTTAAGTTATGATCTTCCTTTAACGTAGACCCTAAAATATGTTCTTCCTTTAAAAACACTATAAATATAACGCAATCTTTGGTAAAAGTAGAATTGTTCTGTACATTTGAATCGTTATTGTGAAATATATGTATTAAACGTAAAGTGTGCAGGTTTCGCTATAGCTGTCGCGGTCAGTTAAGTTATACAGTCCCAAGGAAATGAGAGAGTTTCACAACACAGAGCATTAGCCCGAACATGCACAGGCCTTCGTTTTGCTATCAGAGTATTGAACCCCCATCGAAAAGGTTCAGTTACAGAAGGACCTCATGTAGTGAATGAAATTGTAGTGATGTCATGTAGTGATATAAGTTTAACCCGAAATTCAAAGCCACCGACCTCTTGGAAACTATTTGCACCGTTTCTTTTCCCCGTATTCTCAAGAATTTAAAAAAATATTAGGAATATATATATTTTGGGCAAAAATCGTAAAAATTTCGACCATCAACTTTGCCACGTCGTGGAAAATTAAGAAATACTCGATACGTAGTTGACTCGCGCAATTCTTGGCTTGCTAAATAGCGAGGCTTGCGAGACATTATCGAAACTCTTTTAAGGGCTGATTACATGGTGTCTTTTCAGCCCGGGCTGAGTTTCAGGCCGAAAAAACCGGGGCGAAAGTATTTTTCAATTACATGGCATGTTTCAGCCCGAGCTGTGTTATGACACGTCGGAATTATTTTAAGACCAGGCTGAAGTTCAGCCCGGGCTAAGTTTGTAAAGGCTGGTAGTAGACCTATTTCGATTCTTCGAGCGCTTTAAAATCCCGAATGACAATAACTTGACCTTTAAGGGACTATGACTGCACATAAAAATGAAATAAACAAACGAGAAAGCGTTGTCAAGGCGAATTTTTCTGTAACACTAATTTTTAATCCGGGCTGAAATTCTTGTCATGAAATCGCGTGCGCGATTTGTTAGGATTTTATAACATCCACGGGCTGAAACTGAGCCCGGGCTGAAAACACTCCTTGTAATCAGTCCCTTAGTTGAGTTAGTTCCCCTGGCAGGATGTTATTGCATATCATTGTTTTAATTACATTTAACGGATTTACGCGCTACTGATTGATTTGAAATATTCTGCGTTCTCGTGTTATTGAGTCAAACTTCCCCAGCTACAGAAAAAACAAGACGCCCGGTAGGCGTTAACTACAAATTAACACATTTACGACCCTTTCATGAGATGACTTGCGCAACCCTTTTAGTTCCCCTAGCAGGAAATTGTTGTAATAATATATCATTGTATGCCAAAAAATGAAAAAAAGACAAACAAAGAGACTTAGTCACTCTTTGTTCTTTTATTTTTTTTATTTATATTTAAATATCGGATGTACCCGCCGCGCTACAGATTGACTTGAAATATTGTGTGATGTCGTGTTATTCAAACTTAAAGTTCCCCCGCAACAGGAGAATACCAGCTGGGCCTTAACTAAAGATTAACACATTTCGTGAAACGATCAAATAATGGATTTTTCTGTTAATCACAACGATAGAAATTATTATATAGAAACCACCCAGTGTAAAGCAAAGTATCACATGATGTAATTCATGAAATGTTGTACGCCTTTCGTCCAAGGCGATTCTCGATTACGAGCTGGAAATTTGAGCGCAAATTTGCCCGTAATTCCGACGCAATATTGTAGCTGCAGCACGGCGCAGAAATCAAACCAGTCTGATTTTGTGCGAGGTGACGCAGTGACAAGGCTAATTAAAGCTGTCGCGATCGCCTTCGATAAAATCAAAATCGTTGCCCAACTGTACATGCACGAAGCGATTTGTCCCCTAGTGTGTACCGGCCTTATTTATTACAGCGAACTTTACCTGTCCAGATCACAGCTGACAAAGCAGTTGCAAGAAAAAACAACGACATTCTCTGCATGACTCTCTTTCGCAATTATCTGAAATACAGAGAGAAACTCAAAATAAACATGAATTCAGTGGGTTTTCACTGTTGATTGCACTTGTATTGAAACAAACAAATTGAAACAAACAAGAGTTGACGTAAATGACATGTATTCAAATAATTTAATCCCAGAAATAATATCTACACACAATGTCTTACCTGATAAAATTAAAGTTCAGGTTTTTCTTGTATATAAAAAACGTTTGAAGCGTCCTGCTCGAGGTTCTGTGGTAAATGATTTGCAGCTAGTGAGGGGTTGCATTTTTTATATCTTTTGGAAACAGGAAATCCCATCATTCACCGGCCATTAAAATGTATTACGTATATGCTGGTGTACTTGCAGCCAAAAATATATTTCTGATTCGTGTTCTTGATAGTTTAAAGCATCAGCGTTTTATTTACGCATTATAATTTCGCCCCTGTTAAATGTCATATAAATCTATCAATGACAACTAACAGTTCAATCAACGAAAACGGTTCTTTCTACACGGTTTACTGGATGTCAGGCATAATTCTATAAGCGGGATAGTCCAGCTTCTTATTATATTCATGCTAAACTGAAATCGATGAATTATCTGGCAATGACAGTTCGGATGGAAATAACCAGCCAATGTACAGTCGAGTATACATATGTCAATTGTCACTATGGAACTCATGACATGCATGTAGTTTCCTGATCGTATACGTAGCTCATCCGGCGGATATTTTTCATTAATAAAATTTCGATTACTTCTAAATTCTTTCAAAACAAGCCAAATTTATCTTTTCTTGACCAAAATCCAAATCCGAAATCGCTAAGTGTTTACCCGAGCTACGGGAGCTGCTTTTAGCGGAGAAAGGTTATAAATAAAAGCAGAAGATTGGCAGGCACTGGCGCACTGCAAAAACATCGAGGCTCAGTCTAGTCCCAGGCCTTGTAGGCGCGCAATGTAAAATTATCATAATTATAAGCAGGGGCAGCCACGCTGAGAGGCGGCTTTATGTCCCAAAACGTCATATAAGGTATGGGTAAGGATATAACTTTATTTCATGTCAGTGAATCAAGAGGGCATGCACGATACGACAAGGAGAAAGAAAGAAATCAGGCCGGGTCCTGACAACTCGACCCATAACAACAATCCATCCTGATGTTTGCTTATCATACGAACATTCTCGCACGCTCGATTCGACTGCTTGCATCTCAATAAAACCAACACAAATTTAGGTCGAGGCAACGATGGGATATGTGATTTATTCATATATACGTACTTATTTTTCACATTTGCCATGCAGCTTGCATTTATAATATAATAATACAAAGGAAATGCTTTTATTCCATGTCAGAATTAGGAAAAAAACGTGACACAAATATTGGGGGGAATATTAGAGGAGAATATTGCACCATTGAACTATTGAATATATTCCCCATCAAGGACAAAGAAAACCGAGTAATGTGAAAAATAAAACATGTTAATTGGATGAAAAGCTTCGAAGCTAGCGAGCTTAACTTGACTGTGGGTCATTGCGACTAGAGTCAGTCTTATGTAACAGTGTTTATATTCCAGACAGCTGACCAGGTCGCCTATATTAAGTCTTATTCAGTGAACAGTTCATGTGAATAGTTGATCACATGCAAATTCTGGCTCAATTTTATGAATTGATGGCACAATTATGGTCAAATCCGACATTGCGACGTTGTTGTCTAGATCTATCTACTGATGATCTGTAATAAGTCTCTTTCACAAACAGTAAAAGAATTGTGGAAACTGCACAAGTACAAACGGTTGTCCACAGCATCCACTTTGTTCCAAAGTTTCCTAACGGAATAACAAGAAATCCAGTCTGCAGAATGTTATTGAAGAAAGTTATCATACCGGCAGTTATTCCTTCAGCCACTGGGTAAGTGATCTCTACACCAAGTTCGAAGAAGAATGGAATTGTACCATTTAAAAAGAAACCGCTCAATCCAAACATGATGTAGACAATGATTTCGTTAAACGAGATAACTCCAGTAAAAATATAGCAGATCAGTAAAGTGGTGTAAAAAGACAGAGCCATAAACACGATGAGAAATGACTTGTGATGACCTGAGAACCGATCTGCAAATCTAAAATTGAAATGAAACGTTTAAGACCACAGTAAAAGTAATTTAAATCACAGGGCAACTCGTCCTTGCAATCTCTCCTACCTTGCAGAGGACTATTGAGGAAGGAAAATAGAGCTCAGAGTGAGAGATGATAATGTCCGTTTACAATGCGCACCGCGCGAAAAAATTATTGTAATAGGTATAAATTAGACTTATATGACGCAGCTTTGCGAAAAGCCAAAGGGGCTGTTTACATGAGCCCGGTTACGGGTTACCCGAGATTCAATGAAGCGCGAGAGGACTTTGAGGTATTGAAATAAGTCTTTTTGACACCAAACAAGCACATGCTATTGTTGTGGTGATTATACGACTGCCAAGATCATGTTATCTGCTCATTTCAATACCTCAAAATTATCTCACGCTTCGTTGAATCTCGGGTAACCGGGCTCATGTAAACAGCCCCTAACTCATATCGTATATCACATTTTATCGAGTACATCGCTATGGATGTAAACGCCAAAACTACCACTAATTCTTTATACTTTCACGGTATAGGTATCGGTGCGCCGGCAGCAAAAAACAAGACAACAGGTCTTGCTTCGATAAATTTATATTTCTGGGTATGATAATTTGCGTTACTAGACTAACTGTGATTAAAACACAATGTATACTTCGAAAAAATATATATTAAAAGTTGTACTTACAACGAAAACGAGACTCCAGAGAAAGCGCCACTGATCACAGCAACAAATCCAAGCCATCCAGCAAACTTTGCATTCACTTTTATACCATAATCAGATAAATTTTGATACAACACAGAACACCATCCTCCATACACCCCCGTACTTGCTCCATATATTGTTGCCAATAAAAGAAAATTATAATTTTTAAATAGTTTCTTGATCCCATTTTTGAAATCAACACGTCCTGTGGCAGCAGATAAACTGGGCGGGGTCTTTGGTTTTGCCGGATAGTAAATAATGATAGCCACAAAGATAACAAACTGCATACAAGTTTCCGAATACAAAAGAGAGTTGATTTGTCTTTTGTAGCTATTTACTTGAGTGCTATTCAAGTGGTAACGATTGTCAACCATGGGAATGTTTGAATCTTTGATATCATCAACAAATGCAGGTGCAGTGATGAATCCTAACGCGGTTCCAATGTAACCAGATACGGTAGAGATGGCTGTTGAAGTCGTGCGTTGGTTTGGAGGAAACCAGGTTGAAGATATGAGGGCAGCTGGGTACATCCCACCTGCAATACCAATAATGAATTGACCAGAGTGCATTAGGACTGTTGCTGTAGAGTTGCAGTCAGTTGGAATGCATCTTAAAGCAGATCCAAAGAATTGTAGTCCAGCTGATAGAACCATCGTCACGCGCAAGCCTGGTGTAAAATAAAACAATATAATGAGATAAAATGAAAATCAGGTAAAATAAACAATATAATCAGACCTATAGGATGGACCTCAGGATGGATCGAGACGTTACATGAATTTATATAATTGTACTTAATTTAGCCTTGTGTCCAAGGCTACAGTTCCTGTGCTACTTGAACTTGATTACGACAAGCATTTACGACGATAAAAACAATGATTATGTTGATGGAAATAATCATCAAATCATTTAACCATGCATATCATAAAAGTGCGTATTTTTCAATTTCTGAATTTATTAATTGCTGACAATTATTCATTCATTACTTCGCATAAGTCCGCACTATTGATATATTTTAGAAAAACGTCATGGAATGGAAAACAGGATGGAATTTAAAGTATTAGAGTATTTTCATAAATCATTTAGGATGGAATTTATCTTTACGATCACGCGTGCCTAATTCCGCAGCATTTAGCTAGAGTGACTTTAACCACAGTTTTCTACAGTTTTAAAAAAAGAGTTAGAGCCGCGTGTGACGTGAAGTAATACTGTCTTCAATTCCACAGCTTCAAAACAGGAATAAAAATTATGGTGACTCTTTTTGGTAAACAAGGTCACAGCTGTATATAAAACAGCCTTACTGTTTGCTCCTTACGTGCACGTAGTCAGTAGATTTGGTGTAACTTAAGGTTCCTAATAGCTCACGTCACGGCAGCCTTAACTCGTCTACCGCAGAAACCGTATATGCATCAGAATGTCCAGTAAATTGTTATGTCCAGTGAATAGACACTTCCTGAATTTGCTCTCGGGCAATGAAAGCCAGCCCACAAACAATAGATTACATTGTCCGCCTCGTTTCTAAGCTATTGTTTCGTGTGCACTCAAATGACTCAATCAATATATCTAACGGCTGCATGTATATAAGGCATGATACAAACCATATAGCATTATCAAAGGTCAAGTTGGATATAACAATGCCTACGCATTGACAGTAAATGGAACAGAATAAATGGAGATGAAATCTTATAAACAGTTCTAAAATAAGCAAGTTATTTTCTTCCTTTATAAACGTAGGGCTTAAGTTATGTTCTTCCATTAAGTTATGCATGTCCTTTCTCTTTTCCGTTCAACAAAGAATATATTTTAATTTACCTTTCACATCCATGATCCAAGCAAAGGGTATCATTGCGATACAGAATGTAATGCACCCCCAAGCAGCCATTAAATCAATGACGTAATCATCCCAATCATAAACTGCCCTCGCTGTCGCTTGGATTGGTCCCCAGGTATTCCACATGATATTTTGCAAAATGGCTGTCAGACAATACATTAGTAGAATATACCATCGTCTTTTGTCCAGATTCGCTTCACCAGTGCCTGGGTGAGGATTGTAGAGGTCGTTATTAATAGGTTCCTGTAAATATCGTTCTTTGAAATCTTCACTATTTTCATAGGTTTCCATTTTGGGGCGCTGATGGGACGAATCAGAGTTCAGGTCAATGGTCAAACTGCACGTCTGGTTTGCTTCGTTGTAAAATTTTAATGGCTAAAATGTTTCTTGTGACGAGTGTTCTCGCAACGTATTGCCACTCTCAGTTCATACCGGATCTCAAAGCAGCCCAGAAAGTTCTATTTATTAGGGGTTTAGGATGAACCTAGAATGAGCGATTGAAATACGCATGTGTGTATTAGGAGCAATGCCGTCGCTAAGCGGCTTAAGTAGGGGGGGGATGTGAGTATGGAATTGACGTGCCACTTTCCCCCTTTAATAGATTTCTCCCACTCTGTTATTATTGGGGGGGGGAGGGTATAGTCTGTTATTGACAAAAAGTGCTGTCATGGCTTTCGTTGATGATGTTCCGCCCCATATTAAGCGCATGCAAACAGACTATAAAACATCCATCAGAAGTAAAGTAAATTAGATCGTGTGTCGTGTGAACAGAAATTGTGACTTTTTAGACTATGCACGTTCATACAGGATGTAGCCCTCGTGATAAAATTCGTCTGGTTCAGCCTTCAGGTCTTTAAACGATGTTAATGGATGCAAATATATCAACGATTTTTGGAACTCATATTGTTCGCATATTCTTGGCACATGGCACTGATGAAAAACTTCTCATGATCAGCTGGTATAAACAACGTATAGCGATCGTACGTTTTTAAATCTGAAAGTCCTGGGGCCGGTCGTATAAAGCCCGTTTAGCTTAAACGGTGGATAAGTCAAAATTAAATAACACTCTTTCATCATCTCTCTTGAATGAGCCAACTTGAATATTATGCACTGAATATGTAGTTAGAATAAACAGTATCTTTGTATTAAGGTAGAAAACATTTAGTTTGCTTGTTGAATAAAATGATAGACTTGCTTTCTATTTTGAACTTATCCACAGTTTAAGGTAAAATACAACCGGCAGTTGTTAAATATCGTATACCATGAGCTTGATGCTATGTTTATATAGTTCCCTCTACTTTCGGTAAAACTAGATTAGAGATGAGTTCAGAATGAGTACATTCCTTACATGTGCATATATACTGCAATAATAGACACCTAGTTAGTCCAATATCTATACAATACTTAACATTTGCGAATCCTTAAAGAAATATATTGTACTAAACTTACCGAAGCGCCACTGTTTTGGTTGAACGACTGAACAGATATTATTGTATCGACTGTTTTGAATTGCAAATTGCCAATCCACGTGGACTAAGTATGCACTGTCACTGAGCTCAATACGGAAACAAATGAAACGTTTGTTTTACAAAGGTCTAGGTTTCTAATGTAATATTCGTAAATTTCGGATGGGAATTGGTGTTCACATAAGATAACTTCGGCGATTGGTGTTGACATAAGATAACTTAACAAAAATGTTGCTATATTGTCTGGCTTGACTGGCTGCGCCTACGCATAATAATCAAACGTCGGATCTTGTACATGTCATTCAATACGCGCTGAAGTGATTTACTGAGCTGGAGAGGTATATTAACTCTTCCTGTCTAATTGAATCGAATTGCGTATAAATTCAACACGACGAACTCCAAAAAAAAGAGTTATCTGCATACGATTGACTGATTTATTTTACTCTTTCAGCGCGCGCACTCAGCATGTGTCTTTCTGTTTACGGGATGGAGTATAATAAATAAAGAAAATTGCGCGTCATTAATATAAAATTGAGGTACAAATTATCATGCGGCGTTTGCACGAAACAGTGCCGGCGGTCGGAGGAACGTCCAATTTTAAGTAGAATATCACTTGTACGGATTGCCGTAAACTTCTTTCCTGCGCCAAGTTCGCTCTTTGCATTGGTTCTGCTCATGACAATGTGAGGCCCTAAAAATTGCCCAAATTTTTCATTAATTTTTCTTTACCGTTCATATTAACAGGGTCGGACATAAATTCCAGTTCATGGTAATAGCGCCGAAACTAGCGCGATAGTTGGGGAGGGAGTGCATGATTCTGTTTTGCTGAATGAATTTCTTTTGAAACGTTCACAAAATTCTGGCAGAACAAAAGTCTTGCAGAATATATCAATATGTAAACAAACATTTTGTTTACATACGAACTTGACTTTTATAACAAGTTCTCTGTTGTAAATAATTATTACTGTTGTTAGTTAAGGGTCTTTCTTTCAAACATATGTTTGGAAAGGGGATAATAATTGTGCGACATTCCACCACGATCCTTAATTTCCCGCTCTTTTACAATGCCCGTTTCGCTTTGAAATGAGATTTGCTTTTTTTTTCAATGATTAAAACATATAAACGAAAGATATTAATTTTTTTCAACATAGTTATTAACAGAGATAATGAAAAAAACATGATCAATTTATTGCGTTTTTGCGTGTGTCAGGGGAAAAGGTTGAAGACTTTAATTTAGCCACAGCTGCGGTCGCCTGCGTTTGCAAAATGTTGTTCACCAAGTCAATGACAAAATCAGTATATTTCATTTGTTCTTTCTTTGTCGTGGCGCATACGAGTACAGATGTATTCACATTCACAAAGGATGGGATATTTTCTCTTATTGCAAATGGTAAGAACGGAAAAAAGCGTCATTTAAATCGCTTCATTGATGCCTGTATACTTCTCAAAATATTCAGTCGTTTATGACCCATAGGTTGGACACATAAAAATTTAGTTGTAATTTTTGTGTTCGTTTTCGAAAAAATTTAACCGGGAGTAACAGAGCTTTTAATTATATGATGGAAAACTAGTTTCTGTTGCAAAAGTAGAAAAGTGTCTCTAATGAAATGATTATAAAAATATTATAAAACCATATTTATGACTCTAATTTAATATGGGCATACGAATGAACACAATGGAAGGAGTTGAAAATCACTGTTCGAAGTTTTGCGAAGTACAATCCGGATAAAAGGTTTCAACGTCAACATGGTTAAAAACTCGGCATTTTTGAAGTTTGGGCGACGAAGGGCGAAGCTTCAGTCCAGTATTCCTGACACATACATTCGTTAAACCTTTAGAGGAAAAATTAATTAAAATAAAAATTACTATCTTTCTTTTGAATTGCGAGAACGTATTGCTCGTCCAGGCAGTCAATCCGATCATAACTCTGCCTGGCAAGTTTATGATAGTGAGCTGTAAAATACAAAGTACTGAATTAAACGCTAAAATATATCTATTAGAATAGGTTGATTATAATTTGCCTCGATTGCAAGTGGCAGAAAAGTTACTCCAAATGTTTTGAGGCAGATTTTGAATATTTTTGATCTTTGCAAATTTTGAATATTATTGTAGCCTGGTGCTTTTTCAAGCTTCAGAGTTTAACGAATTTCCATTGATGTTTGTGAAATTTTTGGGTTTTTCCTCAACAATCCATTTGCAGTATAATTAAACCTTAGCCTCTTCGGGCAAGCAAGATTTGTAAACAACAAAAATTCTATTTAGGCTATACCTAAACCCTAGCATCATTTCCACTCCAATGTGTATTTAGATCATCGTTTACAGAATTGTGTTATACACGAAACTGAAGCTGAAACATCGATGGATTGTTTTCTGTTCTGTTTGTCTCAATGGCCCAAATGCAAGTCCATAAATTATCAGAAAAAGGAAACTCAGTCAATATGTCAACTGAACAATCAAACAAGAGAAACCAAGCCTGGTGAACTGGTGCAAGCTCTTGCTTTCAACTACTATGAACAATCTCCAGTAAGATATTGTGATAAAGCTTGATTCAACACATGTCATATATTCGTTTATTTCTGTGTAAGACGGTTTCCGGTTTCAGACCGAATCAAATGGAAATTAACTTTAAACAAAGACTTTGGTTAATTGACATTACGTTTGGTACATGAAAAGTCAGTTTGGCGTTTGGAACGGGCCTTGTGGATAGGGTGAATAATTAGCAATTATTGAATGAGGTTGAACATGATATGAAGAATTATCAAGCCGAAGTTTGTCATTATCAACCGAAGCCGAAGGCTGAGACTTGATAATTCTTCATATCATGTGAAAACCGAATTCAATAAATGTTTTATTATTTATTTAAAAGAACGAACATGTATTCCTCAAATTTGGCGAACCTTTCACTTGAGGAAGCCATTGTGTTGATGTCTTCGCCATTCGTGTGACGTCAAACGTGGGATACGACTTGTTTTCACTGACTAACTCATTAAGTTAACTGAAGTAAATTAAAGAAAGCTTACCTTTCCTAATGTATACAGTTGGGGTGGGTGTTCTCGAGATGTTGCCATGGTGATACAGCATATTTCTATATGATAAGTTTTTTTTTCATTTGGTAGATTCGAAGTGCTTTATATGGAAGTTTAGCATACACGAACGTCGCCTTTCAAGGTGAGCTATTTTGAACCAAAAACTCATCACAGGGCATCCCCGAATATGTCCCCTGCTAAACTACAGGCCGGATATTTATTTCAAATATAAAACTTAAAAAAGTTATTATTACCTAATGAAAGCCTATAACACCGTATTGGCTTTCCAACAAAATTCAAATTCAAACTTTTGAACTGTACAGTTACAATTATTATTACAATTATATATTGTGTAATTATCATTACACATTTTGGGATATTTTCTATAGCCATAATGGAGCACTGTTTGCTAGTTTTAGATATGTGAACTCGTTAAACGCATCACGCATGTATATTTGCCGGTAGGGGTATTTAAGCTCAAAAACTTGAAGACCAAAAGATTACTGTTCTCAAGTGGCGCTCGTGTGGAAAAGAAACGTGGATCTGAAGGTGGTGTCAGCAATGAAAATAGCATTTTTGGCAGTGATGCTAACTATTATGACCGTGTTTGGTGGAAAATATCGAACGATGGCCAAGGAAGATACTTATTTGAAAATCATCGAACAAAACGATATCTTTTCTCAATGGGAGATGAAATACCAGGTGATCGTGGGTGTGAAGGAGGGATAACAGAAGCTCCACTTTGCCTCGGTTCTGATGATAATTACGATAACCGTGCTCTTTGGAGGATAATCAACAAAGATGGAAAATATCTTATCGAGAATGTGGTCAATTTGAGATATGTCTTGTCTGAGGGTGAGCCACCTACTCATGATGAAGGCGGTTGGATAGGTGCACCAAGATGTGTTATGGCTGACGCAAACTATGAAGATCGTGCTTTATGGCGAATTATCAGTAAAGTTTGAAAAAAAAAATATTAAAAATCTATGCCAGTAAAAACACTGAAATAGAATCGGCTTAGCAATTATCCATCTTTTTTCACATTAGTATATATCTTTAGTATAGTCCTCTTTAGTATTATCGTCGCCCATTTTATCCATTGAACTATAGCGTTATCTTCTATCAAAGAGATTTTTTGACTGAAATCGGCATGCAAGAAAAACGCAGCACGTACATAGACTCTATGGTGTGCTATATTGCAAGCTTGTGACCAATTTCGTGACCGAAGGAAGATTTAGTGAATCAGTATTGAAGTGCTTGAAACATTATTGTAATCTAGCTTAATAAACTAAAACTGATTATAAAACAATGTAAAATCTAAACTGATCTCTGATGGTCTTTCTTGCCAAATATTACTTCGCCATTAATTTTTATTTAACGACAATGCTAGCTACTAGAAAACGTTATAGATTTGACTACGGCTTCCGCTAAACTGAGCCACGAGATTTTTAATATACTGACTTTTAATATATTTCGTAGACTTGTACGTAGCTAGTTTATCGTCACTCGTAGAAAACGTAGTATACGTAGAAAACTTTTCTTCTGGGAACACATTTTGCGAGCACTGTTTTTCATGACTGTATCTAGCCTATAAATATTTGTATTTTTCAAAATGCAAAAGCGTAGATATTTCCTACTATATATTTCACAGTGGCTATAACCACGCGTTTAATAATCCAGATACATGGAATTATAGTCCCATGGAGGGGACAAAGTCCTTTAAAAACTAAAATTGAGTATGCAGAATGAATGAAGCATGAAAACAGACTTCGTGAAATGTTATATTTAAACATGCAGGATTGAATGACAGGGTGAAACGGAGAATTGCATGGAGAAGTGGAATATAGCGATGGAATCCGGGCCTCTCGAGAGTCTCACTCTCTGTCAGCCCTTGTCTCAGGAAAGAATATTCAGATGCAAAAATACATATAAAAGAAAGCATGCAAAATCGAGCCATTCTTATTGAATCAAGCTTTATAGGCAACCAGCGCCGCCCGGAGTCTGAGAAATTACTTGTCCATGGAGCTGTGGTAAGCGAAATTTCAACCTGACATTCGTTTTCTGGATCATAATTTTTGGCCATTTTTGTGTTATTTGAACATAATTACTGCACTATGACTTTTTTAATTAATTATTACTATGTTTTATGTCCATATATAATATAGCCTATACATCCGTCTTTACGTATATACGTAGTATTTGAAGCACACCACTCTCTTAAACAGTCAGAATATTCCCGATATCACTGAATATTATTGCTTTCTTAATGCGACATTTTATGACGCAAATATATTTAAGGACTCCTAGTTCTCCATGGCTACAGTGTACTTCCCGAAGCATGAGAACTATTTGAGACATCCGGATAATAAGAATGGAATAATATTTCGACTAATTTATGAAAAGAGGACGTCAACACTCATAAGATTAATACATCGAGATTTAGCATCGCTAAAGTTCGACTCGAAAGGTGGATTTCTTCATCGCTGACATCAGTTGAAGGTGAGTCAAGCTAATTTCTTAACACCGTAACTTTCTTACGATACATTTTGTAGCGGTCGTTTCTAAAACACGTCAGCAATGATTGCGTGCTTCACGCACGCTTGTAAAAAGTAGAAAGCATCATGTTAAATGCATCATGCATGCTTACGACTTGACGTACCGTCTTATTAGCAATTTAGGATCATACAATGGCCCCATTTTTTCTTGTAACTTGAAGTAACATATTACAACAACATAGTATTATGTTGTATAAAGTATTAAATATCATTGAATCTATCGAGGAACCTTTATTATGATATCATGCCAAGCGCTGTTGTAAACATTAGTACTCATACATCAATACATCATGCAAAGCCTAGTTCATGTGGGTCCACCGTTGTATTATTACTGAAAGGTCTTTAAAGTCTCATTTAAACCTGCGCGTGTTTGGCCAGCAATTATCTTCTTCTGTTAAAATTATATCAAATTGAACACACGCCAGCGAACCACATGCAGACAGTCTCTGATTACGGCTGATTCATATTATTGCCTTATTGGATCGCTATGTGCTATTTCCAATCATGTAAACACTTTGTACTGTTTATTGTGAAAAAATTTAAACAATAAAAGATTAATTTATCATAGCTGCTTCAATATCACAATAACAGGCTATACAAGACCACATCAGAGTGATCAGACGACACGAGAATTCTCGCATAAAATATGTCAGAACAAATGAGCTGTAATTATGTCTGGCCTTCAGACTTGTATATTTATATGCTATATTACACTGAAACTAAGTCAGAATTGTTACACCATGTTGTGACAGTGCTAAATATTGACGGACAGTAATAATGATTTATTCATATTATTTCCCAAGCAGTTGATCTTAAAATGAACTAAAACACCAGTTTGCCGTTATTGATGGGAATTGGGAAGACAGCCACATTCATAATATATTATAATTACAAGGCGTCTCTTCCGGCAATGCATTGTCTGATCAGTACAGCCATATGAATATCACACGAAGCTCGCTTACGCTTTTTGATTGTCGCTTCATACATACTGACAAATTATAGTCTTTGTGTCAACTCTGCATGATGAATGCGTGCATGGTCATAACTAAGTTATTAACGTGAGTATTACCAGGCATAGAAACGATTTTGAAAAATGCATGCATGTTCCAGATTTTTCCAGTCTCTGTCTAAAGCCGGTTTTCCACTAGCGATGTTTTTCGCGCGAAGCGACTTTATTCCTTTGTATTTGAGCAATTTGTTCCAGATGGTTGCAGTTGAGAGCTCTGGAACAAAAGTAAACTGTCGATTCGCGCGAAAAATATCGCTAGTGGAAAACCGGCTTAAGAGAACTAGATTAATGGGAAAATTTTATTTACTTCTATACACTGCACACAAGCAGCTAGCTAGAGTCTTTTATGAAGTATCTTATCTTTGTGCACGCTCGGCTCCTCAAAAAACGAACTGGTAAATTATTAAATCTGTTTAATTTCCTGACATGATGATGCATGTGGGTGATTTTTTAAACCATATTTATGTCAAATGTTATTGAAATGTAGCTTACAACTATAAGAAGATTAGCTTTACTAATCCTTGTTTTTAGCACGTGTGTGCTTGAATTCATCTTCAAAAAGTGATGTTAGTAGGATATTTTGATTCAAACGTGATCCAGAAAAGGTGTTTAATTTTGAAATACATGGATATTTTTTAAGATATATAAATGATTACGAAAACGAAATGCAGTATAGTGTAACATATACAACGTTAAAGTTATATATACATATATAACTTTTGGCAATATCCCTAGGTTTTGGTTAACGGAAATTTGAGTGGAATTATGATATACTCTAAGACTTAGCCTGGAGCGGTTGGGATATAGCTCTGGGGAAGTATAAAAATTCTAAGAAACAGTTCATTTTCATGCAATATATGAAAGGTCTGCGGGTTTCATTTTGGTTTTTCTTGAAAGGATTTTCTTGAGAGTCAAGATATTGTCATTTGTCAATTGAGGTTACATATTCCGAGATTCCAATCGCCGCAAGAGTTGTAATTGGTCGCCACAATTCTTTACTTCGAGGCTTCAACATCATAAAAAGCTTTGTTAATTATTCACACACTACATTTAGAACACTATGCAATTATGGCTCATGACTATAATGTAGTAATGTAGTTTAACATGAGTCGCTCTTAATTATTATGTTTATAACAGAAACCTCAAAAATGAAATAGCTAGCATTTATGGCAAACCCCCAACGCAAACGAGAAACATGAAAAGCATCTGCAAATCGCATTTAAAAGTAGATCCGTTTTGCTGTTTTCGATCAGTGATTTGCGGAAAACGTCAATCGCAAAGTGTTTACAATGTCAAAAAGAAATACAGGCTTATAGTATTCTGGCAAAACTATATTTGTTTAAAATATAAGAAAAGTACATGAATATGGAAGATGTGGTATATGTATAGGTAAAATCACAGTTAATAGAAAATACATGGTTAGTGATGGTTTGGAGACAACATAAAACTACAAAACAACTCATTAACGATGTTGAGGCAGATTTATGCAAAAAATTGTTCCTTTCTCATCACATGTCTATTGTATTTTGCACAGATAAACCAATAGCAATCTTATAATTAACATATTTTTCAAGACAAGGTTGAGGAGCTTAGCAAGACGAATGGTAAATTTGGCTAAAATACGATAGACATGTGACGAGAAAGGAACTATTTTTTTGCAAAAGCCTGGACAATAACATAGTTAATGAGTTGTGCATGTTGTACTTCTATTTTGTCTCCAAACCATGTATATTCTATTAACTGTGGTAAAATCAAAAGGACGAAAACGATCCATTAAATTTTGTTTTATAGTTGTGTTGTCCTAATGGCTGTGAGCACCAATCCTCTTCTGTTTATAACTGAATGTTCGAGGGAGTTGACGAAAAAAATAGCTGGAGAAAGTTATAGTTTGGATTCCTGTAAGTATGTGAAAACGGAATGTGTTCTCGCCAACTTGGGAGCTATTTACCGGTTTAGTTAGCCGTCTTTTTTTTACTATTTATACTTAAAATTATCTGCATTTAATGTTTGAATTGCAATCTTGATTTTTTCAATACAAGTTAAATATAAGCGTCCGTATATGTGTCCGTAACCCTCCCTTCAAGAATGTCAAAGCATTTGCTAAATAGATGTAACCTGAATAGTTCAAGGCAACGGTTGATATAACCCATTATTCTTTAAACTCTTTAGTCGCTTCGATTAACGCCAATTAAAGCTGACGTTTTTACCGCCAAAAATGTGGGAAGGAGAGTGGCCGAAGCCCCCTCAACCCCTCGTCTCTCGGTACATGAAATGGCATATCATGCAGATACCTCTGCGGCTTCTAATACACTCTTTATTGCTTTCTTAACCGAATACCAAATACCCCTCGGAAGTGCTGACTTGTTGTATGTGGGTTGAAATGCCATTGAATGTGCGAGAGTTGTGAACTCGGCTGTGACCTGACTCAAGTACAATTTTTCTTGAGCTAAATTTTCGATAAGCTCTCTAAGCTCTCGTTCTGCTGCGATGAAGCTGGTACCGTTATCTGATATGCCACACGATGCCCCCCCCCTCTCCGTGATATCATTCGTGCAAACGCGTTCATAATCGAACTCGAATTCCAGATGTACGGTACGTGTTAGAAGACAGGTAAATAAACACAGATATCTTGATTAATTGGCTTGAATTGAATTGAAAGTGATAAGAACAGTCTCGTCGGATACTTGCACATGTGCAGCATGTATACTTTCCTTTCTGCACTCCCCCGCCGCTTCAAGACCTCGCAATTCATTTGTTCCGGCTAAATGGATAGGCTAGCTCGTCTCACTTTGTAACAAGAACTCCGGGCCTTCCCTCCACATTTTGCTCTCTGCTAATTCGTAGACTTTAATACCACCTGTGACCAAATTGGCACGGATAAGTCAAGATATCGTAGACAACGTGGAATTTCAAAGGAGAGGACAGGCACTGTAATTCGTACACTATATTGTTGCCTTCGGTTGAACCGTGACAGCTTAGGTAGTGAATTATTCCATTCAAGCCCCGCAGACCATATGTCCTGGCAGTCCTGCATAAGAACCCTCAAACTGCAAATGGTGATAGAAACTGTAATGTGTCTAACAGCGTCGAGTTCAAATTTAGTACTTCTGTCTTGGTGGCTCTTTTCGAAAGAACTGGTGCATGGTTGGTTGTTGTTGGTGGTTGAAGGTGAATATTTATACGTCATTATTCGATCTCGTAATCACCTTAAGGGTTTTAGATTCTAGCTCCCAGAACTTCCCCAGCTGATGGTTTTTTTAATCTTTACAATGTTCACTCTGGCTCGTAACGTAGGTTCGTTTCAAGTGTAAAGAGGATTTGCTTCGATCCTGTTCAACCATGATCGAAACAAAACATATACCCACCCTAATTGAGTAAGTTTCTCGATTGGATCTGTCGACTTGCTACCGTTCACGTGTGTGAAGACTTGCTGGAATAGTGAATCACTGCCTATTAGTACATCAATTTGGCGGCGATGGCACTCTGATCAAAAGGGAATAAAGGCTAAATGGGGCTTCTTAACTTTTATTTTCTGCATAATTGAATGTATGTGTGTCTCCAGTTATAATGTCCAAAACGTTGGCACACAAATGGTCTGAAACTACCAAGTTAACTTGTTTAGACTGCGTTTCCACTTGGGTTCCACCTGTACCTGAAGTTGTCATGTGTTGTAATTTTCCTTCCAGTTGTAATCCTTGAGCTTCAACTTCCGTTATGTATGTGGAAGTGGAATAAGTGTCCAGAATAACGTTTACTTTCAAATTCCCTTACCATTTTTGATGAAAGCAAGTAAAACAATTACAGAAACACGGTCAGTTCTCTAGGATGCATAGGATCTTTTATCACCTTCGTTTAACTGTGGTCCGTGAACACCGTATTGAGTGATTCTGTTTTCTGGATCTTCTACTGGAGTAATTCGTTGGTTGTTACCAGAGGTGTGAAATAGCCAATTTGTGTTTGGGCTTTGCGACTGGATACAGGTAGTGTTTTATGAAATGAATCACAGGTCCACAAAGGATGGTTTCTCTTCCATGTTGACACAGCGCACTTCATACTTTGCAACCAGAATTGAAATTTCTTTCTCTTCTTCGTTGCCATCGATTCCTCTATGATTTGAACCCTCAATTTGACCCATTCAACTAGTGTCTCAAAATTTTCCTCTTTTGAGTGCTCTGTAAAACCATGCTTTGTAACGTTGTACGTCTTCTTTTGGTAACTTTTGCTTACTTGTTAGGTTTAAACTCTGCCCAATAGATTTCTCTGCTGAATTAGAGTTCTGTCTAACACATTCAGGAATTCTTTTAAATCTTTAGACTTTTTGGTTGAAGTTTCTTCCAATTCCTTAACACTACCTAAGTCTTGATTTAAAGTCTTCTTTGTCCAACCCCCCTTACTTCTTTTCTAGTTTTTACTTAGCTCCGTCATACGCATAAATGGGAAATCCCAGGTCTTCAAACAACTTTAGATCATGTCCTTTTAAGCTGCTTTGGAGATTTAACATCTTCTTTCAATATTATTAGTGCAACGCGTTGTAGTGTCTTGTAAGAGCTTGTAAGTGAGGAGGTTGTTGCATGAAGATAGAATATTACTAAATATACCTTTTCAGCTTGTATATATGCAAATTCAAGTCCATGTATTCAAGTCACATGGTCTGAAATGGTTAAGTTTTATTGGCTATTCCATTGTCACAACTTCTGAAAAGGGTTAATTTGCATGCAAGCTGAAAAGGTCTATCGTGTGTGAACATAATCTAGTTCTGCTAGATTCGATGTGAGGTTGCGGCGTCTGAATGTTGAAATGGTGAGTACAAGGAGTAGGCTCATCGTATTTTTTCGCAAAAGCTCATCCAATGCACCCCTGAGGCAAAATGGACTGTTGTGATCCTTCAATTCATCATCATGCTCACGCACTTATACTCAAACGAAAAGTCAAAGTGTCACTACAGTACAAATTTATCATATCCGTTTGTTTTGCCATAATATTAAGTCTATGTACACCATATAGATTGCTCTTTAAAACCAAATTCCAACAAAATTTGGCCTAAATAACTGCGTGTTTTTTCATTATTTTAACATATTATACGTTTTGATTAAACAACATGTGTTGATTATGTTTTGAAGATTATGCAGAATCATTTGAAAATGAAGAAATCACTATAGTCACGGAAATAGTTGAAGAATATTTACTGTATTTGGAAGATGAGAGTTCACCAGATGTAGTAAAATATAATATGAAAGTCCTGGGAAAAAAATTTGAAAACCTTCAAGAAGATGCAAAATCAAACGACTGGGATTCCCAGGTAAGCGAAATATTATCACATGCACATCACATGCACATCACATGCACATTTCCGTCTGCATGTATTCTGACGATTCTCACCAGTGCAGTCGAGTGTAGCGAAAGAACGTATTTACTGTGTGGTTAGCGAAGAGGTATCATCATTGGCAAACATTCAATTAAACAGAGTTGAGGCAAATACAGTCATAGACCCAACCCATTAACAGAAAAATTTTAAGCGGAAAAACGGCGCTAACTTTCTAGAAATACTCATAATTTTTCTGTTCAGACTGCATTATAGCTTGCATTGTCTGCATTGAAACACCATGGCCACACAAAACTCTTAATTGTATAATGTGTATATGACAGAAAAGGTTTTCTATCGTGTATTAGTATACACTCGACTATATTCTCTGTTACAAATCCTACATTCTGATTAGCTACTCAACCATTGTCTATTCGTGATAGTGCACGCTTGGGAAAATTTCGCTCGCGCGACCATATAAAATTGAATTATTTTTCGGTGTAATTGCGGTGTATTGATTATTTTCTCGAAATTAATATATCTAGGTACAGTGTGTATACTAAAACAATTAGACAACTCGCCTTCGTTGTCTATGAGCGAATAGTCAACTCGGACTCGTTGTCTAATTGTTAATTATAGCCAGGGCCAAAACTAGAAGGATAACTTAGGGGATGTTTCTTCATATACCCAAAGATCGTTTGGATCGGTATTTTCGCCCCGGATTATAGCTAGCATTGAATCATGCATATATGAAGCATCTTAGACGATATTTCACAAGACCATGGCGAGTTTTGGGAGAGGGGAATAATCTATAAGGGCGTTAGCGCCTTGTATTGGACCATGCATTATGTCAAGAGGGAAAACCCTGGGTACGAGGTTCACATGATGTCCGTCTTTGATATCCCTTTAGATGATCGGGGATTATTGTTTGCATGATAAATTTTGTTGTCATTTTTTAAAGGTTTTCAGCGCGCGAACGGAAATTTTAAAACTTTATCCATTTTTGCCCGAATGCCCGAGTTTATCAGTATATTCATACCCAGCGACAACCTTAGAATGATGATCGTGACTAATAATAGCATAATATTTGCTCTTTACAGAAAACAAAAAATGTGTTTCAAGAATACGAGAAAGAACTAAAACGAATACACAAGCTTGTCAAGAAAGGACGCACAGAAAATCCTGGAAACGAGGAATATAGCGAACTTCAACATGACTATCTCGAGCTTGAAAAGAAATGTCACCACACTAAGAGATCTTGTACGGTTATATAACGTTTCTAGATTCATAGCTGAAAGCAAATTAACAGTGTTAGATTAGACAGAATAAACAGTGTCAGTGTATTAATTAGATTTTTAAAAAGTTTTGGAAATGTATATTAAGAAAATTCTAAAAGCGCTATACCGTAAAATCGTATCAATTTTTTCATAATATGATCTTTATTATACATTGTTGTTTATGACTTGAGAAATAAAAATACCTGTTATTAACATAGTGATGTTTGCGTACTGTATATGTAAAATGTGATGTCTAAATATCGAACGCCATTTAGGCCCGATACGCTGCTTAGGCTAAGTAAAAAGGTGACTGGAAGAATTTGGGACCGTCAGTCGCAGTTGTTTGGTGTCCTTGTGCGAACACATTCGCCAGGACTGGTTTAAATTTCGCCCTAATTTCTCCTGAACAAGGAATTTCTACCGATGAAAAATTCTCCGAATGTGAATTTGTATTTACATCCTATATTCGAAATCAACCGTTATTGCTTAAATATACGGTGAAATATTCTATATCATCAGTCACTTTGACTTGTTCACGACAACTATACTGTTAAGTGAAAACAAGGCTGTAGATAAGGAACAAGCGAATTCTTTTCTATTTTTACCGAACACCTGCACCGGACGAACTTAAGCACGGTCAAAATATCGTCTGGTTCCGCTTGAGCGTAGGCTGTTATATGAACTAGAGTTTATTTACATCTAAAACATGCAAATTTTCGGCAGACTTTACATTGTTATGAGTAAACCTGACACGCAGAAGGGAACTGACTGACACTTTAACATACGTGCAGAAGCTAAAAGTACTTATATAAAAAGCTGCCAATATTGTGAATTCCTTATTGTATCTGTATATGGGACAAAATTTTTTATAAAAATTATTGTCAGAATGACAAACTTCAGGCAAACGCATTAGTGTAATCAGGCGCCATTATGGTGGATGCAGAGTGAAGTGAATTCAGTTTAAACATCCAGCAGTCTTCTCAGATCCCTCTGTGTTAATGGTATAGTCATAAGTCATGTTTCGACAATTGTGTGCTTTCAAATACTGACAACTTTTATAGTTAAAATTGAGAGGGCTAAGATTAATAACAGGAATATTGATCATTGCGATAATCCGGCTGTGTCTCAGACGGCAGCTTTAAAAGCCAGGCGAGAGTGAAACATATATTACCAAGTACTCGAGGCAGTTGTAGTGAAGTGAAGAGCTATTCTCTGCAGTCATAAATAATCTATTTTATGAACTTTCAACAACTGCCTAAAATAGACAAAAAAAACCTCTTCGAATTAAGTTTTAAAATGAGGTTAGTATGAATGAAAGAACCTCCCACGAAGGCCCTTAAGGCTAGTTTCCACGGCTCAGGAAAAATCTCCTTTGGATCGGAACGGACAGGAAAATTTCCTTTGTCGGTGAGTTCTCAGGCGGCGTTTATACAAAGGTAACTTTCCTGTCCTGTCCGATCCAAAGGAGAATTTTCCTGAGTAGAAACTAGCCTTTAAGTCGAAGCGTCGAGACGTTTTTTGTCTATTTTATAGGCAGTTGTACGTTATAATTACACATTTGACGCCACACGTTGGTCATATTCGGCAAATTTTCTCCCGGTAGAGAGGGCTCAGTTTTCCAGCGGTCTTTGCATGAAAAATTAGAAGCTTTTCGTTTTACGCCTTGCTCTCAATTTTGTGTAAGTTGTCCGCTGACAATATGAGCCTGCACGAGTGGGAGAAACTTAGCTAAGTTGGACCAACGTGCCAATTTAAAGACGCTGCCACGCTGCTTCCTATTTATAGTGTACGCGGATATAATCATTTTTTATTCCCTACTTGAATAACAACGCAACGAGAATACTAATAGTCTAATATCTTGTAATAAGCTTTATGCAGACAGCCTAATCCTTAATTGATATAAACGAGGCAGACTTTCCATCGCCATTATTGTTTGCACAAAGTATCATCCATCTTACGATGCACACGCATGAAACAGTTTTACAAAACGTGGACGTAACGTGGAGATGAGTTTTTCTCCTATGTCTTAATGCATTGCCAAGTTTAATCAAGTTTGCTTGGCTGAGTTATCAGCAGGAAAATCATATAGAAACCCTAAAACGCGACTGCATAATAGCTATATAAACATGCCAATCAGCCACTAAACTAACATTTTCTTAGCGATCTTGTTCTGCATGCATATATTATAATTAAGCGAATATACTTACATGCATGCATATTACATGATACATGCATATTATATAGTTTACGATGTTTTAGACTATAAAACAAAACGAGTGTAGGCTACATCATGAATTTTTTTTAGAGACAGTGAGAGGAATTTTAACATCAATTTCGGAATGGGGAAGCGTATCTAAGAAAATGAGTTTACACATTGCAGTTTGCTGAGTTGAGGCCTGCGGCTTTAAAACACCAGCAAAAGAAAATTACTATTTATTGTGAGCAGCTGACATGCATTATGTGTAGATGACTGAACGCTTGAGGTGCACCGAAATTTTTACTTAATGAATACCTTGAGAGTAAATGCTAAACAAAGAATATATGTAACTTCAATGATAAAATCTATTGATATAAACTGTGCTGAAGTCAAACATATCATTGATGTTAGATAAGTAAAGCCAGTTCTACCAATGTTTTGGCGACCTTTCAGTCATAGTAGCTTCTGATCGATTCTGGGATCAAATTACGGCTTCAACCTACTACAAGAAGATCATGGCTAATGATTCAACTTTTTCATCCCCAAATTCAAGTTCAAATGGAGTACAACTTAAACTGGAGTTTGGTGAACCCGCAAGACTGTTCTTAATCACGTTTGATTCGCTCGAAATTATTGTTGGAACATTGTCGAATTTCTTTGTTATTGTCATCTTTCTTTTGGCTAGTGAAATGAAGAAACGACCTAGCGATTTGTTGATCTTGAATTTGGCTGCAGCTGATTTCATACTATTGACAACATTTCAGACATGGTTGACAAGTATTATAAGTGACAATAACATTGGAAACAGATACTATTTCTTTTACGAAGGTCTGAATAGCTTTGTTCAACTAGCCAGCGGGAATGCCGTATTCCTTATTGCATTGGATCGATTTCTGGCTGTGAGTGAGCCACTCAAATACCAAACCTGGGTGAGGAGGAATACTGTGTGTCAAGCTATTGCTTTTATCTGGATTATAGCATTTGGATTTGGCGTTCTTAATGTTATGGCTTATGAACTAAAATTCTACAGGCCTTGGTTGACGTTTTGGATAACATATCAACTCGTTATTTTATTATCAATAACTCTTATGTACGTAGTAATATTCTCCTGCTCCTATAAACAGGGGAAACGAATATGGCGTCGAGAATCGATTTCGGAAACGGAAAAGCTCCGCCATCGTATTATGCTAAAGATAACCGTAAATACGTTTATCCTCGTTTGTTTTTTCTACGCGACGTATTTACCTGTCATAATCTATATAACCCACTCCTCGCTAGTCCTCAAAATAGATAATGATTTTCAGATGGGAACAAGAGCTTGGATTTACTCATTTAGCGCTTTCAACTGTTGCTTTAATCCTGTTTTCTATGTATTCCGTACAGAAAGATTTAAACAGGTCTGCCATCGCCTTTGGTCCGGTAGGAATGCGAATAACTTTGATGAAAACGTCCGCATACAAGTCTGAAAACAAGCTCAGCGCTGTTTACAAATTAGTTTTGTGAGTTAGCAGCGCATATTCAAACCACGTGGACGGAGCTACGGAATTTGGATTTCGAAGTAAGGAATGTGGAATAAGGAGAGTTATCAATGTTAGTCTTTCCAAACGATTTTTCAGTTTTCATTACTAAATCTAGTTACTATTATCTGGAGGTCATGGATCATGACAAGTGAGACGTTATCAAGCGTAGCCTAGAACTTATATATAATCGGAGGACACAAAAATGTGTTCATACACGGCCGAAGAATATACATGATGTATACCGCGTGGCCAAATTCATTTTCACAGGACAATAGGCCTAAAAACAATAGGCCTAGCTTACTCTATGAATAATGAGCTGAACGTCGTGAGAAGAGAGCAGAGCATTCCAGCAAGCTAGGAAGATTTTCATTTGTTGGATATCGGTTGCTGGAATTTATGTTGACTGTCGTTTATGCATGTTTAAAATACATGCACAACGCAACAGACAGCAACAAGACCATATATGATTTAGCAGCAAAAGCATATTCCTGATGACGTTAGGGTTATAAGAATTTGTCAGTCTGATTCGGAAGATCCGTTTTCAGTTTAGTTTATGACAAATAAATTATTTAACTTATTATTATTTGAAATAATAGCATTTTAATAGCATTTGTCTTTTGAATTTAGTACCTTAGTCTTAATATTATAACCAAAGCCTTCAGGAAAGTCCCCCTAAGTTTTAACATTATAACCAAAGCCTAGGAAAGTCCCCCTAATTCAGCTGTGCAATCGTCCCGTTCCGCAACCTCAACACCACAAAAATCCTGAGTTCTAATTTTCATCCTCGAGTTAGCGTATTTTTAGAATAAATATTGTGTTAATGTTAAATTGCATTTATTAATTTATGATTGATAATTAGTTCCCATGCATGAGTGAACTTTGATTGGATAGTTTGTGTTTTAGGTACACTTTATCACTTTAAATTAAGTTGTTTACATTGGGCATGTCTAATTATAAATCAAATTACGTACAAGATTTTGATTTGATATTAAATTTTATTGCCAACATCAACAAGATGGACTTATAAACACAGTTTCATTAGTTTTATTGCCTCCCAGGCTCACTTCCTATTCGAGATTTCTACTCGAGATAATACGCCTGCTCGCAGGCTAGGTCAGTCCTTATGCAGGAAGTGCGTGATCGTTCTCAGTCGTGCGTGATGGCGGGTTGCGATTGTTGGCTTTCATTTTATGTTTACTTTTGTAAACAATCATTCGTGCTAGATTGAAAATGACTGAAATAAAGTCGAAATATCACAAGAAATCGAAAAACATAACGACTGCATGTTCTACATACTTGACCGCATTTATTATTTAATGGCATCGTGTAAAACAACATAGAGATTATAAATAACACTAGAGGAGGCATTGGTACCGAAAACAACAGTCGAAAAAGGGAGCGCGATAATGGGGGCGAATTCAAGTCCCGGATGCTAAGCCAAGCGCTGATTGGCTAGATCAATGCCTCCTTGGCAACCACGTTGGCAACAACTAAAATTTGTATTAAATTTTTTTTTCATTTTTTAGGTCACTTTGCCGATTTGTTAAGGAAAAAAGTGCTTTTTGGAACTGGTTTTACTACCTTAGACATCCTGAAATGATATTTTAGTGAAAAAATCACTTAGAAATAAAAAACTTTGTTAAAAACGAGATATTTCGGGCTCGGACTATCGTGAATGAGTGAACATCCGGGACTTGGATTTGCCCCCGATTAGCGTGCTCCCCAATTTCTCCTCGATGCTCTCTCTGGTGTTATTTATAATTTCTAAGGTAAACAACCCCTTAGACTATAGCGGACTGAAATGCAATTTGCATTATTTTCGTGGGGAGTATTTGGGAAGTATACCCTCTTATATAATATATTTCAGTCTTCACAACAGCTCTTGATCTCTAGAGCTAAGACATCATTCTGGCTACCTATACGCACAAAGATGCAAAGTGTCCCTCCAAGACGTGGGCAGGCGGGGGCTGGGACGAATATCTCAACGAAAATGCACCTGTAAAGGTGAAGCAAAGTTCGCGACACTGGAATAAAAATCTTAGTGAAAATTTGTGAAATCCTAACTTCTTCTTAAGGGCCCCGTTTACACTTGCAATTTTTTGCTACGATTTTATGTGCGATTTTCTTCTTTTGATAGATGTGAACGAGTAATTAGTTACGAATGCCCAGTGAACTCTATACAACTGGAACGATAACTCCTTACAAACATCCCTATTTAGCTTAAAGCCAAAATTGTTTTTTCTGAGTTTTGAGACGAAATACTTGACGCCAGACGTTGGGCTGTGTGTCAAATTAAAGCTATTGAAAAGTTACATTTAGTGCGGAGATTTCAAGACTTAAACTCCAAAGGAAATATTTAAAAAAAACAAAAACAATTACAAATCGGCAAAAAACCTGGAAATTTTCAAATAGTTTTTAGATATTTCCCTTTAAGCTCAAGTCTCGAAATTTCTACACGAAATATAACTTTTCAATAGCTTTAATTTTATATACGGCTCAACATTAGGCGTTAAGCATTTCGGCTCAAAACTCAAAAAAAAGTAAAAAGCACTGGCTTCAATTTTCCCCCCTGGGTTATCATTCCAGTTTGTTTACAGTTCAATGCGAATGCCCTGATGTGTAACAGCTCTTATTTGAACATCAGTAACTAATTCACTCGTTCACATCTACCAAAAGAAGAAAATCGCACATAATATTGCAGTATAAATCGGCGCAAAAAAGTAAACTGGCCTTTAGGATTATTCCTAGACTCATGAAAATTAATATACTCTCGTGCATATTCTTGGTAGCTCAAACGTATAGCTACTATTGCTATTGATGCAACTTCAACACATCATCATAAATATTATGTTGAGATATTCAGTTCCACTGCAATGTCTTGTGTATCCCACGTTAGAGTTTATAACATAAACTAATTCAATCTATAAATATTAGGACTCATATTTTAAATATAATTCAATTTGAAAACTGCTCTTGATTTCAAAAGCTATAATTATATCAGACCTCATTTTGTGGCTGCTTCTAATTAACATAAAAAGTGAGTCTGGAAGATGAGCTTCACGACGAGGGAACTAGAAGAGAGAGAATCTTACTATCGCACTTGCAATTTAAAGGAACGCAAGTATCACATTTCAACTCTCCAATCGACAACTCCTCCTTAACCTGTCAATATGGAAAGTCAAATGGCAAGAACATTTTACGTAGTAAACTTCAGAAGTTCAAGTCCCACTCACTGTGCAGCGCTACCAAAATTGAAAAACTGAACTCGTAAGAAAAAATGGTATACTTTCATGCCCATATGATATCCAATGTTTTTCAACACAAAAGACAAGGCTGACAAGCCAAAACCTAAAGCCAGGCTTTTCTCCCTACGCTCCACGGCGACAAGCCATTGTAATCCCGCCTAAAATCTATTCTGCTCACCAGAATGGGCGGTTCACTGTCACTCACCGCAATGGGTGGTTCACTGTCACTGACTTCAGTGAGTGGTTCAATGTTACTCACCACAATGAGCGGTTCACTGTCACTGACTTCAGTGGGCGGTTCACTGTCACTGACTTCAGTGGATGGTTCACTGTCACTGACCACAATTAGTGGTTCACTGTCACTGACTTCAGTGGGCGGTGCAATGTCACTCACCACAATGGGCGGTTCACTATCACTGACTTCAGTGGGCGGTGCAATGTCACTCACCACAATGGGCGGTTCACTGTCACTGACTTCAGTGAGCGGTTCAATGTCACTCACCACAATGGGCGGTGCAATGTCACTCACCACAATGGGCGGTGCAATGTCACTCACCACAATGGGCGGTTCACTGTCACTGACTTCAGTGAGCGGTTCAATGTCACTGACTTCAGTGGGCGGTTCAATGTCACTCACCACAATGAGCGGTTCAATGTCACTCACCACAATGGGCGGTTCAATGTCACTCACCACAATGGGTGGTTCAATGTCACTCACCACAATGGGTGGTTCAATGTCACTCACCACAATGGGTGGTTCAATGTCACTCACCACAATGGGCGGTTCAATGTCACTCACCACAATGGGCGGTTCAATGTAACTCACCACAATGGGTTCAATGTCACTCACCACAATGGGTGGTTCACTGTCACTGACTTCAGTGGGCGGTTCAATGTCACTCATCACAATGGGCGGTTCAATGTCACTCACCACAATGGGCGGTTCAATGTGACTCACCACAATGGGCGGTTCAATGTGACTCACCACAATGGGTGGTTCAATGTCACTCACCACAATGGGTGGTTCAATGTCATTCACCACAATGGGTGGTTCACTGTCACTGACTTCAGTGGGCGGTTCAATGTCACTCATCACAATGGGCGGTTCAATGTCACTCACCACAATGAGCGGTTCAATGTCACTGACTTCAGTGGGCGGTTCACTGTCACTGACCACAATGAGCGGTTCAATGTCACTGACTTCAGTGGGTGGTTCACTGTCACTGACCACAATGAGCGGTTCAATGTCACTGACTTCAGTGGGTGGTTTACTGTCACTCACCACAATGAGCGGTTCAATGTCACTGACTTCAGTGGGTGGCTCACTGTCACTGACCACAATGAGCGGTTCAATGTCACTGACTTCAGTGGGTGGTTTACTGTCACTCACCACATTGAGCGGTTCAATGTCTCTGACTTCAGTGGGTGGTTCACTGTCACTGACCACAATGAGCGGTTCAATGTCACTGACTTCAGTGGGTGGTTCAATGTCACTCACCACAATGATTGGCGGTTCACTAAAAACTGAACCGTATGAGCCCCCACACTTCACCGCTTACCGGCTGGCATTTCTGGCAATGATTTTCTGATATACCATGCATTGTATACTCTTCTCTCTGCATCAAAGTTTAGAAACTTCATCTGTTCTATAAGTAGGAATTTATGTTTTAACTATAATTTGTGGTCGGAAGGACTGCTGTTGATTTCAAGAGCTAAGGCGTCATTTTGACAACGCACTGAAGGATACGTTCAAAGGGTAAAAATGGATCTTTGATTTCCAGAACGATACTTTTAATTTTTATAACATTTACTTATTGAGATTTGAGGGAATCAATAAACTGACTGTTTAATGCAGCAGAAAAACGAGTGACGTTTACTCCACTTTTATGACTCCACTTTTAGATCTATCTATTAATAGGAATTTATGTTTTAAATATAATTTGACGTCGGAAGGACTCTGCTCTTGATTTCAAGAGCTAGGATGTCATTGTGAATACGCACTGAGTTATTGTCTGTCATTGAATTGTCTGTCACTGAATCATTAAACTGACTGTTTAATGCAGCAGAAAAAAGTGACGTTTACTCCTCTTTTATGACTTTGTCAACTCATTTGAGTCATTTCATAACAATAATCTTCGGTCTCGCTATAGCTCAGGAAATTATGGCCACATTACAATTACCTGTTCTAGCTAGAGAATGGTTAAGAGTGCAATGGTGAGAATATTTTTTGATTATTTGAAACGTTATTTTCAACCAGATGACACCAAAATAGGTTAAACTTATTGGATTATTTATTATATAAAAAGTTGATTTTGTTTATAAATGATATGCCATTGGCCATATTATTTGTATTCGTGATCAAATGCGCTCGAGCAGGATAAGATTAATTATACTGAAAGTGATTAAAATTGTGAAACCTTGCAATAGGATAAAACTATTTGCACGGCTGGACTATGAAATAGAAACTTTCATTCATTTCATAGAAGACTTAATAAGGTGTTATATAGACCAATTAATGCAAAGCTGTTAAAGGTTTATCTGCACAGGCACAGCAAATCTCTTTTTCATTACCATACTGCGTGAGTGTAAGCGATAGTTCAGCAAGCATGCACATGAAATTTCAAATTTTTTAATCTATATTTGCACTGATTTACTTTCACATACAATTGATGCACGTGCTGATCACATGTATTGTTGTAATGAAGGGGGACTGGATAGTTATAACAGGTGAAACTCGGCTGTCTCAGTAGTGACTGTGGATTGCTTGAATTGTATAAATGATAAACGTTTTCCTGAAAAATAGTCGATTCTTCTGTACTCAAAACACGGTGAGATTATAGCCAGAACAATTACATGCATGCATGGCAGGGATACAATTCCATAATACGTAGTTTGATGTCCTGTTTTTTTCCCACGGAAGTCATTCAATGGAGGAGTTTATATTTAAGTACTGTCAAAATATTTGGACGCAAGATCATCCTATTGTGGGAAAATATTACTGCCCGCACTTCTCTTGTCGCGCCATGAATTCAATACGTCTTAAGATGTCGGAAATGTCATACGAATTATAAACGAATCATTTTGAAAACCGTGAACATAAAAACTCGTAAAATGGGGTAAAACTTCTAAATTCATCAAGACACCGGCATTGGTCTATTTATTCATTGGAAGTTTGTGAAGCATATTGAGGTAAGCTTGCTAAGCTGTATTTCAGTGTATAGTTTTAATTGTAGACGGGATTACAATGGCATGCGAACATACATTGAGTCCTGTTGTAAAATTCATCACTGTCAGCTTTAACATAATATTTCTTTATTTTGAAGCTTTAGTGTTAAGATCAGTTTTGCTCAATACGTTTTAATTCGAACGAGTACCAATATATATATGGTACATTTTATTTTTACACATTACAAAAATCGGTCGATCAAAAACACGACAGGGTATAATATAGCTGTATTGAACAGTATGCAATCTGTCCATCTTTTAATATTGTATTGGTATACATAATAACTTATATGCAAGCTGGTATATTATTTGTGTATTGTAAAATTGGTATATTCAACTTTACATTTGTCGCCTGATGATCGTGTCAACGTGAAACTTGAAGTTGCGACTGTAATTTTAAGTAATATATTGAGTGCATGTGGGGCACTCTTCGTCTTACATGGTACATTTGTATGTTAATATGTAGATCATGCATGCATGTTAATCAGAAGTGAAGTGCCCCGATGAATTGAAATTTACAAATCAAACTATCAAAGAACATAAGTTGCGAACAAACGAGAATAGGTTCTGTCTCACCCTGGACGGAGTTTATGTTATTGACTTGAACAATACTGTAGAACACGTTAGCAGTTTGTTTATAATTTTCGCGCCAAGGTTTAATAGAGCGTATCGTATTCTTATTCATATCTTTAGAAGAAATGTTTGCTCGTCTGAACGTTTGCCTGTTGCTGATTGTATTTGTGGCAGTTTTTGCTGTGAATGGACGTACTGTGGAAAGACGGGGTTCTCAACCAAACAAAAGAGGTAGATAAAGGGAAAATGGTTTCTATCCTACAAAATTAAAGCCACGTTTAAACTATAGGTCTATTATAGATCTGGCCTAGAACGAAGATAATTGACAAAATACTTGCAAAAGACCCCAAACACGCTAAAAATAGTAATACTAGTATGGATCCTATTGATTATACTGTTAAGTGAAAATTGTTCAGGGCAAGGCGGTAAAGCCTGTTCACATTACAAAAGTCGTGCTCCAGGTCATGTTCTGGATTTGGTCTAGGCCAGATAAACAACATTCACACCTACCAAAGCACGTTGTATAAATGCGGCTTAAGTGCAGTAGCCTACTGACATCATCCATGTGAAGATTTCTCTAATAAGAAGAAGGTAAACTGAAAAAATATTTCGGTACCAACTCGGACCTTTAAAAAATTGTTGAAATTTAACTGCAGGATGATGTATTTTAGAGTTGAATGAGAAAAACATGATCTGCGATGGTCTGAGTGGCTATTGCACTCCTCGGCAATTATCCTGCAATATCTACCCCATTGGTGCAGTAGATTGCGAAAGGGATTGCGAAGATCCTCAAATGCGATGTTGTTGGTATGTATTACACTTTTGTGGACAACGTGAGAACCTTAACCGAATTAGTATTTACATAATTATTTGCGGCGTTCATTATTTGTGATCAAAGCAAGGAACCCAAGAATACCACCACGGCTTGACAGCTATAGAGCAAACCAAAATTAGTAGGATTTAGGACCGTAGCTAGCTAGACTGCTTAAGGCTTCTTAAGGCCGTATTACACGGTGCAATTTTTCTTGCAACTTGCAATGAAATTCTACTTTTAAGAGATGTAAATTAGTGAAGAGTCTTCAAAATGGAAGTGTAAGAAACACCATGAAGTGTAATAAAGATAAAAGTTTGGTTTAGTTGTCATCTCTCAAAAGAAGAATTGCATTGCAAGTTGCAGGGAAAATTGCACCGTGTAACAGGGCCTTTAGTTTATTTTCATATTATTTACATATCATATGGACAATAGCGAACAATAGAAATCAGTCGGGATTAAGACGAATATATGAATATTATACACTCCTTTGTTCGAGAGTTTGAAAATTCTCTTTGGATATAATTTTTCATGCGCACAATATTAAGAACTTTGAAGACTATAATTAATTTTTGCATCATACAACATTTTGCAGCCAAATTTTGCAATTAATTTTGGTATTCTCTTTTTGGGTACACACTTTTCCCAGCATTAGAAATATTCTAACAGATATTTATTGCTGCAAGGGCAGGGTGGAAAAATCTCTTCCTAAACTTCCATGTTTGACGGAAAACTGATTAATAATTTTCACTTTTCTATTTTTAGCGTTTTGGTTTAAATACCGATGAAGCCTACAAGTTGATCATGATAAATTAAATAATATCGATAGTGGAACATAGTAAAGTATATTAGCACAGATAACGAAGGAAATGCATAGGTAGACTTGTAGAAACAAAACGAGCAATTAAAACTTTGATCAACAAAATTTGTTCTAGCTTCAAATTTATTTAAAGGTTGTGTACAGTCGGTCAGGTACATTGTCGCTTCGGTCGTGCTTTCATTGATATTTGGCCGTTTAATAACTATAATGGGAATCATTATCCAATATTTATTTTATTTTATTTTATCGATATTTGGCTGTTTATCTTTCTTTCGGGTAGCAATATATGATCGTTTGCCAGATTTTGCTTGCTTTGAACTAGTGTTTTTTTAAATATTTTTTTTCTGTTTTGTAATCAGAAGCCTAATTTCTGCAAATTTGCATTGTGGTTCTGCGCATGCGTATGCAAATTGTTTTAAGTTTTCTCACTTTGCTGTACAGGCGAAAACACGAGAATACACGCGTCATTTTATTTGTGAGAAAACCTTACCGATTCTTTCTGCTTCTTTGTTACTCTAAATCTTTCCTGAACATGGCGAAATCACAACTAAAGTTGACCTTGACAATCAACTATCGCCACGCATTGTGCGCTTGAAAGCTAAAAAGGGAAAGGTCTATTGCGGAAGGTGGCGAAATTTACTCGTTTAGGTTTAAAATGCAAATCGCGATCGGTTGTTTATTATAAACTTCATGTAATAATTATACAGCATATTCATACTGAAAATTCGTATCTAATGATGTTAATATTGAATGCTTATAATATGATGTTAAAACCAATTTAGTATAGTTTCAAAACACCAAAGAATATCAAAACACACTATCAAAAAACAATATCAAAAGCACTTGGCGTTTAGATCGTGCAATTTTAACGCGGGTGACTGAATGAGGTTGAGTTAGAGGCCGCCTCTCGAGACCAAAGGAAGCTAAAATACGTTAAATTTTTATTCTCTCACAAGGCGTGCTACCGCGGCCGAAGTGGCTTACACGCGCTAGTTGTGTGGCTTGACGCCAACTCAGTTGCCCAAGTTTCAACAGTAAGGTGCACATACGTCATTGTCTGGGGGCCATAGTGCATCCCCCCCTCAGTACAGAGTGGGTCGAAAGAAACTGACACCTTTGAAATTCAAATTAGCCGCATAGCGGCTGTAATGTGACAGAAGTACTGGTTGCCTAAAATATCTCGTGGGTATATACAAAGCATATCAAATAAGTGAACCTAGTTTGTTCCCTTTGGGAGTTTAAATGCATTCTAAGCTCTGTAAATAAAAAGAACAGTTTTATCAAATTCTTTTACGTTTCTCCGCATTACCAGAAAATAAATACAACATATATACCGCGAGGCGTAAAAAGCGCATATTTAATTAGTCTTGTTCATACACTCAAAACATGAGGAAACCCGACTTACCTGTCCATGTCTTTAATATTCTCTCACCAAATATGCATGATGCTTTCTACAAGTCTCAGTTTATAGAGTAATGTTTAAACAGTCAAAAGGTGGCAAAATAAGACGTATTTTAAGCGGGCAAACCAGTTCCAAATGTTCTTGAGATTGTACGACAACAAGCAGCGATATTTGCCATATTTAATTGACATTCTGCGAGCTAGTTTAGGTCATTATAATATCGTGATATTGTCCACAAATCTTGTTGGTCAGAAGACATGATCAACATGATTTGTACAAAATATACTCGACTGTTCCGTAAATTAAAATCGTGGTTTAAAGACCTATTCTTGCCTCTGCTAATATTTTGCTGTTCACTCACTGCGAAAACGTCAATTTCTAAAGAAATGAATATAATTATGCTACTGAACTTCAAATTTGCATTAAGACAGAAGATCGTGTGGCTACAGCGCTACGCAAAACAAGACATTTAACATTTAATTTCTTGTCAGCAATGTGATTTCAAAATTCAAATGAGTGATTTCTGGTAAATTACTCCTTCTTACCGTCAATTTCTGATTACTTTTCCGCGCCGAACAACGTATTCTAATTTTATTCCAAATTTACAATTGGAATTAGATACGGAAGTTGGCAACGCACTTCCGTTATTCGAAACTTAGTTCCCAATTTCCTAACGTACTTAGGAACTCGGCTATCCATAAAAAAATATAAAACAATTCTGTTGTGGGGAATTTTTCAATAAGCCAAAAACGTTGTTATGGCTTATTAAAAAAATTTCCTAACACAGAATTTTTTTATAACTTTTTTATAAATAAAGCATCTATAGCGTAAACGTTTCATGCAAAAAAATTGAGGGTCAACGAACTCGTTCACAATATAAACACGATTAAACCCTGATAAATCAGACGACTAATGACACAGTGCATATATCAATCTTTTCGAAAAATCCCGTGCGTGCTACTTAGGTTAGCCACTGATCTATATGTAAATCCATAAGTATACTAATAATGACTGTTTACTTGTGCAATAATAATGAATCTTTTCATTCGGTGGAAAATGGATTGTTCGCCTCGTTGAATGGAACATTCCGTCTTTCACCGAATTAAAATATTTGTACCATTGCACGAATGAAAACATCCATTATTTGTCAGTTTATATGACACCAATGGCTCCCTGCAGTTTTAAGAATATTGAAAACTAATGATTTAGATTGAAATTTTTGGTAGGAAATTCTTGCTAAAGGAGATGAAATTTTCCAGATATATATTAACCAATATACTAACAGTCGAAAATTGTCTTTGAGTATCACGTCATTACCGTTGTTATGGTAACAATGGCGATTCAATATGGCCGTCATTTTACCTATTCACGCATTTTACTCCAAAAATGACACGTTTATGACACGTTTTCTTACAAAAAATTGGGAAATTTGAGCAAGTTTAAAAAAATTCTATAGAGCCAAAAAATTTCGAAAAATCACGTTTTTTAATTTTTAATAATTTTGGCTCTATAGAATTTTTTTTAACTCGTTCAAATTTTCCATTTTTTTGTAAGAAAACTTTTTATAAAGTAAAAAATTGGGGTAAACGAACTTGTTTTCGAGTAAAATGCGTGAATAGGTAAAATGTCGGCCATATTGAATTGCCATTGTTACCATAACAACGGTAATGACGTCATGCTTATGGGAAATTTCTGACTGTTAGAATGTTGGTTAATATATCTAGGAAATTTCTTTTCCTTAGCAAGAAATCTCGTGCTAAAATTTTAAATCAAAACCACAAGTTTTCAATATTTTTAAAAATTGTAGGGAGCCACCTTAAGTAAACATATTGCAAAATAATGATGCATAGAATAAGCACAATTAGAACTTAGTGAAATTTAGTGAAAGCAACCGTGCAATAGAAAAACTGTTTGCATGTCTAGACCCTGCAAATAGTTTTTTCCATTGCAGGGTCAGTAAAATGGAAATTTATAGTTAATGCCACGTGATCAAAAACAACCAATTAAAAGACGCATGATTATTCGGTGTTTTTCGATGTCATATTATCGACCTTCTTTCCGTTATTATGAATTCTAACTTTCCTTTATTATGATTTTCTATCGTTGGTCAACACATGAGGCGTGATCGGAGGTTCTTTATGTCTTCATACAATATTGTCTAACTTCTTTGGTCAACACATGAAATGTGATGGGAAGTTTTTTGGGTTCAGATTAAAGTAAATAATCATGCTGCGTATCTATAGTATTTTTTCTTGGTAAATACACGAGACGTGATGGGAAATTTTTGTGTCTTTATACAATATTGTCTATTTTCCTTAGTCAACACAATGAAATGTGATGAGAAGTCTTTTGGGTTTAGAAACCTCCGAGTAAAGGAAACAACCATGCTGCGTATATATAGTACTTTTTCTTCGTGGACACATGAGACGTGATGGGAAGTTTTTTAGGTTCAGATTAAAGTAATTAATCATCGTGCAACTACATTTTTTTTTACCATAAATCACTTACTCAACAATATCCACAGCCGCCATATGAAAAGGCCCCAACAGATGCAGAAGTCATTATAAGTATCGAAATGAACTGAGTCACCTAAATTAACTAGCCATGCATAAACGTCCACCCCCCACAGAGATATAATATAACAACAAATATTAAAAATATAAGTTTTAAGTTACATATATTTTTACTTCTAGGCGTAAAAAAGATGCTCGTTTTGCAAGTTTCGGTTTCGTAAATTTCATTTGCATTTCCGTCACTCGATCATGCAGGCAAATGCGAATTGCGTCTTGAGAAAACGAACAACCATCCTCAGGAGCTAAATGAACGCCAAGTGCTCTGTTCTCATATTGTTCCCATATTGTTTAATCTCTCCATTGTTAAGGTAAATTCTATCAGACACGAATCCTGAGCACATGAGACTGATTAGTGATATCATGCCGCATGCTTTGAGAAGAAACATTCTCTTTCTGTCACGTGGGCTCATATCCATACTACTAAAATAAACATAGTATTTCACACTCAGACCGTAAAATACTTTCCACTGTAATTAATGAAGCTGAATTACTTGTTTGTGAAAGGTTATACATTTCAAAGCTTAATCCTATCTTAAATGCCAATGTTACAGTGTAGGTCGACACCACTTGACCTTCATGTTCTAACTTTGTAACTTATAGCAGATAACTAAGTTTCCTGACAGATTGTTTTTATTATTTTCTCATATTCGTTTATTGACCGCGATCTACGAGATCGTAAACTCCTTTTTTTTGCAACCTGCAATGTTGCAATTCTTCTTTTGAGAGATGTAATTTTGGCAACTACCAAACGTTGGTCTTTATTACGCTCCATAGCGTTTATTACACTTACGTTTTGAAGACTCTTCACTAATTAACATCTCTTTTAACTAGAATTGCATTGCAAGTTGCAAAACAATTGCACCGTGTAACATGGCCTTAAAAGGTTAACGTCAGTTTCTATAATTATTTGGTGGATCATTATACCTTGTCTAATCCTTAGCGGATTAGACCTGTATAATAAATCGAAACCCGTTCGAGCTATTCTAACTATGAAGTATAAATCCTCGTTTTTTCGTGATCTTTTAACAACTCAAACATTGAAATCATAGCAGGTGAACTTTCAGATATCAACCTATATGATCAATGTTAATCGCATATGTTTACTTTAGTATTATGA